TGGTTGTTATCTGGCGTTGTCATGGCGTTATTGGACGCGATCCGCCGCGTCAGAAGTGAGCAGAGGGTGTTAGAGGCTGTTCTAATTAGATTTTAACCTGAAACGTGCGGATAGGGTAAGATGTGTACCTGTAGCGTCCTTGGCGGTTTGGGATTGGCTGGTAAGGTCGCACTGCCCTGGTTGGGTGGGTTGGTGGGCGTGGCAGGAGGAGATGTGAAGCTGGGTTGGTTAGATTGTTTATTGTGGCGGCCGTGCGCGTAAGCGAGCTGTTACGTAATCCTTCCTAATTAGGACTAGCCCCCTTCTTCCTGGAAAGGAAGGCTAATCTGCTCGTTGTTCAACACCTATTCAGATGCGGTTAATGTGCACAGCCTCGTGCTGGCCAGACTGCAGCCTCCTAGAAGAGTCAACGTGCACGCGTACAACACAGCAGCATGTGCACCAAGTAACGAAAGAGAATGCGTGTGGTAATACACACAGCCACACTGAGGCTATGCTTCTCCCTGCGTTCTGACCTTGTCTTACAGGGCGACAACCACCAAAATGTTTTTGCCACTGAGCAGACCCAAGGCAATCCGAACTGGTCTTAGACTTCTTTCAGAGGCTTTTTCCTGATTGAGTGTACCAAAGTTACTCATTACTTCCTTAGCCTCGCCATTTCAAATGCTGGATGACATACAAACCGTCCTTTCACAACTTGTAACTACTTTGGTACTCTCGACGGAGACTGCAGTCTTTCCATGCCTCCATATCCGGGCTTAGATTCTGAGAGTATTAGCGACGTTGATTCTCGGAGCTCTACCGACATGGGTGAATGTAGTTCAACTCAGTCTTCGAGTTCTTTGTCCCTAGTTGATACACGCTCGTCCACTTCCTCTACGTCCGAGATGGAACCTTCCAATATCCCGAAGGAAGGCGATAAGCTAGGAGAACCACACAATGTTGACACCAAACCAATGGATCCTTACGTGTTCAACCCCTCACCCTTTACACACAACCATAGATCACGCATTCGTTCTCGGTCTGTGCCAGCATCTCCCTCTCGCTACCTAATGAAAGATGCAAAAACTATGCCCGAGGAGATCAATAGTCTCAAGTCCTTCCAGCAGGTTTGGGACAATAAGCAGAGTAAGACGGAGAACGAATCCAATTCAGACGGCTGCGATAAAGGGGAACGAGAGCCGGAACCTTCTCCCGTTGGCGACGGGTTTGAATTTCCCTTCTTCCACCTAAATCCCACAGACTTCGAATGGCAAGAATACCGATTTCCATTCTCTCGCCTTGACGCGACGGACTTTCGCAAGCCCCGCGAGCGAATCCGATTCCCGTTCTCACATATGGACCCGGAGCGCTTGGGGTGGGCACCAGGGCGAGAGAAGAAGCCGGACTCGCCTTTGAACAAGCTCATGAACATGGTCGGACTTGACGAGGTGAAGAAGGAATTTCTATCCGTACAAGCAAGAGTCAAAGCCTTCCAGAAACCCATTGGGAAGCCTGGCCTCAACGAGAGATTTTCTCGCAAGGATAAGTCCTCCAGTAGAGATGATCCGTCCTCCCGCAAAGTTAAACCCTCAATGAGGAGTCTGAAACTCGATTTGATCGTCTCCGGGAGTCACGGCACTGGCAAATCTACAATTGCACAGCTCTACGTGGATTTTCTTGAACATTTGGGTATCGTAAGCTCGGAAAATGCGTCCTATGTCATCGATAGCGAGTACTCCTTTTACAAGATGGATTGCGAAGAGGGTGTCTTCGTTGTTGAAGGCAACAAGAAGCTTGTTAAGAGTATGCTGAGTTACCCCAAAGCTCGTGAGCGGTTCTCCAGAAGAATCGACATCAAGGACTACTCTGAGGAGGAGCTTTTATCCATCATGGTGAAGCTACTGAAGGAATATTCCTTGAACGTTGAGGGTGGATATGACGCACCATTCCTGAATACGTTCATTCGCCGGTTAATGCAACGAAAAGGCAAGAAATTTCAAAATGTCAAGACACTCCAAGCCGAGATCGAGAAATTACGTAGGCGTCAGGCAGAGAGACAGGAAAAAGCGACATCTAAGGAAGATACTATAGTCGTGAACATTTCAAATGCTTCCTACCGCTTGACGGAATCTGATTTTCTTGGAGCAAAGCCGGACAACTTCTACGAGCGCAGCGAGTCTTGGAAGAAGCTCGAGAAGATGGCTCGTATGGATCAGGTCAAAGAAGCTGTGAAAGAGTTAGTCACTAGGAGACACATCAACTACGTTCGTGAAAGGGAAGGAAAGGAGCCATTGAAGACGACCTTCAATCACGTCTTTCTTGGTCCACCGGGCACGGGGAAAACGACCGTTGCTACGCTCTTCGGGCAGATCATTGCGGACCTTGGGTATATTGAGGACAATCAGGTGGTGATAAAGAAACCCACCGACTTTCTGGGCAAGTATGTCGGCCATTCGGAGGACATGACTAAAGATATTTTGGATGAGACTGAGGGCAAGGTCTTAATCATCGACGAAGCTCATATGTTCTACCACGGCTCCGAGCACGGCACGGACAAGTCCGACATCTTCCGAAAGGGCATCATCGACACAATAGTGGCCCATATCGACAATGAGCCCGGCAGCAATCGATGCATCATCCTAATGGGCTATCCGGACCGAATGAAAGAGTTCTACCGCAACACCAATCCTGGATTCCAAAGGCGATTTCCCTTAGACACTGCATTTTTGTTTGAGGATTACGATGACAAGACCCTGGGTGAGATCATGGATATCATGCTCACCAAGGACGAGATCACGGCCACCGCGGAGGCTAAAGCTGTGGCTTTGGAAGTCCTTCGAAGAGAGCGTGATCGTCCGAACTTCGGCAATGGAGGCGCAGTACGTAATCTTATTAGTCGAGCGCAGGTCACATACAGCAAGCGCATTGCATTACATGCAAAAGGAAACTCGCAGTCAGGAAACGACAGTCCCCTTCACCTGACTGAAGCGAGCCAGATATTGCTAGAGCCGCAGGACTTTGACCAGGGATATGACCGCGGACTCCGAGCCAACAAAGATTTCCGATCCCTATTCAAGGACCTCGTCGGGTTCCAAGACATTATCAGGACCTTTGAGGGCTACCAGAAAATGACAGCAAATATGAAACAGCACGGTCTAGACCCGCGCGAGGAGATCCCGTTCAGCTTTGTCTTCAAAGGTCCACCAGGTACAGGCAAGACAACGACAGCTCGAGCTCTGGGTCATATCTACCATTCCATGGGTTTCCTTTCCACGACTGAAGTCATGGATTGCTCTGTAACTGACTTAGTTTCGAGTAATGGCCTTACGGGCCAGAAGGTGCAGAACCTACTTGAACGCGGCCTCGGTAAAGTTCTCTTCATCGACGAAGCTTATCGCATGGGCCAAAGGGATCTGACTGGTGCTTTCATCAGCCGTCTTGCACAAGAAGCTGTTGGAGAGCTAGTCGATTGTATGACGAAAGAAAAATTCGCGGGAAAATTGGTGATTGTTCTAGCAGGCTATGAGAAGGACATGGATCAGCTCATGAGTACGAACGAAGGGCTGCGCGGCCGATTTACTGAGATGGTATTCCCCAACATGAGACCGAAGGACTGTCTGCGACTTCTTCAGAAGAAGTTAGAGAATAAGAAGATTTCGATTCTTCATCCGAGCGAGAGACAGGTGCTCGGCAAGGTCATTGGCCTGTTTAACAAACTCAGCAAAACGGAGGCGTGGGCAAATGCTCGTGATGTGGAAAGTATAGCCAAACGCATCACGTGTCAGTTATTTATGAAGGAGCTCCCTTCTCAGGGCACGCTGGAAATTACACTGGAGGAGATCGCTGCAGTCTTGAAACAACTTTATCAGCAGAGAAGACCATATAACTTCGGCGACGAGTCTTGATGATGAAGGTATTGGTTTTGATTCTAGGTTTTGGCCTATCCAACTTCGATTTCTTTCTTTTTCTTTACTTATTACGCCTTTCGTAAACACCATCCGGTTACGCTTCTGCCTCTGGAGGTTTAGCAGAGTTTAGCGGGGTTATGCGCTATCTGATGGTTTCTCTGACGCCATCTATCCTCTCTTCTAAATCACTACTTGAGTAAACCCGTCTTACCCATCTTTAACATGCTCAGAATTCCAAACCGACAATCCTTCAGGGCATTTCGCAAACCCCCCCTAGTCTTCTACGTCATTCACTTCAAGCGCGCTATGCCCACAGTCTCAAGGCACCGTTCTCGTGCCCTCCAAGCTACGCAACTCTCTCTAAGCGCTTCTCTCCTTCAAATCCTAGCCCGGTTCGCTATTTCTCTCGGACAAAGGCCGAAGAAAATATAGCGCGTGGTGCATTTGTTGAATCCATGACATTGGAGCTGTGGACCCTAAGGAGTATGATATCTTAATCACAGATATCGGCGATAATACGCTGCACAAGGTTTCGGATCCCATAGGCATACCTTACCTTAAGGAGGTGGTGAAAGATGAAGCAGATGTGGTGGCTGATACTATCCGTGATTTTGTCTACAATGGTGAAAGCCTTTAAACTTAGCGAAGATGGGGACCCCTAGAATGCTTATATTACTAGGGTAAAGAAAGTGGACTAATAGAGGCAGGAGAACGCGCGCGTTAGGCTTCTCAAAGTGTTAACGAGGGTATTGTGGAGAAAGCGTCGATAATATATATTCACAGGATAGATGTAGGTCCATTTTTAGGCTCATTCAGTTGTGAATTTAGGGAGCATGAAATAAGACAGGATGGGTGTAGGAACTGGGAAAGAAAACTGGACGGGGCTTCAAGTGACTACAAAGCGGCCACCAAAAACGTCCCAAAAAATGAGTCAAAAGTCTCCGGACATAGAGTTACTCTCGCAATCTCTATTCTGGTATCAAGCCTTTTTTAGTCACATTTCCCAGTGTACCTAAACGCTTGTGTTTAAAGTCTTTTGTATCAAGTTCTCGTAGAAATTAGGCAACGGAAATACACAGAATCTGCATAAAAATCACCTTGTGCTCTTCGCCTTATCTTTTCAACCTGACAATGCGCAGTGACTGCATCTCTGGCCATAGAAACATTTGCAGGACTACCTTCGTCCGCCGGTCAGGAGGAAGAGTCCTCATGACAGGATTATTGCAATATAGTTCCAAACAGTGCATTACAGGCAAGCTAGGCATTTACGCACGCTGCGTTCCTTGAAACATACCAACAATTAATGTTCTGATAACTACTTTTTAATGAGATCGAAAACGCCAAAAATAAGTTATTACTTGTAATTTCTAACTTTAAGGATAATAAAGTTCTAAAGCGTACCGCTAAATAGTTGCTCAGATATAGTAAATTTGCTTAGTTTTAGCACCGAGTTCTAGCATTTGAATCACTGCTTAGCTGAGCGCTTCAAAGCTTTAATATAAACTGGAAGTTTACATCTAAATGTATAACTATATATGCATTTTATAATTTATTGAGAAGTAGTTGTTAAGCTGTTTGGTACAGACTCATAGGAGTTTGCCAAGTCCTTCTGTTCTATTGAACTATACAAGGCCCCAGACTGCCCCGAATTTGTGAATAGGACTTTCAGCTCGATGAGGATGGGACAACAGACCTCTTGAAAGCTCTTGATATCTGAACGTACCCTCTCCAGTCTCGAGCTTGTTCAATCCGTGGATGATACAATAACGGATGATTGAAGTATGATCGAGCAGAGCACCAAGGAAACCCAGAGCCGCATCCAAACATAACATAGCCTCGCTAAGCCTGAATATCGTGCTTTGATCAATCTGGAACCTATCCCCTAGCGGCCCAAAGCGCAAAAGCTGGAGTATCAAACTATAGACCACCAAAAAGGCCCACATTTGATACAGTCTACATGTCTAATAATCCGGCTTGATTTGGCATTCTGCATATATAGGACAGGAAGGGCGTATTAGCCTCGGCGACAATCGATATAATACTCAGGGCGGCGATTCGAGCGGATGAATCCTCCTAAAACTGCTATGGAAAATCAATCCATAGCTTTCGGGATAGTCCAGTAGCTTCCTAAATTCATAGAGCCATATGCTAATGATATTCACGTCAATTAGCCGGGAACGGCTGTTTTGCGCCAGAGCGATTCCATCCGCCTCGTAAGTCATAGGGCGGAGTTTTAAGGGACTTTAAGTCGGCCTCATTCCTTGTAATCACCGGACTCGGGGGGAAGAAGTTGTGCTCCTCTATCACTTCAGCCTTATCGTCTATGCCCGGGACCAGCCGAGAGTTTTCAAGAATCGGCAGACGTTGGTCTGCTAGTATGCGTTGGCTAATTGTCACTGTGCAATATTTTGAGGAAAATAGCCAATAGCACATACCGATTTCCTCCCGAATTTTGGAATCGGCTTGCTGTAATAGAAGATCGTGGGTGTGATTTCCGACGACGTATAACATTTGACATTGGTAGAATTGTCCTTAATTGTGGGCTTCATCGACAGCCGTCTTGAGACTGGCAAATTTTTGCTCAATGCTGGCAGCGAACATATCTAACTTCCACTCGATGTCTCCAGTCCGCCGACCGTCTTCCATCATCAGTCCTTCTACGTATCCCCTATTTCTTATAATGTCGATGGAATCATTTACAAGTGAAACAGTAATATCGTGCTCTTCTTTCACATTCTTATTAAAGCTATCGAAGAATTGCGATGGTTCTGATTTGTTGAACTTTTTTTTTTTAATAGTTCTCGGCAAGTTCCATGTACCTTGAGTATTCTCTCATCACCTCCACTAGTTGCAAGCAAAAGCGCTCTCCCTCACAAAGGTGAGTAGTAGCCCTGGAAAGGTTATCCATAATCTCGATATGATATAAAACTGCCTCTAAGAAATGAGCATTGGAATATACAGCTATTGGTATGTGACCGATTGCCAGAACGATCAAAGATGGAGACCCAGCAGTCTCTCACCTCCCCTCAATCTCCCATCTCTCATAGATCTTCCATCGTTCATCTAGCTGAGGGTCGGCAGAAGAGTTTGTAGCAGTAGGGTAACAAATAGGGGAATAGAGGGAGCTGCGGAAGGGTTGAAGGGGTAGAGAGGCCTAGAAAGAGGATAAGGCGAAGATTGAAGGGCGTCATGGAAGCTACGGAAGGATAACACTGAGACTTATTAACGACGTTGGAATGCGTTAACGAACCTTCGACTTCACTTTTGCGTCTGAAATATCTTTGACTAAGAAATAAAGGAGCGACTAAGGAAGATTTATAAGGCTCTCGATCAGCACAAGGAAACCGACACGACAGACGTGAGGCATCTGCAAAAGCGAAATCGCGCATGCCACCAGTAAAATACTCTTGCGCTCGTGGATAAGGGTATGTCAACAAGCAGCGAAGGTGATACTCGAGCACCCAACCTGATAACTTCCCTTAGAAATGGGACGGAAAGTACCGTCAACACTACCATACTATCGCGAATGGTAGAGTTGTATGGGATAGCCAAACTTCACGATGTCGACGGGCCGGATTTGAGAATAGTTTTGCTGCAAAGATAAGCTGACTGTTACTCTGGATTAGCCAACGCGACCATCCAATAGATAAGTGGTTTTAACCCGAGGACATAGGGAGGTTTAGGAAGCATGCGGGGATCATGCATTCGCATGCGCATCGACGGTATTGGCGTTCCTGTATGAACAAGAAGAGGCATAGACGCGATGTCTTGGTGACGACTTTATTCGTCACAGAAGTCGCTCGTATACGCTGCTCCAAGTGACGTGACACCCATAAGATGCCAAAGGGAAGGTGTTTAAGTGGCAAGGTCACTTTCGAGTCCAATGGTGAACTTATAACGACTGTGGGTGATTTGCCAGATACAAAGGTCCATTGGATTGATTTTGAATGAAGGTACTCTGCCACTGCCTCAACTGCCGTAGGATAACTGGTACGGCATATTCGACGAATATTACGGTTCCTTCTTCATCGGTGATGATACACGGTGCGCCGAAGCAATTCATGTTTGATTCCGGACAAGGGCTTATCTTCAAATTTTCGTTCTGCGGCCAATGGTCTAGCACGCTCTAGAAGGAAAGTGACGCCGAAGGGTTTAGAGGCTACTATCTCATACAGTCAGGAGCGCTAGGCGAAGCATTCGACGGTTACAAGCCATAAGGAGAGATTTTCACGCCACACAAGTCGAAGTGGTTGTTGCCAATGGAGAATGTCAGACAATTTATTCGCACGGACACCGGGCTGTAACATACTTAGTGGCTGTGTCGACTGCGACCTTTTGCACTGGAGGGGATAGAGCGCAGCAGCAGATCAGACTTACGGTCAGAAGAACCCCATTCCGCCCCAGGAAATAAAATTTTCTGTGAATGTCGAGACGGAAGCATGCCAAGTTTTTTCAAGTCCCTTTGGCCGCCGCCGCCGCCGCTTCTCTTTCCCTCTTCCTCTGCAAGTATCTCTCCTTGGCACTGCTAATGTCTGCTTCAGTCTTCTGGCTCTTGCTAGCCTGCTCCAGGTTCCGTCGCTCTTCAGCTTCGGCATCTGCTGCGCGCTTGGCCGCTTGCTCTAATTGTTCCTCTATCATCTTTGTTTGCCTGTCCCGAACAGCTCGTTGGGTGGCATTGCGCCCTTGGTAAGCCGGCTGGGAACCGCTGGGGCGATTCGACGCAGAGGCCGTGGGTGCACTCTTCGGTTTTGTGACGAGGTTGAGACCTGCAGTAAGAAGTTGCCGTTTATCTGTCACTTGGCCTTCGTCATTCAGAATGATGTTCTTGCCCTTCTCATTAAGTTCCTTGGCAATGTCTGCAGCAGATTTCTCCTCTTCAATCTCGGGTTTGGCACCCTCTTTAAGAGCCTGAAGAGCTGCTTCCATAGCCTCTTGGTGTCTCTTTTCCTCATCCAACATCATCTGCTTGTAGAATCCTTGCATGCCCAGCTTGCGTTTCTTCGCATCTTCCTCCTCTTGTCTCTTCTTCTCTTCCTCCTCAATTCTCTTCACCTCTTCCTGCTGTGCCTTGTATGCTCCCGTGACGAATTTCTCCTTGTCCGCAAACTCATCTCCCTCAGCCTCTCTCTCTCGCTGTAGTAGCTTATCTTGGGCTCGGAGCTGATCCTTTTTCCGCACCTCGGCCGATTCAAATAGATTGTTCATGTATTTCGGTCGTCTTTGAAGTGCGTCTTCTCGTTCAGCAGCTGCTTTGGCGGCGGTTTTCGCGTGCAGTGCGTCGTATGCAGCATCGTAGTCATATATGGAGGGATCTGCTTCCATGGCCTGCTTAGCTTTCTTCTCTGCCTCGCGTGCACCAAGAGTGTTTCCGAATGTTGTGGGGTCATCATCCCGGGCCTTTCTCTTGAGAGTCGGAGGCCCCGGAGCCGGAGGTGCAGATTTTAGTTTCGTCGAAGGCGCCGGCTTGGATTGGTTAGAGCTAGATATGAAGCTGTCGTCGAAGTTGAATTCCCCGATTTCTTCGACGCCGTCCTCAGCTTTGCCTTTGCCCTTCACGTCGTCCTCTTCCTCGTCCAAGAGAGGCTTCCGTTTACTGGGGGGGGGCTTCTTTGCGCTATTCAAGCCCTTCCCCTTGAGGTTCAGACCAAATTTGAGCGACATGGTGCTGGACATGTGGTGAGGTTGGGAGACGCAACAAAGCCTGTCTACGAGCTCAATGCCAAGATATTAACCAGATTACATAACACAGCGCAAGGGTCACTTAACGTTGCATTACGCGACTGCCGTTTGGTATCCACGCTTTCACCGCCACTCCAAATCGACAACCTTCACCAACCGCTACACATGACGTCTCAGCCACTGCGAAACCACATCCCCCACCATGGAGGTCCCTCCTAGCGACCGCCGTGTTGAGGACGAGTACGCCAAATCCCGCTCCTCCAAATTTCGCTTCAAGTCGGAGTCAGAACCCAAATCGAAGCGCTCCTCCCGCCTAGATTCACATGAAGATGATGATAGAAGGCGCTCTAAGCGTCATAGGTCAGACAGAGACCACTCGTCACACCACCCATCGCGCCGCCGGCACATTCGTTCCAAACGTAGCAGAAGCAAGAAATCGCCTGCAACCTTGCACGGCTACTCTTTCACTGAACAAAATGGGGACTACGCAGATCCAGCGCATAGGCATCGAGAGTCTCTGTACGATGCACTGGACCCCGATACCTCTTCCGGCGACTATCTGGATCCCGGAATCGCCTTTCGGGAGTCTCTATTCGACGCTCTAGCCGACGACGAAGGGGCCGCCTACTGGGAGGGTGTCTATGGCCAGCCTATCCACAACTACCCAAATACGAAGACCGGACCAGGAGGCGAACTAGAGCAAATGGACGAGGACGAGTACATCGACTATGTGAGGAAGAAAATGTGGGAGAAGAGTCACGCGCACATCCTTGAAGAGCGCGAGGAGAGAGAACGGGCCCGGAAGGCGCAGAAGAAAGCCAAGCATGAAATGCAAGAGGAAGCAGTAAGACTAGACGCGGAACGAGAGGCTTTCCAGCACCGGGTGGAAGCAAGCCTGAAGCGTGGCGAGGAGCGGAAGAAGGCCAAAGAGGTTGAAGCGGCTTGGGCAAAGTACCTGCAGAAGTGGGATGAGCTGAAGAGTAATTCTATACTTTCCCAGCAAGCGGAAGCTCGAGTCCGTCAGCTCATTCCATGGCCTGTTGTTTCCGGAAAGTGCAAACATGTCACCAAGGAAGAAATCGAGTACTTCCTCCAAAACTCGAGCGCGTGGCGCGACGATGCAGCAGCACTTTTGAAAGTAGAGCGAGTGAGATGGCATCCCGACAAAATGCAGCAACGCTTTGGTCAGCACATCGACATCGAATCGATGCAATCGGTAACCGTCGTTTTCCAGGTTATTGATAAGCTGTGGAACGAGTGGAAGGGACGTGCATAACCGGTCATCATTTCCCAGGCATTTCAACGCACCATTCTCCTTGATATCGCGCATGTCACTCACGGGAGATTGCCTCCTCCAAGGTTAGTATCCAAGCAATTCAGCATCATTTACGGCTTCCTCAACGCAAAGCCGGATTCAAGACTCTGTGGAGTGGTAATGAGAAGACGATGACATGAATTTTCTTTCCCAAGATACCCTTATGGCTCCTTTAGACGGTAATTGCTTTCCTTGCCCCATAATAATATCCACTTCCAGTTTTCGTGCAAGTCCACTCATACCACAACCACCATCACGTGATCGTGACCAGATCCACTTCTGTCGCATTCAACATCTTTCATCCAACTACATCGCTCACACCGCAATCTGGAAGAGGATCCCGGTCACTAGTTAAGTCTGTTCCTTGGTGCGAACATCATCTGGTATGCTTCTCAGGTCCAGGTCGACATTGGAGCAACAGTTTCGTAACCCTAGTCGGCATCCGCGTGCTATTCATCTTTGCGGTCCTTGTTATACACGGATCGTCTAATTCACCCCTGCACATCAATCTATACATCACGTCAATGGCAGATTTCGCACGTCAGGCGAGGCCACTGTGCACCCTCAGCCATCGAAGCTTATTACCCGGCTAAATTCTTGGGCATAGTGCTTTTCTAAACCCCACTCAGCTTGAGATCTTGGAGGGCAACATCCAGGTCTTTGATTCTCCACAAACAAGCTCTTCCGGACTGACGAGATCTCGCAAGGCCAAGGCGGCTGAATGTAATGGCAAACATCGCCCTCGTATGTTGTGGCGATTGGCCAAGACGGAGTTCTTGCTTGTGTTTTGTTTCAGAGCTGCCTTAGGCTTATGCGCACCAGGATTGCATGACATTGATTTCGACATTGTTTCGTTTTGGCATTTATGTTGGATTTAAAACAGTGTTTATACCCAAACCCCGTTTTACACAGCGTCCAAAACCGGGTCTACTCTCATGCTAAACACCACAATCATCGACGGGCTTTGGGCGGCCTATCGCAGGCCAAGCATCTGACGGATTACTATCCCAACCAGGTAATCGATTTCAGAGGGGTGCAAAGAGGCTCAGCGCATGGTTGGGCAATCAAGGCATGAATAGCCGGTGGCATACAGCGAAATCTGGTGCACCAATCTGGATGCACGGCTCTGATGCAGTGGAAGTATGCACCCCGCAAATATCGGCAATTATACGCCACTTTAGGTTTCATCCTCATTCGGGCCGACAACCAATCTGACAGGCTCCTCTGGACCGGGCGGTTGAGGCAAACATCACTTGACATGGGGGATGAAATATGGAGAATGCAATATCGCACAGCGTCAATCTCAAACCCCCCTTTCGAAAGGTATATAAGAAAATCAAATCCCTCGCCATGGGGGATCACCGCTCCACAGTCAAACATCTTTGCCACCATGGTCGCCTTCTCCTCTCTTCTTGTCGCTCTCGCGGCTGCGGGCAGCGCTCTCGCCAGCCCTCTTGAGCTCTACAAGGACATCGGTAAGCAGCTTGAGAAGAAATCCACTCCTGCTGGCACCGGAACCAATAACGGATTCTTCTACTCCTTCTGGACTGATGGCCAGGGATCCGTAACCTATAACAACGAGGCCGCTGGCAAGTACTCCGTATCATGGAGCAATGTGGGCAACTTCGTCGCCGGCAAGGGCTGGAACCCAGGGGGTGCCAAGGTCGTGAACTACAGCGGCACGTGGAACGCAGCCAGCGTCAACAGCTACGTCTCGCTCTACGGTTGGACAACCAACCCGCTCATCGAATACTACATCGTCGAATCGTACGGCTCGTACAACCCATCCTCTGGTGCTACCAAGAAGGGCACCGTCACATCTGACGGCGGTACCTATGATATCTACCAGACCACCCGTACCAACCAGCCCTCGATCCAGGGTACCTCGACCTTCCAACAGTTCTGGTCCGTACGCACGGTTAAGCGTATTGGTGGAACGATTACGACGCAGAATCACTTTGATGCTTGGTCGAAGGCTGGCCAAAAGCTAGGAAAACATGATTATATGATTCTTGCTACGGAAGGTTACCACAGCAGTGGGTCTGCTTCCATCACCGTTGAGGGCCCTTGAATGGAGAGTTTGATTTGATAGGAACGACTGCCTTGTTATGGGGTGGAAGGTTAGGAGGACAGAGTGAAGATTGCATGCATGCCAGCTAGGACAGAGAAAGGAGTTGAATGTGGGTGTAGATTGAATTGTAAATATGCTCGTTCAATGTCCATACCATGATGACGGATCAGGATAATGGAAATAAGTCTTAACCACGATTTGCTCGTTAACTGCCTACAAATCCCTTCCCCAAATACAATCTCAAACATTATCTCCCAACCTCTATATCTTAGCTCCGTATTCCTCTTCCTCCCATGAGTCACAATCAACACATCTAGCCAAGCCCTCACTTCCCCCTCTCCCACAGCCACCTCACCCCTCCATCCGCACATTTCAACCCCTCCTTCTTTCCCAACACTCTATAGATCTTTACCTCGGCTCCAAACCCCCCAACAGTCCTGACATCAACATCAAATAAACAACCACATTCACACCATCCCTCTTCATCTCTACCGCCGGTGCCACCACCTATACTATCCTGGGCGCCAGCGCCAAACAGCATCCTCTGCAACCGGCCCAAAATTGTGTCGTGCATATGAGACGATGAGATATAATGGTGACATTGCTGTATACGGAGACAGTGAAGTGCTTGGCGGAAGTTGTGCAGTGGTTCTAGTTCTGGTTGGTTCGGGGAAGAAAGGGGGGTAGAAAGGAGGATTTTGTAGTTTGTTAGGTGTATGAAACAGCTTTCTCTATTTGAGGTTAGGGTAGCTGGTGTAGTAGTACCCTGGTATTCTGTGGTGTTGTTAGCGTCGACCTGGGCTTCTATTCTGACGACCCGAGCTTCTGCAGTATAAAAATATGTCGCAGTGAAGGAGGGAGGTGGCTCTAGCGATGGATTTTGCGATGAACGGCTCAAGGTGTCGGAGAACAAATCGTGGATCTCGGACCCTACTTCTTCGAACCCTCCGGTATCTTCCTCCTCTTCTCCTTCATCAACCTCGCCTTCGCATCCCTCATCCCCAGAGCAGGCTGGAAAGTACAATAATACCCTCCCCCTCTCCCTAAACCTTGAAATACATATCCCCACGTTATAACAGAATTCCTTCCAGCGTGGGGTTCTCATCGCCCTAGCTCCCGCCAACGTTACATCAAGGTCGTAGACTCGGGAAATAACACTACCACCCTCCTCTTCGTTTTTCTTCTCAAGCACACCCCCGCCATTACTCCGGTTCCCCGTCGAGGGTACCTGCACAGAACTGAGATGCGCGGGTGCATACACAGTAAGAAGGATAGCGTCATCGCGGCCGCTATTCGTATATGGGACGCCGTGGTCAGGGCTTTCGTGTATAGACACGCAGAAATCACAATACCATAATCCTTCGGCCTCTCTATCTCTCTCAAGCAGCCTAAGGAGCCTTATATAATCCTTCTTGTAAGCCAACCTGCGGCCGGCTTGAACTTTTGAAAACGCAGAGGAATCCATATCGGAGTATATGCGCCGAGTTGTGAAGGCTAGACATGCGATTGAGCTGCGGGGAAGGTAAGACGAGATTTGCATGAGGAGTTCTGTTGGGAGCGTTGGGAGGTTGGAGGGGTTGTGGGTTGGCGGGGGGCCGGTGAGAAGTGCCATTTTTGGGTTGAGATTGGGATTGGGATTTGAATTGATGGAAAGAGGGGGTTGGATAGACGATTTTTCGACCTTCTCAAAAAGGGACTTATAGAGAAGAATTTAGAGGTACAGGCGAGGGGCTGAGTCATTCGAAAATCAAAACTGCTGCGCCTCATGCGCAAACACAAGCGATTCTACAGGAAATGCGGAACACAGGCTTTGCCAAGATTGTACGACGATACGACGAGAACGAGATGGCGGAGTGCAGCTTCATAGATGAGTCAGTCGAATTGAGGTTGCACAACCACTCAGCTCTCCGCAGAATCTCAGAATTACACTCCATGCTGAGTCGAACACAACCCATCTCTACATAACCACACAGACCCTTTTACCAGACTGAAGTATTCAATAAATTTCATTAGTAGCTACATAGAGCGAACGGTAAAGACCCGCCCCACCTTCAAGCCCATGCAACCCTTTCCAGATCAACAAACTCGTAGGTTATGAGCACAACGGTAAGGTGGTTACGAAACTAAGCTCGATGAGGGATAATGCGACGATGAGATACTTGAAAACTAACAACAGGGTATGAAGTTAGAGACCGAAAAATACAAGGGTTGGGGAATGGGGTATCGCCGGGAACAGAGAAATTATGGCCGTCGCTGTTAAGCTAATATAGAAATCTGCATCCATCTAACACCTTATCCAATTCCAGCAAGAATTTTAACAGACCAATACTTTCACCATATTCTATAGTATTTGATAGCATGGTAAGTATGAGTTTGAGTAAAGAATTTCTCGTGTGTGACGGCGACGATCCGTCTTCAATAAACTCTCTTAGGTGCTATTAAAACGGTCTCGGAATCTCAGCGATCTGTAATCGCCTACATACGTAATATAACGAGTACGCTTCAAGGAAATGCTTTGGCAAACAATATCGGACACCCTAGGAGCCACTAGGCACTCACCAGTTACCATATTCCACAGTTCCACTTCGAGGAGAAGTGTGGAAGCTAGGTGTAGATCATTGGGAGAGAAATTGATACAAGGTTAATGGCGAGAGCCTTTATTGAATCTCATGAGCAATGCTCCAGACACAATGTCCCATAGGCATAGCGTGGAATCCCCTGACCTTGCCTGCAAGATGGATGGGTAATTATGCCCAATTGGTCCTTGGATTGAAGCAATATGGCCGAACATGAAGTCGACCATGCTTCAATATCGGAAGCTTCACTGTGAAGCTAGGAGGAGCACCAGAGGCATGAGGAACTGGATTGAATTGATTGCTAGAGGAGTCCTTTGTAGGAGTCTATATATATGCGAAATAAGTGGGTAAGTCTTGGCAACATAGACTATGGTGAGATGCATACGACTATGGTGACGACGCATCCGACCATGGTGACGACGCATTCGACTATTGTGTGACTACTGTAAACATTCACTTCTCGAATGTACACCGGTGTTAAAGTGCAGGATGCGCCCAAGAGCTTGTCCATTTTCATTGAGGAAATATCTGGCTGTAATTCCAACACCAACAGCGAGGAGGTTCACAAAGACGGTTAACGAACTACTAAACCCTATCGTTCCTCCATTCTCCGTTCAACGAAATATGATTGAGTCTTGAAGGCTCAATTGTGGAAGCTCGCAGCTCCTAAGGGCACCATATACTTGGCTCACATAGCAAATATTTCTAAGGTCCTGCCAAAATCTTTGGTCAAGAGTTGTTTCCAGAGTTGAGAGAAAAAAACAGGGTGAAATATGCAGGAATGGCGATTACGAGACGATTTTTAACTAATGGGCTACCTGGTTCAAGTCAACATGCTAGACAGTCGTCAAGGTGAACCTGAGATTCAAATACTGCTGTATTTTCGATTAATAGGTTCCAATATATGTTGTAAAATGATTCCGATAATGGTACTAAAGCCATGATTATGATCTAGTGGTGTATGCCTTAACTAAAGGTCGCCTCGTCTCTGTGATATTCCCCATTTGAGTTTCAGCCAAGTGGAAATGTATTCGAGAGGCCAATTATTCTAATGGAGGCTAATATTCGTCAATATTTAAGGTTCTATACGGGTTTTCTCAATTTACAAGCCCCAGAACATAGTTAAAGTACAGGAGTCTCATGACCCCAGAGAAGGGTAGTTCCTCCTTGCTTAAGTCACCTACACGGGAGTTGCTCTTCCGGTCTTTGCATTCTCGTTTGATGTCTTCTTTCAGCCATAACATACTATTGATATGCGTCCCGATTAGGATTTCGGCTAACTAACAATGACGAGATTCTGAGGCCTATGCTAAAGCGCCCCTAAAGTCAGTATGATCCTCCTTACATTACATAATCTATTAGACATAGTTATGTTGTAAGCCTAATTAATACAGGGTACCAGCACTTCACTTAATAAGACTGAGGAAATCACCGGTAAAGTGAGGTCGACGTAGAAGGCGACCTGGAGTTCTAATCAACGTTTCGCAAACCAATTCAGCTTTTCCACCCTCCGTAATGGTCGCATCTCTAGCCATCCTGATGTTTGTGAACGATGCTCCAACAGAGCATGAAGTTTCAGAGTTGAGGTGCTGACGGTGGTGCCCCGGCATGCATGTGTGCATAAATAAGAAGAAAAAAAAGATATTAACCTTAGAAGCGAGTAACTAGAGCTCCCTGGTGTACGTTATTAAGCAGCATAATCGTTGGGAAATATTTGAGAAAGAGTGACCTGTTTCAAACCTTCCAACCCCAATTCCACAGCAAATGCCAACTCCGACTTCTTAGCTTCACGATTCGATCTATCATATTGAAACATTACCAGATCCTCCCTCGAGCACCAGGACGTTTTTCGACGCTCGCAAAGACGTCTAATACTTGCAAGGCATTATCAACGACCTCAATATTCATGGCGTGAAAATCGACGACTTATACTTCGCCCATAAAGCCTTTCCCCCACTTCTCTAACTTCTCTCATACAATAACCTGAGACACTTATTGCTATCCTTACTTTAAGAAATTATTCAAGGTACAGGATTTGCAATTAGCCAATGTCAAATTTGCATTGGACATCTCATCACGAGCCGAGTTCTCCGGGCACACCATGTTTGAACAGGAAGCGAACTCAGTTAAATCAAGTCAAATTCTAATATCCACGGCAATTATTGCGCGCCCTAGAATCATTTCCGAAATAATTCCTTGTCATTCCAATATCAGCTCGACACTCTGCTTGGCGATCTCCCACGTCCACTACAAATTGCTCTCTTTCACCCACCTCCCACCTTCTCTTCCCAGAATCTCATGGAAACTCTTTCACATGGCTTACGGAGATTGAGGTGACGTCACAGAAACTTTTGGAAGCTTCTGCCTGCTGGAAAACTTGCTCAAAATGCCGCAATGGAAGGCCGCAGAATCAGTTGCCTGGCCGATAAGCCACGTGCCCCGTCTCTCACGGAGGGCTCGAGCACACAGCAACGGAAACCAGAGGCTCGATCCAGAAAAATTCGGACGAGGCGGTCCTGTTTTTGCTGCAGTTTCCTATGTGGCACGAGACAAAACTGTCTCAGGAAGTCTATTTACTTTCCACTGACGCGTTATCCCTCGTGGGGCTGCCCTCAAACGCCTGTCGTACGATACTACGTCACAGGGTCGTCCCGTGGCCCTCATAATCTTTCTGGAAGTTTGTAGAAGGTTTCTGCCTGGTTGACTGGGAGACAGACGTCACCGGGGCATACGCCCTCCCCCAAGTATAAATAGAGGGCTGCCCCCCTGCTTTGAACCTTGCCATCTCCGTTCAACACCTCACTTCCTCACTCGATACTTCAAGTAGTGGTCATCCTCCTCCTCCTCCTCTTTCAATGACCTTTTCCTGTGGCTTCTCCAACACTTCTTGTGGCTTCTTCAATATGGCCTGGCTTCAATGTCATCCATCCCAATCAAGATCGAACACCCAACACCTCATTTGACTATACCATCACTATTGACAACTATCACCTCGCTTTACTTCAAATGTCAACTATCTCTTGTCGACGAAATCACTCAACTGCACTTCGGGCCAGTGTCGACGTTCGATCTTGAGAGTTCTTCAGCTCATCCGTCAAGTCCACACTTTCATATGGTATGCTATTCATCTATCTCATTGCTTTGAATAACATCAACTCAGAATATGTTCACCGAAGCCACATCACAACATGGACATCATTTCTTTGAACACACCTCAACTCACTGGGCACTGTCAACACCATAATCTCAACATGCCTATGGATGGCTGTCGAGTGGTCGGTTTGGATCAACACATTATACCACATCACACACTACAAATTGGGTTCTGCCTACAACATAATCTCAATACGCTGATGGCTGGCTGTTGAGTGGTCGGTTTGGAACACCCATCATGTTGTCGTTTGGGACATATGATGGTCTACAATCTCAGTATGCTGAATGGCCGGCTACTGGGTGGTCGTGTTGGATAAACCTGATGTCACCATTGCCATCACTCATGATGTCAATGAGAGCCTCATGGCTTCAGTGGTGCACATCCTTCTTTTTGGTATGTTGGCTTGTTTCCTCTTCCCGTTTTCATCGACTAATATTTGTTTAGCGTCCTGTTGCTGCCGCTACTACTACCGCTGCCGCTACTACTGCTGTTACTACTACTACCACTACTACCACTACTACTACTACTGCTGCTGCTGCTCCTACTGCTGCTGTTATCGAGGATACGATAGTGTCGACACTTCACCGCACATCACATCACACCAATTTCAACACATCACTACACACATCTCATGAAAAATTTACACTACTTCATTCGACTATCAACTCGGTTCACACAGCTCACATCAACTCCATTTAACCCAACAAGATGCAACAAACTGCTCTCATCACTCATACGAGCACATGCATCTTGCATTCGCAGCAGCAACCAGTAATCAGTAACCAGCATACACTACGCAATACGCTACACTTCACTTCACATCACATCACTTCATGTTTTTGTTCATCTTTATTCAGATAGCGTTGGGGTTCACAAGGGTCTGTCAATAAAAACCGTCTGGAATATCTTGGCTTAGCTTGGTTTGGTTTGGTTTGGCTTGGTTTGGCTTGGTCAAAGTTCTTGGATACATAAAACAATTGAATAGAATATGTAGTTTCGCACATCACTTTCCTTCTCGCTGTTGCGTGTGATGTCCATTGTCATTTTCATGTCATGATCGCTAGTGGTCGAGTTTGTAAGTACTTCAAAATCGCCTCAAGCTTCTTAGGCTTTATTGAAATTAGCCACAACGAAGCGTTGATGCGTTCGGCCTATGTTTCGTCTTTGGATGTGCCTTACTTTCGCCCTCGCTTTCGACACCGAGGCGTCTCAGGCGGCATAAGTCACGTCCAAACCCATCAGTCTACGATCGCAAACAACACTATCAGAGATAGCATCCAGACATACACTTAGAACTCAATAATATTACCACCAACCAATTTCCACCGACCGAGCCAACCTAACATGCTGGCTCTCAAAGATATAATACACTAAGGCCAAACCAGACCAATCATAGCGATCATACAGCATTACAACATGGCTCAAATATAAGAAACCTTAACGCCCATCCCCACCGTCCTACGAATCTTCTCCCACGCATTCCTCAACACCCGCAGAAGCCTTTCCCTCAAATCCTGTCGCCCAAAAGCCAAAGCGAAGGCCAGCAAAAACAACAGGGTCCGAAAAACCGCCATGGGGTTCGCTGTCATCGAATGTGCCGTATTACTTATCAGCGTCTGCATCGACGTCAACAGGGACGAAGCGCGATGATACAAGCCCGGCGGTGGACTCACAGCCTTCTTATTCGCGGGTCTCGAGGCCCGTGGCGAAGTAGATGCCGCGGGTCGATGCATAGGGAGTTTCCGGAACACTTCGTCGGAGCCTCGGGGCTGGCGGCGGTTCTCCTCTTCGCGTTTCCTGCGTTCATCCTCGGCGCGGGATTGCTCGAGACGCCGTGCTTCGGATTCTTTGCGGCGGAGTTCCATTTGCTCCTGTTGTTGTTGGCGGAGCTTGGCTTCGCGGATTTCAGACTCTTCCTTTTCTTCTTTGAGGGAGTGGAGCGCGAGGTGGAAGGCTTCTTTGCGTTCGTCGTCCAGGATCTCGCTCATTGAGATGAATTCTCGTGCGTAGTCCCATTCTTCGTTTCGGGGGAGGACGTGGAGGGTGTAGAGTTCGAGGAGTTTGAGACGTGTATTGAGGTCTCGGGGGGTGCTGGTGCCGTTGTTGTGTTGACTGGGTCGGCGGTGGAGGTACGTTGGGGATTGCATGTGCGAGGAGACGTCGAAGGTTGGGCGTGCCGAAGCGGAGAGGTAAGTTTCGAGGCGTTGTTGGTTGAGTCTCTGAGAGGGCGAGTGTGTGAGAAGGAGGGTAGCTCTGGACATTCATGTCAATTCAACTCCTTTCGAATGGGGTATGGACCGTGTCTTACAAGTTAATGACTACCTCCGCATCCACGTCTCCCTCAACACCAGCATACCCGTCCCGAACAACGTCATCCCAAACGCTGCCATCACGGCACTTGGACACCAATGCCTTCCACCTCGTGCTCCCAAATGCGTGCTTCCCCTCTTCAGCACCCAATTCAACCACGGAATTGAGGAATGTCAGGTAGAAACTCCACACCTTGACCCTGGTTCCCCGCGACGCGGATGCTACCGGGGCACAGGCCGGCGAATCTCCATTAGGCGAGCTGTTGGAAGAGTCCTGGTCGGGCGGAGTGATTATGGGTTCAATTGTCGAGAGAGCTTCAGGGAGTCGGCGCGTCAGGAATAGCTGGGCGGCTTGCCGGTACGCTTTTGCGATCTGTGATGATTGATACCGGCTCGATGACATGGAGGAGACAGATGACGAGAGCATGCGTGAGCTGCTCAGCGCGTCTTCGTAGGATCCGGCCATGGTGGACGAGGCTATTTGGGAGAGTCGTCGAGAGAGCAAAGGTCCATGACTCCTGAATGGGCGGAGTGTGTGTACGGGACGTGAGGAATGTGAATGTCAATCAGCTCGTGGACCTCGGCTGACCGACGGCAGGGCCAACCTTGGCATTCATCTCCACCAGCCACACCACCAGTCGCACCACCACCACCTCCATCTCAAGGTTCGGGTCTCTGCGTTCGGCCTCTCAAGATTGTATGGTGCCCATATTCGTGCGAGTCAATACGGTTATCAAGCTGAACTCACGCCCTTTCCAATCCTCGAACAAACGGCTGTAGCGCCAGCTGCAACCTTGTGTGTTGCTCACCATATCTCCTCTCACTGACACTCCAAGCCTCGTTACTCATAATCTCTAACAGGCAGCCGACTCTCAAAGGGCGTTCTTTCGGCGCTCTTTTTTAGCAGCCCTTTCAGCAACTTTGCCCTCTGGTATATCAAGGCGTATTTTTTTCTCTCTTCTACTTTTCCCTGATTCCTTCCGCCGATTTCTATTTCTTCTCTCTTTAATTTCGGGTCTTTAGCCATGGACGTCGACGCTGTCTCATTCCCTTCGCACCTTCTAGGAATGCTAACTGCCATCTCCGAGGCTGACTTCGTCTCAATCGACTTTGAGCTTTCCGGAATAGCCACTAGGGTTCGAGGAGGGCCTCGTACCCGCTACCACAAACAGACTATCGAGGAACGTTACGCCGAAGTGAAGGCCAGCGCAGAAAAGTATCATATTCTCCAGGTGGGTATCACGTGCGCGAAGTTCGACTACATCAACGACAAGTATGTACTGCGACCATACAATGTTCACATCAGCCCACTCATTGACGAGCGGTTGGACATCGAGCGCGAATTTGCATTCCAGGGCGGAGCAGTCCAATTCCTGTTGAAGAATGGGTTCGATATCGCTGCCCCTTTCACCAGAGGAGTTCAGTATCTTTCCCGGGAGGAAGCAGAGCGAGCTAAGCAGATGACATACGACCGTCTCGACAAGAAGGTCCATGCTGAAGGCCTTCAACTTCAGCCAGAGGAAGTGGAATCCTTAGAGTTTGTCAGGAAGACAAGGGAGGCGATCATTGCTTGGAAAGACACGGACAGGTCATCCTTGGAGATTTCCTCGACCGTCGGTGCTCTAAAGCAGCCGCTCGTACCGGCCATCACAAACTTCGAGAAGCGTCTCGTTCATCAACTGGTTCGCGCCGAATTCCCCTCCCTCGTCACTATCAGCAGGCCAGGCTTCATCCGGATCATCCACTACGATGAAGTGCGCGAAGCGGACATGGTCCGAAAACAGAAGCAGTGGGTCAAGGAGAGGATTGTCAAACAGAGCGGTTTCCGGTGGGTTGTGGAGGGACTTGCAAAAGGCGACCTCCACCAGTTCGACCCTTACTTCTTCGCGAAGAATGCAAGCGGCCTAGTCATTGCTGCAGATATCGACAACATACGGGAACGCTTCCGACGCGCTACTACACGTCTCAAGGATCATCAACCCGTTCTTGTGGGTCATAACATGTTCACCGATCTAGTTAACTTTTATCACTGCTTCTTTGGTCCACTCCCAGATACACTACAGGAATTTCGAGAACTAGTTCACCAGCTTTTCCCCAAGATTGTGGACACTAAGTACTTGGCAACATTTGGCTGCGGCGACATCAACCCGTCTGCTTCTCTCGAGGATGTTGCAAATGAACTGAAGGAACAGTCGCTTCCAAACATTAGTAAGATCTAAACCCTGTGCAGAAACACATAATACTCATTAGGCGATAGCTATCCACGGCGACCATTCGAAATACACTGATAACGAAACACTTCACGAAGCGGGATACGACAGTCTATTAACAGCCACAATCATGCTCCGCTTATCCGCCAAATTGAACGCCAAAAATGCACCTCCACCGGCGTCGGGGCCCTCGATTGTTGCATCTTCCCCAGCCTCGACGACTACAATGCCTTCCTCATACGCAGCCAGAGTCATTTCCACAAAGAAGAAGAACAAGAACAAGAACAGGAAGAAGAAGAAGAAATCTGAACAAAACTCTGAACCCATCAACACCAAATTTGCATCCCACAACAAATTCGCCTTCCTATCTGAAGACCCTAAAGACACTTCATCTCCCCGCTCTGATGGCAACCCACGACTGTCAGAAAACACCGTCTTCATAGACGGCAACAAAGACTGGGAGAACGAACCCTTCATACAGGATACCACAGGTTGGGTCAATGTACCGCCCGTCGAGAGAAAGCCAATGGAGATGATGCCAGAGCTTAGTTCGAGTTCGGAGTTCTGGCAGACCTATGGGAATACGTTGAGGGTGTTTGGAACGCTGGAGTCGGTTATAAAGATTGCGGATTGGGAGTAGGTTTCGGGGGGTTAAGTATTAGGGCATGTATGGCGTTAGTGTGAGATACAGTGTAGAGTTTGGATGCTTAGGTTGGAGGTTTGATATTGAGATTTGCAAGTGTACGTGTAGAATTTGCTTGTTGTGTGTATATTGCGTTTTCTCTCGCTTGTCATATCCGTCGCAGATTTCTTATGTGCTGGAACCGGTATATGAGTTGAATTTCTGTTTTTAGGTTCGCCCTTTCCACTCATGTCTAATACCTAGTACCTAATGTTCCTAGAACACTAGAGCTCTCACATCGCTCTTTATGCGGAAACTCTAAATCCACCTTTCGCCAAAACCTTCACCGCCCCATCCATCACCCATAACAGGACTCCGGCAACAACCCCACCTCTCTTCACTCAAGATCACGGACGCCATCGAACAGGCTTCTCTCTGTTATACACCATCCATCTCCACTGACTTGAAAATAGACTGAGACTCGGGTCGTGCTCTGAATAAAAAACTTTGTAGCTATAATCTAATAGCTCTCCCAGCTCACCAAAAAGATAAAGGCTAACATCTATCAAGCACGGTGAGAGGAATTAGTTTCTAATCCTCCATCCCCAATAGACAGAGAAACAGCAAAGGTTGCTTGGTCACGGTCATGGAAAGTTGAATAAAATTGTTTCCTCCGCCGAATATAGCAGTTGAATAAATCTTCACTAAGAGAGGCCCATGGCTCCACTTATCCTACAGTCTGAAAAACAAATGAGGGAGGCACTATGGCGGTCCGATGTCGACACCGAAAATACAAACATAACGCACGTATGGTTGGAGTGTTTGTGCGCGTCTTAAAAATACTCTAAGATATATGGCTATGGCATGGCGGCTCATGGATCGTCTGCCACTGCGGTTTACAAAAAAAGAACCAGTTACCCAACATGGCTGGGATTCCAGGTGCCAGAAAAGGTCTTCCACCGCATCGATGGGAAGACTCGTTCTACGCGTTTCAAAAATGGCTTTAAGATATGATATAGTTGTGCGGATGCGGTTTAACATGTCAAACACGACGCCGTCATGTACTCTGGCCTTGAGCCCTGAACATTCATTAATGTCGTCCTCTCGCAGACCGCCCGCCTAACCATGACTTCACGACCTCAGCGCGAATCTCCGCTCTCCACCCGAAAGGACCGAAAGACAAAGACGAAGCAAATTATGGTGCAAATAAAATAACTCGAGTCTCGTCGTACGTCTTCGGCACTCCACCTTGGAAATTTCAACTCGCCCGTCACAGGACCAAAACCTCAACATTGCCCTTCATGGTGGTAGCGAAAAAACTTTCCTGGGGCGGTCCTTATGGTTGGGCTCTCATCCTCTGGCACTGGACTAAAAACCACCTTACCATACATATATGTCTATACCCCAGCCCGGAATTACAACGCAATCCAAGTCAAGGCATGTCCATAATCTACGCATCACACCTTCAAAGGCCGCCTCTCTGTGTCCTCTGAAGAGATCAAAAGCGGTGTCGGATATGACAACTAAACTAGAACCAACAGGCGATAGGAGGAGTTGCAAATTTCCTCTTGTTTGCTAGTGCATTCTGATCGGACCTGATATGGAACAAGTCTGCTGGTTGTTTCCCATCGGGAGCTTTTAGATTACAGGTAGTGGAATATTGAACCCTTGCAGTTTCCCGAACCGAATCCTATCCAAGTTCTTTCTATTCCTTTAAACATATTATTCTCTCTAAACACTTCCTTTTTCTAAATCTTCCTAATTTACAACCCTTTATTCTTTCCAACTCTATCGCGCTTCTGTGCCCTTCCTTTTAACCCATCTTCTTTCTAGATAACACACTATCAGGGAGGTATTGATGGAGCACCAGTGGGCGGTGTTTGGTACTAGATCTTTCAATGCAGTACGTTTCCATAAATAGCGTTTTGTTTGCGAACGTTCTCATGGAGAGCAGGAAGAGGTGTCTCAACTGGTAGTTTTGAGTCTTCAAAATCATCTAAATTAAATCAAGATATGGCTTGCTGAGAGGACATATTTCCTTAGCAGACTAAGCAGCCATATCAAGCCAAGGTATTGTCAGGGATAAACAGTGAGCAAACCAAATCTAGGTAGGACATATTGAGATATGGTATAGGAAACGAACGACGCATTGAGTAAGGGTGTTTCATGAGGAAAAGGCGACGTACAAAGCAAATAAGTCGAATAAGTAGAGGATGTGTATCAAGCCTAGACAGCCCCAAATATGAACCAGCAAGGATGTGGGGCATGAAACCCATGAGTATACCAAGGCTAACGTATAAAGAGAGAAAGCCGCAAAGAAATAGACCCCCCTCTCGTCTCCAGCAAGATATCTAGCAGCACAATGGACAGGTTTGAGGCAGATTTGGTTGGAACTTGCATACCTCTAAGGCTCAGAGTACTTCCAGCCTGGAGTTTTAATAGGTGGAACTTGTTTGCAGACCACAGTACATAATAGCAGGCTGTACGCAAGAAAATTAAACGTGCTAGACGCACGGCGCCGACTAAGCTTTTCAAAGGATGTGGGATGTGCACCACTTTACCTCCTTCCTACAGCGCTTTCCAACTTACGTGGAACATCAGAGCACTGGTAGAGAAGAGAAGTTTACATCCTATTGACTGTTTCTTCAATTCTGGCAGGGGATATAACGAACTAAACCCTCCACTCAATATTCTCCGTAGAGTTTGCATATGCTAAAAGTGCCACAGCTATCGGTTATCTACCATTTCTGTACCTGGAAGCATAGAGCAAGAGCAAGGGAATATGTTGACATAGACAGCATATAGCCTACGTTACTGGGGTCATATCTCCTCCACACAGCTGCTGGCAGTTGCTAGCTAAGGTGATGAGGCAGTTCGTCACATTATGGACGTCGGAGTCAACGAACCCACCGTCTTACCCACAATTTGCTCCTGCAGTTTCAGTTCCATCTGATCGCCGACGTGACTCGAAACGAGATACCCAGCGAAATGGTAGCACAAATAGAGGAAATCACGACAAATAGACAGCTCCTAAACTCGAGAAAGTCTGTACAACGCTACTCATGATACTAGATTCTTTTCATCCTACATACGCAATTACATAAACTCATCTGCACCCCCCTCCCATGCCGCAAAAACCCCCGTCGGAAACAAATCCGCCAGCCTTTGATACCCCTTAACATTTGGATGCAAATAGTCCCCAGAATCATACTCCTTCGCCAACTGACTCGGAATCTTCGGGTCCGCGAGCATTTTATCAAAATCCACCACCGCGTCAAAGACGCCGGATTCCTTGATGAACTTGTTGATTCTCTGGCGAGTATTTTCTCTTTCCGGTGCGCTGTACGGTTGGCCTGTGTAGTTGCTTGGCGCGGAGAAGGGCGTGATAGTTGCACTAAAAAGGGGAATACCGAATGCGTGGATGCGGGTGGAAATTAATTGGTAGGCCTGCGTGAGGGATTGGTAGACGGCTTCTTGGGCGGTGGGTGTGGCGTCGGCGGTACCGATGTCGTTGACGCCTTCGAAGATCATAGCGTATTTGACCCCAGGGTGAGCTAGGACATCTCGGTCGATCCGGCCCAATGCGTTTGGACCCAGGCCGTCGATTAAGACTCGGTTTCCGCCTGCGGCGAGATTCGCAACTCCGATGTGGTTGGTACCAGGACTCTCTTGTAGCCTTGCGAGAAGCAGGTCGGGCCAGCGGTTGTTTTTATTAGTGTCACTACCCCTTCCGTCTGTAATACTGTCTCCTACGATGAGAAGACTGCCGAAATGCGGCGGCACCCAAGCCTCGACACTCGATATAAAGTACCAATGCGCCACGCTTTGCGTACTCACATCCGTAATCGTGAATGAAGAGGCACTTACGGCGTTGCCTCGTTGGAAGAATGACGTGGTGCGACTTCCCGGATGTGACGTGATGCTATTCGTTGTTTGCCCAGTGGCGAGATAGATTGTCACTGTGAGAATACTTTGAGATTTTATAGCAAAGTTTAGAGGGTCCGTGACTGCGAGAGCGCCGTTTGGTATCGAGATTGAAGAACTGCCTGAGAATGTCACGGTCTGGAGTGTCTTTGGATCGATATGGTGGATTCCTGCAGTTTGATTTGCGGGTAAGGCCACTGTGACTGCCGTGATCGGTAGGCTCGTGACGCCAAAGGCATTGGAGATTTTCAATCTGATTTGCGATGCCCCAACTGACATATGCAGTGTCTGTCGAATAGTCGAGTTTACGAAAACGGCCCCGGTTTGATTCTAGTATCTAGTCAAAGATGAACAAGAAGAGTCGGAGGGAAGGACGTACGAAAGGCGCCGGAGGAAGGTTCGCAGGTTCCGTTAACTGCGGCATTGAAGCCCATGCATCGATCCAACGACCATTCGGAGGGTTGGGTCGGGCTGCCTTCTTCGAGCTCACCTCCCCAATGACCGCTTTACTTAGGAGAAGAAACGCGACAAATCTAATGAGAAATGAGAAGAGGGTTGAAGAAGCCATCTTGACCTGTACCCAAATGCTCAATCAAACTTTGACAAAGATTGAAGCTGAAACTCGATCTCATCTCGATAGCGGAGACGGCCATTTTTAATACCTTCCGGAGCACGGAACCTAGATTACGGGCCTAGGGAAAATGAAAAGCTAAGTAGGTACACGAAACCAAATAAAGTAACGAGTTGTGGCGGTCTTTGCACTTCATCAGTGTATTGTTCCTGACATGAAGCCGCTGCGAGCGGGGATGTTTGGAGATTGACGGATAAATTGCACCGGGAACTCGGTCCTGGTTGGTGGTGCAGCTCATCAGTCCATAGACCAGGGATGAGCTTTCTACAATTTATCCATGCGCACAGTAAAGATGATGCGGTGATCCATGATGCGATGAATATTTATCAAAGAACAGATGTGTCCAGGCTGAGATCCAAGTGAAGATGGCAGGCTGGATCATCAAGTCTGGTTTCCTTTTCAGAACTTGTAGGTCAGTGTTTCAGGAAGGTGCCGGATTAAAACAGACGTCGCGATGAGTTTGTAGTTGCGCATAACAAGTCACAGAAAGAAGTATCCTAGCAGCTCGAACGTGAAAAAGTTACTTGTATAATTGGTATTGCCGCATCCGCTTCCTCAGAGCCAAATGGAAAGAAGCGCCTTCTTATGCATTACCCCCAAATGCGAGCTCAAAGAATCGCCAGTACATAGAAGTGCGTCCACACTTTCTTAACGCCAGGCCGTTCTAGTGATGCCAATCCTTCATATGATATTCGAGATGTTCGAACCGAGTTATCGTGCCTGAACGGAGGGGGGAACGGGCCGAGTGAGACTGGAAGTGCCTCGAAGCCAGAGAGCACGAGCTGTCTCAAGTGAGACAAATGAACCTCGAGGAGCAGACCAGCAGACCAGAAGACCAGGAGACCAGCGGACCAACAGCCCAACAGCCCAACAGCCCAACAGCCCAACCTTGTGGCAACATATCTTTTTCATGGACCGGCGTAACTCAGACCAAGGTAATCTTTGCGCTCCCCTTCATAATTCATCAATTCCTGACCCCTTCGTTGTCTCAATAGTCGTCGTCCTCCACCTTCTTTTTCTTCCGGCCAGCGGCCTTCTTCTTCTTGCCATCCATTTCCATAGCATCGCCCTCGTTCTTCTCTGCTACATTCGGCGCGTCAGGGACCTTGGACACGATCTCAGAGAGGAAATCGAATTGTTCGTCATTGGTAACGGCCTGCTTAAGATGCATAGCGGCGACGCGTTTTGACGCGCGGGCCTTGGCTTCGGCGGCAGCTTTGGTCACCAGGGAGATCATGAACAGCTCGAGGGCTTTGGCTGGAGGAAGTCAGCACCAATAGAGTAGTAAAGGGCAAGCGAGGACACTTACAAACAACAACTGGAGTTACTTGTGCAACCTTGCCCACATCGTCGTCCGCCTGCATGATTCTCTTTATCCTCGCGACGGGAAACTTTGTCTTGACCTCAATATGCTCGGTTCCTGCTAGGACAGTGGCGCCCTCGCCTCCACCGGTTCCATTCCCCTCCTTCGCCCTCTTGCCTCTTGACTTTTCAGACGCGTCGGGAATGTAGTCCTCATCCAGCAGGGTCCCCTCCTTCTTCACGCCTCGAGGCATGAATGCAGGCTTCGTCTGGAGCGTCGGGCTCGACGTCGGCGGCGAATAGGGTGTGGCGTGGGAAATAGAGCCTCTGTAGCCCTGGTGCTGGGGGTGGATGGGCTCAGGGTCGGCGGAGTGGTAGGTTGATAGATCGGGGGATTGCGGTGCCCAGGTTGCGTCGGGGCTCTCCATTGGCTGCAGCTGTAATTAAGGTAGGCGGGTTGGCGGCTGGTTGTGCTCGTGTCGCAGAGAGCGGTTATTGGGCTTCTAAGCGACCGCCGACGACAGTGAAGGGAGTCCACAAAAAGCTTGGGCGGGCGCTGATCGGGCTAGCGTGGGTTATCGAAAGGACCGCCGATGGGGGGGGCCACAGAAATCTGAAGGCGGTGAGGTGGTGTGCGTCGGAGCTGGGTCGAATTCGAGGGGGCGCATGGCACAATTTATCAATGCGGGTCGCCTGTCTCTCAGCGCCAGGGGCAAAGGCCCCCGCCAAGCCACCAGCCGCACCTCAAAACATCCCGCTGCACTCGACAATCCACCCTCTCTCTCTGCGCCGCTATCAGTCACTGCGTTCCCTCCCCTCTCGGAGGCCCGCCGTGATGGTGCGCTGCAGCGTTGGGTGATGATAGAGCTGACCCGGAGAGCGCGCGGTGTTGAGCAGCATCATCGCGCCGCCTGCTCAGGACACTGTGGCCTGTCATTCCATGACGAAGCCCGCCCGCCTGGACAGGCCGGTTGTGGTTCCATCATTGGCATCGACGCAGTGAGGCTGAACAGGCGTCGCTGAGGGTGAATTACTTGATCTAATCTGACAACGCTGCCTGCGCTACCCAATCCTCTGCCTCTGCTCGGGGCTAAATGCAGCTTTCCAACCTTTCCTGCGCCGCCCTGCAAGGCTGCAATGCCTATCTTACAGCAGCCTGATATATCAGGTCTCTTTCACCATACTCCCATCGGCCTTCCTACCCTCTCCCCTATTTCCTTCCATCGCATACGTCTCCGCGAGGCCGACCTTGGGGTCCTCGTCTGGGAGGCCGCGCGTCCGTCTGACGGCGAGGACCGCCGCTCTGATCCGCATGGTGCACTCCTTCCGGATCTTGACAGCTTCGTCTGAGTACCTAAGCGCATCGTTCAGCACGCCGACTTCTAGGCTTCCCCGCGCTTCCGCCTTTGCGCGCATCCGTTTCCACCTGGCGCGCAAATCGCCAAACACCTTCTCACTGTCTAGCTTCTCGCCAAACGTTATGCTGACGTTCTTAAACGGCCGGGGTATAAATCGCGGGAACGTGCGCGTCTCGTGCATGATCTCTTCTGGCCCCTCGATCCACATGGGAACGATATCGGGGCACGGATCACTCTCCAAGATTAGCCTAGAAACACCCCACTTGAAATAGCGCATTGTCCTGTCTTCTTTCTGGTGCACCTTGCCTTCAGGAAATATGTGTATCCAGCTATGACGACGATTGAGGTAGGCCGCTGGCGCAGGAAACGTGTCGCGACCGTTGGTCGAGTAGGTGAGTTGACCGGAGCTGAATGGGTCGGAGCAGTCAGGGCGAGGGTTGTCCAGCCTCGCTGGACGATCGTTCGGGTGAACGAAGGGGCCGCGTGAGAGGAGGCGAATGGCTTGAGTGATGGTGGGTTGGAACAGGCCACCGAACTCGGAATGGGCGCTGCGATGCGTGGGGAGGACCTGGCCAAGAGAAAAGAAGGTTGAGAGTGCTCTATAACCAGTCAGGCTAGAGCATCGCGCAAAAAACACGCAGCTGTACCTGTTCTGAAAACACAGATCGTAGCTTCCCAAGCCCCAGCGCATGTTGTCCGGATTGCCCAAATATCGCAGGGGAAGCACGCCCCAAACCAGAGGATCATCCATCCTGCAATTGCAGTGCGTCAAGGCAGATATTCAATGTCAACGAGGCAGGAGACAAACATACACAGACACATGATTCGAGACTATATGAGTATGTTAGATAGGTATTATGCATATTCAATCACACTTGCCTGTAATCAATCCTCGGCGCCTTCCCTCAACATTTTCCCGTTCATCGAGAAGCTCGAGGAATTCGCGCATGCCGTAGACTTCGGTGTTGCTCAATCCGAACAAGAACCCGCGACATAAGACGCCGACAGCGCCCATGGTAAAGATCGACGCCGCCCTCCATTGTCGGCTTGGAGTGGGCGGCTGCTCGTCGGGTCGCATTGAGAGGTGTGTGTAGGACGGAAGGAACGAACTGAGCAAGGCGAAAACGTCACTGCAGGCTCTGAGGAAGCTTGCGCCACGCACCAGCCACTTTCGGCGGGCCTGCATAGATCCCCGTCGAATCTCCGACCATACTTCACTACGACTTCCTCGCGCTTGGAGAATGTGGTTGCCGCAGTTGGAAACAAGCGGTCGCTCTTTCTAACCTGTCCACCATTCCTTCCTAGCTCTCAACCACCATGTCGCACAGCAAGCGCAACACCTCTCTAGCATGTAAGGCTTCCGCTGCGCTCTCTGAATCACCATGTCTGATGAGAGCCCAGTTTTTACCTCCTACGAGCGCGCCTCGCTCAAGAACTCATGGGGCACTCAATCCACCCGCCTCACCCGAGACTCCTTTCTCCCTTTTGGCTCCTGCCAACTATGTCTCCTCCCTGCCGATGACCCCGTCTGCTGTCCTTCCGGTGACCTCTTCTGCCGAGAATGCGCCATGACCAATCTCCTCGCGCAACGGAAGGAAATCAAACGGCTAGAAAAGTTGGAAGAACGGAGGAAAGAGGATGAGGAAGACCAAAATGCACGGGAAGATGACGAGGCGAGACAGCGGGCCGTGGAAGAGTTTGAGGCTGTCCAGATGGGATTGGAAGCAAAGATTGGCGCCGGAGGCAAGCTTGTTGGGCGAGGAGGAGGGAAAGTGGTTGTGGAGAGTGAGTATGAGACTAGGCCGGGCGATAGTGAAGGCAAGAAGCGGAAATTTGAGATCGATGAGGAGGAGCTCATGCGGATCGCGAACGAGGAGCGGAGCCGGGCGAAACTAGCGCTAACTGAAGAGAAGAAGGCGGCGAAGGGGCATCTTCCGAGCTTCTGGGTGCCGAGCGAGACTCCGGACTCGAACTACAAAGTTGCAGAAACTGCGAAGCGGAACCCGACGTGTCCGTCAAGCGACCCGGAGAAACCACATGCGCTATCTCTCAAGGCTCTTACGGGTGTCAATTTCACGGAAGAGAAATCCACGGAAACGGGGAAACAAGTGCGGACATGTCCGAGCTGTCGAAAAGCTCTTTCGAACGCAACCAAAGCCATGGTTGCGATACCCTGCGGACACGTCCTCTGCAAGCCTTGTGTAGAGAAATTCATGAAGCCAGAGCATCGGCATCACCGAGACGCACATGATAACGCTCCCGAACCGGACACAGTCCATTGCTATGTCTGCGACGTTAATCTCACTATAATGCCTGGGAAGAAGGAGAAGGAAAGCAAGAAGCACAAAAAAGACAAGGAAAGGGGTCCAAAGCCCGGCCTCGTCGAGATTCGAAGCGAAGGTACAGGATTTGCGGGCGGAGGCAAGAATATGGTGAAGAAGGAGGGTGTGGCATTCCAAGTTTGACAAGGCTTGATCCGAAATGTATATGTCTGTTTCTAAGGCCTTGCCCTAGTTGGCTCAAACAAAGATACCCAATAAGAAACATATTCATCGCATGCTAGAATCATTGATAATGATCACCAGCGCTCACAATATTCCACGTCTCCGACAGGCCTTATCCACGGAACAAAAACTTCCCCTCTCATTCCCCAGCTACTTTACCGACATTGCTAGCAAAGCCCGTCCTGCCAAAAATATGGAATTTGAAGTGAGAATATTGCATAAACTTGTCACCTTCATTCCTTTTAAATTTGTGAGAAGCAACGCTGGTAGAGAAAACTTGTCGCAAACTCTCACCCAACTTTTTATCCCTATCTCCTCTATTCATCTTTCACAAGCATGTCTGTCCCCACTTTAGAATGTGGCTAATACCTGATAAGCCCCGGATATCTAGACATAAAAACTCCTCGCTTTGATCACTTTCTCTACTTCACTCCTTACCTGTCACTTTTCCTTAATAATAAAAAACCGGGTACCAAACTGGATGGAGCCAGAACTCGCGTCTTGAAAAGTCTTACAAATTGAAATTTATTTCCAATATCCCTACTCAATACCCCACTGTCTTAACTAAAATAGGCTGCAGCAATCACTTCATAAAATCCGAATCCTGGATCTCCCCTATTAAAAGCTGTACCACTTCATGGCCATAGTCTAGCAGAGAAGATGTACTCTGTTACTACTAGTATGAGCCCTGTCTTAAGAGGGTGGAATTATGATTGTGGGCATTTCCATTAAGCTTCAATTGTAAGGACGGGACACTGTACTACTCCACCAATACAACCAAAAAGGTGCGAATAATCAACGAACAGTTGATTCTGCGTACAAAACAATATATATACCCGACGTGCGTAAGGGCCATCTCGGCCTAACATCAATACTAACTACTGCGGCTTTATCTCCTCATCACTTAAAGATCGGGGTAGAAAAGATAATTCAAAGCCGAACGAACGAAATGTTGTCTTAGTGGCCAGGAGATAGTATTATGGTTCCTCGCGAAATCGGCTTCCGTCTAAGCGCAGCAGAAAACTTTATTCTAGCCACGTTTGGAGTGTGAAATTGCACTACCGCGCGTTAGTTGTGTCTTTAAGTTTGTTGTAGTTTACATTTCATTCGTTAATGTGCAGCTACAAAGACTATATATCGCGCTTACGCAGCCTGTTCAACAGCGTTCTCCACAGGCTCCATCACTTATCCATCCTATATCTCTGCTGTTTCCTGCTGAACAAGGCCAACTTGCACCTTAGGGGTAGGGAGAGTCTTTGTTAACTAGCGAGGCAATGCTGGCAACTAGATCTCTAGGTTCGGAGCGATGGTAAAGAGCCTAGCTGCTACTTTTTAAAACACTAGCGCTTTCTGTCGTCTGATAGCCAGCTCCTGCATCTTGTTCTGGAGTCTAATGACTGTGGGTTCTAAGTTGTTAGGTGCGAGTACTGCAAGATCATTCTCATCGCCGCTCTCTAACTTGCACTGCTTTAACGTTTTCTTTGTATCCGCGAACAGCGCTAAAACTTAATGTGAGGCGTTCTTCACTGTCTGCAAGTTAGAAGAGGTTGCGTCCAGCCTGCCTATTTTCAGATCCTTGTGTATGTTTACAATCTGTCCCTAGCGCGCTAGGTGGAGTCCAGAGTAGTTGAGGCCTATCAGCTCTGTCTAGTAGTCTTATCTGAAGTGACGGCCATGTTGCATATAGCCAAAGCAGGCAACACAGGCGGTAAGAACGGCAGCGATGCTGATAGTGCTAGAAGCGATCCCGAACGGCTCGGCCATCTCGTTGTAATGAGGGCGCAGTGTGGAGAAATGATTAGTTGTGACCTAACTGATTGCCCCAGTAAGCTAAGCCCGTCTCACATGGTCTGAGCTCAACAGGGCCTCAGCCCACCTGGGCGAACTTCAAGTCCTAAGAAAGTCTAATTCCACGACTCTCCCCTGCTCGCAGTGCCACGCTACGAGCCGATGTCCTTCCTTCAAGTAATCAGCTCTGAGATGAACAATGACCACTGGACACATATACAATGGTGTCTACATTGATGGAAGCGCCAAAGCTCAACTCGGAGATACATACTATGTCGGTCAGTACGCTAGGTAAAGATGACGGAAGAAGTGGGACGCTAAGGTAACATCTAGGACTAGACAATCTTCTTAGTAGTCTTCAGTACGCCAAAGACGCAGCGTTCAACTCATACTTAAAGCAACACGAGCCCACTTGCCTCTCTAATACCCGTGTAAACCTCCTCCGCGAGATATACAACTGGGCTGACGGACAAGATGAACGTTACATCTTCTGGCTGAACGGCTTAGCAGGCACGGGAAAGTCGACAATTGCGCGCACCGTTGCTGACAGATTTGACAAACAAAAGCATCTTGGGGCTAGCTTCTTCTTCTCACGAGGCGGTGGAGATGTCGGCCGAGCAGAAAAGTTTGTCACAAGCATCGCTGTCCAGCTTGCCGAAAAAGTGCCAAGTTTATGCCAACACATCTGCGACGCCATTAAAGAGCATGGAAACATTGCCAGTCAATCTCTCCGCTACCAATGGGATCATCTTGTCCTTGGCCCACTATCGAAGCTAGACAGCAACGGCAGACTATACGTCCTGGTGGTCGATGCGCTTGACGAATGTGACGACGACAACAACATCCAGATCATTGTAAAGCTCTTGACTGAGACTAGATCGTTGAAGTCAGTCCAACTACGCGTGTTTCTAACGAGCAGGCTAGAGATTCCAATTCGATCTGCGTTCCATCAAGTCCCAGACGCAGAGCACCGGGACCTTGTACTCCACAACATATCGCCGTCAATTATTGACCAGGATATCTACACCTTCCTAGAATATAATCTTGGACATATTGGGCAGGAACGCAACTTAGGTCCTAGTTGGCCTGGCAAAGACATCGTTGAGTGTTTAGTTCACAATGCAAGCGGTCTGTTTATCTGGGCCGCAACCGCCTGTCGGTTTATTCGCGAAGGGAAGCGGTTTGCAGTTGAAAGACTTGATACGTTGATTCACAGCAGCAGCAACGCTTCCACAGGCCCAGAGAAGCATCTAAATGTCATATATATTACCGTTCTCAAGCAGTCGATACACTCCAGCTTCACGGATAAAGAGAGAGAATACCACTATAGAACGCTAAAGCGTACTCTTGGAAGTGTAGTGGTCTTGTTCGCCCCTCTCTCTGTTAGCTCTCTAAGTAGACTTCTACGTACTCGAGAATTGGACGTCAACCAGACGCTAGAGGATTTGCGTGCTATTCTTGATATTCCAGAGGACCAAAGCCGCCCGCTTCGCCTGCATCACCCTTCCTTCCGGGACTTCCTCCTCAACAAGGAGAGGTGCGGCGATCCCAACTTCTTGGTGGAGGGGACGCAGGCCCACCAGACACTAGCCGATGACTGTGTCCAACTCCTGTCAACCTCTCTCAAGCAAGACATATGTGGCGTTGGTGCTCCAGGTGCGCCTGTAGATGACGTAGAAAGGGATCGAGTGGATCAATGTCTTCCCGCAGAGGTCCAGTACGCATGTCTCTATTGGATACAGCATCTGCAGAAGGGCAGCACTCAACTTAACGACAACAACAACAAAGTACACCGTTTCCTGCAGCAGCATTTCCTCCACTGGCTTGAGGCACTCGCGTGGATGAGGAAGGTTCCTGAGGGAGTCTATGCGATTAATTGTCTGGAGTCTATGACAGCGGTGAGTTACACTACGGAGCGTACAAAACCTAGCTAACAAACAGCTTAGTTGCATACATGCCCCCAGCTCTCTAGATTTATTCATGAAATAAAGCGGTTTACCCTGTACAACCGGTCAGTAATTGAGCAAGCACCACTTCAAACGTATTGCAGTGCGCTTGTTTTTGCACCAGAGACAAGCATAGTAAAAAAGCATTTTATAGAGTGCGCGTCTCGATGGGTGCGAATATTGCCAAAGGTAGATCAAAGTTGGAATGCGCTGCTGCAGACGCTTGAGGGTCATACGGGTTCGGTCTGGGCCATAGCCTTCTCACCAGACGGCAAGCAGCTGGCATCGGCTTCAGGGGACACGATGGTCAAGCTGTGGGATGCCGGGTCAGGCGCGCTGCTGCAGACGCTTGAGGGTCATACGGGTTTTGTCGGGGCCATAGCCTTCTCACCAGACGGCAAGCAGCTGGCATCGGCTTCAGGGGACACGATGGTCAAGCTGTGGGATGCCGGGTCAGGCGCGCTGCTGCAGACGCTCAAGGTTGGCGCTTCCATCAGGACTCTTTCTTTCTCCGATGACGTCACTTCTCTCCAGACTAACATAGGATCATTGCCCATCTTAAGATCTTCCATACGCGGTACAGCCATTGGCCATGTGCAGCCTTCATCTTCTATCTTGGTGGAGGATCAATGGGTTACTCTCCATCGTGAGCGGATTCTTCGGCTTCCTATTGAGTACCAGTCAAGTACCTCTGCTGTTCAAGGGAGTACTATTGGCCTTGGGTCTATGTCTGGAAGAGTCACAATCATAGGATTTGCTTCCTGAAATTTCTTGGTTTCTTTATCCTCCGCCCCACCCACCTCCATTGCAGATCAACTTTCTTTTATATTCCATAGAGAGCATGAATGGCGACAGCTAGTACGTAATCGTTCATAATAAAGGTAAAAGCTTTGAAATCAAACTGCGCCTCTGTGTGCACTGGCAACTCATGTGATAAACGCAATTTTTCGTGCTGACGTTGATATGTACCATCTCAGTGGGACCACTTCAAGGATGCTGTGGCGGGTTGTGATGATTCCGTATTATATTATACAGTACAGTAATAACTAACGTAATATTTGAAGTTCAACAGTGTTCCAGAATGTTCGATCAGTCTAAGCAATTTGGGACTAGTGATATTTGCAACTGTCCTGGCAGCAAGGTTGAAATAACGTTTTCGGCTGCGCTGAGTCGGAAGCCGATTTCGCTCATAACTATAATCCTTTCATTAGACTCGAGCTCCACAGAGAAACGTTAGTATCTTCTCTACTGGTTTGATGCCGAGCATTCGAGTGTATTACATTTCTTTGGCGATCTGAAGACATGAACAATATCTTCCAGTATTTCAAATTTGCGAGACATGAAGATTAACATTAATCCACACCACTAGGTTCCACATCCATTCTGTGATGCGGTATTTGAGCAACGCACCGAAGCCCATATGCACGCCGCCTCGGTTTTTCCAGCCGAAGGAGACATCCGATGGACATAGAGATGTTTTATGTCGAAGATCGACGAATAGCTTTGGTTCTTCTTCCTGCCGAAGGACCCACGAGGCCACTGAAAGGAATTTTTCTTCCAGTCTGTCGAGGAATAGCTCCGGATCTCCCCTCTGAGTTTAATGGAAGCATGATGACATTAAGTAAAGGCTTTCTATCGGCGTGCTAGGTGTACTTGTCTTTGCCTCCAGGTTTCTCTAGCAAAGACACATCATGAACAATTCTCCTTAATGAGACTCCCCCGGAACTCGCTAGGTTTGGCTCGAAGTTGATTGAGGGTCGTAAAGCGGTGCTGAATCTTTCTATTCCCCAGGAGTCTAATCAGCTGTGTTTTTGTGTCTGGATCTCTGGAGACATGAGCGGAAAGTGCTAGTTTTTATTCTCTGGAGTGATAACCAGGCCGGCTAACATGTTTGAGTCCAGCACAAGACAGTACATGACAATTTGGACTCGTCTTTGTGTTCAAGTCGGGGTTTGGGGGCAAGTTGTTGGCCCGGGTACATCCTCTTTCATGAGAGAACTTTGTTCTAACACGCCGAGGAATTTAGACTGCAGGTTCTGAAGTCTAACGCATAGGAGCAGTATGCGTTTATGAATTTCCATGCGTTTTCTTTCTTTTTTTTGGCCACTCTAGTAAAAGTTCATCGCCCGACATGGCCATGATCTTTCATACCTCAATGAGTTAGAGAAGCTTAGCTCTCAGGTCATTGTCATCTGGCAGTTCATTTTGGTTGCTCAGTGTACCATACCATGGAACTGACGCGACTACCATTTGTTTTTTAGATTGTTGATTCAAAGATAACTACAGGCCTGGCCTTGGCTCTCTTTATTTGGGCATTTTTTTTGCAAGCCGACAGTATTGAAATATTTAGACCCCAGGTGGAATCTTGCCTGGAATGTTATTATTGGGAAAAGTCCGACATCTCTTTCTGAGAGGTCGCTGTCGATAGCTAGAATTCTAGTAGAGCGATTAGGAACTAGACGCGCTTAAATGGGGCGGCTTGGTCGGGTTTCAAAGTCATATACATGCTGGAAGCTTTATTTCAGGTTTCCAATGATGTTGAAAGGACCCCAAAAGGGATAAAAAATAACAAAGTCCGTTGGAAGGACGCCGAGCCAAACTCATGGGAACTCCTTCCTAGACATTTCGATTCCAGGTTAGGAGACAAGAAACTGGAAGTTCAGCTATGTCGCAGGTCTCCCCAATTTTTTTTGTAAGAGAATGGCCCATTTCCATCGATGCTTGATACAGCTTTTAATCATTCAGCATCTTCGGATATGCCAAGGACGGAGCAAATGTTAGACCAGTCACCATTTTTTGGAGGAACCCTAATCAAGTACCATGAGTGGTGTAGCTCCCTGTTTTCTTGGAGGAAACTCGATCTTGCATCATATATAGTGCAGGCGCGGATTTCGATGTGAATTCCAGAAAGAGGAAGAGAGGGTGCGGTCCATGGAATTTAAAGACAATTTCTGTTTGAGTCCCGGTTCTGGTCTCAGACTATAGTTAAAATTGGGTCTGGCTTTGCCTTGAATGTGCCATTGGCTAGAGCCTCGGGGATGTATGTCGCCCAGACGGCTTCGCTAATATATGCCAACAAAAGAACGATGAGTGTAGCTCTAGTAGTAAAGCATGGGGAAGGGGCGGTTGAAGGGGGCACAGGGATACGAGTGAGACGAGAATAAATTACAGACACTTGCACTTATCTGCCAGAGCCATATTTGGCGCAAAGACAGATGTACCTTGAACTCCATCAGGAAGACCTGTGACCTCGGGCATCACAAATGCATATCGACCCCCAAGCTTCTGATAAACTAGAGCCCAGTATCGTACAGCGTCGGGCGTGCCGACGCAGTCGCAAACACCGAGGAACTCCGTCCCTCTCAGTGCGGAGATGATGTCATCAGCTACAGCAGAGGACTTGTATTCAAATACATGCTTCGCCCCAAGCTCCTTTACCTTGTCTATATTATGTATTGAGGCAATCGAGATGAATGTCCCGCTTGCGCCAGCAGCGAGTTGGATGGCGGATGCACCGACCGAGCTTGAGCTGCCCCATACTAGCACAGATTTGTTTGACGGTTTGGCGGATGTGCTCGGAAATGGGAAAGCGAGTGCTGGTCTTTCTTGAAGAGACAGGCTGCGGCAGTGGAAATTAAACGTGGGAGCACAGCAGCAGATGCTTATGAAAATGAAGAAGACATCTTGGAGATGGCAAGGCCGTTGCATGCGGAGTAGAGAGTGAAGCCTCCATCTCTTGGCTGCGTCCATTTTGTTAGTCTAGTGGAGCTTCGGAGGATAAAGTAGGAGAGAGCCGAGGGAAGGGCTCACCCAATGACCCTCTCACCCTTCGCCTGCAAAATCAGTGCCCAGCACATTCGGGTACACTTGAAAGAATATACCTATCCCAATCAGCATTCAGTTCCTCAAACTGAGTCGGACAGGCAGGCAAAATACCATATTCTCGAATTTTCCCTGTGTTGTATCAATAAATGTGATTCGCAAAGCGAAGGATGTTGAGCTTTACAATCTACCGGGTTGGTAGCTACAGCATGATTCTTGATGACTACCCTGGCCCAGCTTTGAGCACCGGAGGCTCATCAATCTTGAAAGGGTGCGCCTTTGGAGCCGTGATCCAGGCTTCTTTACTGCTCATGGTGACGAGCTCAGATGTTTCCCCTTTGGGAAAGTGGGAAAAGAAAGCTTCCGGACCACGCAAGGACAAAGTCGAGAGAGCGCCGAAACTTAAAAACAAAATATGACGTCCGGTGAGGGAGGGGTAAAGCATTAGGTGCTGCTGAGTAAACCTCATTGGATATACAATAGTGATGACATTATTGATGTGATAGTCCGGAGTTTAATATGCGAGGAATGGTTCAGGCTCTAAGCGCATTTAGGGGCTCGATCAGAGTAGTCGACAAGATGTAGTACATTTCGGTTGGCACTCTGATACCTCACTATTTCCCACCTTGTTAGTACTTTTGTACTGTTGGGAGGAGGGTAGGAGGTACTACGCTCCGTAACCGTAGTAGTTTAATTCACCCAAACTTCTCAACTTTTGACCAATCGCTACGATGTAGTGTTTGGAGTACTAGCAAAGGAGACCCTCCCAATGTGATTCGTGAGCTTATTCAGCCCACCCTTGACAGCTTGACGACGGAGTCAAACTCCTAGAGTTAAAGCACCTTGATTATTGCCCCTGTAAGCAGGTTCCTATTAAAAATAACAGTCCTTCTGTCCTACTAAAAGCTGCGCTCGCACTCGCAGCTGACACTAGGGATCGAGAAGAAACTAAGGGAGGGAGTTTGAAATGCTCATAGTGGTGGGTTTCAAGAGAAATGGGAAGGGTGATGACTTAGTGAGACGGTACTCGTTTTTGCATACTACCATCATAGGAGGCAATACAGAAATCTCTGCTTGCTGCACTACTGAAACACGTCCAACAGTAATACAGAAACCCACCTAACACGTACGAGGCAGGCTCCAGCCAATAGGCAATTGTTACTCCAAAGGAGTCTATATCAAATGTATTACGGGATAACTTCTCAGTCTCACTAACCGGGGGTAGTGACTCACAAAGTTACTACTTTTGTACGGCTTACTTGGCTGTAACATAGTGAAACGTACCATTCGGAGTCCGTCCTGTTGACCAACTTGGGCTCGATCCACGGTTCTCAAGTGACATACTCGTTCAAAAGGATTTCCCATACACCAATAAAAGAAGTCAAGATTTAGCAATCGGCGAATAAATTCAGGTAAGACCTAATTTGGACAATGATGATGGAAGCTTGGGTGGGGAACGTGGGTATCGCTACCTTATGCTAGTATATACACCTAGAATAGACGCGAGTGAAGACAAATTAACGCCTGATAATATGCAAAAAAGAACCAAATATTCCAAGAGGGCAAGGGTTTCAAAATGACTAAGAGGCGAAACTTGATTATAAATGAGAAACCCTTCATGATGAAGAAATGAGTCTCCGATACTCCGAAGATTTAGATCCAATCAGGGCAATTGGGAGGAGAAGCAACTCCAGAGAGTGAAAATAAACGGCTACTTCCAACGAACTCCATCTGCAATTGCTCGGCCTTTACGGTTGTTGTTCCATGTAGCCGACATACGCCCACCCTGGCAAGGTGTGAATTCGTGAGCACAATCGGTGTAGTCCATCTTTGATTATTAGCATTTCTTTCATCAGCTGTTGCTCAAGGTTCTTCTTACGAAGTTGTTAACGTTGTCAGAAAAATCAGCACTGCATGAGTGGCCGGCAGGGCAGCTGTTGAGGTCTCCTGGGGTTGCCATATGACCAGAAGATGGCCCTGCTTGTGGCGCAGTGTCATCGCAACCGTCACCCGCGGGATCACAACCTCCCTGGAAAACATGGAGAAGTCCGAACCAGTGGCCGACTAGAGCACGCGAATTGGTCAGCTTTTCAACACTGATCTCATATGCGAACACATACCTTCATGCGCCAAAGTTCCACTGTTAGGCGAAGTACACACGGACAGAGGGACGAAACACCCATCCCCATCTAGAGTCTTCTGGTCGATTGGGTTACCTGTGCTGTCAGGGAAGGAGCAGACACCTCCACCGGCACCTTCGACGCAATAGACATTCAAGGACTGGTAATCGCCTCGGTGAAGTTGCCTCATCTTTTCTTCCTTATCGACATCAATATCCCTAGCCCAGTCGGCATTGAGTGCATACGAAATCGGCTTCACTTGAAAATCGAAACCCCATTTGTTGTACTGGGCTTTGAGATAGTCCACTTGTTGCATGAGCCCAACGCCATCGACATAGCCATGATCGGCTGTAGGTCCAGATGCAAGGACATGCATCCAAAGGTCAATTGTGATGAGGTCTCGGGTTCTCAGGTCTTTTAGACTTCGTCGACTCTCAGCAGCCGTGATGTTTAATGGATCATGGTCGAAATCTTCGTTCAAGCATGGAACAACAGCGAGCGCAGTGATTGGAGCAATAGATCCAAGAAAAAAAGATGAAAGCTTCATTTCGAAACGAAGGGCAGTAAGACAAAGTTAATATTAGACAGTAGAAACCAGTGATGGGATTTCATATGCATTCAAGACGACAGATGAATAGAAAGCGAATATATACATATTCCGGAAATTAGAAGAGACTCACTTTCTGCTCGCCTAACCGGTGGCAGTGATGATTGGAATTGAGAGACAAGGCCTACAGAATTTTATTTCAAGGAGGGCTGGGCGGAAACATTGTAGCTAACAGGAAGGTGATTCCATAGAGCACGCAGGCTTGGGTGCTCGCCTGATAGGTTTCCGATGGCAGAAGGATCCAGGACCTTGAAATTGTTTCGTGAGCGGCTTACGTGAAGGAACGGAAACGGCATGAGGATTCGTGAAGTGCTCAATGAAGTAAAGGATCCTCCTCATCGAGAGAATACGATTCGAAGGTCTTCTGGCTCCTTTGTGATATGGACTACACCGATGATATTACATCAGTCTGAACGAAAAATAGGACGCGTAGAAAACACGCCCGAGATCGCTTTGAGTTCTATTTAGTCCGGCCAGTGCTCTTCGTCGATGGGCCATCGCCTTAAGCTTTAAGCATAATTGGTCTAGTGTGGCACAGCCCCAATCACCGACGGAGCGAGAATACGAGCCACTGGGAGGCGAAGTGACTTGAAACAAATGAGTGATCCATCGTCTCTCACGCAATGACCCTTCAACTATTTAGTATTGAAAGGAATAAAGGAAGCAGTGGTAAGATGCAGCATGCGCTTTTCCAACATCGAAAGAGAGGTCGAAGGGGTAGACACGCCACCCCAGTTTTAGACTAGCGCAGGACTGAAAAGGTATTGCGCCGCGATCCTCATAAATTCTGAAAAGCTCTTTGGTTCCTCCACTTGCCCTCCTCAACTTTGATCCAACTACTTCCACCGTGTTGCCGCAACGAACACCAAAAGAGGTGCTTGGCCCGTCGAACCGCACTGCTGGAATGAGGAGAACATCTTCCGGGCGTAGGTTTCTGTCTCCTCTCAGACATTGGCATGGACCTGATATGCAGTCATGTGCCAACAATACAATATTCAATTAATCACTCCATTGCTAATATTTCTGATGTAGCTTCTGGTAGGTGAGCGTGCCTCAGTTTTACTTATCCCCAATTCTCTGATGAAAATTATTCCACATTCGCAGTTTCCACGTGAGCCATCGACTCGAACTTACTCTTTCTTTGATGGCGCTGAACGTTAAACCTTCCTTGGATGTCTGAATCTCATTTCTCTCTGTTGCATCACCAGTTGGCTCTCGAGGGACAATCTTGGTTAACATTCTATTCCTAAAGACTTTTGGCTGCCATGCGTAAATTCTCGACCACCAACTGAAGACGAAGCGTTTCCGATCCACCCTTTCACACTTCATGGTAAGCAGCTACGTCAATTTGTGTGCTATGCAGTCGGTAAGTCATAAAAGGGAAGCCATTATAGGTAAGAGTGCCTCGTGGTAGACTACTCCGATCTGAAAGGCTGTTCACCTACACTATCCTAGAAGACCATCATGTGCTTGATAGGCTGCGACAAGAGTACCTCAAACTGCAAATACAGTATAGTGTGACAATTGGAGTCACCCACAGGTAGTGTGCCCTCGGTGCCGTACATCCCCCCAAATCAGTCGAACAAGGGGTGAAAAGGTTCTCGTTGCCCGGTCGTTTAAACATTGGAACGCTCTACCTACTATGAGCAGGTAACTCCATCTTGTGTATAACGCAACTATTCACTTGTCCCGCAGGTCTGATTTATACATGCTATGCTCACGCCCATTGTTCAACATGAGCTGAGGAACCGAAAGGAGGAACACAAGAGGATTCAATTGATTGCACCCGTTGCTGAAGTTTTGGAAAATAGTGGAGAGAATACGGACTTAAGACCCATAAATTGTGGCTGGTGCTATATGGCAGTATTTTATTTGACAATGTCGCTCACTAATACCCAGAAATGTGACACTTGTTCTTATTCACCGTAGACGAACACGTTTAAGTTGGTAAGTTGTCGGCTGTGAAACTGGAAAGGAACCAGGAAACAAGCTGCCAACCAAAACGAATTTGTATTCCGACATCCTTTACTTAGAATCGGTGTGGGTCTTGTGTGAAGACGTTACGGGGGAGTGGAGCATGAACGAACACATTCCTTGGCTAATGCCTACTTTCGGTGACGCCTCGCACTAAAAAATTCTCCGCGTCGCCTCATACCGACGATAACCTGCAGCTTGACGAGCTTAAAGGGCTAGACAGCCTTGGAAAGCTTACATCTGACATCCCGTAGGAAGAGCTCCCAACATTAGTTTCGCCCGCTCACGAGTCCCGTCTATGTTATATAGGGCCATGTTCGCATGTTCAAATTGTAGGAGCACTTCGCATTACGGCAAAACGGGGTCCTGAGGTCTGAAACGCGACTGGTTGGCTGTTAGGCAAGGGGTAGGTGCATGACGAGCCGCCGAAACGTCACCACCGCGAAGACCCTGCGTGCCTGTTACTCAGCCTCGATGCGCCAATCCTCATCTCCAACCACGCCCCTCGAACCCACCGCCACTGCGCTCCGCCGCAGTATTCATTTTGTGCCTCCTCAGCTGGTGTAAGCTCTACAGGACAGCTTTATCGACAACCGACAGCTCATCAACTCGTCACACGTTGGACCGAGGCGCATTGCTTTGCATCGGTCAGCTTACCTCAAATACGCCGCCTTGCGCATCCCAGGACCCACCGTCTTGACCGCAACCACGAGACCTATTTCGCAACTCATGCACCCGTCATAGCTTGAGGACCTTTTCTCATTCTTATAATCTGCGCAGCGACCATCATCTTAAACGAGCGACATGGTGAGACCGGTTTGCGAGGCTGCCTCGCAAGAAGAGGAGCGAAGTGAGTGAGGTGTGCTGCTGATAGCAAGCGGACACTAACAATGCATAGTTAAGGAAGATCCGATATGGAAATCGCTTACTTTTCATCACTTTGGACTTATTCTTTCTGCGACATTTGGTCTATTAGCTGTTGTCATTGCGCTCTTCCTAATCCTTCGTCATGCCACCCACTACCTCAAGCCTTGGGAACAGAAACAGTATGTCATCTCTCCATCTTAACAGTGGGGCTCAGAACTGACGGGAGAAGCATCATTCGAATTCTTTTCATGATACCCATTTATGCGACTGTCTCCTTCCTCTCCTACATTTACTATCGCCATGCAGTGTATTTCGAACTCATCCGAGACTGCTATGAAGCTTTTGCGATTGCAAGCTTCTTTACCTTGATGTGCCACTATGTTGCGCCAAATCTACACGAGCAGAAGGAATACTTCAGAACCATAGAACCAAAGAATTGGGTATGGCCGATGAACTGGATGCAAAAGTGCACAGGCGGGGAGATTAAAGGTGTCTTCCGCAGACCGTTGAGTGGCTTGACATGGTTCAATGTGTGTGCCCTGGACTCTCATGGTCTATACGAAACTGACCTTTCAGATTGTTTGGATAAGCATCTTCCAATATTGCTTCATACGCGTATTTTTCACCATCGTAGCAGTTGTCACCCAGGCCTTCGGTGTCTACTGCTCGTCTTCCATGGATCCCCGCTATTCACATATCTGGGTAATCGTTGCTGAAGGCCTCTCAGTCACCGTGGCCATGTATTGTTTGATTCAGTTTTACATACAGCTGAAAGGTGACCTGGCACCTTACCGACCATTCCTGAAGGTCCTCTGCATCAAGCTTGTCATTTTCTTCTGCTTTTGGCAGTCACTCGTAATTTCATTTCTCACAAGAGAAGGCGGTCCCTTAAAAACCAGTAAAAAAATCCAAGGCCCTGATCTGAGAATTGGCATTCCCTCGATGCTTGTTTGCGTTGAAATGGCAATATTTGCGGTTTTGCACTTGTTTGCATTTCCATGGAAGCCATACGATCTTGGCAGAAACCAGAACCCGCTTCATGCCTCTGGCGATGGCTTCTCCGGGGACATCCCCAAGCGATACGCCCATGGCCCGGCGCGGGCCCTGGCATCTGCCTTCAATCCTTGGGATATCATCAAAGCATGCGGCCGTGGTTTCCGCTGGCTATTCGTTGGTGTGCGACACCGCAAAGCCGATATTTCCTATCAGACAAAACTTGGATCAATTTCGTCGACTAGGTACCCCCAAGGACCGACTTTTGCCGGAAATGGGGAGCTTGCGACAGAGATTACAAAGCCGCGGAAGGGTTCAGCTGGCGCTGGTAAAAATGGGTTTGAAGACTCAGACACTGCTGGACTATTAAGTCACACGCAAGCTAATCCATACGCGGGACAGGACCCATATAGCGTATCACACGGCAGGCCAGCAGCAACATACAACCCGGACAGCCTTCCAGCAGCTCCCGCTCCTGGACAGGAATACGGTGTAACGAGACCAGAGCGGGGCAGACGGACCGAGCTCGAGCCTCAAGATAGGTCGTATCGCGGGGCAAGAGTCAGCCCAAGTCCACCACGGCTGCCACAATTGAATACCGAACGACCGATGACCGAGTGGGATATGTTTGCTGGCGCGAAACCGGGGCCGAGACCCCCGGGCGGCGGCCCACCTGGAATGATATGATCTACTTTTAAGGAGTGGGTTTAAGTGTTTTTTCTTCTTTCTTGTACTGGTAGCGGATTGGTCGCATTGGCTTTCACCTGGATGCATACTCAGGCGCGGTATAGCACCGACGTAAGTGGTCATGGCGATGACCTCTGGCGTCTAGTTTCCTCACGGTTCTATTGTTTTGAATTTGGTATGGGCAGCATCATTCTTCTTGGATACCCTATTCTTAGTCAGGGTTCTGGAAACCGACTTTGGAGATGTAATGATGAAACGGCGAATTAGGCAGTCTGGAAATATGTGGTATCAGAGGATCAAACCCTGTTATACAAAATTGCTTCTGGCATTCATGTGGCGCTCGGTTGTGGCGGCACCCTAGCCTGTGGCTGAAAACATGCGCCAAGGCCTCGTTCCGTAGAACGCGACTTTCTTTGAAGCTACAAACACTGCGCTGTAACCATCACTTTCACCACCCATTTCACCCATCCCAAGCTCTCCAATTCACCGCGCCGCTGCATGTCTAGACACACCGCGCGTTCTTGGACTTCCTATCGCTATTTCTGTGCTTAGACTAAGCACCTTCGTTCGACCTCATGACCGACTACAATAGGCTCACGGTTGCGAATCTGCGCCAGCTGCTAAAAGACCGCGGTATTCCTTCGACCGGCCTTACGCGAAAGGCCCAGATTATAGAGAAGCTGGAGGAGCAGGATCAAACGAATGACGCTGTTGAAGCACATGAGGAAGCCCCAGCGATTGCGCAGCCTGATCAGACGGAACCTGTTGAGGATGCGCAGGATGAAATGACTGAAGGTGGCTACACCGTCACTCAAAATAGCGCATATCATGTTGATGTTGATACAGAGCTAGAGAAAGCCGAACTACCTGCACCTGCCAGTGAGCCCGCGCCCGCGACTGAAGACCAAGAGCCTCCTACTGTAACCGACACCACTGCTGAAGAGCAAATTAAAGAGCAACATCCTGCGGTGCCTAGCGCGCCTGAGTTAAATGAAGAGCCTGTTTCGATATCACTTGCCCCCGAAGAGCAACCTACGCCTTCAGCTACACCCAAAGAGCAATCTGCGCCGGAAGCCGCTGAGCCTCTCCCGGGGCCAGCCCCCTCACCCAGAGAGGGACGGCAGGCTCCGGATACAGACACGCCCGTGGTATCTTCCACTCCGCCTCCAGATCCCAATGAGAAGCCATCGGTTGAGAAACCAGAGCTACCAGTCATTGTGGAAAGGTCAGAATTGCCCTCGGTCGAGCAATCGCGTCTAAACTCCGAAGAATTGGAGGCCGATACTAGGAAGCGCAAGAGGAGGAGTCTATCTCCGGATATCCCTACACAGGACATTAAGGCAAAAAAACCTCGACCTAGTCGTGATGCCGTGGTAGATGTGCACCTGAAAGAGGACGAAGATACCGTCATGGATCAGCGACCTCCAGTCGAAGTTGAGGAGAAGGCTGTGGAAGAGAAAAAGGGTGGTGGTGCCAATGGAGTCGGCGACACCGAATCTCCAAAAGCAGAGCCCGTCCAAGCATCGCCTCGTCCCCTCGACTCACGCGAGGAGGCACCTCAAGAAATATCCCTCCCTGTGGTATCCCCAGCTCTCCACGCCGCAACCCCAGCACTCTACATTCGCAACCTCATGCGCCCACTCAAACCCGACCTCTTCCGCGCATCCCTCATTTCCCTCGCAACCCCTGGTTCCACAACCCCCGACCCCTCAATTCTCAAAACCCTCTTCCTCGACACCATACGCACTCACGCCTTCGCCCTCTTCACCTCCATCAACGCCGCATCCCGCGCCCGTGCCTCTCTGCACAACCAAAAATGGCCTCCGAATGAACGCAACCGACAGGATCTCTGGGTTGACTTCGTGCCCGAAGACGAAGTCACATCGTGGATAAAAACAGAAGAAGACACCATAGCCACCGAGAAAGCCGCACGCATCGCCGGTCGCGGAATCTCCGCGAAGAAATTCGAAGTCTATTACCAACCTTCGTCATCTGGTACCATTGCCGTCTTTCAAGAAGTCGGCCTCGGGATCCCGGGCGCGCCGAGAGGGCCAAAAATTGATCCACTGACTATTACCAACACGGGTATGGGCCGTGAGCCGTTGGTGGATACCAACCGACGGCCTTCACAAACTCACGCCCACGCCCTAGAACTGCTTCCAGCTCAAGATTCAACTCTGAAAGACTCCACAGACAAACCCTTCCAAACCCTAGACTCCCTCTTCCACTCCACAACTACTAAGCCCAAACTCTACTACCTCCCCGTCTCAGAAACTGTAGCGCGGAAGCGACAGGATGAACTCGATGCCGAAACGAGTCGGGACTGGCGACCAGATGATGTTGTGAGGGGACGTGGGAGGGGTGTGTTGGATCAGAAGTTTAGGTATTCGTTTGATGGGGAGAGACTGGTGGAGGTCGGGCCGGATGACAGAGGGCCTTGGAGTGAGGGGTTTGTGAGGGGGAGGGGAGGATGGAGGGGTGGTGGTGGTGGGGCTTGGAGGGGAGGGGGAGATGGGTATAGGGGGGAGGGGTATAGGGGTGGTGGAGGTTTTAGGGGGGGGAGGGGTTGGAGGGGGTAGGTGGTGCTGGCCGCCCAAGTGGGTTTGGGTTGAGCTGGCGTGGAGTCTTGTAGTATTTGTTGGACTTTTCCGGGTGGCGGGTCTTTTTTTTTGGAAATGGGCCGGTTTATCATCCAGTGGATTCAGAGAGACTCACTCGGGCTTTGTGTGTATGGATACCACGCCTTGGAGTTCTCGGCCACTATCTGGAAATCGGTACGCTCTCAATGTTAACTCTGGCGCTCTGGGTGGGAATCTAATTGGGTTGGTCTATCTAGCTTGTGTACTGCCGCGAATCTGACTTCTTTTGGCCGAGTGTTGGCTCTGCAGTCGTTTCCTCCCGAAAGGACGAGAATCTTAAAATGTACTGCTTCTAAGTGGGATTGCATTCATACAGAGTCATGTGAAGGTGTTGTATAGTATATTTCTTTGATATCAACGCTATAAAACTTCAGGGTCTGTTTGTTTGTATCGGCCAGCCCACACCATCCGTCATACCGGTTGGATCTCTTCCCAACCAGCCAGAAACGCCACGCCATGCTATGCTATGCTATGAGACGTCCTCGGTCCTTTGATGCATACACGTACATACACCCATACCCAACTTAACATAAGCCATCGTCAAAAAGCGGAGTTCCCATAGTATACAACTACAGCACTTCCCCCACACCTCAAACTCCCTCCTCGTTCTTACTCTCCGTCCCCCACATTTCCCCCTCCCTCTTCCGCCTAACCGCGCTTTTCAACGCCCTTAACCTCTCCTCCGTAACCCTAATCGCCTCATCAATCTGTCTCTCCTTCATCCCCTGACTCTGCCTCCCCAACCTCTCTTGCATATCATGCCCACTCTGGACTTTCCCCCACGACTCACCCGTTCGAGAGGAAGCGCCTGCAACGCCATGCACACGATCCATAGCAACCCTTTCCTCGAGCCAACTCCACAATTCGTTTTCCTCGGTCCGCCAGATTTCCTCGTACGCAGCAATGCGTTGGGCGGGCGTAATATTAATCTGTCCATGAGAGATCCGCGGGGCACTTCCCCGGAAAAAGAACGACCAAACCAGTAATACAACCAAAAATCCCACAACCACATTCACACTCACCACACTCTCCAGAATATCTGCTACGGGGCCAAGGAGCGTCCGAACTGGTTCGAACAAGCCCCAATTACTCCCTTTGGCTGCAGCGGCAGTTTCAGGAGTGGTGCCTGTTGGAGGAGTGATAGCGGATTCGTCCGAGATGCCGGGTGTACCTTTTGCACGCCGCTTTCCGGGCTTGCCGGGTTTGCCGGGTGCTTTGAGGAGTTTCGCGGAGACAGCGGAGCGCAGGGCTGAGGCTAGGGAGGTTGCGTAGGTGAGCTGGCCATCGTTGGCGCCTTTTTCTATGGGGCCTGAGGGCATCGTTAGGGTGGGCAGCTTTTCCTTGGGGGGGAAGGATTGTACCTTTTAACCAACTCTTCCCACTCCACTCGACCACAAACGTCATAATTAACCTTGTGCTATTCCCAGGCCCCCACATAAGACAGTACCTCGTCTTTGTGAGAAAGATATTTCCACTTGGCACATCTGGCGTACCGGTCGAACATAATACTGTCACGGCTTTGTCGAGATCGAATTGCTCGAGTGTCGCCGAAATGTTGCATTTTGTTTGTTTGGGGCCAATGGCCCCCCCGAGAGGCTTGATGTATGAGTAGGTGATGGTTTTGCGGTCTTCACCAAGGCCCTTTTTATCGTCTTCCATTTGCAAATCGCTTGATTTCTGATCCTCCACCAGCCACTTTCGCATAAAAACGCCTGAGGCGGGGCCCCACATCATGCTATATATTTTACCCAGGGGTGCAGGAATCGTAGTATCGATGAGGAGCTTATCATAATGTAACTCCGAGTCACCACACTCCGTAGGCCCGTGTGTTGTCGCGCCCGGGAAATCTTGCGCCGTCGAACTGCCATTTACAACTGCTTCAGCAACGTCACTGAGCTTACTAGGGCCACCGCCAACAGCTTGCGCGACGACTGCGGATGCTTTCCTGCCCTCGACTTTCACGGAGTCGTTTTCGCTACCTTCGACACTGCCATCTGCCATTTCGGTGAAGCTTCCTAGTCCCTCTTCTTCTTCAGCGTCTTCGTCGTAAACTTCATCGTCGGAATCCTGGATAGAGCCATCTTCACTTCCAATGGATTCGGCCTTCTCGGTTTTGTCGCCGGTTCCGGATCCATCCAGTGCCACGCCATTGAGAGATGATTTGAGGTTTGGATGTGAGATCTTCCAGATGCCAATGATGAGGTCGTACGTCGAGTCTCGAGACAGGAAACTAGCGAAAACGTTGCGAGCATGCAGTGTCTGAATGACAATGGCGTTCGGGAACACTACCGCAGTAGATTTCTTCTCCACCGACACCACCTCATCGAAGCTGATAACTAGATTCGTCACCCACCCCAAAATGTTACTCGAAAAGCACAAGTGTCCTTCCGATACATAGAGCCGCCCGTGAAGCAGGATCTCTTTCTGAAGTGCAGCACTGTAGTCCTCAATTAGGTAATCATCTTCAGGAACACTCTTGAACAGATTATGGAAGTCTCGGTTTCTCTTCGGGGAAGCAACTGCAAATCCTGTTCCATTCAACCTCTGTCCGTTTAGAACAGCCTGGGGTGCTAAAGTGGAGGTACTGGCGCCTATCGCAGCGGCTATTGTATGTCCTGTCGTGGCAGAGCTTCCCCTGTGCCGCCTCTTTCTACCGCCACTAATGCGACTCCGAATACTTCCTTGCCGCTGAATAGCGCTAGGAGACTCTGTCACCTCTGGATGCCGCGGTGGAGATGTTGTGCCCCCTGAGAGCGTAGTAAGCGATCGAGGTCGTTCATTATTAACAATTGCAGGTTTCTCCGCCGCATAAGCAGCAGACACTGCCTGCGCCGCAGCGATATCCTCAGCCTTTGCAGAAGCCTGATCGCTTTGCATAGGAAGATTCACCGCGGACGACATTGGGCTAGGATCAGAACTGTCGGATATCCCAAGCTGGGCCAAACTCAGATTCCCGGATCCAAGCGTCTCAACTGCAAGTCTTCGTTTTTCAGTTCCCGGATTCTCTGTCGTAGCGTCTGCGTTTTCCGGTCCAATGACCTCTTCACCACCAGCGTCGCCCGTCTTTTTGTCCTCGCCGTTCTGTTGCGGAAAGCTGTTCTTATTTTTGTTTCCCGTTGTTGTATTAGATATAGTACTACTTAAAGTGTTTGCCGCGTTCTGGGCTGCAGAAAATACTGAGGAGAAGAATCCACCAGGTGACTGGGGAGGGAAGGCAGTTCCACCAGGTGTCTTCGCCTCTTCAATAGTAGGCGAAAGGGGTGCTGTAATGGAATTAGATAGTTTACTTGGGGGATTTGTAGCTGAGCGCACGCGTCGGTGCGATATCATGTTCCCCGAAGGGGAGGTAACGATATTGGGATTCGACTGCGAAGCGCCGTGTTTCGCACCCGACTTTGAGCTCGCAGTGGATTCAGTGGGAGACGCTTGCTTTGCATCGGTAGGTGTAGGCGGGGTCACCAAAGTTGTAGGGGCCTCAGTTAGATTTGGCGGAGTTGCCGGGAGCTGGGTAATGATCCTCTTCGGCGCGGATGAAGGAAGGGTGGGTGTAGATTGAGTCTCTGCTCCGTCATGAATTGATGGTGGCGAAGCGTGCAGAGGCAGGTTATCATCCAAAACCTTTGAGCCGCGCCTGGAGCTGGGTCGCTTGCCGCCGAACAGTGCTCCCAACCCACCCCCACTCGTGCTGGGCCTCGCTCCGTCCGTCTCACCGCCGGTCTTAGGGGATGTGGACCTCCGTGTGGGTGCAAATGCTTCCCTAAGTTTCCCAACCGGGGACGGGCTCCGCCTAACGTTTGCAGCAACGTCAAGTGTCTTTGCGTGTATGGGAGTGGGTACTTCGGCGGAAGTCGCGGAGTCAACGAGCGCTGCACTCTGAGAGGCAGTAGAATCGACAGTCTCAGAAGCGATCAAGGGCGAGGACAATGTTAAGTATCCCGCGTGGGAATGGTGTGTTGAAATGCCAGGGCGGGCTGGGGAGCTAAGGCTTGGTTAGTTGTGACGCGCAAGCCGAGTGGATTGGCCAAGAACAAAGAGGACGAGAAGCAACAAGAGGGCTGGGTCGCACAAATATTGGCAGTAAAAAATAGGTGGTAACAAGCGAGCGACCGCCTGCAGCATGTGCAGTGTGGATGTTTGCGCAGCGATGTAGTCGGCGGGATGCGGAGTCCAGGCTGGCTGGTGGGAAAGTGTCCAAGCTCTCCGCTCCGCCAATGCCACCACGAGCGCAGCCTCCAATGGGACGCCGCATCACCGCTATTAATAACGCACAACAAGATAAACATCAGCGAGAAAGGAGAGCAATACTTACGATTCAGCATCCGAGTCTTCAGTGAGCAGGCTACTTGCGACACTCTTGTGAAGACCAAGGGACTCTTCACTCTGAAACGGGGGGTCCATGCTCAGCGGCCTGGTGTCGGGGAGCGGGGGAACCTCTCCAGCAGCATCGAGTTGCGACAGGTCGTCTTGGGTACCGGACTTTCTTCGTCGCCGTCGTCCCTTGAACAGCTTGGACATCCTCCTGCGGTGTGAGGAGCCCTCGCTGTGCTGGCCATCCTCGGAGCCGCGGCTCTTGAACTTGTCCAAAGTGCCATCGCCCGACAACGCCGGCCCATTCGATCCATCGCCCGGGTTGTCAGTGCTTGCAATTGAGTGTGCCGATGAGATACTGCCGCCTTTGGACAGCTGTGGGCCGTTAGGGGCAGCGAGGGAGTTCTGCTGACTAGTCGGACCCGTCGACGAGGTTCGTGACACGGTGCCTGGAGCGTGGTCGACAGAGGCCTCCATTGTGCTTAATAATAGGTATGTCGCGCGGGGAGGGGTATTCGGGTTGGTACTGTGGAAGGCAGCGTGTGGTCACAGCGACATAGCGAGGGTCGCGACCGGGTGAGGTTGTTCGTTTGCGGGGAACGGCGTGACGGGGTCGTGATGATGTCGTCAGGGGCGCAATCTGAGTCGCAGGCGACGTGCAAAGGAGCTACGGATGTGTAGGAGGAGATGCTATGGAGATGCGGAGGGGAGCATGATCTGAGAAAGCGAGGAGAGAGAGCGGGCGCGCTCGATGGACAAGGAAACGAGGCCGTCAGCTAGCCATTGCGCTGGTGCGATTGACACTCAGCTGCGAGCTGGTGCTCCGCCTGCCACCTGAACTGGGGGGTTTGCGTGTGATCGCCGCCCAGGACATGCCTGCTCCGCCAAGCGAGCACCACCTGGGCACCCGTCATGCCGCCCAAGGCAGAGGGCGGGTCACTCACCTCGCGCTCCCTCAGCAAACTCCTGTTCACCATACCCCAGTCCACCATGAAACCTCGCGCATAATAGCCCCTCCCGCTGACGCTCTCTTCCATACAGCCTCACCATGGAGTCCGCATACCTGACAAAAGCCCACGAGCACGTCCGAAACGCAGCGACGGCCACATACAGCAGCAGCATCGTCACCGCGGGGGCAGAGCATGAACAGGCAGCCTCCGCCTTCCGCAACGCCGCTCAAGATACCCACAATGCAGAGGTCCGGCCCTCTCTCATGCCTCACTCGCCTGCATGCTAACCGTCCGCAGGCGCTCCGCATCCTGGAGCTGCTCGAGAATCACCACGTGAAGCTCGCCCAGCTCATCAGAGAACCGCCGAGGAAGAAAGAGAAGGACGGCGATGCTGCTTCCCAAGCTTCTGAGTCTGCTTCTCAGGCGTCTGAGTCTGCTACCCCTCCTCCGGCAAAGGCGGCGACTGCTAGAACTAGCTCGCCAAGCCCGGGTGCCTCCTCACCCACCCGAGCGCCTTCCCGTCGAAGACTGCCCCAGTCTTCGATAGCTAGCAACCTTGCGGAGAAGAGAGGCATACCCGGCGTGCGGAGAGCCACTCCAGCTGCCTCGCCAGTCTCCGTCACAAACGCTCTTGCCACTCGCAGTGAACGACCAGACACTCCTGTTCGAGATCTCCTCCAGCGGCAGTCCAGAGATGCAGAAGATGCCAACAAGAAGAAAGGGGAGTCCTCTCATCCCACGCACCGTGCCAACCAAGCCCTATCAAACGCAGAAGAATCTCCTGCCCCTCGGCCCTCCTCCTCTCCTTCAGAAGACAATTTTCGCCGCTTCTACTCAGCCTTTGGGGGTGTCATCTCCGCCATTTCTGCACCTCTTGCCTTCACCTCTCTCCCACTCCACCCTACCCCTCCGCCAGCACCCGATCCCGAACCTATTTCTCTACCTAAAAAATCTAAATCTAAATCCCCTGATACTTCCCGTTCAATCAAGTCCTCTGAACCCGATCTCGCCGCTTTGATCTCCAAGCCCGCTCTCCGCGCTCTAAGGGAAGACCGGCAAGGTGCTCTCGGCCCCTTCGCAAACAACGAATCCTTCTACGTCGTCCCCACGTCCGGCGGCACCGTCTCCTACGCCAATATCCTGAGAGACCAACAAGCTCATCCCCATCATGCTGCTCAGAACCCCCAGCTCGATGCTATCGATGAGCTCGAAGGCGATGGCCTTCGGGGAAGCTCCCATGAAGAATTCGTCGACGCACGAGAGACTGCATTCCCGCCTTCCCCCACCGCCCCACGACACCAACGTCCGCGGTCAAGAGGCTCTACCGTAACCACTGCTCGCACGATTCCCGCAGGCAGAGGCACCGGACTCAAAACCATGGAAGAATTGCAACTTGAGAACGAGACGTTACGCACGCTAATAGACAAACAAGCAAAGCGTCTCTCAATGTGGGAAACCACGTCGCAATCCTCGTACAATGCGCTTGCGCAATCATTCCGTGCAAGAGGCGGCATTGGAAACAAACAGATGAGTGATCCGAGTGCGCTTGCGCAGGCGCTATCTCTGGGATCGAATGCGCTACCTTCTCCGCCGCCTGTTCCAAGTATACCGCCGCAATATAGCCAACCTTCGAAGGGAAATGAGGACGACGAGAAGGAGAAGGAAGCACGAGAACGGATCGCAGAGCTCGAAGCATTGCTTGCGGGACGAGAGCAGCAGATTTCAAGTTTGACGGATGAGAAAGAAAGTCTGGCAAAGCAAAACGAGAAGCATGCACTCGTTATCGGGAGATATAGAGAGCAGTGGGAGAAGCTGAAGGCTGGAGCGCGGAAGAAGGAACAGGAGAGGAGGGAGAAACGAATTATTGAATTGAAGACTGGAGCTACGGAGGGCAAGGACAGTGCTAGGGAGAGTGAAAGTGGGGATGCGGAGGATAAGGAGGAGGGGGAGGGTCTTGTGGAGGAGGAGCCTGGCTTCGGGAAGGCGTAAGGTGGTGGGAATTGGCATTGGTAGCACGTAACTAGGAATCGAGAGAATGGTGCCACTATAGGTGGCCTTAGCTGTAAGCACTGAGTGAACTTAAAGGACGGGGCCGCAATCTCATGTCTGTTAGTGGGTGACATAAGAACAACGAGGACAAAAACGCTCAAAGTCTTAGAGCGTGCCCAATAACGCTGCCTTCGATTTATGTCGTCAATGAACCCGCTTGTCCAAGTCTTCACAACCTCTCCAGTTTTCTCTTCCATTTCTTCATTATTTGCGTTCTTGTTTTCTAATCTCTCTTTCAATGGCACTGTATATATTGTAGTACAGTGCAGAGATAGTCACGACTGCGGGACAGACAGCCATTCCTACGCTACATCCCATCCATCCCAAATATCTTCCGAAGAGTGCGACGTTGTCGTCACCAGCGCAGGTGAGTAACCCACTCCTTGTACTCCCCCATACCATCCCCATTAAACTCACTGCATACCGCAGGTTTGTCCGGAATAGCAACAACATGATTCTACCTCAAAATGCACTCGAATACTCGCCTCATCGTCGCAGGACAGCCTTGGCAGACCATGGTGCAAAAGTCTGTCCTTCCCTGCCAATGACCGCTAGTCACCATCCCCTCTCCTTATTAATCTACTAGTGAAGGTTTAAGTTTAGGTCGAATATACTCACGCTTCTAGTCACAGTCCGGCCTCCGCGTGTTCAGATCCCCGCCATCCCACTAACCGTCCCGCCGGATGCAGGAATCTTCAACGGCAACTTCAGAGCGAATACGTCACTCAGTATCTAGGGGAAAAAAATTCAATAGCTATGCTTAAGCGGGGGAAAGTATAAGGGTGAAAATTAGGCTAGGGCTAAAAGTCTCCCAGATTGAAAAGACGGGTGAGAAGTAGCCTATTCATGATTGTGGACATGGAAATCGTCAGGGAAAGACGACAGTGACAAACGCCGGACCCAGATCCTTAACACAAAGAAACTTGTTACAGCAATGGGCATAGGTTTGGATCCACACCTGCCATCTCTACCATCCTAATATCTATTCGCAATCCATGTCCTCCGCCAAATCGGCCTCGAAATTTTTATCTCTACCACCGTGACCGTCGCCTTGGACGGTTTAACGATTTCATCGCCGCCAGAAATCAGCGATTAGAAATCGGGATGGGTGATGGCTGTCATCATCTGCTCCAGGGTGCGGAAATATACCTGGATAACGGCATCGTGCTCGTCAATCTTCCACCCAGGCCCCGTTCCCCTCGTCCGCTCAGCAAACCCTCAAAATCGCCACCAGACTCTTCTACATGTCCACCAAAGCCGGCAAAAACGTATTCTAGCTCATCCGCACTTCCCGCAGCTCGGGTGGGTTCGCGGCCCCCGCTGACATCGCCAAAGCTAGAGGTCCGCTCCTAGATAACCTAGAGCTGGCGACTACGGGACTACTTGTAGCGCTCTCACCCAGATGTTTCGCGGCACTAGCTGGGTGGACGCAGTTTCTTAGCCAGACATGACTTAAGCTGTGAGTGTTATATAGAGAAAGAAATGGGGCAAGATCAGAAAGCGAGAAGGTTAGGAGATATTGAGGGAGGGAGATGGAGAGCTAGGGGGGTTCAGATGGGCCAGATAGTGCGGCTAGGTAGGTTTCCCTGGCTCTCTTCCTCTCCTTTCTATACGCAGATATTCACTGTAGTCGGGCAGGAATGACATGCTAGCGCTGTCTACTCTACAGGTACAGCTATATTGGAGGAATTTCTTAAGAATCAGCAACCCACACTAACAATCCCCGTCCCCAGCATCTTCCGAGTCACAAGCCCAAAATCGCTGGCCAAGCGCCATGATTTCTAGGATATTATCGTGCAAAACGTACGTGTTTACAGTACGGACATCGCAACGCTATCCGCGGATGTTATACACGTTAACGAGTCCCGGCACGGCCATCCGTACGTAACGGAGTAGTTTTGAGGCTGTACTGTGTTCTGTACTGTTCAACCTGCTTGTAAGTACTAACTGTACTGAGTAGATGAGAGAGGGTAACTAGCAGTACTCCGTAACAAGCGAATTAACATATTGTACTGTACTATTCGGGGTATAACAGGCTATTTTACGGATTATCTAACCTAATTAATAATTACTAGTAGGAGTAGAAGTGAATTAATTTTCTTAAGCTACATTGCTTACTGTTTCAATGTACTCCACTAGCCTAGCTAACTTTCTACTTACTACCTTATTACATAGGTATTTCTTGTGTAGCTCTATAGCCCTAATCGTTGTGTGTAAAACGCAACAGGAGAGTGAACAGGCGCCTTATTAGAGGCAGATCAACTGCCTAAGGCCTAAGAGGTGGCAATGCACTAAGAGGCTTCAGTCTGGAGGGTAACGTACTAAGAAAGTAACATTATAAAGTGTATAAATGGGCTAGATTATAGTGTTGTGGAGTTTCTTAACAAACTCCTAACGAAACACGCCAGATTCGCATAATCTGCCTTAATTTTTTAGCTACCCTAAGGCCCCTCTGTGCCCTCTGAACTATATGCGCCTCCTGCAGCCCCACAGGCACTCTACTCTACCCAAAATCTATACAGACTATCGTAAACGGCTAGTAACAGGGCCTCGCATACAGTTGCTCTACTGATAGCCACCTCTATACATACTAACCAGTACTAACTTTGATGTACTGCAGTCCTATACGGGCAGGCGTACTGACAGATAGCCGCGTTGTTAACGACGAACAAGGAATTGAGGCTCAGACGATTGTTATTACCAGCGCAACGGGTTTACAAACACTTATTCTATTATTTTTATTTATATTTGCGAGGAGCTGCGTAAAGAACTCGCTTTAGCGTACTGCTCGCAAGTACGATGGCAGGGGCAGGGATAGGAGCGGAAAGAACGGTGGGAAGAAGAAGAAGGGGGAAAGAAGACTCATAGGCAACCCTCAATGTCTCAACCGACAACCTTGTCCAAACCGTCTACTCCTCCCTCTCCCTCGCCCTATCCCCTTCCTCCATTGCTTTTCTCGGCAACATCCACGTCTCAAATTACTTACTAACCGCTTCCGTCCAAGCCATCTAGACAATAGCTTACATGTCCTCCCCCTCTAGCCTCCATCTTTCCATCTATTCAGCCTCAGCTCCCTTCTCCCCTCCCCTAAACGGTCAGATGCAAATACCCATTGCCTGGAACACCATATTCCTACGTCATCGCTAGCCCGTTTATGGTGCTCCAGGGAGTTATCTTCATTTCGATGGGATGGGATATCTGGATCGGATGTGGCAGGAGCTTACGAGCACATTGAAGGGGGTGGGTAAGGGATTTGGTGTTTCACATGACTGTGTAGTATTCAAGGGCTTGTAAAGCTAAGCTTTTAGAAAGTATAAAGCGGAGGTTGGGAGGGGGTATTAAGAATGGAGTTGAGGGATGTAAGGCTGAAAGGGCGAAGTGTAAGTGTGCTTAGGGAATCTCAGGAGTGTTTTGCCGTGAAACGTCTACGAAGGTAATACCATATAGTCAATAAATCTCAGATTAACGACATTGCTACGAACTCAAAACACTAATACCCAGTCTACAAATTCCAGTTTGTTTTGAAAAGGTCCGCAAACAGTACCGCAGAGCAAACACAGGTACCAAAGTAAACTCGTTAGAAATCACTAGAAGGAACCCAGAACCAACGGCAACAGCCGTGCAATTCCATGCAGCCAATTTACCATCTTACTCCACCGGAAGCGATTTAAGCAGCAGCAGCAATAGGCTGCGGCGGCGGTGTACCCGCTGTATCGACAATTACCTCTGCCTCAATCTTTCCGGGAGCGTGGCCCTTAAACTCTTCCAATGATGGATGCACACCAACACGTTCCTTGCTCAATAAATCCACTAATAACGGGCTAGGCTTGTTATTCCTGTCGGAGAACATAGCCTGGTGATCCTTATACTTCTGCACACTCTCAACATACTTGTCAAACAAGTACGCAGAATCGAGTGGTCCACCCTTCGCCTCCGGATGAAACTGGGCGCTGAAGATGGGGCGAGAGTTGTGGATCAGTCCTTCGTTGGACTGGTCGTTGAGGTTGGTGAAATATTCCCTCCAGTCTTCCGGGAGAGTCGTTGCATCAACAGCGTAACCGTGGTTCTGGGAGGTGATGTGACATTTGCCGGTCGTAAGATCAAGGGCAGGAATGTTGTGGGCACGGTTTCCGTATTTCAGCTTCACAGTCTTGGCGCCTGAAGCCAGCGCAAGAAGCTGGTGACCCATGCAAATACCCATGATTGGGATCTGGGAGCCCTCCATCAGCTTGCGGAGGTTGTAGACAGTCGCGGAGCAATGAGTTGGGTCGCCCGGGCCGTTGGAGATGAAGACACCGTCGAAGTGGTGGGCAACCTTGTGGATGGGGTAATCGAATGGGAAGGCCGTCACACTCGCACCTCGAGAGACGAGGCTTCGGAGGATGTTCTCCTTCACACCGCAGTCGATCAAAGCCACGTGCATGTCGCCAAGGGATGAGCTCACGTGGAACGGTGCCTTGGTGCTCACTCGGCGGACAAGGTTGATTGTCTCAGGGTCAATGAAAGCCTCGTCTTCATCGGCATCGTACTCCTCTCCAATGGTGACACGAGCAAGCGAGGAACCTTGTTCCCGGAGATACGTCACAATAGCCCGGGTATCCACCCCAGAGATGGCTGGAACGCCCTCTCGAGCGCACCACTGGGCTAAGCTCTCAACAGCAGTCCAATGGCTGTGCTGCATGGCATAATCCTGGACAACAATGCCAGCAGCCTGGATATGTGGAGATTCGAAGTATCGAAGCAATCCAAATTCATCCCTAGCGGAAGACGGTACTCCGTAGTTCCCGATCAAAGGCTGGGTAAAAACGAGAATTTGGCCGCGGTAGGACGGATCCGTCATAGACTCGGGATATCCGACGAGGGAGGTTGTGAAGACAGCTTCGCCGGAGATGTTGGATTTGGCACCAAAGGACTTGCCAGAGAAGATTGGTCCATTCTGCACGGCCATGAGCGATATGAATATTCATCGTTTGGGCGTGATCATACCTTGATGGTAAATGTAGCTCGTTCGGTGGAGATTGGGGTAGCTCGTCGATGAGGAGAGGGGACATGACGAGTAGAACTACTAGTGTGAACGGTAGCAAGACAGCGAGCGGGCACGCGGGTCTTTGTCGCTTGTCCCAGGACGTTCGCGGACCGAAGAGTGGATGGCTTGAAGAATTGCGAGATCATGTTGAGTGGAGATTTGTGTACAATTGAGAGTCGTTAGATATATGGGATACTGAGGGGAGTTCAGTTCACTGAAGCCTTCCACAGGTGGTCTAGCAGGAGGAGTCAGTTTGGGGCCCTGGCGGCTGGCTTTGTTTGGCAATGCCATACCTGAGATATAGTCCTATTGCAAGCAATTAGCCATAGTCAATATGAACAGGAGGAAAAAGGACGGATGGGGGATGCATAATAATGGCAGAGTTGGGCCATGGGCCGGGAATGACGCTGTGGATTGACGGTGTGCGATGACCAGAGATAAGGTAGGGCGGGAAGCGAGTAGTCATTCAGACACGTACCTGGGAGGTGAAGGTGGTTTGAACAGCACGCATAAGCGCGACAGAGACCAAACCCGGGCAATTCAGAAGAGAAGATGAAGGGCTGCAAAGACCCTTTTGAGAGTGCTAGATGAGCCTGGTGGGGGCGACTGTGGGTTTAGATGTTTGGTGAGGTGCGAGAAGGAAGAGCAGTTATCTGGCGGGGTTTTCAGCTGCATATTCGCTAGGACAAAGACGGCATGGCGCCCCATGCCCGAATGACGCAGCCATCAAATTTTCTCGCTCACGAAGACCACCGTCTTTTCACGTCTACTTCATTGGCCAATGCTGAAACCCGCTGTCGCCGGCCCGCTACGCTGTGTCTCATCGCATCATCGACGGCCGGCATGTGGAGATGTCGATTTCTGAGCTTGAGGATGATGACTGATGGCATCTCGTCAACCTCAGTCTCGCATGACCTCGCTTGAAGCACGAAAATTTCTAGGGCATATAGAGCTTGGACTTTGTTCTGGGCTTGAAACTGGCCTTCTCGTTCGCCAGCCCAACAGAGGGAGAATCCTGCAGACTGGTTGAAGGCGGGGAAAGGCCTCATCGAACTCACGGAAGACTAATCCACGGACAGAGAACAGAGTGTGAGTGGATGATGTCAAGGAAGAAGCAATATTCTCCTGCGCCATGTATCGATATCGCCCTCCTTGTTAAGAGGGATGTTGACAGTTGATTGAGGCTCCTTTCTGCAAGCCTTGACTTCTGTTGACAAACCACATATAAGTCTCTCCGATATAGGCCTGTCAGTACTAGAATAACGAAGTCCTTCCTAGTCGCAAAGAATGGCGCACAGAAGACGTTATGCAGTGCAGTGTATCTCTGATGGAAGTTGAGGCCCAATGAAGAATGACGCACCACCATCGCTAAGATGTCCCGAGTGAGCAGACCTTCCCTCCACCAAAGAGATCTAATTTCCTAAGCCGGTCTTTTAAGCGATTACACAAAGCGTACCGCAACGAAACCTCTCTCCCATAACTCCATCAATATCTTCGCAAGTCTTATCAGACCACGAAAGAGGACCCAAGCGTTCAGTAAGACAATATAGATTGCGTGCTCCAGTTAACGACTGGAAACTCTGAGGACTGGTACTGTGCAACGATGTAAAGTAGTATTGAGATCGGTATATACTATTCTAATTAGCTCATGTAAAGCATGCCTAGGGTGGGCCACGTAATGTTCTTGACGAGTGCGCCCATGTTTCTACCGCTATTCCAAGCAACTCTTTTCTCCCATTTCACAGGCACCAAAAGATCAACGAATATTTTAGACAACATCCTAGGGGCAATTTTCCGCCCAACAACCTTCTACTAATTTCTGGCTTCACATGCCTTCTTGGTTATCTCTATACTCGACTTTTTCGCCTTGGAGATTTTAGCGGCCCACATTTAGCTGGCTATTCCCGCCTTTGGCTTGCAATAGCATATGCGTTGGAGAGATCTAAGACTATATTTCTCGAGACTAGCAGAAAGTACAGTAGGGCTGGTGGTCGATGTCTATTGCTGTAGCCATGCGCCCACGGGATAATCAAACCACCTGCTCATGGACGATCCAGACATACATTGAGGAGTCCTCGCGCCGCACTCGGAAGTATGTTCAGGGTGCTTGGTTCGACTCATTAAGACTATCATCATTTCGCAAGCGTCGCTTCTGAGTTCGAATTTCTAAACATGACGCTCTAGGTTCTAAGGTCTCGGCTAGGGTAATTGCTTTACCGTCGGGCTCTATAAAAACTTATATATACGGTATCCAGTACATGACACGCAATTTTCTCGACCTAGAGGGCCTCATAAATCGCGCGCGAGCTGAGTGGTTACAGCACATACAGAAAGCGGATACCCCGATACGCGGTATTTCCTCCAGACTCAGTTTGGGAAGGAGTATGCGGACATTGATCTTGGAGCTTGCTTCTAAAATTTGCTACAGTCATAGTCTCGATCCTGTTGAAGATATGGAGGAAGCGGGTGGATTCTGGGATAGTATGGAAGACGCTGGGCCGTATGGGCAATACCTGTATATCCTTAGTATGCTGAGCTTAACGTCCGAAACCGCTTCATCGACCAAGAAAACACTGCCAAAGAAATACTTGGCTCTTGGATATAACATGGTCTGATCCGAGACGATGCCGAAATTCAGCCATCAATTGCTGTGTCAGTCAACCCTTCTTTACTAGTAAATTCCCTCAAATCTAGCCTCTCCCTTCAAGCATTACTAGAGGGTTTCCTACATCTTCAGCCATCAACTTAATCGTACTAAATGTAGTCAGCTACCCAAGTATCAAGGGGATGACTCTGCGTAATGCCCATGATTTTGTTCACAAACACCATTCTTCTTCAATGGCCACTCACTCATATTTATCCAGACTTCCATATCTACTGGCTAGCATCGGCGATTCAATACGACATTTCCATCCAATTACGCAATTACGTGAACGTATGGTACCTGTCGATGGCGATCCATCAACGGGCAGTTCGTCCCATCAAGAACCAATATCGGTTTAAACACTCCTAGTTTGAAGCAACATGAGAATTTCCGTCCGAATCCTGACACCTTCAGACTGGAATGCTGGCTTGAAGAGGACGATGGATATTTAACGAATGAGAACGATCCATTATTTCATGTTCCGGTATGGCTCTACTAAATGCATGGGTATTCCCCAATCGTCACTCATTGTTAGTAATCACATTCGAGGTATGTGTCTTCCGACTGTCGAATAACATATCATTGTCTAACAGACGGTAGCTTTCCCGCCAATTTGAAGTTGAAATTCTGATGCCTGTGGTTCCCGGGATCGCGCAGTTCAGCGCGGTATCCTTTCGTCGAAGCCTTTGCCTTATTTTGCGAAAAAAAAAAAATTTCCAAAATTCCCACTTGCCTAGTGGGCTTGGTGTGCTAAGGAAATCCTACAGTGCTTCGGCCAATCAAGGCCCGTCCTTCTGTGAATAGGGATTAATATGGAGCCATAGAACGCGGGATATAATTCGGAGGATGCAGATGTCTTGTTGTTGGTGCAGGAGTCGGTCGAAGCGCTAACCCGATCGGGTAGTTGGACGTTGTAGATTGTGAATAAGTTAGTAGTAGGACTGGACATCAGTCGAGGCGTAACGGCTCGAGGTTACGGGATCCCACCAATTAGTGTCTTCGAATAAGGGTTGGTATCATAGGACGCTCAACGCTAAACAGCGCCAACAGGAGCTGTTACATCCGCATCTAGATGGCCGATAGAAGTCAGTTAGACAGATCCGACGACAGCCCCACAACGATCAACAGGACAGACTACATGCGATTTCTAGTTCGAGCAGTCGAAGCCTGTCTAACCCGGTCGATTGGACACCGTATGGTCTCTCGCCTTCGATTCGGAGGCAGCTTGTAGCCTGTTCGACCTAAAGCTTCCACTGGTTGAGTAGCGCTTTCTGGTTTACTGGAATATTTGTGTCGTAGAAATCGAAGGAATGCGTGGGGCTTCTTCTTTGGCTGAGATAGTTTGTGGTTTATGTAGATGTAGGTTTGACGCTGGCAGGATGAGAGCAGCTGGGAGCAGGCAAAAGATCGGCTCGGAATACTTTTGGAAGGCTATGGTGATGGTAGCCAGAGCGCGATGTCAGATAAACAAACACGCAAAACTTAACGCGCAGACTGGAAGTTGAATGCACTGGTATCCCTGGTGCGACACTTGGCGATATTGTGTAGCAACGATCGATTTTCACTATCCCATCAGTATGTACAAGAAATCCCACCTTACCACTTCAACTCATCTACGCCGTAACCTTCCCCGTCAACCTAATATCCCTACTACTCGCACCCACACTAATAGCAAAATCCCCGCTCGGCACAACCCACTGCTGCCTTCCAGCATCCCAATAACTCAGATCCCTCCTCCTCAGCTTAAATGTCGCAGTCCCACTAGCACCAGCTTCCAACTTTAGCTTATCAAAGCCTCTGAGCTGCTTTGGTGGAGCCTGGGGTGCCGACGACGGTAAGCCGATGTAGAGCTGCGGGACCTCTGCGCCTGCTACACTGCCGGAGTTTGTGATTTTGGCGGTAACGGTTGCTACTGTGTCAAAGAGGTCTGCAGCGCCGCCCGGGGCTTTGGTGGAGGATGCCGGGCCAGATGATGGCGTACCGGTAATAGAGAGGTCGGAGTAGGTGAAGTTTGTGTATGCTGTGACATCTATCAGTTTCTGCTTTGAATTTTGTGGTAAAGGGGAGGAGGAAGCACTTACACAAGCCAAAGCCGAACTCGAATCGCGGCGTAATCTTTTGCTGATCGAATCTCCGGTAATCGACGAACAGATCCCACGTGTTATCATCGCCTCCGGCAACTGATGTCCCGTAGTCACTAGCCTGCTTGGCAATTGTGTAAGGAAGTTTGCCGTTAGGAGATGTCGACCCGTAAAGAATGTCCGCGAGACCGTTACCACTCTCCTGCCCCGGAAGGCCAGCCCAGACAACAGCTACGACATTATCGTTGTCAATATAGGGTTCCAAGATCAGAGGACCGACGCTGTGGATCACGACAATGGTCTTTTTATTGACAGCAGCAACGGCTTTGACAAGGTCATTTCCATTGTGCCATGGATTGAGATCAACGCGGTCTCCGGCATTCTTTTCGACTGTGATATAGCCTTCGCCAGAGTCTGCGTTAATAAACACGAGAGCATAGTCGGCGCTTTGAGCGGCCGAAGCACCTTGCTGTGCGTTGTCGTTGGTGGAAGTCGTTACAGTAGTCCCGTCTTTCTGGGCCTGCGATTTGATAGCGTCCAGAGGGGCGATGAGATACTAAATCAGGTCAGAAGCCAATCATCCAGGGTTTCTGAGGATCGACGTACTGGAAACTCAGCAGTTCCACTTCCCCAACCCATTGCCAGCGTTCCGTCGTTACATCCTCTATCAGCGCATGCGTTCATGCCTTTGGGCGCCACTACAGCATCACTACCAATAACAGCTATGCTCTTGGGCTTCCTCAACGGCAAAGCATTACCCGTGTTCTTCAGCAGGACGATGCCATCTCTAGCGATAGCGCGAGCATTCGTCTTGTGGTTCCCCTGAACATTCTGCGTGCCGATCTTCCACGAGTTGAATGTTGCCGTAGGATACCCCTTGTCTTGTCCGACAAGATACCAAGCAGCAAGAATACGCTTTACCATATCGTCGAGTCGGGATTGGGCGACTTGGCCACCTTGAACAGCGGATTGTAGAGCTGCATCTGTTAGATTGTCTTTTCTGTGCTAGCCGTCAGTGTGAGTTACCTGATCCCCAAAGAACATTCTTCTTGTTGAAGTCGCTGGTGTAGAATTAGAGAAGAAACATAAAGAGGTAGAGAGTAGGAGCGTACCTTCCGGGCATAGTCATATCAAGTCCTGCATTTGCACTGCCGGCTGTTGTATGTTGGGCATTCCAGTCGGACATGACGTATCCTTGGACTATCAAGGGAAGACATTAGCAGATGTGATTAGATATGCATCCCAGTATCCATGATACGAATCGCTCAGACAAGGAGAGGACTCTCCCCAACAAAGAAAGAGATTTCATCAGTTAATTTCCCACTTACAGCCTAATTCATCCTTCAAGAGTTTGTTCATGATGCCGTTATTCTCGCACGCGTATGTTCCATTGATCTTGTTGTACGAACACCTGCAAGCATCAGCTACGACATAGATACCTTGCGAGCGGGCCGCTCACATAACCGACGCAACGTTGGCTTTCACAGCATCGGCAAAAGGCCATAGGTAAAGCTCATGCAAAACGCGGTCAGGGACGGACGAGCTCATAGTATCTCGTCCTCGTTCCTAAAAACTATCTGTTAGTCTTTCTCAAACCGGTTAGGTGGTTATCGGGACCTGACCTGCTCGTTCATAATGTAATGCTTCGCACACGCCTGCACGCCCGCCTCTTGCATGCCCTCAATCGTCTCAGCCATTGCAATTCCAGTGAGATATGGATCTGGGGAAAACCCTTCCCAATTGCGGCCTCCGGTGGGAATCTTTCCTAGAGGTCCAGCAACTGGTCCTAGTTGCACATGGATACCCAATTGCTTGGCTTCGGCGCCTAGGAAATTGCCTCTTTCTCTAATCAAGTCAATGTCCCAAGTAGAAGCAGCTTGAACTCCGGCGGGGAATGCAGTAACGCCATTAACATATCGAACCCCAAGAGGACCGTCCTGAAGACATAACGAAGGGTATCCAATTGAACCGACGGCCTTTGTGTTTCCGACGCAGTTCCCAGCTTGCCATCCAGTCCCTGATACAATGCCGACTTTGTCGCCGATCGATAGCTTCCCGAGTGCTGTATTGGCTTTGGTGTATGCGGTCGCCCAATCGCTAACAGTTCTTTTCTCAGACTTGCTGTCGTGAGCTGGCAGAGCTTTAGGTAAGTTAGTACAACGCTTAGCAATGAATGATCAAGTTGAAACATACTCGCAGCTCTTGAGACAGAAGTCGCAGCCAACAAAGAGAGGATGTATCCGCGCATGATGACAAATTTCTCGAGCGGTCGGTCTTAAAGTTTGTATGATCGCAGACAATCCCCAGTAGAATCGGGAGGCCATCATGTTAAGTATACACTTCTCAAACTGTATACCGGAGCTTCAGCAACCGTCTGCGCCAAATATACGGAGTAATTACTTACTTGGCTATGGCCTTGGAACCACTCATGGCATGCTCTGCCGCGACAACATGCTCAGATACCGTTCTCAACATTGTGATTGGGATATATTGCCCTTCTGATCAGGTTAATGAGGCGGAATGCTGCTCGTATGGGTTTAAGCTTGTAGCTAAGCGCATGACGGGCCGGTTCTCCAGGATATTCATTCCGGGGACAGGGATAACCTCGCTTCATATCGAATAAGATCGACGACTAAGCTTGTCACGCGTGGATGCATCATCAGGAACAAAACTTTTTCTCCGGATAGCGAAGAAGGTTTTAATTCCTGAATCTTAGCCAACTAAGACTCGGGTCGGGCGGTAATACACCAATGCTATCCCCACATGAGGAGGCTTAAATGTTGATGAAGTGAGAAGCAAGGCATGTAGGATGACGTGGAGGCTGCATGTTTCTGGAGCACTGTAAATGTAGATACGCAGTTTCGAAGAGTAGAATATATTTCTTGCCACCACTAATCGGTCGGCACTTCCACAAAAATACCAAGACCAAGACTGTTGAGAGCTATTGGCAGTGCACTGGCGTGTCCGTCGCCGTCCAGAGAGCGCGGCTAGCCTAGTGGATGGACCGCTGTAGGCCGTACGTTGCTTCAGCGCCGACTTAAGTTCCTTCACCTTGAAAGGGTCGTGCATAGGGCATTTGCGCATATGACTTCCGCCCTATGATCACTACACCCCAGCTAAACCAATCTGTCACTTATTTTAGTTCTACCGTGTTCGTTGGGCAGCGATGTAAGAGACGAACCTCTGAACAGACACTTGTTTAATTCCGGTCCACCTCATATGTTACTGATACGTAGAGGTTAAGATGGAATTAGGTTAACGTTCGAGAGCGGGTAGCTGGAAAATGAATCTCGATAGCGTTCTAAAGAGGACATACGAAAGCCGCATTGGGGGGAAGCACTGCTCAAGCGTACTCCCAATCTTCGTCAAGTTTTAATTAGTAGGAACGTGACGGTCTTTCCTCAGTACACTTTCGTCTTTGTTGCCGACACCTCGCGCATCCCAGTTTGGAACGCGTTTTCCAATACCGAAAAGTAGCGAACGCCTTTCGGCAATGACTGAAAGCGTATTTACCTACGCCACACTCGACGTTCCTTTCCTTGCATCTCATACAAGGAATTTTCGGCTTTGTCGATATTGAAGTTGTGGGAGACAGTTCCAGTACAGAGGGTTCTTTAGTAGAGAAGGATGGGGAGGGCACCTTGGTTTGGTTTTTCGCTGTTCACCTGATGAAGGAGTTCGTGTTGCTTCTAGTGAGGTAGATTCGACATTATTCTTTATTTTCTTGGTTACCATCGTCGGCATACTTAATCCTGCTTGGGCTCGTATGTATCCATCAGGAACCTCACATCCATTGTCATCATCTATCTGGCTTTTCTTGCTACGCTTCCTCTTTTTCAGTGGAGAGCTAATTGCGGCGTGATAGACTCATCTTGCCTATTGGGCACCAAAGGCGTATCTTCCAAAGTCGGTAATTGGCTAGCAAGGCATCAATTGTAGTTGCGACAAATAAAGCGTGTCGTTCTTACGTAGCTGGTGCTGCACACTCGAGCAACAGGAAAATGAAGAGATAATCTCACGCTAATATGAGGATGAGATGGTGGTTAACGGGCCAACCAGAAGCACAAACCTTCTGTTTTCGCCGCTTTTGCGGAGACTGGCAGAGCTATGGATCAGGCTATGCTTGTACAGGCTATGCTTGTACACGACATTGAATGCCTCCCTGTTGGTTGAAAACTTGATGCGCATAGTTATATGTCAGCAGGTGCGAGGATTTCTGAGCCTCTAGGATCCCATTCTCTTCCGTTTTCTTCTTCTTTATTCCATCACGGCGGCCACGATTCTAGTCCACGCAGACGCACTTGACCTTGGTGCCATCGCTGCCTTCCATTCTCAGGGCGGGCTTTCCTAGTACTTGAATTCATCAATATTCTAGACGGCTTCGGTGAATGAGCGGACAAATGCTCTTTGCATTTTCAATCGATCTTTGCCTTCAATATTTCGACACAAGGCATGATCGGCAGTGATGCTTAGGAAAGCAAGGAAGCCTAGACCCCAAGAGCTGCTAAGTTTGGCTGCCGCTGGGAGACTAGTATGGTGATGGTTGATCCGGCAGAAAATACGAATTTAGTGACCATCTCAACCGGGACTAAACTTGCTGAGCCGTTTCTACAATTCAATTCGAAGAGCCTCACGGCTCGGGCACTGGTAGTAGACGCCTGTGATACCGGAGATCGAGCTCGTGATCTTGGTCATCCATGGTGACACTAATGTGAAAGGTTGTGAGTTTTGTGACTGCTTCAAGGGATAGTTGTTATGGTATTAAGTGGTGTTGAGATGTGCTGATGTTCGGAGCGAGTGTTGCGCGTGGTTGAAGTTAACTAGCGCCGGTGAAATAGTTTTTCCCTCTTTCAGATTCACACGTGACTGCAACATTAGGCAAGGCTCGAGATTGCACAATGCAGCCCTGGAGATGGTCTGGAGCACACCCAAAACACGGCTTTCTAACGATAAACTTCTAGGTCTCAAGTCTATGCTCTCGACTCCAGCCATGCAAGGTCTGCAGGTGGGGATAAGCTGGCGGTTGTTGTCACAGCTGAGATGGACGGGACTCTCCAGTCGATTTCTGAGTCCTCAGGCCATCACCAGCTACAAATTTCAATTGATGAAAGTCCCACAGAATATCCCCACAGCCTCACGTATACGAGCTGCTGTCCCTAGCGTGTTGCATCTGCACGCCCTCTTTTCACGCCAATACCCGTCTCTCGAAACGAACCCAATAGGTTTCTCATTTGAGCTCTTAGGCCACTCATTCGTGCAACCCCGCGCACGGATGCATTCCTAAATCTAGCGATTCGGTACTTTTCAATGTGAGGTCTTGGAGAGGTGTATGCACCGGTATGCACGTTCATACTGTATCACAATTATATTCTTTCGTGTTCTCCCAGCCCATTTGGCGCATCGTAACAGCGCGGGCCAATCAAAAAATGCGACGCATTCGAGAACCGTTTGCTCGGCCACGCATCAAGAGGTGCATTGCCGGGAGCGTATTGAAAGCTTCACCTCCCCTCCCCCCCAAAAGCCTGTATTGTGGTGTTTCCGCGCCAAGCTAAGCCTCATTCATCCGAGCTTACGGTAGTTCCATGTCGCGGAGTGCGCACTCCAGCCTACAGTCAACCACCCACGCCTCATTCACCGCGCTCTTCCTTTGATAACGCGAACACGCCCGACGACGCTGCACTCGCAGTTGTCCCTGCTTCTCCTCATCTCCCCTCGAGTTTCCCGCCGCCCACCTCTCGCTCCATTGTTCGCCCTCGCCCACAGCTTTGAAACCTCGCCCGTTCTGACGTTTCGAGTTTCAAGGACGACGAGTCCCGTGGCACGCGCCTCCGGTGGTCCTGTGGAGGACTCAGCGGTATGATGAATCTTGCGGCCAGCGCCACAGCTATGATGAACGCTCAGCGCTGACTTGTTTGACTATCAGGGTTTCTCGCTCTTTCAACCCCTCGTTTGGATATCAGCCCGCCAGCAGCTTTACTCTCCTAATACCTCGCGGACCCTGTCAGACTTCCAAGTCTCGACCTGTCCTGCTCAGAAAGTCATTCTTACGTACCCCGCCGGACGTAAATCCCTCTCTTCCACTTCAACCCCAGCGCGGAACGAAATCACATACCCACGAATCCGTCGGCTTCCCCAGCATGGTGGTTGCTACGATCAAGTATGTGTACCGAGTAGCGGGAGGGGTTGATTTAGATTGTTAACTAACCATTGGACTACATAGGTGCGTCGTCGTCGGCGACGGTGCTGTTGGGAAAACCTGTCTCCTTATCAGTTACACCACGAACAAATTCCCCTCGGAATACGTCCCTACCGTCTTCGACAACTATGCAGTCACCGTAATGTGAGCTTCCAATCTCGTACCATAACTTGCGCCTTGTCAATTAGGAACACCTTGCTCGCATTGTCATTTCTAAGCCCTGCGCCTACTTGCTTACCCCTATCCTACGGAAGAAGCTTGCTAATCTGGCCGGTTTCCAGGATTGGTGATGAACCCTACACACTAGGTCTCTTCGATACCGCAGGTCAAGAAGATTACGATCGACTTCGACCCCTCTCCTATCCTCAAACTGATGTCTTTCTTGTCTGCTTCTCTGTTACCTCTCCAGCGTCCTTTGAGAACGTTAGGGAGAAGTGGTTTCCGGAGGTTCACCACCACTGCCCTGGCGTACCATGCTTGATTGTTGGAACCCAGGTCGATCTGAGGGAAGATGCCGCTGTAAAGGACAAGCTTGCAAAGCAACGGATGTCACCCGTCAAACGCGAAGATGGGGAGAGGATGGCGAAGGAATTGGGTGCAGTCAAATATGTGGAGTGCTCTGCTTTGACTCAATATAAACTGAAGGATGTCTTCGATGAGGTGGGTACTTTTTGCTTGTTGTTCTCATATCCGGCAGCTTCCTTAGTGCTAACCTTATCCTAGGCAATTGTGGCAGCTCTCGAGCCCCCAGCGACACGAAAATACGTGAAAAGGAGGAAGCCGACTTGTGTGGTCCTGTAGAGGCTAGCCGAGTGCAGCCAGAGCGGATGTGAACCGATTCTAGAGCCGCACGTGGCGCGGTGCTTATATTCTTTGCCTATCTTCGAAGCCCGGGCTTGATTTTAGGGATACCTTGTGTTGTGGACTCCCGGCGCTATGTGGGTAGCGGTGTTTTCTTCCAAGCTATGAACTTTTGCTTTCTGCATTTTCTCAAATTCAAAGTTAAAATCTACACCATGGTGTGACAGTTGCATAGCGGGGTGTCTGCTAGGGAGCATCACAGACTAACATTGCTCCGGCTTTGCCATTGGAGGATCGGTCACTGGCGATGATAGATCTTAATACCCTCGGAGATAGCGGTAAACACATCCAGGACCAAGCGCAATGGGATCAGCTGGGCTACAATCACCTATGGCTATCACTTCTTCCTCATTTCACAGGTAGCGGGGTTTCCTCGAGCGGTGTATTCTGCTATCGCAAACAAAGGTATACTGGTTGCCAGGGGACACAATCTGAGCAATCTCTTGTCGATCAAGGTCGTCGACACCGCTTAAACAAAAACAGCACTGAGCATCAGGCACGTGTTGTTTTCTTGTTATCGTGTCAATCCACGTCTTTCCTTTTCCAATCGTGCTCTCCACAATTGCTCACCACAATTGCACCGCCTAGTATTCATTGTCAGGGAACCACTTGATATTGAGTACTATTGTTGTTGGCAGCTGGACAGCAGCTTGTCCTTTTTTGGCGAAATTGCGTCTCAGCGCCTTGGGTATTGACGAGTTGAACAGATCCCACACCTTTTGCCTGGCTAGCAGCCGATCATGAACGCAAAGGTACGTAGACCAAGTATACTCCATTTGCAGCCATTGCTAACAATCTAGATGACTGGTTCTAAGGACTCCGAGCCAAAGAGACGACCCACACCGATCAAAGTTCCTGCTCCACCGTTGTTGAGGATAGCTCCCGGACCCAATGCCTTTGCTATAATGGAAGCTAAGGCTAAGCGGGAAGAAATGGATAGGCAGACCCTGCACCTGCAAGGACTAGATGCTAGATCTATATCTCACGTGCAGCAACAGCATCCAGCTTTCCGAACTCCAACTTCTCCATTAGACGACTCACAAGTCCAGCGGGCTAAGTCTCAAATTCGTAAGGACGAGGGCAAGAGAGCTACTGCTATGAATACGTTCTCGAATTTGATTGAGCAAGCTAGAGCAACGCCTTCGCGCAAGTCAGATGGACACAGCCCTTCTACTACAGGCCGACATGCATCTACTGCCCGTTCTAGACACTCTCAGCGAAGCAATCGCAGCGCACCATCAACGTTACCAGGCGATGATGAGAATCCTTGGAATGAGAAAACTGCGAGGGGCTACATGGAGTCGCGTTCTGAGAAGAAGCTCTTGAAGATCATGAATCAAATTCCTGGAACACCACCATCTGGTAAGCTTCATATCCATAGCAAGGCCAATATCAGCTAACTTCAGTTCCAGAAGATGCATCAATGGAAGGAACAAATGTCACAAAATTTGAATATACCACCAAAATCTACAAGGCTTCAGGTACTAGCAACATGAAGGTCGCGGAGGCAGTCAAGAGCCCCAAGAAGAAGATTTTCGGAATGAGCATCCCCAGCTTCAGGTCCTCTACCAGTGCCAGTGCTACTCCAGCTCCATCCTCCATACCCACGAAAGCTGCGCAAATACTTGGTACGAGCCCACAGGTTAAGCTCCGCAATAATCCGCGCCCGCGGAAGTCTGCCATACGATCCGATACATCGAAGTCCCTCCCGTACAAATTGTATGATCACCACAGCTCCACCCGCCACCCACACCACCACCGTTCAATTCATGCTCACAACGGGGCTGGTAGCCATCCACCCTCGATTGAGGACAACATTCAATGGGAGGGCAGACGGGGTGATGGAGTAGACGCACTATCTATGGATGATGGACCTCCACCGACGCCTCCGGATAAAGATACTCCCAAAGACACTGAGGAGAAGATGGGAGGAGAGAGCCGATTCAAGCTCGAGCCTCACGCTAGGGCTGCAGGAGCACATGAAGAAGTTGAACACGGAAAAGAGAAGTCAGAACCTGGACTTTCCATGAAGCCAGGAGCACCTATGTCATTCCAACGTGGAACCGGCCCAACCAAGATCATTCCCTTCGGCCCAGAAGACTACGCCAAGCTGGCTGTGCCAGAACCAGTCAAGTCTGTCCATGCCCAAGTTGATCATACAGCCGGTAAACCTGGTGATGGTATTTACAGTGCTCCACTGGAAGGCGACAGCGGCCAGTCATTGCCGGCTCGTCAAGGACGTTGGAGTGAAGAGGACTACAGGCGGCTCACTCAGATGGGTGGTGGCCAGCTTCGCCCTGCTTTCTACACACCCTCCAATCGTTCCCTCGATCTTGATGCTGGACTTAGTCGTCCGTCAGCAAATGTAAGTAGATCCTAGTCTTCCCGCTTTTTGTCCCAAAATGGGGTTGTTCCTTCCCGCAAAAGCTAGTCGAGAGTCCTCTCGCAAGACCTTCACCCACCTTCACCGACTTTCACCTTCCATTGCGTCACTTATTTCTTCTTCTCATAAACCCCGCCCAACTCGCTAACTTGTTCCAGGCTGACCCTGCCCGCTACTTTCTCGCTCTAAAATCGAAGGACAACGTCCAGCCAAGCAAGAGTGGAATGCGCGTCAAGATGAACGTCGGATTCGACCCCACAGAGGCCACCCTCATTAACGATACCGAGCCAGCATCCAATTTAGGATGCGTGGTAAGTGATTCAGAGGCCGCTTCTTCATCTCATCAGGCCCTCTGGCACCAATTCCCGAATATGACTGCCCAAAATATGCCGACTAGTGAGCCCGAACAGTCGCCGGATGGCCAAAACGATCACTCAAAGTTCTTGCATCCAGAGCAATCCGCCTCGCGTCTCACCGAAATGCTAGGCGGCGTTAGTCCTTCCAGGAACGGCTACAACAACTTCTATGCCAACCATCCAAGCGCCATGCCGAGTCCTCTGTACGGAAACCAAGACCAGCAAGTGGCTCATATGCCTCATCCAATGATGGGCTCCCCAGTCATGAGCCCTCATGCTCTCCCTGGGACCTTGTCAGATGGTAGCAACATCCTCACACACTTCTACATGACAAACCAACATTTAGATGTGTTAGGCTGCAGTATGCACGATATGCTTGAGGATCACAAGCGCGAACAGACCAATACCATGAATACTAAACACAACGAGATCGTCGCCGCATTGGAGTCACGAGTCGAAGAAATCAAATCTCATATTGGCGCGATCGGAGATACTACGGATTCCCTCTCAGCGCAGAGTTCTCACATCATCGGGAAAGTGGATCAGCTGGCAGACTTCATCAAGGAGCAAGTTGTTGACCCACTTTCTGCGCAGGCGCAGAAGACGGCGGTAATAGAACAGGATATCAAGGCGCTCCAGAAGTCAATGCAAGCTTTGCAGAAGTTGGTGGAGGCGAAGTCAACTACGACTCCAGCTCAACCCCAGGTTCTGCCAACTGGCCAGCTGAACTTCCCGCTCCCGAACCACCGATCTCAACCCTCGCTCGCTGGATTCTACGGTTCTCCGCCTGATGCTAGTCGTAATGGACCTCCGCGTTTACCACCGATCCAAGACACGCGCAACGATGGACGATTCCAGTACAACAATAGCCATAACTATTACCGTTCAAATATGGGCGGCGAGAACAAGGACAGCACACACCATGGTGGTCTGTACGAAAACAACGGTGCTGCTCAATGGGGCGGAGGTATGACTATGGGCGGATTTCCAGGCTATAGCTACCCGAGCTATCAGACCGATCAGAACTACAACTTCAATCCGGGAGCGTCTAAGTGAGCTCGGATCTCTCTAGTGTTAGAGTGATACCCATTTTTGCTTGGGTTGGCATAAACGGCTTGTAATATTTCTGTATGATTGACGACGCTCGACTCATGGCAAGGAAGTAATGGGATCCTGGGGGCCCACACCCAGGCGTGTTCGATGTTCTGGATGCATGGGTTTCTGCTCTAATTCATTTTCTCGAATGGCGGTGCCGGAGGAGCATTTAGCTGCGTCAGCGGAGTGGTGCTTGGCGTCAGCCTCATTGCCGAGCGCTGCGGATTCAATAACAGCTGATGATTGGATTTCGAAATGAATTCAATATCAAATCCTCTAACTTCTGTGACGCAAGTGATGTACCGTGACCACGATAGCAGCTTTGTTCGAAACATTTGTAGGTAGGGAATAGCTAGCAAGGGAAAGTAGGACAGGCCAGAACTCGGGATGCGAAAGCTTGCTTACATTTGATACACAGGATTAGATAAGACTGCTGCATCCGCATCTAAATCGAACGCCGGTCGTGCCTCAACGCGTCGTTCTCATAGGCTAGTCGTCACTGGCTGTGATATCAAAGTACCTCCCTGGCAGGTCTGCCGAATCCACCTGCTTGAGGGCAGAACAAAGCAGAGGCAGCTTGCCCGGGTTGTCTGCTACCTCAACAACAAGAGCCCTCGCTACTGCATGCGCCATATTCGACATCCATATCAATTGACCTCAAAATAGCCTCTTGAGATCCCCCACGCACGATGCTTGTAATTCCCCGCTGGGTCTCCGCCTTCCACACGCTTACCCGAAACATCATTGGCGCAGCGACAGCTGCATTCATCGAGCTAGCTCGCTCTGGCTTGTGCGTCGACAGGCCCCGGATGGGCGAAATCTAACTCGACGAAACACAGACGGTCCCGCCGCTGCGTTCCTACAGGAGACTACAACATCATGGTCGACAACCCTCAGGCTTCCTCCCAAGGCTTGTTGCCTTCTTCCACACCACCACCTGACGGCCCCCAGGTGGCCAACCCCCAGCGTCACGGGGACGATCCTGGCACCGCGCAGCATACGGATACGATACCCAACCACAACACCCACCCGGACTTGGCGCTCGTGAATGCCACTACTTGCCTCTTGAACGCTCGATTGCCCGCCATCGAGTCCACCGATACTTCCTCAACCCTTCCCATCCTACCCAACCGTCCTCACATTCGAGTACCCTCCGCCGCGGGTCTGCAGCTGCAAACAAACCTGCCGATGTGCACGACTGTCGTTGGTGCGTCACAGTCGCCGAACAACCCAACCATCGTGGAGAGCATAGCGGGGGAGCAGTTGCGGCACTCGGCCACAGCACCGATCTCAATCCAAGAAGGACATCTAAGGAGCGCTTTTTCAGCTGCGAGCATGACAGGATCTCTATCTCCCGGCTCAGCGCTCTCCTCGCCCGCATTAAACGCCCTGGCCGACATAACCCCTCTTCCGTCCCCTCTGATAATTGGCGACTCCCCCGGGCCGTGGGCGCGGGCTGGAACAATGATGAGCCCGGGCTCGCGGGGCTCATCCAGCGCGATGAGAGACGAATCATTGGCCATGCTCAACAACGGAACCCTATCTCCCTCGCCGTCACAGAAGAAGAAAGGCTACCAGAGGTTGAAGACTGCAGCTGTTGAGGCTGCAGCAGCCAGTCTCCAGACGCAGAGCAAATATGATATGGGTCGCGACAGAAATCGCAGCATCAGCGAGTTTGTTCCAGACTCATTACACAATATCCGCCCTCGGCATGTCACCATCTCCAATGTTGCATCTGAGCAGTCGGACGCAGATGCAATACCCGAACCCCATCTTCATCGCGAAGCGTATCTGGCCGCGCAACGAGGCCTGATCCCTGCGACCGTTCCTGGCGGTCTCCCAACTCCTCCAGCTAGTAACCGGAGCGTCACCGAGAGTGAAGAGGAAGAAGTCGTAGATGAAAATAAGATCAATTATATCATGGTGAGGCACGGTTCGCAAAAGACAAAGAAGCTTTGGCGCCCGGTGCGACAGCTTGGCCAAGGCACTTTCAGTAAAGTTTATCTCGCCACCAGCGAGAAGGTTGCAGCCAAGGATCCCCTCGACGAGACACACCTCGACCCCCGCAAATTAGTGGCCATCAAGGTTGTTGAGCACGGTCCTGCTGGTGGCGCGGACGAAGAGCGTGTTGAACTCAGCCTCAAGCGAGAAGTGGAAATGCTGCGGTCTGTTTCGCATCCTTCGCTGGTCCATCTCAGGGCCTTCGACCACAATGAAGCCCAGGCACTGCTTGTCTTGACCTATTGTCCAGGTGGTGACCTATTTGATGTAGCCAGCGCGCACCGAGATCTTCTGGGGGTTGACATTGTCCAACGCATCTTCGCCGAATTGGTCAGCGCCGTACGTTATCTTCACACCAAACTAATCGTGCATCGCGATATCAAACTAGAAAGTATATTTGTCCCCTCTTTTTATCATTGGATAAACCCCAATGTGACTTTGACTAACTCCGACAGACGTCCTTCTTAACATTCCGATCGCTACAGTTCCATTACTAAAACATCCCCAATCACATCCGTATCCTATCGCAACACTGACGGATCTGGGCCTCTCCCGCCGTATCCCGGAACCGCCGGCGTCACCTCTTCTAACTACTAGGTGTGGCAGTGAAGACTATGCAGCGCCGGAAATCCTTCTAGGGCAGCCTTACGACGGCCGTGCCACTGATGCTTGGGCCTTGGGCGTACTATTGTACGCGTTGATGGAAGGGCGCCTGCCTTTCGACCCACCACCGGGGAAAGTTGGATCCCGTAGTAGGGCTGCACACCGCATCGCCAGGTGTGACTGGGTATGGTCTAAATTTGGCGACTCAGACGGCGAATGGGATGCAGAGAAGGGTAAATTATGGGGAGGCGCAAAGGAATGCGTCGAAGGCTTGCTCAAGAAGGTTACACGCGGCCGCAAGAGTCTCGAGGACATTGAGAGCGCCGGGTGGGTTCAAGCAGGTATTCAAGTCGAGGGCGGCGTGAGAAGAAGAATCGAGGACGAAGACATCGACCACGAGACTGGAGATGTTACGGCGAGGTGACCGCTAATAAGGTGCCGGTTTTTGCAAGCTCTGCTCAATCACCCGCTGTTATCGACAAGTTCCGGCAAGCTTCGGCATGAGTTGAAGTGCCATAGCCGTCTCACTGTATTATTACACTCTACCCCTTCCACCGTTACATACATGTCACGAGCTTAGATATGTGGTTGAACGGACGAAAGATACCATATCATAAGGAGCTGAAGGGCGTTTATGGCATCAAACTTCCACTTGCTTTATTCCTTCTTGTTCATTCCCTTGCTTCGTCTACCTGTTTCTCTGTCTGTTTTTTCCGATATCCCCATCCGTTCCTGCGTATATTTGGCATTCGTTGCTTCCTTGCTCTCCCACTTTCCTTCATTTTCTCCGCTTGGTCTGCAGCATGGAAAGAGCTCCATTCCATGTTTTCCTTCGACGATAACATTAACAGCTTCCCTTTCTTGGGCAGTTACAGTGCATCTAGACAAAAGTGGGCTCGATTTTTCTGCCAGTTTCTCTTGGATTGGACTGGCTTGGATTTGTCCTGGCTTTGGTCAAGTCAGGTAGCTTTGGATTGGTGGAGAGAATTAGACAAAATCAATCAAGAAAGTGAGAGCGAGAGTTGGTATTTTTTTTGGCTTGTTTGTGTGACGTTCAGACTGACTTTCCCAGAGTTAGAGACAAGCGTGCTCGCAGCTGCGGAATTCAAGGCGTGAGGTTCCGGGTGTGGAGATGTAACCTTGAACGTTCGTGGATGGACCCGGGAATGATGAACACGTGAGGTCAGGAGATGCACAGCTGACTACTGAGATTTTAGGTACTATCTCACGCCGAGGGGAGACATTGCTGTTGCCATTGCGCATTCATCGAATGTACCGTACTATCTCTGGCTCCCGTTTCCGAGTTCAGTGGAGATAGACGGGAGAATTACGCATGACTCAGCAGCCAACCACGTGCATCTCCTCTGAGTTCTTCAACAGAAGCCAATTAATGGCGGAGGCCGCCTCTGCTTTAATCCTTACAATCCCAGTTAGCCCTCAGGTCTGCTAAAACCGAAGAAGCCATCATTATCATCATCATCATCATCATCATCATCATCATCATCCCTATGCGGAGATTTCAAAATTACTTCGCAAAGTAAAAACGGCGGTTGTAGTCTTGGCTTTGGACCATCTAATTCACTTCCCAGGCAGTTGATAGCCCTATTAGAAAGCGAAGTTATACATTCTCATTTTGTGAGCTTGGGATTGGTGCGTTTCCGGGTTTACTGGAGACGAGAAGGTGAATTGCAGTGAGGGAGGGGGCTTGAAGTGAGTGAGCACGGGAGCGAGATGCTCATGATCATAATATCACTAACGCAGCAGTCACGCGAAGAAAAAGAATGTATATAACCCCCGTCCGAATTTGCTAGCATTAATTATCCCCCTCTTGTTCTCACCCACTACTTTCCCACTTCATACTTCCAAGCTTCCAGTCCCATTTCGCACTCCATATTCAGTCACGTAGGTGAATTTATTCACTGGTCCCCATAGACCAAAATTATCGATTTTTTTAGACAACTGCTCTGCTTGGATTCTTTTTAATGGGGTTCACTCCAGCCGCCTATTCGACCTCATCGGTTTATTTTTTTTTTTTTTTTTAAGTACCCGTCTGGAACATTCGAGCTGTGTTAATGCATTTGAAGCTAAACACCGGCAGGTGTCTGCCCTACTTCCTGGGCCTTTTGGGTATTTGATTGCCAGACTCCATCGGGTGTATCCGGAAATGTTCTGGGACGAACCAATCCATAGGGTTGCTATAGAAGGTTTGATTCCTCCAGTTGTCTGTGACAGATGGGGACTAGATTTTTTTTACCGGCATTATGGGTATTGTTCTGTGCCTTTCGCAGACACGAATTCAGATTCAGGTACCATGTTCGGAGCCCTTTGGATATTTTATTCCCAAACCCCGTTGACCTGAGCCGAAATGGTGTTTCGATGATCCAGTCCATGTCTTAGCATTTTGCAGGTTTTATTTCTCTAATCGTCTATGGCACAGGGGGAACACCATTTTTAAAGCAAGCATTTTGTTGCTATTCGCAATTTTAGAAGCCGTGTCTCTAGATTCCAGCACTTGTTTTCTAGTCACCGCGATTTTATTCTGGGGTCCCATGGGCTTGGATTCTGGAAAATTTTACACGAACCATCTGCCCGTGGAACCAGTTCATAGATCTACTTCCTGGCGTAATTTTTTTTTTTGGATCGACGCAGGAGTTATGCCCTAATCTCGAGAAAGTTTTAGGAGCAACTAGTTCATGGGATTTAAACGAGAAGAGGCGAACCTCCTAGGATAGCCATAGGCAGATATCAGCTAGCATTTCTTGCTGGGCTCTATGAGTAGTGAATGTGCGCCGTTTAATATGAACCAGTTCTCCGTCAAAACGATGCATGGATCGGTCTCCTGGGTATTGTATTGCGTAACGCAGAGCTCATACTGCAAACCGCTAGAAACTGTAAACGAACCAGTCCATCGCGTTCTTGAGAGCTTATTTTATTCTCCGACCGGAAAATCCCCTAGGCGGATGGTAGGTGCTTACTATTCCCACACGAGACATTGAACTCCTTCAACAGATTTTTGGAGCGGGGGTCCAGGGTCAGAGACATTGTTTTGACGTCCGTCCACTTTTTGATGCGTTAGTGGAAGAAGAAACATTCGCTCAATTGCTGGAGGCTTTTTTTTCTGCAGCATGTCGGAGGGCAAGTCTTACACAGCACGGGAGAGGTGTGACTGGGCTGGGCATTTGTCCAGAATGAAACTTCCACATGTAAGAGCTAAATCCGCGATTTGATCTAGAGGGGAAGGACAGCCATGGCGAGTCCTTCCGTGGACTTTTTTTAAGAGGAGAAGGTAACCGTGGGAGTGCGTGGATGATATTTTATGCCCAGTCCAAGTGGAAGCTGCGTATCGTGGAGAACTGGAAATCGGGATCGGAAAAGGGGTTTATATACATGAGAATGGTGTATACGGTAGCGGCGGCCTTGCTGACTTAAAGGCTGCGGGGCCTTTTGGGATGTTCGATTCTAATTCACCCAACATGGCTGTGACACGAACTCCTCAATGAGACCTTAGTTACAGAGACTGATGTCACAGGATGGCTCTGAATGGAGTATACAACCCCGACTAATTTCAACCTCCTTGCTTTACCACTTCAATGTTCTCTAATGTGGAAAAAAATTTCAACAAAAGTCTACCAAATTTAAGGTGTATGTGAGTTCTAGGTGGTCGCTCTTCTACCGATGGTATCAGGAACATGACAATTGGAGATAAAGATTGGCCAAACCTCTGCGTTTAGTCAGTAGATGTGGATTTGGGATTCTGTATAGAGAGAGATGGGGATCGATGATGTAGGGAGGATAAGTGGGTGAAGGTGGGGATTTAGGGAGTTCCATCATTTGGTATTGAGACAGAAATTGATATCCTTTTGGCGTCCCATCTAATTCTAGCAAGACAGCCGATCAGCAATGCCCTGTTCATGATCTGTGCTATGTAATGACACACTGCATCAATAGCTTCTTGTGGATTACAAACGAGGGCAAAATCCAAGGAATGTATGGTGGAACTGAAAGTAATACTATACAGTATTTCTACATGAGCCCTAACTATTCGATAGCCCCTTGTGGATCAATCATCTACCGCTCAGCCAACATATTTTTGACGGACTGCCAGTATTTCTTTTCAACCTCTTTTTCCAACTCTTCCTTGGCGAGCCATTTGAAATCTGCAAGACCCAGTTTGTTCTCTAGGAGGTTGGCCTGCCCGGCCATGATGCGAGCCTTCATGAAGAAGGTCTTGAAGCCGAGCTCGTTGGGGTTCTTCGAGGACTTCAGAAGATCAGCCTGGATGTCATGTTGATGGTGGCCAATGGGGATGTTGCCGACGACCCAGGTGTTCATGTTTATGCCACCGGATTGGATGAGGATGCGCTCTGCTGCCTGGTAAAGTCAGTAAATCATCGCCGCTATCCCACTAGGTCCTATGATGGAGGACATACCATATGCAGGCTCTCTTTCCCAACGAGCCTATCCTGCGGAAACATCCACTGCCCTTCCCTATTCTTCACCAGCAAATACAACGTCCTCTGCAGTAGCCTGTCCAAACTCTTGACATCACCCTTCCGGTCCGCCTCCGTGATCCTCGGCATTGGCTTCGCAACTAGCTCATGGTCGACCTTCTGCGCGCTTCCGTCCGTGATGCTCTTAGTGCTAGTTTCAGCATTGCTTGCAGGGCTGTTGCCGTTCCCGCCCTCGCCCTCGCCCTCGGTTGCGGGCTGTTCCGCATCTTCCAACAATCTCTCGACTTGGTATTGAACATCGCTTTCTTGTGCACCAACGAGGAGCTCGTCATTCCACGCCTCATCTCCATAGCCTTTGTATCGTCCGATGTCTCGCGCAGGTGTCAATCGCTGCTTGATTTTCCGCTTCCATTCTATATCCGCAGGTGTTTTCTTTTTGAAGTAAAAGTACCGGGTAAATGGCAGAGCAAGTCGCTCATTGAGACGGCGTTGGTAGAGAAAGAAAGCGCTTTCGAAAGGGTGAAGATCACGGGTTATTAGCGGTGGACGGGAAAGCACGACACCAGCGTTCACGGCGTAGGAAGTCGATGGAGAAGTCGATGCTACAGGAGGAATGTGTTGGACTTTATGTGCGTTTTGATCTTCTGTTTGAGCTGCTGTTGCAGCTGTGGAATAGGTGTTGTGGGAGATGGTCTCCCTGCATGAGCGGCATATTGATGAACCTTTTCACACCAGTAAGAGCCAATTGAGAGACTGAATGAATACACATACCCGCTTTTGAAGCCAGCCGCCTCGTCGTTCGCTGTCCGGCATTCATATTCGCATGACAATCGTCGACTTGCTTGCCGGCTCGTCTCGAAAAAGTTCGGGCTCGGGAGTGGATCTGGTTAGTGCGGCACGTGATAAATGCACTGGCCACTCTGCCTAGGTAAAAGTTTCGTACAATGCCCCATTCCTTTCCCTTTCTCTACGGCATCTATTCCTTATCACCAGTAATTTCGAGCTCCACACGATATATTGGTCATTTAATGGTGCCTAAAGGAAAATAGGCAGTCTTTTCGCTAGCGGTACCTTCGTTTTATTCTAAGGTGTACGGCTAGATAGATCCTGCTTACATCTATGTCTACATACCCGTTTTGGTGGACTATACATTCTTTTAACGCAGACCTAAGGCTTTAGAGCTTGATTTCAAGCGCTGAAGTTCCCCCCTCGGCGATGCAACTATATTCATTAGCTGGTCTTCGAGCTCGCGCCGTCTGTTTTCCGTGACGGGGACTTTCTCTGGGTGTGGGACCAAGGGATCACTGTCCTGCATATAAGACTTATACGGCTTGAACAATTAGCAAGAATCATCCAATGCCAATGACTCCATATAGCCTTCTTCCTTAAAAATGATGCCTGTCCGTCTTTCTAAGTAGTTTGTGCATAGTCGGAGCTTGCTGGCCCGACGCCAAGACCTTGTATGAAATTTATCGACGCGTTCGCGAACAGCTTCAAGCCAGGCTCACCACAAACCAACAGCACCGCCACATTTACCCGCCATGTCTCTCTCAATACCCAGCGCCCCGAACGCCGGTCTCTTCAAGCAAGGCTATCAGAAGTATATGACCCTCTATTCTCCCCTTCGTCGAACTCACAAAAAGCTAACCCCACCACTACAGCTACGACGCCGAAGATGGAGCAGTTCTCCGCAACATCGACGCCTGTCGCACGATCGCACAAACAGTTCAGACCTCTCTCGGACCGTATGGCCGCAACAAGATCGTCATAAACCACCTGCAGAAAATGATATTGACTTCGGATGCCGCCACCATATTGCGGGAGCTGGAGGTTGTGCACCCCGCGGCGAAATTGCTGGTTATGGCTAGTCAACAGCAAGAGGCGGAGATGGGGGATGCGACGAACATGGTGATTGTACTGGCTGGAGAGCTGTTGAAGAAAGCCGAGGAGCTGCTGAGGATGGGGCTTAAGACAAGCGACATTGTGTTGGGCTACGAGAAGGCACAGACGGCTGCTTTAGAGATTCTAGAGGGTACGTGAACATGGCCTCGATGCCACAGCTGACTGCTAATCTTCAATTTGCAGAATTGGTGTGCGACAAAGTTGAGGACATCAGGTCACAAGAGGAGCTCAGCAAAGCCATCAGCACCGTCGTGGCCGCTAAACAATCTGGCAGCGAACAATTCCTCGCACAACTGGTTGCCGAAGCTGTTCTCGCTGTCCTGCCCAAGAATCCCGTCAACTTCAACGTCGACAACATCCGCGTGGTTAAGATCATGGGTGGTAGCCTGGAGCAGAGCAAAGTGGTCAGAGGCATGGTCTTCGCGCGAGAACCAGAAGGCCTTATCAAAACGGCAAAGAAGGCGAAGGTTGGAGTATACTCGTGCCCTATCGACATCAGCCAGACCGAGACAAAAGGGACAGTTCTCCTTCACAATGCTAAGGAGATGCTCGATTTCACAAAAGGCGAGGAGCACCAGATCGAGAACATCATCAAGGAACTCCACGACTCCGGCCTCCGCGTCGTCGTCGCTGGGTCGACCATCGGCGAGCTAGCACAGCACTACCTCAACCGCTATAATATCCTCGTCATCAAGGTCCTCTCCAAATTCGAAATCCGCCGGCTCTGTCGCGTTGTCGGTGCCACTCCTCTCGCCCGTCTCGGTGCACCCATGCCGGACGAAATGGGAACCATCGATATTGTCGAGACCCTCGAAATCGGCGGCGATCGTGTGACGGTCTTCCGGCAAGAAAATGAGCAGACCCGAACCGCAACCCTAGTCCTACGAGGTGCAACCCAAAACTACCTTGACGATGTAGAGCGCGCCATCGACGACGGTGTCAACGTCGTCAAAGCCATCACCCGCGACCCACGACTTGTCCCCGGCGCCGGCGCCGCAGAAATGCAACTCATCGAACGGATCACGAACCTCGCCGACAAAACTCCAGGACTCTCACAATACTCAATCCGGAAATACGGTGAAGCTTTTGAAGTGATTCCGCGTACCCTTGCCGAATCCGCTGGTCTCGATGCCACGGAAGTTCTCTCGCGCCTATACTCCGCGCACGCTGCGCAGAAGGGCAAGAAAGACGATGAGTGGACGGTTGGCGTGGACATCGAGAACGAGGATGGGACGGGGACGCTGGATGCCAAGGATGAAGGGATCTTGGACCTGTGGGTTACGAAGAGCTGGGCGATTAAGTTGGCAACGGAGGCGGCGAGAACGGTATTGAGTGTTGATCAGATTATCGTGGCGAGGCAGGCGGGTGGCCCAAAGATGCCAGGAAAGGCTCAGCAGGGGAATTGGGATCAGGATGATTAGATGAGGGAAGCTGTGGAGGGGGGTTTCTTAGAGAAGAATGAGATGTATGATGAAGTGAATACCATAGATGGGATCATTGAATAGGCTCTGGCACTCTAACCATGAAAGAATGCCTTCTTGACGGTAATGCACAGAGAAGGCGACCAATTGAAGACTCACAAAGGCATTGGAAACATGATTATACGTCGTTCTATTCCGGTATGTGGTGCTATTTTGCAGACTATCGCTGCCGTAAATCCTGCTCTGGACTGCATATATCCATAATGGGGTGATATGCCAAAAGACCTTTTTCTGCCGCTGTTCGACAAAGGGTATCAATCTGCCCTAGCCCAGTCCAAACCGCAATCCGCCCAATAAATGACTGCAATGAATGTCTGCCCAACTTGAATCAACTTCCACGGTCTGAGGGAAAATCTGTGTCCGTTCGGAAGCATGGTCTATGAAGAGAGCCACTGAAGATGCTGCACCAAAGACCCTTCAACCCAGCTTATCCAAAAGCTTCCTCCTCCTCCGCTCCACCAACTCCTCATTAACCTCATCCAGGCTTGGAACCTTCCACCTCACTCCATCTCCCGTATCCCCCGGAATCTCTACCCACTCTTTCTGGCCTTGCTCTCCGCCATTCTTCCTCATACGCTTCGCCCCTGCACCCGCTCCCGCACCTGTGCTAGCACTGACATCCTCAATCTCATCCCCCAACTCCATAAACTTGTCCCACGCCTCCTTCTCCTTCGCCCGCTCATACTCCAACAACGATCCATCCTCCTCATCTAGATTATATCCATAATACCTCGCATCAATCTTCCCCCTCAGCTCTCTCCTCGCCTCCCCCCCTTTCACATACACCCCCTCATCCTGAGGTCTTCCCTGCCCCTCAAACAACTCCTTCACCCCCGGCAACTCCCTTGCCCGTCCAAAATATTTATACCCCTTCCCACCCCCGGGAACCTCTTTCCCCTCCTCATCTAACACCCGTCCGCCCCTCATATAATTCGGCCCGCCAAGCGTCCTAATCTGACTCTCCCACATATGCTTTTCCCGCATGAGTTTATTGATCTCATCATTTAGATCCCGAATTTGGAAGTCCGAAAGAGCTGGGTCTTGAATTTTGGTGACTTTGCGCGAGATTTCTTTGAGCACTTGACCGCGCCATTTTTCACAGACGGGGACGGCGGTGATGGAGGTTATGAGTTTTGGGCGGCGCGTGCGGCCGACGTCGAAGATGCCGGATTCTGCTGCGACGGCGGCGCGGAAGCGGAAGAGCATAGAGTGCGCTTTTTCGGAGTTTCGCGCCATGATTGCGGTGGGGGTGTGGTGTTGATGAGGTTGCGGAAGCTGTTGCGTGAGGGATGTAGGGCTTGGATTAGGTCGACAGGCAAATTGGCGAAAACCAAGTAAATAAACAAAAAAGAAGCTGCCTGCAGTCTAAACGAAAGCAAGTTCTACCAAGATGTGAGAGTGAAGGCACGCGCGATTAAGCGAGCTGTCGTATAGTTCCCTGAAATGCAGGAAAGAAGTTATCGTTGACGCGTTGGCGAGGAAAGTTTGGTGTTTGGTTCCCGGCATGGGCGGTGTGGAGGGGCAATAAAGGCCTAACACACAATGTTTCATTGAGACTATTCCCTTTTTGGATCTGGCATCGCGTCCTGTATCAGACCTCAGGGGCAAATTTCACACATCGCATGAGCCGAAGAGTCACGAAGAAATTACGGGAGAGAAAAGGCGCAATTTAGATTTCTTTCCATTCGTGACACTACCGCCAATCTGACCTGCCAACGTACTCCGTACAGAGAGGAGGAGACCGGCATTCACTACACAATTCCAACTAAAAGACATTACAGGTCACACCGAACAAAAATTACAGAAACAGGAGAACAGAAAGCTAATACAAACGAATGACAAGAATCGAAAAACCAAGGGGGTTTTGTAGGTCGAGCCTAGCATGGTTCTTGAGAAGCTAGGAGAGGGCAAAAAAAGGAAAATGTAAGGGAAAGAAAAAAGGAGAATGAGAGGGAGAGTCGTTATGCACAAAGCAATCAGTGTCATCTCAGTATATCAGTTCCATCTCCAACCCCAATCCACTCTACACAGCTCCATCACGTAAGTGCGAAATTCCGAACGCCAAGCCCTGAGATCCAGATCCTGAAGGCTCCAATTGATCTTGGGCCTTTTCATTCGAACCCAGACTAAGAGACAAGTTCCGAACACGACTAGTGTAAGGGAAAGAGACAAAGGAGAGGAGCGCTTCAAAGGATGATATTTGCCCGCGACTAAGGAGAAAGATTGTCAGTTAGATGACGGTATGGGTATGGCTCTGCCAGACAAACAAGGAAAAAATATTCTAGGGAATTTTGTGGAAGTGAGGATATTGATGGCCTGCGCCTCAATGCGCACCATGCGATTCAGCTCGAGAATGTGACCGTGAACTCATAGAGCCGACAAGAGAAGGCCGAGATTGGAAACTGGTATGACGACCGCTCTTGTGAGTAAGGGATGCGACATCATGCTTGCCTGAAACGAATAATTAGCCTTCGTGGAAGAGTAAATATCCCGGTTAGCGCAGACTCACCATCGCAACATGCCCGCACGTTCTCCATCTCCAGGCGATCCATGTCACGCTGTCGCTGCTCCATCATCTCGCGCGTGAGGTCCTCGGCAGAGTGACTAGGTTCTGACTGTCCATAAGTCGAAGCCTCTTGCGCGCTAGCTTTGCTGTGTCTGCTTGAGAAGGAGCTTCGTATCCCTCCCGGACTTGGACGAAACACTCCACTCAGGCTGCTGAATCGCCCTGATCCTGGAGTCTGCGAAGAAGCCCGTTGTGACGTTGTTGACGGCTGTCGAAGTGTAGGAATCTGGGCATGGTGAGGAGAGGACGTCCGCCGGCTCACATGGGACGAGAGAGACGCCCTGGAGCGACCAGTCTGTCGTGACGAGCTGCGGAAGCCAGGGTTGAATTCGTTCTGGATTTCGTCGGTAGCGAACTTTTGCTCTACTTGTTCTTCCCCGGTGCGAAGAAGCAAGTAAGAGAGCGCGTTAAACCATGTCTCATGCCGCTGCCCTGTAGTTGCTGTAAATTTGACGGTTCGTCCAGGTGTTATGACAACAAGACTCTTTCGGTGAAGACCTGGAGGGTAAGGATTGTCGTCAGAAACGACTTGCACAGCCTCAATAGCTACACTCTTCGCCTTCAGCTGAGAACGACCAGCAGTCGCAGGATCTTTTTCACTCCAGTACAAGGTCCGCGTGTATGGATGGACCCAGAAGAATCGACGGTGCCGATTCTCTGACATTCCCTCTCGTCCAGCCTTCCGGGTGTATTTCCAAAGGAATTCGCCAATCATGGTCTGCGTAATTGCCTGGATCATTCGAGGATCCGTAGAAGCCGGATCAAAGCCATTCGGACCAAATGGAGCTTGGCTGGAAATATTGAAGCGCTGATCAATTTCTGAGACAAACGATGACACTGATGATCGCCGACTAATGGGGGAGGTGGCACCACTCCTACCAGCATCGCTTCGCTGATGTTGGTGTCGAGGTCGAGGCGTTGTGCCACCCATCTTTGGACTCGAAACTCCATTGCTTGTTTTCACCGTCACCGGTGTCATAGGGCGTTTCTTATATGCAGACGCTGGCATACCTGGAGGGCCCATTACCCCGGGAGTAGAAGGCGTCGAGACAGGTAGGGTTGGCGACTTGAGCGCAGCAGCAGCAATGACCTGCTTGTGATCTGGGGGAAGAGGGGGGGGAGACGTGTCACGAGACCGTATGCTTCCGGAGCTACCAGGACGTCGAGGAGCCCTACTGGGGTCACTGTACCTTCTAGGCGACGATGGTGGTGACATGCTCTTCTCTACACCAGCAGCTGCGATAGTCCCAGAATGTCGCTGGCTCCTCGTTGCTAACACTTTGTCGATCTGGTCGGCAGTCACCATCGTCTGAGTTCCCTCATCAGTCATCGGGGTAAGGGGACGTTGTTCCGGTGTTGAGAACTCCAGACCACGATCGGTCTGAACGGCATTGGAAGCAATCGGCGCCAAAGGTGAACGGCTGCTGGCCTCAGCCGTCACCTCAGACATATTCTTGCCCCAAGGAAGTACGGAATTGAAGAATCCTAGTTGCACTGCTTCTGGAGCTGCACGGTGTGCTGTGACAGGTCTCGAGGGAACATGTGGCTCCGTCTCTTGGGACACAATGTTCGATAACGACAGAATAGCGGGAGGAACACGGTGGGCAGTCGAAGGCCTACTCGGACTCGGCAAGAAAGCAGGAAGTGTTGGTGACTCCGGCTGGGTATTTTGAAGGACCATGACATCTGAGAACCTGTTTGCTGGAGGCAATATAATAGCCGGCTCAATAGGCTCCGTGTGCTGCACCGTGATTGAGGAGATTTGAGACAGAGTTCTTGCAGGAGGCTCGACTGGCTCAGTAGCTTGAGATGCGAGACCTGCCAGTTGTAACCGTGCGGGCCTGGGTGCCTCAGCCGGCTCAGTAGCTTGAGATGCGAGGCCTGCCAGTTGTAACCGTGTGGGTCTGGGTGCCCCAGCTGGCTCAGTAGCTTGAGAAGTAAGCATGGAGAATTGCGAACAAGCTGGCATGGGCGCTTCCACGGGTTCGGTATTCTGGGTTGAGAGGGAGGACATATGCAACGGCATCGGCACAGACGTTTCGTTAACTAGGACTGTCTTTGATGGCTCCAAAGGCTCCGTAGCTTGTGCAGAAACGGAGGGTATAAGTAACAGCGAATTCGAGAAGTCTTTGGGGTTGGCCAAGGGCTCCCTAGGTTCCGTCGTCTGAGCCGCAATCGACGATATGTTAAGGGATGGAGGTTCTGCCTTTTTGAGAACGGGAGAGACGGGATTTGTACCCTGCGTGGAAATTTGTGACATGTGGAGAGCAGGAAGAGGCGGTTGGCGGACAACAGGAGCCTCAGGGACCGTGTCTTGGGAAGAAAGCGATGAAATATGCATTGTTGGTGGAAGGATTTCCTTGATCATAGGGGTAACAGGCTGTGTATCCTGCATCGAAATAGATGATATGCCCATCTTCCTCGGCGTCTCAGGTTCAGTCGCCATCCCCACATGAGACACAGAAGTTGTCTTCTGCAGTGGTTGTTCGAGATCTGCAGCTTGGGCAAAAGGCGTGGGTGGCCACGGCTCTGTCATCATTCCTGAGTCAACCATCATTGCTTGAGGAACGGAAGCTAATTGCAGAGGAGACCTGTTCAAGGTAGACTTCCTCATAACCTCGGGTGATGAATCTGGGGAAAGCAGACTCGATCGACTAGGTGTTCCGTCAGCAACACTACCATCTTCGCTCTCTCCACTGAGATTGCCCAGCTCTGCGAACAAGCTCTTGCCCTGAGCAGGAGTGCTGTTATTGCTGTTGCCGACAAAACTAGCTGGAGAGTCCTTAGCAGCTGGGGGGGTATTTGTGAAAAGCTCCTCGCTAGATCGTGGCGTTGCGCGACGATAACCCCCCTGCTTAATCTTGAGCCTATATCGCGGTTGCTGAGTCTGAACCGGTGTTTTGATATCCACATTGTCGGCCTCATCCCCGGAGGTAGAAGCGGTGCTTTGGTATGAGTTGCGGTTGCCAGCAATGGAAAGTGGCGAAGGTCTACGACCGCGAATAGTGCCAGTAGAAGGACCCCCTTCAGTCTCGGTGAGTTCATCGGTGCTATCTCCGTCGAGTGTTTCCGCTCCGGTCTGGAAAGCATCTGTTTCGGTTGTGGTACCATCACGCTCATTGGCAGTCTCGAAGGCATCGGAAGTATCATTCGAAGTTTCGAACTCCTCATGGCTTGATTCAGCCGCAGAGCTAAATCCACCGGGGAAGGCTCCAGGAACATCGACCTGTCTTGACCGCCGGCTGGGTGTGCCTTCTACATCTTGCTCCTCCCATTCATCGTCGTCCACCACAATCTCCTGGCTACCAGTCCTCAGTGCGCCGAGACGGTCTGGCCGTGTGGGCTTCTTGAAAACGTCTTTTTCAATCTTTTTCCGCTTACCCGCACTACCTAGTCCGTTGATTCCATTGCGGTTCGATTCAAGTTCATCGCGAGCATCCTGCAACATTCGCTTTAGTTCAATCTTCTCGGTCTTTTCGCGATGGATGTTGTTCTTGAGCTGCTGAATCATCCGGTGGGCATGGTGAAGCGAATGTTTGAGCGTCTCAGATTCAAGCTGTCCATGTCGAGGCGTCGCTTTACTGGGAGACGGAGGTGGCGAGTGGTCGGGGGTCACAGTATTGCCATCATCATCACCGTCTTCTGGAGATGTGTCGTCTACCGATGCTTGGTCCTCTGACCGCAGTCGATAAGCAACGGCCCTTGCAAGCTCCTGGTTCTGGGACGCAAGTTCGTCAACCTTCCGTTGAAGAGCGCCCCTCTCCGTTTCTCCCATAGAGACATTGCGTCGAAGCCCTGACAGCTCGGTCTCGTGCTGCTTCGTTTTTGCAACATGCTCGTCGCTAATCTTTGCGTACAGTTGTTTCAGCTCTTCGAATTCCCTCTCCAGCATTGATTTCTCGGACTTGGAGAGACTGAGATTGTGGTTTAGACGATGCTCTCTATCGGCAGCTGCTTTGGTAGCAGCCTCGAACTCACGGACCTGGGTCTCCAGGCTCCAGTTGACATCTTTAAGTCGAGACTCACTTTCGTCGGTCGCCCGTAGTCGCTGAGACAACCCTTCTACCTCAATCTCGAGCTGCGACCTGTCCAGGTTAGCAGCCTTGAGAGCGTCATCCTTCTCGAGCAAAACGGCTTGGAGGTCCTTCAATTGGTTGAGTAGTGAAGTGGAGATCTCGGTCGCAAGGGCAATGTCGTTGATCCGATTTGGCTGCTGATTTCTCTGTTTCCGGGATGGAACGCTGACCTTCGAGGGTGAGTGATGGGCCTCACTGGAATACACTGAAGCACCAGCTGTAGTATCGGTCTCACCACTTGGCACCCGGGATTTAGGAAGAAAGGTTCGCACAGTTTCCCTGCCCACTTCATTAAACTCCTTTTCGAGCTCGGCCAGCCTCTGCCGGAGCTCTGGCCCAATCTCATTGTCCTCCTGCTGTTTCTCTACCTCCTTGAGCTTCTCCTCCAGCTCCTTCCTCTGCTGGACAAGCGCATTGCCTAGTTGGGATGTCTCTTGTAGCCGACGGGTTGTCTCCGAAAGATGGGCTTGTAGCGCCCTCTTGGCCTGCGACGGAGACCCGTTTAGGTACAAAGAGAATTGGGAGTTGTCGAAGGCGGAGTATCGGTGCCTTTGTAGGTCGTGCGAGTTCGAAATGAAGGGATCGGAGCCGTTGTGGTCCTCCACGGCGAAAGCGCCGGGAGGGGGATTTGCTGTTGTCGCCATTAGTTGTACCGGGGTGCAGTGCCTCAATATTCCATCGCCGGGGGTGGTATTTTCCTCCTCAGATCGAATAAAATCGGGGGGTTTACGAGGCCCGAAGCAGGCGGGTTATTTTCGTGAGGCGCGGAAAATGTCTCGTGAGACAGAAAGGTACCGTAGGGACGAGGATAACGGGCGAGCGAGCGTGGATGGCGACAGGAAAATATTAGAGACCAAAGCGATTGTCTGTTTTACCTGCTGTAACGACGCCGGAATGCGCGCGATTGCGAAGGCAGGCAGGACAGGACAGTTTCGGCTGAGGACGCGCAGAGAGGAGCGGCAACACCACCAAGCTAATGGCGATCACTCTAACGCGTTTCCGTTACGCAAGGGCAGCTGGATTAATGCGCATCGTCGAGACAGCGCTTAATAGAAGCAAGGAGAGAGAAACACGGAGAATCGGGACAGAGGCAAAGAGGAGAGAGTGGAACGGGTTCCACGGTTGTTGTTTTGGAAAGTGACCGTGCGCTTCCGGGTCTGAGATTCTCATCAAACGTCAACACCAGGGAACAATTGGCTCTCAGCGTCCCTCATGCAAAGCGGCTGATGATGGACAGACAGACGTAGATGGCTGTGACGTGCACTAAGACAGCCAGCCTCCACGCGCATCATTTTAAAGTTTCTACTACTATTATTGGTGCACACGGGAGACTCAACAACAACATCGAACGCACCCCCCACCACCGTGAGCAGAATTAATAATTATAGAAAAGGGGGAAATCGGAATCTTCCTTGCAGACAAGTCGCACTCTCGGCATTCCGGCTCTTCGCTCCTCGCTGGTGATGTACAACATCATGCTCTGACGTGCATGCTTGGTTTCCCTTGTTTGTTTGAAGGACGTGTCATCGTTGTTGTGGGAGAGTCTCGATTAGGACGTGACAGCTCGTCGGCGCTATAATCACGTGATAGGAATCCGGGGACGATTTCTCAGCCACAGCTTGGCGAGAACTTTCCACGATTTTGGGCAACCTGGAACTGGCTCTTAACCTTCAATTTCTCCCGCTCCTCCACTACTTCTGTACTCATACAATGGACGGCCCAGTCGTATCTTTCAAGAAGCGTGCTCCGAAGGGCGTCGTGCGGAAAGCTGCCCCGCCACCACCGTCAGGTTCAGAGTCCTCGTCAGGCTCAGAATCAGAAGGTGAGAATGGCCGCCTGGTCAAGAGGAGGAAGACTCACGGCAATGTCCTGAAGGCATCTACGGCAGATCAAAAGTCGGCGTCAACCTTCGAAGGCACTACACAGTACGATGCAGACCGCTCCGCGAAGATCGAAGCGAGCAACGACGCCACCAAGCAATCCAACTGGTACGATGAAGATGCCAAAGATGCACTGAGCGCGAAGAACCTACTCGGAACCACACGATCAAAGCCGGAATCCTTCATACAAAAGAGTGCCAATGCCCCGAATCGACAGGTCGGCCCTATGAAAGCTCCCACAAATATTCGAACAATCACAATAACGGACTATGCACCGGATGTGTGTAAGGACTACAAACAGACGGGCTTCTGCGGATACGGCGACGGCTGTAAATTCTTGCATGCCCGCGAAGACTATGCAGCAGGGTGGAAGTTAGACAGAGATTGGGAAATATCCGGCAAAGGCCAGAAGCCTGGCGGAACAATTGTCGCGTCTGCAAAACGGGCAACGGAAGAAAAAGACGAGGAAGGCTTTGACATCGACCTACTAGAGAAGATTCCTTTTGCTTGCATTATATGCAAGAAACCTTACAAGACTCCGGTTATCACAAAGTGTGGGCATTACTTCTGCGAAGCCTGTGCTTTGAAGCGGTACCGAAAAGACCCTACTTGCGCGGCTTGTTCGGCAAACACTAATGGCATCTTCAACAATGCAAGAAATCTCCAGAAACTGTTAGATAGGAAACAGAGGTGGGAGGATAAGAAGCAAAATGCCAAAGAAGAAGCCGGCGAAAATGACGAAGCGCCGAATTAGATTGGCTTGTCACAGCTGTATTTTAGGATATTTGATCTCATCCTGACTATATGAACTAGTCATATATAGTGGGTTAACATGCTAAGTGCTTGTATTAACTACATAGCAACACACTCAGTGTCCACATGCAGCCTGATTCTCAGTTGGTGCTGAATGACGCTTTATTTACTTTCCCTGTGCTGCTTCGAGACGATTTTTGTGTATGTGCATTATTTTTGTTGCTGGCATACTTATATACAGTAATAAAGTTGAAAACAAACCCTATATCTATGTCGTATGGGTGGAGTCCACGTCACGGGACTGCGCGATGCCTCTATTGCATAGGTACGTGTTTACGACATTCGATGACCGAACTCCACCTACGCATCTCCTCCAGCACAACTCCCTCGCTCACTCAGTTGATATTTAACTCTGCTGATTCATGAAATGGCGCCTTGAAACATTGTCAAAAGAGGTGGTATGTAAGGCTCAGATAACCTAGCTAGTAGCCACTGAAAGCGTCTTTTCGTTCAGAACAGTTATAATTATATTTAGCAGTAAATTTATAACTCATAATAAACTATAACTCTCTCTGAATAGCAGAGAGGGAATTATTTAGCCTCTTCTTGATGAACCTCCATCTAGACCTAGAAGGGTAGATTTGATCGAGAGCCTATATGAGTTTTCTCTTAGAGACATCCTAACAACTAGCCTTCCAATCAAGAACTGTCCACAGGTCCTGATCGCCTGTAGGTAGCCCACCAGTTAACGCTGAGGGCTCGAGCAGACCAATATCAGAGTACTGGTTCTGGTGGTACCTGACCGGGAACAAATGCAAGCTGGAGGGTTTTCATGCATGTTACCATCGCTTCCAGGGAGTAATTGAAGTACCCCAAGCGATGAAGGAGTTTCTCGGTTTCAGAAAGGTCGGGGATACCCAAGACTTACTCAAACTAAGCCTTTGGTTCTCCTAGGCTTACCCAAGTAACATTTTTTTGCCAAATACAATCCGTGAGCTGACAAACAGTGACGTGATGGTAAATCTCGTCGTCAGTTCCGACCGCATATATGGCAGCTTTTCCGTCAAATAGTGTCACAACCGGTGCGCTATTGAAGGTCCCGTTCAACGAATCCCACTGTTTCATCCAGGTATTCGTTCCACTCGAAGTCCAGTACTGGTTCACAAGATTTCCGCTCGAATCCAACCCAAAGATGTCTACCCGGTTGGTGGACGAGACTAGCACTGCCACATCACTGGTGAAATTTCCGCCCAGAGCCTCCCAATCGTTCCATTCAGGGTTCTGATTGCCGTTGTAGAACTTATGATGGAGAGCATTACTGCCGTCAAGCGCCCAAATATTGAGCAGCTTTTCTGCTCGACTAGTCAAGACAGGCGTATGGAACCACCCGTCCCCAACTTGCCACCATGTCCCCCATCCATTAGTACTCCAAGCGTTCATCAGTATCTTGTGTCGACCAATCCCAATCATGTCAATCCGATCTTTCCCCCATGACACTACTGAAGGAGTTTCGTCAAAGTAAGCATTTTCAAATGTTCCCCAGTTAGGATCCCATCTCCATCCCTCACCACCACCCCAAGCTTTGTGTGTCATATTGCCACCTGAAGCAGCAGGTTCAATGCCGAAGAGGTCGTATCTGTTTTCTCCCCATGAAGATATGGCAGGTAGTTTGACAAATGATCCGCCTAGCGATGTCCAGCTGGCATCCCAGGCTGGATTTCGCGTGCCATTATATGCGATAGTCCACATACTACCATCCAAACCCACTGCAAAAACATCAATACGATCTGTACCCCACGAAAATGCGGTAGGTGGACTTGTGAAGAGGCCGTCGCTGAGCTTCGACCAGTTGGCATCCCACGTATCACCGTTGCCAGATTTGTAGTAGATACGTTTATCCTGACCAAACCCGAAAACAAACATTCTTTTATTTGAGCTGCTAGACCATGCCACGGCCGAGAGAGTGCGCTGACAGAAGGTTGATTTGCATACGCTAGCGCTAGACGGAGTAGAAGTTGGCTGAGAACTTTGTGTTCGACTTGCGCTCGCAATGGAGGATGAAGGTGCTTGGGTCTGTAATGAACTAACGCAAATAACCTTAGCAACATATTGAACTTAGATAAATCAATTGCCCTCACATTGCTTCACCCCCAGTTTTATGTTTTCTTGTCCCTCCAACAGCCCCACCTACGACTGCACCTACAAGTACAAGAAATAGGACTGAAAATCCGATAATCCATTTGCGCCTCGGGGGTCTCCCTTTTGCGATAGCCGAAGTTTCGTTTGCTGCAACAGCATATGTCGAATTGTCGAAATACTGTTGTTGAATATCTTTCGCCGAAGGATGAGGATGATAGTAAGCATCCTGAGAGGTTTGAGCTTGGACCGCGGGAGGGGGATTGTCAGGACTATGTTGAGTTTCGGCGACCTCTAGGCCATGGCTCCAAGCAACTTCTGGGTACGATTCATATGCTGTTTCAACAGCAGGTTGACCTTGCATTTTTACGTCGGAAATTCCTCATGTACGGAGAGTAGAGAATCCAGTTCGAAGTACAGGATGTGTTGCTGTCTTTACTTGCAAGGCTGCCAAGCCTAGTTGGATTTTCCGGACTATCCACCTTGGGGGTTATGTTGCGACTCTCTCTCGTATTCTGTCTTCTCTCCATTGGTGGGCATGCCGTAATTGCGCATGATGTGGAAGACCAGACCCTCCCAAGCGTTTTGGGGGCTGAAGCATCATGAAATAAGACACGGGTCTGCGCGATTCCCAAGGACGCTTTAGCGTGCACCAATGATTCAGGAACCACGAAACAGTGGGCAGTATTCCAGGCCACCACTTATCTCTGCCAACACAAACTCATACAGTACAACAACCAGGAGTACCTCTATCCAATAGTGCAAAGAAGAGGGCTAAAGAGACCAATCCGGATATGAAGAAACTAGCGGGCTTGCGGAAGACAGACCCCAAAGGGTGAGGGCGGGGCACCATGAAAATGGAAACCGAGACTCAGTCAAAGAACCGGCTCCCTGAGCCCCTAAAGTCCGAGAAGGCGGCAGTGTAGTACTTCACCGGAAGTGGGGGTAATATTAGCATTAGTTCAATATTACTACCTCTACTGGATGACGAAATAGAGCCCTGCTCGAAGATGTCGCTGAGTTCAAGACCAACTCCTTCTGTCGGCTCTCTACTTTCTCACGTGAAACTCCTCCCTCTTGCCCTCAAAGCAAACAGAATTAAGGTACTTATAGAGAATTACCAAGTTAAACAGGAGAATGTACAGGATCTATATCTCAAACTTGATCCCCCTTGTCTTTAAGATGTCTGGAACGCCTGAGCAGACTTTTTTGGGCCGAAGACGATGATAGCGATGTAGATGGCCTAGATGAAATCAGTGAAGAGAGGGGAACAGCGAAGAAAGAAGTTCGGTTTGACGCTCCATCCAGCCTGTATGCTAGAGAAGTATCAGACGAAACGTGAGAAGGCAGTAGAAATAACGACCATTATGAATCGTAGGTACAAGCTAGAACGCCGCAGAAGAACAGGCTCTAGGTTGCACCTCAAATGGTTCAAGGGCGTCTTCCTTCAGAGATCCAGGCTACTTTATGGGCATTCTAAAAAAACCCCGCCATGGCTTAGAACATCCTCCAATCATTAGAGACTGGTCTGCTGCTTTGATGGCAACCATAGGTCTCACCTTGAAAAGGTAGAAGCAAACCCTTCATGCCATCATCCGATGCAAGCCAACTTCGACATATTGACCGTGAACAGTCGATAGGTACCTATAATTGATTTATAGGATTTCAGTCCTCAAGGCCTTTGGTAACACTTCCACAGTACTTAAACAAAGTTGGCGCATGGCGAATGTTGATCTAGGTGCACAAACTACGGATCGTAGATCCATTGAGCTGCTCAGGGAAGGAAAAATGACGGACCATTTCAACATGATAAAATATGTCGGGGTCCATTTGAGCCCCGCAGGGTCATAAAGGCGCAGAATGCTTCATGGAGGAGCGGCGGATGTGGGCGACGGCTTTCGATGCATGCCTTGCAATAGCCCTCGTCTTTGATGCTAAGCGCTTCCTTAAGTCGAAGAGTGAAGGTCCTTTCCAGTACCCGAAGCTCTTCGATTAGTTGAGGGAGCGAGGAATTTGCCCGATAGGACACACATGAGCAAAAAGACAATGCTAAATGATTTCTGAAAGCAATTCGATGGCTTGCTAGAGAGCTACAACAAAACTCTAGTGAAAACGTCGAAGATATATATCCTCGAGCATAGGCCCTAGCAATACATCTTCTAGTCGTAAAACGTAAGTACAGTAATAAACTTCGATCTCCACGAAAACTTCAATATGGCATGGTGAAGTTGTCATCAAATCTTAACACCAAGGACTTGATCTATTGGATTTGTGGCCGGTGTGTAAGAGGCCGCCAGCCAGATGCAATGCTCCACAGTCCACATGACATATAGCATGATCTGTTATCAGAATCTAATACATAGAACAAAGCCAACACCTACCACAGTATTCAAAGCCAGGATTATCGGCAACTAGTGGGTTGGCGAGGCACCAGGGATGGCAATTCCCAACACTGAATTAGGTAGCCCACTAGACTTGTACATCGACTTCCGTGTCGAAATTCCCCTGGGAAGGAGTCACTCGAAGCTCACAGACCCTGCAAGGCCCGATTACCGTATACCCTGTCAGAGGCACGAAAGTTCACCAAGAATAACAAAACTGCCCGTGCCGTGTCCTGCGGATGTCGTCTGCTTCGAACTTTTACACCCTTACGCTTGGGATGGAAAAGTGCAACATGTGCTTCCTTTTGGATGGCAGAGAGAGATGCTGGAATTTCCAGTTTATTCCTAAAGGTATGCTATACAGCGAATATTCAGTCTACCATCAGTCATTGCGTCTGGATCCGCGGAAGGGCACGTTCAGGTCTCAAGTCTTTGTCGCTAAATATCTAGTCTTCGCCATAGGCAAGCACACGAAGGATATGAGGGGATTGAGCGAGGGGTGTGACGTGCTCTATCGAAACAAGACCGTGAGGTTGGAGGCTGACTTCCGGCGGGGCTTCGTCTTCAACTTGAACTTTTTGGAGGAACTGAACGAGAAGCGGTTGGAGTGGACATCGTCATTCTTGGTATTATATAAAAGAGAACTATATACTATGGCTCACGTCGCCTTGGAATGGAGCCAGTACCGGAAATAATTGCTATCTCTCAATGTAGCACGGCAGCTCCTGTGAGGGCTGCGCGTCTGATTACGCGAAGCCAACGCAGGAACACATGGTAGAAACCAGGGGTGTAGTAAATGAAGTGAAATTAACGATACTGCACGGGACGTATTCGCACATGCTTCGATAGACTAAGGCGTAGATCGATGCAGCATCGTTGCTTGCCTCGCGTCGCCGAAGTAGCCGCTTTGGGCCTTCAACAATCCCCAACAGTATGTGGGAGCGCGCATGTGAACCAGAAGGCTGATTTAGCCGCTGGCTGCAGACATGGGTACGTAGGTCAAATGGTCTAGAAGACGTGGGCAGTATTTTTGTATGACATTATGGAGATGGACGCATGGAAGTGCTTTGGTGAAGAAGAGTCTCCGGACAGAGCGTTGCTATCATCACAGTGCGTTCGTGAGACAGCGTTGGGCGGTTCTGTTGAGCCAGCGAGCATTTCCACCGGCTGGACTTTGTGACTGCGGTTTCGCTCGCGAATCTTGAGATGAAAGTGGGGTTTGAAGGGCCTTATTCATCATGCAACCCCGCCATTCACGCTGGGCCGGCTTTATCCGTGAAGTGTTCTGGAAGACAACTCTAACTAACTAGGGGTTCTGAATGCATGAGCTGCCCCTCCGACCGCTACTTGTGAGCAGCAGAGTTTTGCGCTCCTCTCTTCTTCTTCGCCTTCTGCGATTGCTTTGCCTTGCGTTGGGTCTCCCTCGTTGCGTCACACATGAAGTAGTTTCTTTCAGCTGCTGCGCTCCACGTACCTGGTACAGCACGGCTTAGACGACCAGCCACTTTCAGGCGAGTCCGGTGACCTTCCGCTTCACCAATAATCCTCCGCGATTCCGGATGCGTCACTCGCAAAGACGAGGTACCTTAACCACGGCATGCTCTGAACGGCAGCCTAGCTTCCGCTTTGAGATATGAGAACTGACTGTCGCTCCTCAGGTGCTCACGTCTGTTGCCGCGTGCGAAATTGTATCCACGGATACCGCTCTCTGCTGTATACAATACCTTGATCAGGATTCGCTTCACGCGAGCAGCCCCGACCCGTGACTGTGTCATTCGGCTCTCGCGAAGATTAAATGCTTCTTCATTCCGACCCGACCCTGACCGAGGTCCCGGATTTCTCGCCCGAACAATTGGAGAGCTTGACCCGTAGCGTTGAGCGCAAGAAGCAGAAGCTCCAGGACGACATCCACGAGTACATCCGGAGGAAGCAGGACGAGCTGCGGAAGTATGAGCGAGAGGTATGTGATAGCGTCTGCCATCAATTCGGAGACATTTGACAGAGCTAATTGGGTTAGCTCCTAGAGCGATATCGTTCAATGGAGGGCCCCGAGTCAAGTCGGGATGCCAATGAGAGGAATTCGATTCATACGCAGTCATCGACCCCAGATCCGCTCGATGCCTCGCCATCGCAACCCGTGGGCGCTTCTACTGACCCGAGGAAGCTCGGACCTGAGGAAACGGCTAAACGCACAAAGCACTCACGCGTCCACAAACGCGAAAAGGAACTGTGCGGCCTGGTCACTCCGATATTTTTGCCTCTGCTGGATGCGAGCGAAAGTCCGCCGGCCAAGGAGAAGAAAAAGAAAGAGAAGAGGAAGAATAAAGACGAGAAGGGGGAGATCATTCCACTCTCGCCACCAAACTCAGAGCAAGGATCCCCGTCAAACGATGGTGGCAAAGAGAAAGAGAAGCGCAGTTCCCGAAGTCGAAGCAGAGAGTTTAAAATGGAGCGAGGAGAGCCTTCGAGTAAAAGCGCGGAACCTGCAGAGTCGAAGCAGAGTCTAGAGTCAGCAAAGAAATCGAAACGTTCGACGATAAAGAAATCGTCCCTACGACACAACACCTCGAAACCAAGAAGAAAACGAGTGAGCCTAATAATTGACGACCAGATTTTCCATCCATCAGACAACATCGCTGAGCCCCCGCTCACCTCTCCCACCAGCGAGACTACTGCCTCTTCGGCATCCACGTCAACCACATCTCTCGAATCAACACTGGACCCACAACTTCTCGCTCAGGTCGGCACCCCCATTCACCACGAACCCGTCCACCACAGCCTTCCTCTTCCAATGCCACTTCCCAGTACCTCACCCACCAAACACACCGGCCACACACTCATCGAATCCCCACCAGCCCTTGAATACGAGCCCCCGAAAGCCACCGGACAAGCTATCCTCGAGCCGTCTCCACCAAACCAAGACATTGACATCCCACTCCTAGCCTCCAACCCCCCTATATACGCCGACTCCGCCGAACTCGCCGAAGAAACCGAATACGACTTCACCAGTTTCGTTGGCGGGATCGATGGCTCCGGCGTTGACGACGTAGACCAAGCCGGCAGTTACGGCTACCCTTCCTCCCTCGGCGCTAGCTATCTCGAAAGCTACATGCAAAATAGGCCGTTGAGTGTTCGCATTGCAGCGGCGGAGAAAGCAGAGCTAGAGGAGCAAGAAAAACAAGCGCTGATTGCGGGTAGCGAGGCAAATGAAGAGAAGTTGGATGTCGCGGTTGGACGAGTTGAGGACGTGGATGCAGGCGATGGTGATGAGTTTATGGGGAGCATGGATGCGGTTTAATGGTGCAGTAGGAGTATTCTCGGATTTAATACGGGGTCCTTGTGTGTATATATAATGTGCTTGAGTGGTATTAGCTGCATAGTAGCGTTAGGACTGGGGGGTTTTTGTGATTGTGATTGGAAAGGCGTTATGGTAGTTAGGCTGGTTTTGGTCTGCTCCTTGGCTTTGGCCAAGAGGGATATTGCCAGGGTATAGTATGGCTGCCTGGTGAATTGATGCATACTGTATGAGATATACAGTGTCAATGAAAACACTACCTATATGCATACTTAGGACTTTAAGAAGTAATACGAAAGGCAAAAAACGTTACCTGTTTATCTATTTCTACAGGACCTTTCCCACATCAACCGACCCCGCATTTCAAACGATGCGCAAGCATCTGATGACCTAAAGTGGAATATTACAAGGGCGTAATTCAGGACAGAGAATTGCATCCATTTAACGATATCCTCAATCCTAGTAAAAATACCAATTGAAAGACAATTGAAAGACAATTGAAAGACTCTACCCTATTCATGTTCCAGTTTATGTGATAACATACTATGCCTCAGCATCTTTTCCCCTCAACTGTTCAACCCCATTCACTACCCTATCCAACAATGCCGCCATCTCAACCCCCACAAACCCCGGCCCATCCTTCTGAATAAAATGCCCACATCCGACCGCAATAACCGGACCAATCGCTTTATCCACATCAGTAATCTTCAACAACTCCGCATTATACCTCTGCCACTTCGGATTCGCATACGTCATCGTCAAAATCTTGGGCGTATGCAACGAACCCATGTAACTCTGTTCTGCGAATTCCTCCCAGTCGTGGCCGACGACAGTGAGATAAGGGCCCGAACCCCCGGGGCCTTTGAGAGAGGGGGAAGACGGGGAGGGGAGAAGCGTGGCGAGGTTCCGACGGGAAAGGCCTTCGGCGTTGGGAACGGAGGGGTGGAACATGCGGCGGTAATTTTCACGTGTGTCGCGGACGTCTTTTTCGGAGACGCCAGGGGGGAGGGTGCGTGGGTCGAAAGTTGGGGCGTCAGGATCTGGCCATAGGGATACGAAATCTGAGTTCGCCATGATGGAATCCAGGAAGAGGAGGCCAGATACGGTGCCTGGGTATGTATGTGCAAAGAGGCGGGCGAGTGCGCAGCCAATGGAATTACAGACGAAAATGAGGTTAGGAAATTGCGTGGGGTTAGAGATCTCGAGATGTTCTTTCCAGATTTGTAGCAGAAATTGACGGAGCGAGCGAGCGGCGCTCATGACGTCGTGGCCATGGCACGGCGGCGGCTCTTTGTCGTCGGGATCATGGTCGGAATCCCCTTGGCCGTAGCGGTCGTAGGAAAGGAGGGCGGGATATGGTAGTTGGGCTGATATACGAACCTTGAGGAAGTGGGAGGTTGTGGCGGCCCAGGATGAGCGTGGGAGGATGAGGCCGTTGAGGAAGACGAGTAGGGTTTGTGAGAAGGGGTTCGATTGGTTGGAGGTGGGTTTTGAGGGTGGATAGTATGTGTAGTGGATTCTGGCGGAGGGCTTATTTTCGAGGATTATGGAGGAGATCTCAGGGGTTGGGAAGGGCTGGAGGTCTTTGTCGGAGGATTGGTTGGACATTTTGAGAGTTTTCAGGCTTTCCTATGCAGACGTATTTGACTAGAAATATATATCCTAAATCAAAACACCCTCCTCTTCCCAAGGTCTTAGCGAGTATAGAAGTTCCTATCGCAGATTTCCTATTTAGGTAGGCTCGGAAACGCGAACGAAGAGTTAAACCGAGAATCAATAACAGTGGGGATCAATGGATTGTGTTCAAATGTAGAGCAGAGGCAGCCGCGAACTGTTCTTTCGGCCTCCGATAGGCGTATATACTTCAATGGCTGCTGTTACCCCTCTGGTGGCTTTTGTGCAAGACGGCAGATGGTGATCTTCAGGCGCCCCAAAATCCTGCAACAACAAAACAAGAATTTAAGGCCTTCTGCTTGGTCAGAACTTCAGTCCTATACCCCAAGCAAACCACAGAACAGAATCAAGGTGTGTGAAAGAGCAGACGTGCACGACAGCTCTAAGAGGAAATGCTGAGGGCGTTTCGGAGTTGAGAGGATGATGCTAGAACCCCACCCGTCGGCTAAGCTTGTCAATGTTGGCGGAAGCCTGCATCGATCGAATCAGAGAGGAGGCCCACATAGTTGAAACTTGAAGGAAGTGAAAACCGTAGAATAAAGACGAGAAATAAAAGGATAAGTATATCTGGCAGGACGATTTCAGAAATTCTCCTTTCACGCGCTTTGTACGCTTCCAGCAGGTGTCCCCGGGAGCAAGGAAAGAGCGTTCCGCGGCAGCGGGGCGGGTCAGGAACGGAGCAATGACGTGGTAGCTCCTTCTCTTCATAGCTTCGTTGTTACACCGAACCGCGGCTAGTGGACTTCATCAAACTTAAGAATCACCCTCGCAATCACTCCTCAACCCGCCAACACGCGCTTCACGGTCCCGGCTGGCCTCGTTCACATTCACATACAGCTCTGTACATCCGACTCAGCGTCAACGACATTACTTTCTCCCAAATCCCATCGTCCCCCCTCATCCGCATCTCACAAGCGCTGCACGCGACGGTATTCAGATCTATAGCTCACTACTCCAATTAACGCTCTCAAACAAGCTGTAGGCCGCCCCTCCTTCCTCCAGAAGCATCGGCTTGCCTAACTTCTCCACCTAAGCGTGGACAGAGACTAAAGCATGGCATATTACGTCGACCGCTCTTCCCAAACTACCATTGCCGGTCTCACAAAGCATCCTTTAGCCTTCCCTCCTGTCCTCTCTTACACCGACGCGACCACTCCCCCGGATGATATGCCTTCCAAGCAGCTTCAACTCGCCACCCACGGCACACCTGCGATAACAAAGACGGCCATAGCAGATCAGAATACGTCTCCGAGCCGGCTCCTGCGTCGAAAAAGGCGTCCTCCACTTGTCGCTCGCATCTCGCGGCAGGCCTTGGAGGTGGATGCCGAGGGTCCTCGGTCACCGCCTCCTACCGAGACGGTCCTGTCGCCTCTGCCCGCTGCCAACACGCTCCACGCTGGGCATACTCCAATATTTCCTCGCTCCCTATCCCCACTACACGACCAAGAGGATAACAGCGGTCCATCGACGCCGGAGCAAGAGGGCGTCTTGACAGGGCCATTGACTCTGCCGGCTCAGCCAGGGCATGGCCTTGACGACCGCATCGAGTTGAGGGTTCTTGACGCCGAGTTAGAGAAGATCGCGAAGGAGCAAGGCATCAGCCCTCTGCGTAATGGGCCACGATCCACTCACAGTCAGCACGCTGAAAACGGCGGCCAGAGCAGTCTCAAGGGGTCTGGGGAGAACCGCAGGAGGCCTTCAGCGGACGACGCTGAGGTTGTTGATGGCGTTATTCTCAAGAAGCCGAGAATGAATCTCGGCGCCCCATTGGGCCAGGTCTAGAACGGTTGCCACATCGTTTCGACATTTGCATGGTTTTGTTTCCACGTGGGTTTACGCGGTTGGCGTTTGACTTCTAGATCACGGTTCGGAAAATGGGAAACTTGGGTTGGTTAGTCCCGGGAAGGGAAATGGGACGATACCCATGATTTCCTCATTGAAAAGGCGGGTTCTGCTTCGGGAACCACTCCAAGGTTCGGCCACACAAAGGTATAAATGTTACGTAGCATCATTGTTGGACAGATGAATCTGCAGCTATTATACTTTCTTTGCTGCGTTTGTATGTATAATTCATATAGCTGGATATGTAAACCCAACCAGTGGAGTCAATCAAGCTGTGCATGAAGATGGCTTTTAGGGTTGGGTTGCGCTGTCACTCCCGTCCGGAATAAGTTTAGTGTGATAGATAGATCGCCAGGTAAAATCTGGGGAACTTTTCAAAAACTTCAAAACACCCTCGCCATCTTCACCCCGCATCCAAACCCCTACCAACCTCTCTCAGTTATCTTAGCCACCATGCAGGTCCTATTTCTATTCTAATTCGACCCTCTCTCATCTATATTGATCGCCGCGGCTTGCTTTAATTACATGTCTTGGCTTTCACTTAGTGGGTATACATGCACCTACCATTCAACAAATAGCCTTTCAATCTATCACTCCATGGTTCGTTTTCATGTTCAATGCTTAATCATATCCTCAGGGATCGGTCCTCAGAGCGGCTGATGTGCCTTCGGCACATGCCTCCGATGGTGGTGTCACCAATAATTCCCTGCCATCGATTGAGAGTGGGAGCATCATCTTAGAGTCGGCTTCACGTGGTGGTGCTCCAGGCTGAAGATCAAGACTTTTATATTTGACTCCTCTCTCAGGAACCCTTCCAATCCAATTTGCGCACATTTCAATTCTAAGGATTGTTCGCTTGGCGCAATAGATGGGACGGGCTACGAGATATGATTAGACCGGCAAATATCGAAGGGATGGGGAAGCTGAGGGGCCGAGCAGTTTGGAGCTTGTTTCTTGGGGTATCGTGAGGGGCTTATATTTACTCCATTTCCATTGCTGTTTCGACTCCGTTGTTGAGCAGTTTTCTAGTTCTACATTACGGGATCGACATTACAGCTATTCGATTCACTATGGGACGGCTAACCCGGGCTCTCCTCTTCCTCCTTGCGACGCCACTATTTGCCGTTCCAGCTGCTGCCGATGAGTATGACTACATTGTTGTAGGTAGCGGGCCTGGCGGAGGTCCCCTAGCCTCGAACCTCGCTAGAGCGAACTACTCGGTTCTGCTTATCGAGGCTGGCGATCAAAGCACTCAGGGCACTTCTGGACAATATCCGCCGCAAATCACCTGGGACTTCTTCGTTAAGCATTACAATGACGAGAAGAGGACCATGATGCATAATCACCTGGTATGGAAGACGAAGGAAGGGAGGTATTGGGTTGGTGCTGGTTCTGACACCCCGCCATCTGGATCGAAGTTCCTGGGAATTTACTACCCTCGGGGTAGCTCCGTTGGTGGCAGCTCTATGATAAATGCGATGTGAGACCTTACTACCAGAGGTTTGATAACAGGATACTAATTGCCTCATAGGTGCACCTGGTTGCCCTCCGAGAGTGACTGGAACTACATCGCGAACCTGACTGGAGATCAGTCATGGACGTGAGTTTGATGGAGATAACTCACCTACCATATCACTAACTGACATGGTTTAGCGCCGACAAGATGCGCAACATTTTTCAGCGTATCGAACACAACAACTACCTTCCAAAAGGTACCGCCGGCCACGGCTTCGACGGCTACTTCCAAACAAATATGAACAAGCCAGCTTCTATCGGACAGCCCGTCCTCGGGATAATCTCAGCTATTGCACAAAACTTCTCGAAATCAACTGGCCAGGCACAAATCACAACAATGATGGGTGATGATGCCAATTACCTTGACCCAAAACGCGACTGGACTACTGGTATATGGGGTCTGCCAACCCACACGAAGAGCAATGGAGAGCGATTCAGTTCCCGAGACTACATCAAGGACACTATTAACGCAAAATTCCCATTGACCCTGAGCATGAATAGCCTGGCAACTCGCGTCCTCTTCGACAAGAACAGTACAGCCTGCGGTGGCAAGCCGCGAGCTACAGGCGTGGAATTCTTGCAAGGCAAGAGTCTCTACAAAGCTGATGCGCGCTACGTCGACGGCACCAAAGGCACTCTTAAGACCGCAACTGCGCGCAAGGAAGTTATCGTATCCGGGGGCACGTTCAACACACCCCAACTGCTCATGCTTTCCGGTATCGGCCCCAAAGAACAGCTTGCCCAATTCAACATCCCGCTTCTGGTCGACGCTCAAGGCGTAGGCAAGAACATGCAAGACAACCAAGAAATGCCTATCATCGGACAAGTCTCTGGCGCCACGAGCGGTGGCTTCAGCCAACCCATCATCATGATGAAAACCCCCCACTCCCCAGACGGAGAAAGAGATATGTTCGTCATGCAAGGTTCCTTCGCTTTCCGGGGCTTCTGGCCCTCCAACCAATCTAACTCGGCCCTGCCCCAGGACGGCCCAGGGACATATGGCATCTCGATGGTGAAGAACCATCCGCAGAACAAAAAGGGATACGTGAAACTACTCAGCGCGAACCCGCAGGATGTCCCCGAGATCAATTTCATGTTGTACGAAGAGGGCAAGGAAACGGACATGGGCGCCATGAAAGACACCATCGCGTGGGCGCGACAAATGTATAAATCTGCAAAAGGCATCACGGTCACCGCGGCAGAGCCGCCTTGTCCAAACGGCCCTGACGCGAACGGGTATTGTGGCCAGAACGATGAAGATTGGATTGTAGGACAGACGTTTGGGCATCATCCTACGAGTACTGCGGCAATTGGGAAGGATGGTGATCCGATGGCGGTGTTGGATAGTCGGTTTAGAGTGAGAGGGGTCGCCGGGTTGAGGGTGGTCGACGCAAGTGTTTACCCCAGGATTCCGGGGGTTTTCCCGGTGGTGAGCACGTTTATGGTTAGCGAGAAGGCGAGTGATACGATTAAGGAGGATGCTGGGAAGGCTGTATGCGCTGCTTAGAGTGGGTGCTTAGAGTTGATATTGAAGAAGAGTTGGAAGTGGTTGTATTGCCTGTATTGCTTGTACATATTGAAGAGAGTTGGACAATCGCTTGAGAAAAGCTGAAAACGGAAAACATATAAATGAAAGGGGATGTTAAGCACAAACTTTGTCAACCAGATTGCTAAACATGTAATGCTAATCAATTAGTACATCTTTGATCCGGTGGTATAAATTCCAATCCCAGCCCCTCAAATACCTTCCTTTCCGCATCCTCTGCCGTCCCCTGGACGCCATCTGGCCCCTCTAATTGTATGACTTCCCCAGTATGTCGACTCCGTATCCCACTACTATCAAACTTCCAACCTCTCACGTACTTCGTGTATCTTCTCAAGTCTCGCTGAAACGTCGTCCCGCCACTCCATCCTAGAACCGCGCAACCCACCGTCCGCCAGGGAGACACAATGATATCGACCCGACGGTGCATATTCGGGTTCTTTGCACTAGGGTTATCCTTCTTATCATCCTCCTTCGTCGGCCAAAGCGGATTCTGCCAAACCACGAGCGCTTTATCTAGGGTATCAAAGCCGCCCCCAGATGCCTTTGTAGTTCGAAACGGAAGCGTGGACTGGCCTCTGTTTGTGCCATTCAGACTCATTGTTAGGGTATGTGTAATCCACTCTGCATCTTCAAGGGACTCAACCATGTCTTTGATTAAATTCGCCGTAGCCTCGAGATCGGGGTGTGAGACAATGATGTCGACATCACCTGATGCTTCTTTCCCTCGTCGGTAGCCACCGACGATCGTGACGGAGATGCGGGTGTCACGGGCGCGGATAGCATGCTTATGGACGACAGACGCGATCTGTTCGACTTCCGCCCTAGGTATCGGGTCTAGGAATTCGTCGTAGTATTTCACACCGATTTGCTGCACGCGGTCTAGATCGTGCCATCCAAATTCAATGATATCATCGAGTTCCGTCCAATTATTCTGATAGAAGAACTGGCGGGATGTCTTGGCACCAACGCCCAAAATATCGTAGAACAGGCGCAGCACTTTCATAGTTTCGTCATTTTCGAAGTCCTCAACAGCCCGGATCTTGCCCGTATTCTTCCACTCGAACCAAAGGGTTGCAATTTTGTTTTCGCAGCCAGGAAGGCGGAGAATCTCGTGCGGGTAGATGAATTTGTAAGGATATGATGCAATGGCGGCAATGCTGGTAGAGTATGCCCGCACTCCGATTTGATCATCAATGAGGATCCTAGCTATTCGGATCTTCTTGAGCAATTCGATGAAATCTTCGTTAGGACAATTTAAGGGCGTGAAGCGTTGACATGCATACTTGACGCGCTTTTTCACCCATGGTGGCGGAGGGGGAATGTCACTATCTTCGCCATCGTATTCACTAGTCGTTTGCTGAGGAGGGTGTACTAATTGCGATGGGGTATGGCCAGCTTGTTGGGCAGTTGACATGAATGCCTTTCCTTCAAATCGGTGGGATCCGTGGTCCCTAGACCGGTATCGTTGGTAGTTCGAGCTCGATACTGTGCCAAACCGGTCGGACTTTGCGCGTTCCAAGATACTCTGACCGGTCTGGGGGCGAATTGCGAAGGCGTTTTGAGATGCGGGGGTGACTTCAGGGGTCGGTGAAGATAAACACGTTGCGGCTGGCTGGTGGTATGGTTTTGGCGATGTTGGTCGTTCAAGTACCTTGCCTTTATATACTAAGTGATCCCCAAGAGGAACCAAGGATCCAGCCGTGACACAATCGTGCAGCCAGTTCGTTTTGATGACCCATACAATATCTTCTCCAGTCGGGTTCGCAAACATTGCAGGTGGTGCTGTAGATCTCTTTTCAGATTTGGTGGGGGGAGTGAACGGGGTGTCTCGTTTCGATGCAGGACCTTCGCCGTCTGTCGAGGCCTCGTCTATTGCTTCATCCTCTGTTTCTTCTCCAGCAGAGGACTCGGAATCGATAGAAATTGGTTTTACCTGGGTACCAGAGATCTTTCTTCTCTTGCGCGTGGTCTTATATTTCGCAACACTTGCCGTCCGTTTGGTTTCAATAACCTCCTCAGCCTTAAGCTTCCTCGACCTCAGCTCAAACTCCGCACGTCTCTTTGTGCCTACCTTTCCAATAAACAACTGCGCTTTCGAGGCATCAGAAGTGAGTAGTGCACCATGTCGGCGCAGCGTTGTCTCAACATCGCGCTCTTCATCACCCTTGAAGTGGGCTGATAAGATAAGAATCCGCGGAATGGTGCTTAGATCTGGTGAGATTGACTTGAATTGAGACTTCGCGGTCGGAGACGACGATCCCGTAGGAAGAGGAAGAGAGGAAGAAGGGATCTCATCGTCCATTTCTGGGCACGTGTAACGTAGTAGGCCGATAGAATCAAGCAAGGGAAGATCCAGAACTAGGGTGCGTCCAAGAACCAACGTCTGCGACTTCGCGATAGGTGGTAGCCGGTGAGAGAAGAGCCAGCTAACATTGTAGAATGAGAAAGAGAGATAAGAAGAGCAATAACGAGACTACAGTCGTAATGCTAAAACTGCGTGATGAGGAAATGGTGAAAGAGTTGGCTTCGGGAGGCTGGTGACGACAGTGGGAGAGTCTTGGCATATTTACTTTGTTTAACTTGTTCATCGTGTTCTGTGCACACATTGCTTGAAGTAGGTACATTTCTCTTCTACCTTCCGTCTTATCAACGTGTGGTTCTGCGATAAGTCGTAGATATATAACCTACCATCAACTATATCCCCCAAAAGACGTTCGGAATTTTGATGAGGGTTATTGAGTTACTGACCACCTCTCCCCCTCCACCATCAGAAGCCATGAAACGTAGATTTCCAGGCCCTACACAGAACTTTATTCCCTCTTTATCTCTTCTCCTATCAAAAGAGTGGCTGAAATCTGGTCTCAATCCAGTCAATCTAAGTGAGAACACGCCCTTGCCTTCCCGAAATCCTTCCCAACTACATTCACGTTCCTAGAACGTGCAGTGCCCACAGCAATATAATTCCTGCGGCAAGAGGCTTTCTCACAAACTCTCCCTTCCTTCTATCACTAAGCAGTTCTTCATGTCTCCACTGCCAAGGACGTATCAAGCGGCATCGTGTGCATGCAGGACATATTTCCCTTGCTGTCGATCCCCAGCTGCTGCTTCGGAACCTATGAAGGGAAAGAAACGGGCCCGGTTTTCAGATATAAGAATGAGGAGTAAGTGCACGGGTGCAGAGCTGTCAGTTGGGATGGGCTGGGCTTTGATTGCTTTGTCTGTTTTGCTGATATATTGTCGGCCTTCGAAAGGCATGTTCTCTTGTTGAGTTATCATTGCTCCTTATGCTCCTCGCTCTTTGGAAGAAAGTCGTTCACTCCCAAAGATCTCGTCAAGAAATCCCATCCTGATTACTTGCGTCTTCATCCCCCACCACAGTTCAATCTCATTCTTCTCAAAGCCGGGCTCCCTAGCGTTTGTAGCACATAGCGTTCGCTGTCCCAATCACGACATTGAGTTAAGGACTAATGCTACTGCCTGATGCCTGCTGCTTGCATTGTTGCTTTTGATGCCTATCGCTGCTTCAAATGGCTGCCTTTGAAATTGTAAGCGTAAGATGCCTACCAGTCACTAGTGAAGAACCGGTAGTGCGTGGTCAGAATACTCCACTGCATTCTTTGCTGTCGGGCTGCTAAAAATCATAATGGGACTCCTCGAAAGCCTTGTCCAAACGCCCGCTATACATATGCCACCTTAGCCTTCTGTGCCTTGGAACGCCTAATTTAGATTGATACATCTAGGCCCTAAAGTGTAATTTTCCAAAAAACATGTGGAAAATAGGACCGAGAAAGAGATAAAGTGGTCGGATCGTAAGGGGACTAAACTCCCATAGTAAAGTCATGTTCTATACCTGGAGTGACACTGCAGTACGTTAGCATATATTCGACATCTGCGTGTGACTGGTTCCGTACCTGGCCATGAACTTCAGAAAGACGACGAGGTATTGATCCACGCGGATAGCAACCTCATCTTCCTCAGAGCCACCCTCAAGCACTTCCCACTCGTTATCCTTGCCTTCTTCACCATCTTTAGACTTCGCCTGCTCTGTCAGTTTCAGCAACTTGGTGTCATCCACGAGGCCTTCCATTCCACTATCCACTTTATGAACGTCTTTACCAGCCTTGAGCTTGGCTAGCCTGAGCTTTAATGCAGCATCAGCACGGTCTAAGAGGACCTTCATCACGGATGCGTGTTTGCACGGGTGTACAGAGGCTGTCTTAATGGTGTGATCAAAGAATGGGAAGTCCTCGATGGTGACTGTCTTGTCCTTGTAATCGCCAACAATGTCCTCCATCATCTCCTGGGGCTTTAGTGGCGCTGACGCAGAGCCGTAACCTGACAGGTATAGGCGAGGTGTTCGGTAGTGTGCGGAGTAGCAAATATAGAGGGTGTAGGTTCGGAGAGGTCTACTGTGCTGTTAGTACACTATTCAGTCGACAGCCATCTACGATAGACCAAGAGGACGTACGCAGATGTGTTTCCGCTTCCCTGCGGTTCCCTGATGATGGCCTCTTCATCGTCATCGTCATCCTCCATGTCAGGTATCTCATCATCATCCTCGGCGGCCCCAAGATTCCCGCTCTCATCGACCGTTCGCACGTCCTTAACCTTCGCTTCCTGGCTAGCTGCCATGCCGCCAGTCCTCAACCACCCATCATCGTCTGCTTCGCCCTCGCCAGTAGCGAAACCGTCACGGACCAGAGTCTCGTCTTGGCCAGCCTCTCCAGCAAAGTTGTCGTCAAGGCGGCGGTGACAAGGCACTCCTCGCGTTACTAGGAACTGTTTTCCTTCAGGAAGATACGGGACACGTTTCGACGGCGAAGACGCATCAGCCCACTCCCACGAAGGGAACTTGAACACCAAGAAGTCACCGGCAAGGACGAACTCCTCCGGGGTAATCTGGCCAGTGCTTCTGAAGGTCGACGTGTGGCTGATAGCTGCGGTGCGCTCACGGAAGGTGTCTATGTAGGATCGAACGAAGTTATATGCCATGGTGTCGTGGCGAGTTATCTGTTGAATACTTAGGTAGGTGTGCAAGAGAGAGCTGGGGATTCAAGAGTTGATGGAGGGGGAGGGGTTTCAAGGCTGCCTATCACATAGCTCGTCGGGCCGAATTGTTCCGTGACATGTGGCTCGTGCAGGGGCTGAAAGCCACTGCACATCACGTCATCTGCACCAAACTCCAGCCCCGAGGACATCGAGAGGAGCACTGTAGACCATCATCAAGGTAAGACAGGCAGTCATTCACTACTTCTCTCTTTGACTCACTCTATCCCCGTCCTGTGATTTTGCGCCACGCCTCGACTCAGCGATGGCTGATAAAGGTGGCGCAAACTCCCCATTGAAACTCCCAATCCTCGATCTCTCCAAAGCAAACAACCCAATCCAAAAGCAACGTCTTCTTGAGCAGCTCCACGATGCGCTATTTAATGTCGGCTTCCTGTATATCAAGAACCATGGCGTTGATCTCGAGACTATCTCAAACTTGGTCTCTCTTCTCCCTGCCCTGTTCGGACAACCAGCAGAGGCAAAGGCTGCGCTTTCAAAACTAAACTCTCCACATTTTCTAGGGTATAGTGGTTATGCAGAAGAGATTACTTTGGGTGAAAAGGATCTCCGCGAGCAGTTTGACCTGGCTACAGAACTCCCAGTTGTCTGGGACCCTACTCCCACTGGTTATTCGGAGAAGGGGAATTCAACTTCGGGAAGAGACTTTTCCCACCTGTACTGGCGCCTTCGTGGTCCCAATCAGTGGCCATCAGAAGAACATGTCCCAGGCTTCCGAAGGGCTTTCACAGAGTCAGCTCGTCTGCCTGTCCATCAATATTTGCCCGAAGGCTGATGCCCAAAAAGATATCACGATGCTCTCCAAGCGCTCTCTTATCGATTTGTACACCTTGTAGAGGCTGCGTTCGGAATTCCCGTAGGCACTTTTGATGCCTTTTTCCGGCCTACTCCGGTCCATGACGTCGTACCAACGTTCGTTCCTGCGCAGCACCGCGTCAAACTAGTGAAGTACCCTCCTATCCCGTCATCAGGCGATGGTGTGCGTGGCCAAGGCGTGGGTGCACACAAGGACTCAAGCGGTTGGCTCACTTTTCTATATCAAGTTGGCCAAGAGGAAGGCTTAGAAGTCCTCTGTGCGAATGGAGAATGGATTGCTGCGCCACCGGTTGACGGAACGTTGGTCGTCAATTTCGGAAATGCGTTTGAAGCCGCGACTCAAGGCGCCGTCAAAGCCACTGTGCATAGGGTCTTGGTTTGTGTCTGCACGCTTGGAAAAGCGGCTAGTGTTCGATGCGTGTGCACTAACTTTCGCAGGCCCCAAAGTCAAAAGCATCCCCACGCTACTCCATACCGTTCTTCCAAGGTTTACCCCTCGACCTCACGATTTCCGAAATTCAATCGTACATCCCAGAGAGCGTGCGAAAGCTCCGTCGAGACTCAGCGAACCCGAACCTTCAAGAAAATGTATCGAGCTTTCAGGATCCAAGATGGGATAATCTTGGTGAGTCGCAACTACGAAAGTGGATCAGAAGTCATGAGAATGTTGCTCGGAAGTGGTATGGAAGCAGAGTCACAGCATTTTACCTTCAATGAGCGCTGCTCACGCAAGCACTCTCCAACAATGCCTTGAACATAAACAAGGTTCATGGTTACCTACCCACTACATATCTTCATCCCAATCTTATGACACCATGCAAGATATGACCCTAGATGTGGCAAGCCGGAGGCCTTGCAATCTCCCCTTAATCAAGCCGAGGGTGCGTAACGATCCGATCTGGTTGCACATATTCGAGGGACCAGAGATTCATGGTGCTATGCTGTTGTACGCTCATCGACTTTTCAATGGAGCAAGCGGCAACTCCAGCAACACAGGTTCATATCATGCAGCCTGCTGCATGTATCGCGCATTACCAAACACGACCTGTCATTTCTTCGGCGGATCATCCAGAAACCGCCTCGATCTCAACGGTACCTCACATTAGATCTGATGTCGAGGAACTACTCTCCACTTTCCTTTTCCTGAGACATAGTCAAGAGCCCTTGCTAATGAGTGTATACTACGCATTCCCAAATGAACTCTGTGTTCTCTTTTCGAACACCTCCTTTGTCTCTTACCGCCGTCGTCCCTTCGGTCGTAGATACTCATTTTGACATGGCTTATGAGGGAGCATGCCTTGGCCTATATTGTATTTGATTTTCGCGTCGAGGTAGGCCAAGAGAGGAGTTTCTGTTCTTTCCACACTCTAGGCCACATGAGAAGGGCCCCATTGTACTACAATCGACTGCCTTACGGACGTTTTTGGTGTCTTGCAGGTAGAAGGACACACAATTCGACTTAGTTACGACACACCATCCAATCGCGCCCACTCAGGCCTTAACAGCATGTGCATCAGCCTGCAGACAAGTGGAGGGTAGCCGCCATTGACGATAGTACCGTCGCTGGAACTTCGCCCGGCTGCACGTCTTCACATGGTAAGTGGCAATAACCCCAGAGCAAGCATTCTTGCAGAAAACATGGCTTTAATCCCATATACTTCCCCTTCTTAAGAAACACAACATTGGATTTTGAAGTCGCTATCGGCCACTGATTCAGTAGTCTTTGTTACGCCGAATTGAATGCTGATTGCTCTCGCACGCGCTCTCAGCTTTGTACTTCCCTTCGCAGCTCTGACCATCGCCGAAAAAAGAAGACTATGATGTGATTTGACGTTGCAAAGCAAATTTCATCCCGTCTTGTTGAGCAACACTTGACGATTCTGAAGGACCCATACGATGGAACGGCGTAATCACGGCCATCAGCCTCTTAGGCGTCTCATCATATTTAACTCCTTCATGCCGACGATGTGTAGCAGTAACGGCGTAGCTCACTCCTCCACTCATATTGGCAATCCCGGACTCTTCAAGCGATTATCGCTTTCTCCTGCCCATCGCCCTTTGTAAAAACTGAGCTCTGTCTTCTCTCCAAACTTTCTTGAAGGAGCGACCAGGTCTCACAATATCCTCCTATCCTAGCGGATGGCCAACCCTGAACCAAACAACGCCGAACCTCAACCGCGCTGTGGAGGCCACAAGCCTGACGACCCACCCGGTTCTGTAAATCAGGTAAACATTCAGGTCTATGTCCTCTCCCTATCCTCTCAATAACGCATCTTGTGTCAGAGTAGCTCTGATCGCGTGAATGTGAGCAGGCACTTGAGCACTTGCACGCGTCCGGGAACGGCAATTCGAAGGGCGTCAACCCTAGGACGCGCACTCACTCCCTGATGATGACACCCTAATTCGATAACCAGGGCAAGGACAAGCACTAGAAGTGTACCCCACGGATCTAGGCAATCGCATTCTAATGCTCCCATCTTGCACTCTTTTTCTTCCTGACCAGGGGTGCTTCTAATTTTTCCATGACCACGGCTCTCGAACATGATGCAGCAGCAATGCCTCATCAAGATTGGTGTGGCCTCCTATAGCGTGTTTTCTTAATGCTATTACCCCCAGCAGTCCCAGTGTTTGGCTGATTTCTTGTTCCTCTCCTCATAAGTCTTTTGGAAAGAGTGAAACTTTCTCACCACTTATGTCACAAAATACTTGGTAACTAGTAGTCTTGGTGAATATCAAGCTCTTTCTACTTGACATTAGCAGTTTTTTTCCCTCGTTTGCCATTTTCTCGCTTTTTTCCAGAGATCGCGTTTGCCTTGCTTTTAGACTGTCATGAACCACCAAACAGGTGATGACAAACCTCCATATCTTCATGTGCCATTTTAAACAAGCCTCTCTATTAACGGGTAAGTCACCTAAGATTGCCCTTTCGTTTTCCATCTTACAATTCAAGAGCTGACACCTTTCTGACTTCCGCAAGAAATAAGATCACAGCACTAACTGGTGCACTGGTTAGAAACCCTCTGATACTCAAATGTTCCCCTTCTTCTTCACCTATGCGCTCGCTTGTTATATTCTAGACTGCCATGCATAGTGAAGAACGCTTGTTTATGGCTTATTTTTGGCGGTGGATGGAAAGCGACAGAGAATTGAACAGGGTGGCGTAGTGCACCAGCCTAAATGCTCTTTCGACGGCGAGTCTTCTATTATTTACACAGGACTTTGAAAGACTTACAGAGTATTTATTTAACGAATTCAAGTTTGCTAACATATACCCATTCGGTGTTGCATCATGCCGCGGCTATCACTCGCGCTCTCTTCGTTTGCGCTGGATGTGGATCCCTCTAGCAAGATATATACTGCACTCAACATACCCATTACCACGCCCCCACATCGCAAAATCTTCCTCTTCAAAGACTCCTCTCTCAAGTTCCCCCCCTTTAACCCCCTCGCAGCCCTGGAACCACCCATCTCGATCTCGTGCCCGACTACACTATTCTCAGTTCCTCACTCGTGCCTACTGCTGAAGAATCCCCAGCCGGTACCAAAGTGCCTCTTCAAGTGAGAGTGATTCGGAAAAGGTGTGAGGAGGGGAGTTACATGCTGAGGAGTCTACAGTGGACTGCCAGCGAAGTCTAAGGACGATGGATATAGAATCGAGCATCATGGGAGATATGGGAGAGAGGTAAAGGGTAAGATGTATTGAAGAAGCTGCAGGTTCAGGGGTGTAGTTTCTCCGATCGGGAGTTTTGAGGATAGCGAATGATGTTAGGAGAAGGGTTCGGTCAGCAGGGAGACGGGGGAGTTGATCATGGTGAAAAGAAGAGGGGGAGTGGGGATTAGGATTCTGAGCAATGGGAAACGAGGAACGGGAAACGGAAAGGGAAAGCAAAGAGGGATAAGAGATTGAGTGAGGGCTTGGACTGGGAGAAGTATTAGTTGACGATCCTGATCATTACCTCCTTTAATTTCTCGAGACGCCATTCACACAGATAGGGAGATACCAGAAGATATTCGGACAAATGAGAGGTTCTTCATAGGTCCTGAGATGACAACTCAGTGTTTGAGGCTGTGCAAAATTAACTAAAGGTTGCTGGCCTGGTAAAGCTAGTGGAGATTAACTTTTATTGGTCGTATTTGAGTGAGCCGGTTTTGTGAGTAGTGTGGTATGGGGCGACATGCTGAAGATGGTGGAGAAGAAGCCCTGGAGTATTTGAATGGGAAGATGTAGCACTCTGGTGGACTATTGAGAAGGCTGATGCAGAAGAAATTTGCAGGAAGGAGCGAGAAATTTAGCATCCGTGGGGCGCATGCGTTTCGGGGTACCCCATTCGAGTAACTTAAACAAACTCAAGATATGGGAGTCTGCTACTTAGAATTAAAGCCTTGGATTTACTTATCCAACTCAAGAAATCCGCTGGTATATCCTATCTCACATCCCTACAATGTCCAAAGCTTCCAACGTTCGTTTACGCTCGTTGTCTTCATGCACTTAGTAGCTCTCGGGGGAATGACGTGGATAGGTTCCTTACAGCTAGCATGGTTTTCCACATTATGCAGTGCCCTTTCTAATCCTACATCTGCAGGTTTAAGTCCGAGAGAGCCGATGTTGAACAAATTCCCTTCTGACAGCCAAAGTAGTTCTGGCTCGGTATGTTTCATATATTCCACGTCTACCTTAGTTGCCTCCACACGTGCTAGTGATTCCTGAAATTCTTCTTCTGGTAGAACAGATCCGTCCTCGAACTACCTAAATTGATGATCTTCGGACACCCATCGCGATCCTTCTCGAGCCGCGTGCATTCAAAGCAATAGAACGCATCCGAGATTCCCTCGCCACCACAGACGACGCATTTATTCTGGTAGTTGCCGAAGGAGCATTCGTCGCAGATGTGAGCGAGAGTTGTAGGGCGAACGTAGCTGTCGCAGATTGGACACTTGCCATCGCACTTGTCGCAGAGCCGTCCGATGGAAATTCCCGCCTGCTTTTTGCACATAACCAAATCACTGGGAGTAGTTAGCATTGTGTGGCAAGGAAGGAGAGCGGGGTTGAAACTTGCGGATGATGGCGAGACATGTCTGGTTGGGTCCCAGAAAGTAGATGCGGTGGTCGTCGAGTTATCAAGGGTTGAAAAAGGTCGATGGTAAAGGTGTGGCAGTTTTAAAGTGTAAGTGTTGTGACAGAGGGGATTAATAAGACGCGCCTGATCACGTGAAAGGCTAAACTACGGCAGAACGTCGGCGCATATCTTGCTTCTTGAGCTTGCACTCGCCCAAACACGAAACAGTAACGACTATGTCGTGATCACGACATCTTGTCAACCTTACCCCTATCCAGGTGTGCGCCGCTAATCCCAAGTAAATCAACCATGGATGGGATTGCATCCGCTGTAATGCTCCCTGAGCCACCGGAGTCCCCCCCAGCTGAAGCCTCCGACACAGCGTCCAGCGCTCAGAAGAGACGGCAATCATCAGTGTCCGATGATCAAGATGGAAAACGCCAGCGTGTGAACAGCGTCACCGACTCTTCATTCCAGCGTGGCTCAACAAATGTCAACGCCTCCCCAGAAGCTGCATCCCTGAGGCGGAGGAGCTCAGTAGCTGTGAATGCGCAGGAACGAGGCCGAGAAAGAAGGCTTTTCGGCGCCGCTTTGGGTGCTCTCTCACGTCCAGCTACCACAGCGCAGAACCGCCGAAGTCAGATAGAGAGCCGCCAACGAGCGAGGCTCCAGCATGAAGAGGAGGACAACAAGCAGAGGAAGATGGAGCGCATGGCTCAGCGCAATGCTCAGCGCGAAATTGAGCAGAAGAAGTTCGAAGAATCGGCGGTATGGTCACACATGACGATTTGTTGCATAGGGTGCATATGCTAAGAGCTTCCACAGATGCACGTCCGGCACGAGGCCCTCCTCAACATGGCCCACTTCCTCAAGACCACATCTGAGCCTGTCCTGGTAAGTGTCGTCAAACTGCAACAGAAGACTTCTCTGCCCAATTAACCCTCCTCGCTAACGCCAAATATCTGTGCAGTATTATAAGCCTTGGGAGACGACGCCTGACGAAGACGAAGTGATTGCAGATCAAATCAATGAAGCGCGAGCAATTATTGATAAGGAATGTGCAGATCTCCCTTCCCAACAAGTTCAGGAGGATCAGCGGGATCGGGACGCCGACCGTGATGCAGATGCACGTCGCCCAGACAGTAAACAGGGTAAGGAACTTGATGCACAAACGCCCCTCCAGCACACTACAATCAATGGAGTTACTAAAGACAGCAAACCAGCCGGTCCCAAGGACCGGGAACTGAGCGAAGATCATGCGGGCGCCAGCGCAAACGAGGCGGTGAGTGGGGAACGAGCAAATGATGTGGAAGAAACGGCCTCAGCGAGTCATGCTGCTGCAGCGGAAGACGGTAGTAAAGACCTACTGGACGATACAATGGGGGAGGAGATGGTAGAAGCCGCGGAGGACACGGTGATATACTGAATTCGCACAGGACATATTCTGGTACTGGGCTCTCGGTCCGCCGGAGAGGTCTCGTCAGGTCGGATTCACGACTGGCGCGGTAGACATTTGCCAGCATGCTCGGTTGTAAGATATGACCCACTTAATTAGAATTTTGGTACATGACAACAATGGTTGAGGGCGTGAGGGAAATCAACTTTGGAGACGGGGCGCATGTATCTTTTCGATACCGCATTACATCAACTTCACCATGACGACCTCTATCACTTTGCATGTTTCGGATTGACGGCTCTCCGCTAAACAGTACCGTATGATCTCATCCTTCTCGAACCCATGCAATTGGCAAGGGGTTCAAGCCCTCGCAAGACCACAGCCTTTGTCCCGGCACTCCGGGTCGGCCGGAATGAAAGCATGCAGCGCGCTGTTCTCCTACCAGTTTGCATGCATGAACGCCGGCAAATCGCAGAGAGCGGCCGTCAACGAGACCGCCTTCACCCGGCTGCAGCTTCCTGGCAAACACGCCCACACATCAGAAGTACTATTCATGTACTTCTCCCGGCATCGGAAAGCATGACGAAACCCCCCCACGGCAAGCGGGATGCAAATTGCACGATGTTCCAGAACTCTGCATCCCTATAGTGCTCATGCTCTATAGCTTTATGACATCGTGGACGTGGCATTTAGCAGAGATTTGAGGAGCATTTGTGTAAAGAGAAGGGGCTTATGCAGCTGCTCAGAGCGCGGTAGTGTAGCTCCCCTCACCTATGGTTGTGCGAGATGCCTCGGCTACTTGGTTGTAGCTCCAGCACCTTGATCATTCATCACCTGCAATTCTGATCTTCTCGGCTGTTCCTTCGCTTCACTTTCGCAATATATCAGGCCAACTAGGATCCTCTCAATCTATTTGCGTTTCTTCCATCTTCAAATCCCTTTTTGCCAAACACGAGATAAGACACAGATCTTGCATTGCGTCATGCCGCTCGAGCCAATCAATCCCGTGTCTGACCCACGCATAGAGCGCAAGACGGCAGTGCTCAATGGCTTCACCTATCACTATCTCTATGGTGTTCCACCTGGGGAAAAGCTCATAGCTACAGTGTTTCTGGTAAGTATACCGGTCCCGTCTAGAATCAACCGGTGGTTAATCCATTGGTGGTGAGGATGGGCAAAGTGGCTAACAGAACGAAACCCATCTCAGATTCATGGTTGGCCAGATCTTAGTCTCGGATGGAGGTATCAGATTCCGCTGCTCCTAGATATGGGGTTCAGGATCGTAGCTCCGGATATGATGGGATATGGTGGCACGGTAGGCACGCAGCACCTGCTTGAGCCGGCCTTGTGATATCATCACTTTTTTTATGGCTACTTCGAAAGCTATTTGCACATGCAGTTCTATGCATATTACACCAAGATCGCCGACTCTAAGGAGAGATCGTTTCCTATTGCACTAGGGAGACCCAAGCTGAGTCTGGAATATAGGACGCCCCAAAGGTCCCGCCCAACCCCATCAACTTATATGGTCTGAAGAGGGCCTCAGACGACATTGCTGAGCTTGCCAGGCAGCTGGGCGCAGAGAAGATCATACTTGGAGGCCACGACTGGTAAGAATATACCCCTACCGAGTAGAGCGGCTATACCTTCGGTTGCTGATAATTCATTCAGGGGAGGATTCGTCGTGTGGCGGGCGGCGCAATGGTAGGGGCTTATGAAAACGGGCACGAGACCATAGGAGGCGAAGACTGACACGTGCCCAGGCATCCAGAGTTGATATCGCACGTCTTTTCTGTTTGCACTCCGTATACGGCTCCTCAGAAAGAATACTTGTCGCTAGAGGATCTCGTCAAGAGCGCTTTGCCACAGTTCGCCTATCAGATCCATCTCGCTTCTGGTGAGGTGGAGAAAAGTGTCAATTCCGAAGAGTCGGTAAGGCAATTTCTCAAAGGATTGTACGGTGGAAGAGGGCCCAATGGGGAGTACGCTTTCGATCCGCACAAGGGTGTCTTGCCAGAGAACCTATCAAAAATTGGCAATAGCAAGATATTGAATGGCAAAGTAAGTCTCCAGAGAATGAGGCCACGTTGTAGTAGCCGCATTGGGGGAGGATTTCCTCGACTATGCGGGCTTGTCCGAGGGGCGCATCCCTCTCTCGTTGTTGATGCTTCAGCCGATGGAGGTCTGGTGACTTTAAACAACGCCACTGGTTTGCTGACCCAGCAAAATAGGTACTCGACTACTATGTGAAAGAGTATTCGCGACATGGAATACACAGTACCTGTAAGTTGGGCTGCGCACTCCGCTCCACAGTGGCGTGATTCTGATGAATGCAGTAAATTGGTATCGGACACGAATGGTGAACTGGGAGGAGGACCTCGCGTGAGTGACAAGGAAATTGAGGACTTCAGACCCCGATTCTCTAACGTTGAATAGGTTACAGGATAAGAAAACAATTTCAATCCCTACACTTTTCGTGCAGGCGACCTACGACTCAGTCTTGAAACCCGAGATGTCAAAAACCATGGAGGCCTTTCTACCGAATCTAACTAGAGGAGAGGTGGCGGCTACGCACTGGGCTTTGACGCAGAAACCAGAAGAAGTCAACGCCATTCTCAGGAATTGGCTGAAAGGTCAGGGATTCGGGACCAAGAGTTCTTTGTAAGCGGCTTCCAATGGTCTACTCGGGAAAACGTCTATTTGAGGTGAAGATGCGGTGAGGATCTCTACATTCCTGCTAAGTGTGGCTGTCGATATGAAGCGAGGTGTGCGGCTCAAAGGTCGTGGTTCCTGTGCGATATCGGGATCGATAGGTAGCTAGCGATTCAGAACGGCTGAGCAAGCACGCGAGTGTTGAGACCCTTGAATTCTGCATCTCGTCGGGCTTTCGTTCTTGCACATGTTTCGAGAAGTGGCATGGCGTCGAATTCGCAAGATGTCGCTTTCGGGATCTCTGATGCACCAAAGGCCCGGGAAGTGGCGGAAGCAGAAATCAGGCGGAGAGCCAAGAGGAAACCATTGCGGTACACACATGGCCCCCGCCTGGGGAACGTTCTGCCAGCTATCTCGATATTGGCGCCCAGGGCTTGTCGATATACTGTCGATGTATCTAGGGGGATGTCGGATGAACAGCCAGCCCTCATGCAAGTTCTGTTGCTGTGCAACTTCTTCAGCCAGTGAAGAAGTGGTTTTTTGCCTTGTGGTTAGTCGGTGATGGAAACAGGACTTAAAAAGGCGGTATTATTGTCATGATGGGTGCGGAACCTTCTCTCCGGCTCTGTTCGTAAAGGAGGATGGAAAGGGTACCTGACATCCGACATTTAACTCGCAGCTTGAGGGAGCTTGCGCTGCTGCGCTGCGGGGCAAGCCAGGCGGATTGCTGCTGAGCTCACGGGCACGCTCACCGCTGCGATGCCGTGAGTTAAATGCCCGAGTTTTATTCGAAACTCAATTTTGCTGGACGGAGAGCATGCTCGAAGGACTAAAAAGACCGCCTCTCACCGCCTTCCAGAAACAACATGACCTGCATAAGTGTCAGGTTCAGGCTTGCCTGAAGGACCGGGTCTTCTCGTATGGTCGACAACGGGTCCTGCAGTGCTGATCTGGGCGTAGGGACCGGCCTGCAATATAAATCTCAGAAACGTGCCTTATCAGTTGGCCTGCGCGGGCATTAGTCAATTGCATTTGCTGTTCGAGCTTCCTGCCTTCCTACGGGCTGGGATTTGAGGACAATTAACGTACCCGGGACCACCACAGTGCTCTGCCGCGTAGGGTGTGGCATTACGGATCCATAGACTCTGAAGGTCCTCGAATGAGCACATTTCGGGCAATCGGAGACTCGGAGGAAATGCTGCTTATTCCACTTACTCGTCACACAGCAACTTCCATGCCCACCACCCGAAACTTCAACCGTGGCATCATTAGTCCTTCCGATGTTCAATCGCACTCATCGCGGAGCAGAAGCAGATCTTGGACATTTCTGCATCCGGCTATACATTCGAGGTACATGAGCACACACCAATCCCTTGCAAACTGGCCGGCTTTGACTTCCGGTCATTCGTTCACTGAGGCGTCGGGGTGACGCTCTGATAAGCTCGCCCTGTACCCTGGAATGTTCCAACATACCGGTACTGCCACATGAGATGCTCGGTAGCAGTGGACCAGTAGTGCCGCGATGCATGGCCGACTTCCCAACTGCCCAACGACACCCCCGTCCTCAACAGCGCCGTTAAGGTACCACAAATGGATCCGTCGCAGTCGTCTACCGGGAGGGCCACCTTTTCTCTGGAGGCGAACGTTCGTCAACTCTCGCCCCTGAGCAAATTACGGTTCTCGGCCCTACACACGCAGTTCCGGGGCCGTCCTCGAAAATTGCAAAGCCTTCTGGCTGGTGATGGGACCACATTTTCAAATTTTCAAAGGCCCGAGATTACAGCTGTTCTACCCTATTGCGCTTGAAAGAGGGTGTGAGCGGCGTTGCTCGCTCCAAGATTTTCCACGATGCTCCTTTGAGGCGTGCCAGCCCACATATCAGGCTGAACGTTTCCTGCGCCCAGGAATAATGGGCCCACGCAGGCATTCCACACTGCACTCACTTCCACCGGTAAACCGCGGTGCTTCTCGCGCAGCATTCGATGTCGGCTCCACAGCGGCACACTTGCCTTATCTCTGTTTCACCACGCTGTGCTGCTGCTGATAGACAGCCCGGGGCACACGAAACAGTTGTATCCATTTTACACCCCTGCCTACGGCCTGCACCCGACGCAGCTGCTACCCATGTACCGGAGCTCCAAAGCTGCTGATCCGGTAGAAAGTGAGTCGAACAACCAAGCCTGCAGTTGTAGTTTGTCGGCCTTCCTCACCCCGGACGTATCCACATAGAGATCTAGCCTCATATATATTCAGCTTAACGGGATAAAGAAAAGGCTACGCGAAGCCACCCATTCCGAGTCTGCACATCCCTATCCATGTAGCACGCCAGATTGATCCGTCCAGCAAATGACGTGGTTGCTCTGGAACTTTTTTTTATGCGATTTCACTATCTCGCCGATGCACTAACGAAAGCGCTGACCCAATCTTGCGCCTGTTGATCGTGGGTATGCCCACTATGTATATCAGCCTCCACGCTCCCGTGGGGTGTGGTCAAGCTATCTTTCCTCCCCTCTTCTTTGCTCAATCCTTCTGTAGGACTTCTATCCCCCTCGAGCTCAGTCGTCATGGCCCCTTCAGCGTTGGCGGATATCTATCCAATCCCAGCAAGGCACTATTCCAAAGCTGCCACAATCCAAGCTTCTGTCTTGCATGGGCCAAGGGATTTGCGGCTCGTATGCTTTCCCCGTTCCGTTGATTTATCCCACACTTCCCACCTTCGTGGGGGGTTTCTATGTGTTGGCTGTTGAAGCTAATCATGAATTAGGAAACTCGTACCATCACCGACCCTGGACCAAATGAACTCCAGATCGCTATCAAAGCCACCGGCGTCTGTGGCAGCGATGTTTCATACTTCAACAAGTTCCGTAATGGCGACCTCCAGGCCGTTATGCCACTATCTCTCGGGCATGAGTCTGCTGGTATCGTAGTAGCTATCGGCGACGCTGTCACTGGGTTCCAGATCGGCGAACGGGTCGCGTTGGAGGTTGGAGTACCGTGTGACAATTGTCGGTCATGTCAGCGAGGTCGATATAACCTTTGCCCTGGAATGAGGTTCCGAAGTAGTGCCAAGTCTGTGCCTCACTTCCAGGGAACTCTCCAGGAACGGATCAACCACCCCGCAAAATGGTGCCACAAGTATGTCTTGCATGAACGGTTGAAAAAGCAACACATGACTGATAACCTTATCTAGGATCCCCTCCCATGTGTCATTAGAAGCTGCTGCTCTCTTAGAGCCACTCTCGGTTGCTATCCACGCGACTCGGAGGGCTTCAGTAGAACAGGGTGACACGGTCATTGTCTTCGGTGCGGGCACCGTTGGCTTATTGGTGGCTGCTATGGCTAAGATGTCTGGCGCCACAACCGTCGTAATCGCCGATATCGACAGTGGTCGCGTGAACTACGCCCTCCAAAACGGATTCGCAACGAAGGGCTATATCGTAACGCCAAGAAGACATCTCAGCGAGACCGCTGATAAGCTTGCCGCAGCGAAAGAGCTGTCTGGTGATGTTATGGAGATTGCTTCCCTTCACGATGATGACTTTGAGGGCGCCGACGTGACTTTCGACTGCACTGGAAAGGAGATTTGCATGCAGGCTGGACTCTACGTAAGTCACGATGACCTACAACTCAGAAGCCAATATCTAACAAAACACACAGAGTACAAGACCTGGCGGAAAGCTCATCATGGTCGGCATGGGCACTCCAATACAGACTCTTCCCATGTCTGCATCTCACCTGAAAGAAGTTGATATCATTGGAATCTTCCGCTACGCCAACACATACCCGACAGGCATAAAAATCCTCTCTTCTGGCGTGTTGCCAAACCTCAACAACATGGTGACACACCGTTTCAAAGGTCTTGCTGCTGCAAAAGACGCCTTCGAGCTTGCCGGGAAAACCGTCGACAAAGATGGCAAACTTGTCCTAAAAGTTCTCGTCGAGGCTTAAGCCTGTCATCTTCCTTCTACCCCCGTCCACGAGCAAAATGCCCCATCCCCTAATATTCTCATCAAAGTGTGTTCAACACTTCCAGCTTTTCCGCTCTTTGACTTTCAAATCACGACATACGAACGAAATAGATCAGATTTAGAAGGTGTTGGAACAAAATTAACGACCCGTGGATCGCCGGCGTCTGGATGCTTTTCTTCCTCTTTTCGGAAAGACGAAAGATACCAAGTCGAGTTAGGTTTCGGATTTTTCGGATTCTCGGATTCATTTGTTGCAGGCAGGCTAGCTTAGATGGGGACTGGTTGGTTGGCTGGTGGTCTGGTTGGAGAAGAGTCATGGTAGAATATGCTAGAGTAATTTCTCGGATTTACGATATTATTACCAATGCTTTCTTTCAACCTCGCCTTCTTTGGGTTTGCTTTGCATTAGTGAATAGTGATCATGTCAAGCCACTGCATCTCACAATAGCAGCGCTGCTGAAGCAGTACGGTTATCGCTTGATCATTGATCTGTCTATCCTTTTTCAGACATTTAATATAGTAAGCGCTAATGTGCTGTATCACAGGTGGCTGGTTTCGGACTTGACTATCTCCTCTTTAGCCAGGCAAATGAGTATCAAGCTCGCGTGATCTATATAGTCACTACGGTTTTCGCATATGATCCGCCAGATACGCAGCCCCATTGAAACGAAACACTCGACCTGGAGATGATGTTGATCAGCTTTGGTGATAGAAGGTCTAGCTGTAGAGCCGTGCTCAATTCAGTCTCTATATGAAGGTGAACCATCAGCACATGAACACGCTTCTCTTCAGATCGATCTTGGGGCCTCGACTCAAGCGAACGATAATATTGAGAAGTAATGTGACAGGCGTTCAAGATGGAAGAGGTGAGGTTAACGATAGGCGCTGTTCCCATGAGGCTTTCACGTGAGCGGATTATTGTTTTACCGGCTTGGCAAAAGTTCCCATGTGCCAAGTCTCACTGCCTAATTCCACAAGCTCCCCGCGCTGAAGTCAACAATAACACCAAGCTGCCAATTCTTGCTCTTCCTTTCTCTCGCCCCCCTCTGTAATTCCAATCTCATCTCCCAAAGATACTAAAACCATGGCGGAAGACTTGGTAAATTCTCTCATATCAACTACCCACGCCTCCGACACCAGCCCCTCCGTCCAGCTTCATCCACTAGTTCTCCTCACAATATCGGATTCTATTACACGCCACACTCTACGTCAGCAAAAGGGGCCGGTAGCTGGAGCTATATTAGGTCAGCAGAATGGCCAGGAAATCACAATGGAGGTTGCATTTCAGGCAAAGCTGAAGGAGAACGATGATGGGGACGTAGTGCTGGATGACGAATGGTTCAGCAAGCGGTTAGATGACTGTGAGCTCGTCGGATTTCCTGGAGGATACTTACTTCCTCGGGGTAGTAACGTCGGGATCTAACGATCATAATAGTCAAAGACGTCCACAAGCAACCTCCACTCGACATCGTCGGTTGGTTCACGCTCGGTCCTGCATCAGGCCCACAGCTGCAACACCTTCCGATTCACCGTCGGATTTCAGAACTCTACAATGATACGCCAATTCTCTGCCTCTTCCATCCAGCTGATGCTCGGTCTGAGGCCACCGCTGCTGGCAAGCTACCCCTCACTCTCTACGAATCCGTATATGAGAATCCCACTGGTGGGCCGAACGACAAGGCTATGGACATTGATGGTGCGGTACACACCAAACTACTGAAATTCAAGGAGCTGGTGTATACTGTTGAGACTGGAGAAGCTGAGATGATTGGCGTAGATTTTGTTGCGCGGGGAGGCGGGAATGCGACGGCTGTTGAGGCAACAAGTGCGCCTATACCGAAAGGAGAGGGAAACAAGCCGACGGAAGAAGAGAAGGGGAAGAAAGGGAAGGGCAAGCAAAAAGAAAAGCAGAGGGAGGAAACCATCGATGAGTCTACAGTGCTAACTGCGGAAGACGAAGAGCGTATGTTGGAACCTACATCCTACAAGCCTCCTCCAAGTCCCCTACAAGCCAGTTAGTTGTACTAACAGATTGTAGTCCTATCTACTCTCACAGCAAAAGCAAACGCCATCCGCATGCTCTCGCGCCGGATATCCCTGTTACGCGCCTACCTCGCCTCCCTCCCACCATCTTACCTCTCCGACCACTCTCTCCCGCTCACACCCCCGCCCGACGCCAAACACCCGCTCCCATTAAACCACACCATCCTCCGCAGCATCTCCGCCATGCTCTCTCGCATCAACATCCTCGCCCCACCCGACTCCGAAGCCTTCACCCTCGAATCGCACCAAGAATCTTCCGACGTACAACTAATCGCGCTGTTATCTTCAATCACAAACTCAGTGTCCGCAGCCAAGGAATTTGGTCGCAAGAGCAATATCATCGAGCACGCAAAACACCAGGGTAGGAAAGGCGGACTCGGCATGATGATGAGCGGGTACGAAGGGTCCGGCGGTCCTGGCAACTATCTCGACATTATGGGCGCGGGAGGTGGACGGCAATTTGGCGCTGAGAGGTGGGGATGATCATGAGGATATGATACGGTTAGACACTCGCATCGAGTATCTTTGACTGACGGCCCTCTGATAGGGAACGAGCGACTCGGTTCTCGGAGTGCGTCGTGAGGAGATGGCAGCAGTGTCGAGCTGAGTTGGCTCCTTGGTGGCTTAGGAAGGGGGCTATTTAAGGGCTATAGCATGGTGGAATGGTGCCTTTGAGATTGGCATAGAAGGCGTTGCTATGCATGCGTGCGCGCACGCTCTAGAAAAAGCTGCATAGATAGATAATCCTAACGAACGAGGACATCGCGAGGGAGCTTCGCCTTGTCTGGGACTCAAATGAATGGGTTTCGAGTAGAACTAAGCAAGAGAGTCTTTTTAACAGATCTCAACGTCTTTATAGCCACTAAAGTGAATATAGAAAGTGATATCTTGGATGGCATGTCAGGCTCAAAATCTTTAGTATTTTGTGGGATATCAATATCCCGGGTTGCCTAGCTAGCGAAGTAGGAATGGTGTGGTAAATCAGAACTGCGCCGTAAGGAAGTATCTTAGCACGTTAAGGTTGATGAAGGTAGTCATGCCGGAGAAGAATAGTTGCATAGCGACTCCTCGATGACCAGCTTAATGGTGTGGTGCTCGAAACATTAAATTAGGAAAGTCAGGGTACATAACTTCCAGGATCCACCCTCGAAATCACAACGAAAGTGTCAATGGTAATGGCCGTCGCAAACCAGGGAGACCTCCCAACTCAATCACCCCTCTAGAAGAGTCCCCTCAATCCTATTTCACTTCCAGGACGTTGGATCTGTGAGCTCCCTTCCACCCTCCGTTGGACTGCCAACCATCTGCCTCGCGAACTTCCTCGCAATATGCAAATACCTAGCGTATTCCTTTTTGCTCTTTTGCCTTGTTTGTAGCTCCTCGTGAATTTTCTGTAGGTCGGTATGGAGCTTGTCAGCCTTTGACCATGTCGTTGGGGAGGAGAGAGAAGCGTCGGGATGCTGGTTTATGTTTGCAAAAAGTGAGAGTAAAGAATCCTCGGGGATTTCTTGTGGCTGGGGTGTACGGTTGGGGCTGGCTTCGATGACTTCCCAGAACAGTTTGAGGACCTGTTCCACCTGAACTTGCTGCATCCAAGAGTTTGGCTTGGAAATTGGCTTGACGCTGTCCATCCTGGTTATGCTGGATGAGGATTGGGCGTCGATGTCGAGACCCCAGGCTATTAGATCACCGCCTGCTGATGGACTTTCACTATCGAATTCACAGTTGGAGAAGTTTGTTTGGCTGAGTTGGGTGGGCAAGTTAAACGCTTCCGCGACTGGGTCAACGCCCGCACCCGCACCCGCATCAGGTTCTGTAAGGCCGCCTTGGCTGGATTTAGTCCCGGCATTCTCTTCGCGATCCCACGCATGTCCATAGTGGACGTTAGTATCTTGGCCATCCCTAGGGCCGCCAAACTGTACCAGAATATACTCATGCTGGTAAATTTGGCTGTCCGCTGGATGCGTCGTATAATCCAATGGTGCAGCATCTGTGTACTCCAGCGGGAAACGGTCTATATCTGGTCCAGGGTTAGGAGGATCCCATAGCTCTGCAGGTGATAGCAGACTTGGATCTAATCCATCTTCTTTCAGCCCTCCATCTTGTTGGATATGACCATCTAGTACTTCCTCAGGTTGCACTTCGTTGCTCAGAGGCGACTTCTTGTTCACTTTCTGGCCCATACTAGCCCTCTGAATGCTGACTTTGTCCGACGGAAAATGATCCCGAATCTTCCAGGCTGCTGCATCATAGTCTTTGCTGATCTGCTCGATATGTTCAGCGACTGAGTATTGTCCTGGGAGGTCCTTTTCAATGAGCCGAGCAAGGAACGTTTTCGCTTTGTTAAGCTTAGATATCCACGGAGCTTCCCACTCTTGTCTAAGGCATGACCCGCAGGCGGTCGATGCATTGACTAGCATGTAACCGTCTGCGCTGCATGCAGTGATCTTTCTGGTCCGTGTCTCCTTGTGCGAAGTCCCGCGGCAACGAGACTTCCTCACTCGGACTAGGTGTCCGCATTCATATCTGAGGCGAATGACCTTACACATTGCTGTAGACTAGTTGAGAGAGCTCGCGTATTGTAAGACGTGAGGGTTGTTGAAGTATCGTGATGAATACCATTAGAGAATCCTTAGCAGAGATAGCAGAGATAGCAGAGATAGCAGAGATAGCAGCTGTTGGCTGAGAAACAAGATTGATGACACGATATGGAAGTGAAGAAGGACAGGCTGACTGGACCGTCTAGGTTGGCGGTGAACGCAGTAGTGAATCGTACTTAGCTCTGTTGACACCAAAGCTCCGTCTTTTATTGTTTGCAAGTGACTGTGTCAGTCATGAGGCATTGGCCACAGCGAATGAGATACCTGCACCGAATGGTGGCCTCGTCCAGATCTACGTTGGAGAAGACTACAGCTTCGGTCTCGCACAGTGCAGGGAAGCTATCTAACAAGATGTTAAAGGAATGCGTATTTAGAGAGAGCAGAGGGCGTGGTCAAGCCCCGTCGAGTGCTAGAGGTAAATTGAGAAGAAGTCATGGCTATCGTCGGGCTGCAATAAAGATAGCGTTAGTGCGGTGAAGTGTCATCAACGGACGGTTCATCCGTTATCTCAGAAACGCGCCAAGACCAATAGCGCGAAGTCAGAAGAATACGCTATCACCTGACCGCAATGGCAACTTCCATCAGAAACAGTCCTCTCTAACGACCAAGAAATCCTAGCAATAGTCTGAAAACCTTATCACAAATGTTATTGTAGACCGCGCAAACATCCCTCATCCTACAACTTCAGCAGTAACGGCATAAACTTACCACACTCCCCAGAGGAACCCCAACCCTCTTCCTCCCATCCATCCATATGCCGAAATCTCCCTCAATCTTTATCAAACCCCCTTCCTCAACAAAACGCAATCCCATCAACATGACCCCTCCATGGCCCAAATGCCGGCTATGTCAGCAGTCCCACCTCGCATGAAACACCCAATCACCCAGGATCCGGCATCTCGGACCCAGATCAAGGTTCGCTTTAAATACTACCGGATCAGCGGATCCCTTCAGGATCCATGTTTGGGATTGAAACTGGTGATACTGATACTTCCTGAGGCTTCGAGAAGGGCTAGGTAACACAGGAGATCCCAGTCAATCAGTCACGTTTTCTGCCCAAGGGGTTTGGGAGAAAGGCTTTCTAAGCAAGCCCCAAATGCAGGTGTATGGGGCAAGGCAGAAGAGCAACTTGAATATGCATAAGAGAGAACATTGATAAGGATTGGCTTCAAGCCTGCTTGATTAGAATATCCCGCTTCCGTACGTACACTGTGATACAAAAGAAAAGGTATAGTGCTGCGCATAGGCGATGAGTAATACCAGACGACCCGTCTCGTCAATTCGTTGCGTATCTCGCATTATCCGTTACCCATCATTTTTCTCCCATTATTCATGAATCCAGAAAGGCTCGAGGGAAGTATTCATCCAATCCCATTTGCCACGATCCAGGACTGTACATCCAACAACAAAGGAAACGAATACTACTACGAATATTAGTATCGCACAATAGGAGACAACGCCGCTTCGTCCTGAATCATAACGCCGCCCTTGATCCCGTTCTTTTCGAATTGATCCATCCAATTCTCCTTCTTGTCCTTCCTTAACATCCATCCGCTCAACACCTTCCTGAGCTTTGAGCCCTTTTCCTCCCTGGGTGTGTCATGTTGTGGTTTAATTTGAACAACATTTGGATAGGCGAAATCGTTATTGCGATGCATACTTGCTACGTCTGCGCTAATCTTTCTCGAAAAGTTTGGCGGTGCTTCCAAGCGGCCTTGATCAGAGCTCATTTTCATGCCCGGAGACCCGGGGGCAGTGCTTGTACTATGCTGATGAGCATGACTATTGACTCGGAGCCTTAGTTGATCGTCAAAGTTCTTGGACGAGTCCATTGCCGACATCAGTTGATCGAAGTCCATGGAGAACTCTGGTTTGTGTCCGGCTCTCGACGTCTGCTTTGGAGCCGCAACGATCTGGACTTTCTGTACATGGGAGGGGGTCCGAGCAACCTGCGCAGAAGGCTGAGGGAAGGTCGAGTTCGCGTATCGCATCGCTAGAGTGTCGGATCCGCTCCTTCGGTGATGTCTCCGAACAGCTGCAGCGTAATCCTGCTGCTGCTGATCCTGCGAACGCATGAGAGTCGCGATGTGGGCACCCTGAGCTTGGGACTTCCGCTTCTGCTTCTGTTGCTGGTCCCACGAGTCCAAGCTCGGAAGTGGTGGGAGCTCACGATTCAAGTCGACATCGGGCTTCCTCTCTTGGTCTTGTGTCTCTATGCGACCCTTTGAAGTTCCTGGCCTGCTATTGCTCCTGGAACTAGACTTGCGCTGCAGGCCCCAGCTTCGCCATCCGTGCGAAGAGCTGCTACGCTTCGGTTGGGATGATGCCTGACTGCGCATTGATTCGTTGGACTGGGTCCTGCTCAAAGCAGTGGAACCTGGGAAGATGTACTCCTTAAGCTCAGATCGGATGCTTCTCCCGCGACTCGGGGCTCGAGTTGGCGTGGGTGGTTCAGGCTGGTTAGCATGCTGTTGTCTCCTCTTTTCTAGCTCCTGCCGCATCCAGTCAGCAGCCTGTGCGTCAGCGAGAGCGGCTGCACTATCGAATTGCCGCGAAGCTCTCTTTGAGCTTCGGCCAGACGTCAAAGCCGCTGAGGTAGGTGCCGTCGATCCATTGTTTAGATGGGTCTCGGTTGAGCTCGTCAGCGGCGTCCGCAGGCTTGTGGCATCGTCAAGGTCCATTTCAGGACGGTTCGCCGTTGTTCTCTGGACATCCATCGAAAGGGACGACTTTGTCTTTGTCACTGTCTCGTGTTCTCTGTTGGACACATTCTCCGTGTGATCAACTCGGCGGCGGCCGGTATTTGCCTTCATGGGAAGGTCCGGGCATTCCTTTGCGGAAGTGTCGACTTTGTGTGCCTGCTTCCTCGCATCGTGTGAACTCCTCGGCTCAGCTGGAGCTCCCGTCGGCCTGTGGACTTGGACCTGCGACGAGCCGATTCCGTGTTCCTTCCGCCTGTTCACGCTCTCCAAATCTCGTCTCGGCTTGGACTGGCCCTCGAATACATGACCAGAGGGCTTAAAGTCTTGCAGAATAAGAGCACACGCGGCGCGCAGCTCGTGTTCGACTTTGGGAGAGAGCGGGCGACGGTTGATGAAGGGCGAGCCCAGAGACGAAACGCTGTCTTTTGAATGATGTCGCCGGTGCGAGTGTGAGGGAGTGAGCTCTGGGGTGGGCTTCGTCTGTGCTTCGGACTTCGAGGGCACCTTCTAGGCTAGGGTGAGCTAGAGTACCAGCAAAAAGACTTGGGCCATCCATCGAGAAGCTTACCACGGGCGCAAGGTTGAACGAGAATTTTCTTTTCATGGTAGGCGACGTGCTCCAGCAGCTCCCCCAGCTTCCAGGAGCAGTGCGAGCGAGGATGGAGCTTTGGGACGGCGGGGTCAATTCATATCCGCAGCGAGGGCGGCGCTGGGGGTGGCGGTTGTACGGGGCTATTGCTGTGCGTGTTGAGCGGTGGGCGTCGGAAGAAGAAATAGTGGTTCACCCCTCTGCCAGTGCCAGGATTCCAGGAGTCAATGAGTTTCAGAATCGCAGCTAGCAGCGACCAGGAATAACAGCCGAACACAGCGCAGCTTGGGACCGCGACCGGGGCCCTCAATTTGGGATCACGTATCCAGATGGGCGAATCAGACGCGTCCACGCCGTGATGCCGGTCTGTGAGGCGCAAACGATGCTGGGCGCGAGTTGAGGCGGCTTGCATTGCTTGCTGATGGCCGCCGCCACTGTTCATGCTCTCTGCAAATCATCGTTGCGCAGTCGCTGTTTCTTGCTGCTTCATCTCGTTGCTCCCTCGAGCTGCTCTGTGGGTTCCCCATCGGCAACACCCCCTCAGCACGAATAACAACGCTATGGAAATTGCGCGGCACAGCGCAGCGGTGAATGATCCGTGAGCAGCTCAAACCTCGTGAGCGGCAGCGCGGCTCCTCCTCGAAATCCTCAGAGCGCCCTCTCCGACAAGCCGTCTTAGCCTGCAGCAGACTGCTCCTTTCTCGCCAGCTCTCTGGGCTTCTGTACTGGTTAAAGTTTGTTGGCGGCGTGCGAAAAACGAGACCTATCATCGCGTTCGCATTTGGGTGCAGTCGAGCCGGTCGTGTGGAGAGGTAGTTTCAGATGTATGAGAAACTGGCCTTAACGACTCAACGTCTTTTGCAACTCCAATCGAGCTGCGAACCCGTTTCAACTTTCCAATTACGTTTTCCGGTTCCAAAAATACGTCCCCCATCGTCTGAAGCATCTCCGTTCGCGTTACAGGCGGTTACGCTGTGCTCCGCGAACCTTACGTGTGGACGTGAAACCATCTGAAAACGGCTCGTCTGTCTAACATTCATCCTCCTCTCCTTCACTAACATCTCTCTCCGACGTCGTTCACATTTGTTGCATGTTCTGTTTCTCGTTAACAAGCGAGCCTAGCAGGGTGATGTCATTTAGAAAGGTACCAGCCCTGCTGTATGAATATTATCCGGCGTCTCAACATCCCACCCGCACGCAGCCACTATACATGCTGCTGAGCCTCCAGCCACATTGTAGAGATCAGTGGCTGATACTATCTACCTCCGACTTGGGCTACGCGGGGGGACACCGTATCACAGTGAGACACGAGGCAGAAGAAGTTGCTGGGTCCCTCGACTAAGCTTATAGATTCGATAGTGCCGACGTCTCGGAGGCCATGCAGAAATCTCTTCTCAATCCGATCGGCTTGTCAGACGGTACATTAACGGTATGACAGCTGTAACAGGAAAGAGTGATGTCGAGAAAAAGTGAGCCTCCTTTACCGCAGTCTGGCCTGACGGTGCCCAAGGCATTCCGATTCATGCTGTGGAGGATTTTGATGTCTCAAGTCCATCACCCACGGGATACTAGGTTCCCTGACCTCGGAGGATTAATAAGGTCAGATAGCTCACCATCGATGGGCACGTCAATCTTGACGTTAAGAGTCTGTGACAGCCACAAGCGCCCAACCAAAGGTGGCGCCCTTCAGATTATTCACCAGTCTATTGAATCCTGCTCGCATGCAATGGATCGTGCCAGCATTGCTAGGCAAGAGCAAAGACCTCCCGAAAGTCTGAACTCTATGACTCATCTCCCCATGATCTGAAAGTAGGACTGAACAACTCCCAATTAAAAAGTTATTGTCCTATTTGACTTGCTGGTAGATGCTCATACCGACTAGAAAGAGACAGGTACCTATTTAGCTTTTTAGATTTCTATATCAATTGTAATGAGTTCAACGTAGACTTCCCATTTTTTTTGGAGATAATCGTAGTTCGTTCTTACAAGTATCATATTCGCACGAGAACAAGGCGTGAGAGTCGAAAGAATTCTCTCTCCGTGTCCAATTCCGTTGGGTTTCTCTACAATAAGTTGCAAAGTGCTTGTCTCAGAGAAAGAGTCACAAAAAATCATCTCAAATCTCATCTACAACCCCAACACAAATGCTAAACACATTTTCAACCTTTCGTGCTTTCTCACGAAGTCTTTTCCCTCTCATTCATATTCAAATTATTGATTCCTGCACCCATCCTATCTTTATCAACAACACTGCTGAAAACGATTAATATCCCACTGCAAACGCTCACGCCAACTAGCCAGCAACACTCCCAATTCACCTTGAACAAGTCAAACGCCCACATCCACTTACAGCTAATATGCACGCTCGAGCTCTGAAGACGGTCCACGAATCACACGAGGATACTTGGACCCTATTGTACAGAACTTAACGCTTCAATGATCACCACCTCACCACAATGTGCTGCACATTCCGTATTTACGGCCTCGAGCTACGATATATCAACATTATTGGAACTTTTTGTGGCCTCATTACACACCCAACGCTATTCTTTCCAAAACACCTCTACACATAGGCCACCAAGTGCAAAATAATCACCATCGCTATCGCTATCGCCCTCCACCGAACACACCCTTTCTCCTCCAACCGCAAACTACCCCATCAGATTCTCCCACAACCGCGCCCAACAAACCATGACCCTATTCAACTCACAGCCCACTACATCCAACCTCTCCTGGCTCTGTCCCCCCTGGCACTCTGGCACCACTTTCTACTCTGTTCATGATGAATTAGTGGCATGGTAGTGGCAGTAGGATTCAGGATTCAAGAGAGTTAGCGGGACGTGTGAAGGGGGCGGAAGGTAGGTCGATCAGGGAGATTTCGGAGTTTTACGGGGTAATTTCTGGTATATTTATTTCAATCTCATGATACCCCTGTAGCTTAGAGAGTAGAAGAACTGCATTTGTACCTGCGGATACATTGCAATGTCCCATTCCTATTGCCAACGGCCCAAACAGAAGCACCGCCATCTCACCTCACGATCCTATCCCCAACCTCTTCGGAAACTGTCCCTTAAAAGCCCACGCTCCCGCCAGCGCAACCACACTCACAACCCCCAAAAGCAACCCAGTATTACTTACCTTCGTCTCCTCATGCACCCTTCCAATCTTAGTCCTCTTCTTCCCACCCCCAAATACAACCGCACTAGCACACTTCCCACCCACAACCTCATAATCCTCCCAATCGACCTTCGCCAGCAAATCTTGATACTCAATCACAGTGCCCGACCAATTATTTGTAATCTTCCCTTCTTTATTCTTATACCAACTCCCGCATTTAGGGTCCGCGAAACTGCTTTTAGAAAGAATCTCCTGAATCTTGTCATTGAATGCCACAGTCTTAGACGCCTTGGGTTGAATCCCGACATTTTGGCCACGGTTTCGTGCATCTAGGACTGCGGAGACGAGTGTGTTAAGATACCGGGACTGTGCCTCAATCATGAGAATAATGGAATTATGTCCCAAATTCGTATTCGGGCCATAAAACATGCCGAAGTTGGGAAGAGACGGGACAGTTATGCCATATAACGCTGAGGCACCGTTGCTCCAGACGTCAGAGAGAGCGCAACCACGAGAGCCGGTGATTTTGATCGGGAAGAGGAATTCTACGGTCCGGAAACCTGTCGCCAGGACCAGCACGTCGTGCTTGTGGTGCATGGATCCGCCTTGCCCACCAGACACCTCAACACCGGTCGTAGTGATGCGCACGATTTTGCGTGTTTCGAGCGTGGTTTTGGGATCCGCAATGGCTGGATAATAGTCATCTGTGATAATCACTCTCTTGCACCCAGGACTATAATCCGGGAACAATTTCTCCCAGAGATCTGGTCGGTTCGGGATTTGCGCTTTCATGCTCATTTCGCACCACTCTCGGATCTGGTTTGCGAACTCAGAGTCGGTGTCGAAGACGGCAGGGTGGAAGGATTCGCGGTAGTCCATCTGCATGGCGCGGGTACGCCAGCGGATGGGAGGGAGGTAGCGATATATGAGGCGGCGGACAGCGGAGATAGGTCCATCCATGCGAGGAATTACCCAATTGGGGCTGCGTTGGTAGACTATGAGGGATTCAGATGTGGGGAGGATTTCGGGGATGATTTGGGCTGCAGTTGCACCTGTATTTTGTTGACAATGTTAGCAGAAAGCCAAGATAACAAGTTGTGAAGCCTGAAGGAGGGTAGATACAGCATACCATTCCCGATAACCCCGATCTTCTTCCCTTTCAAATCGTAACTCCAATCCCACCTAGCACTATGCATCATCTTCCCCTTGAAACTATCCAGTCCCTCAATATCGGGATATCGTGGCTGGTTTAGCTGTCCAACCGCTGATACCAAGAAGTCTGACTCAATTGTATATCTAGGACTGAACTCGGCGTCCTTCCCGCCGGTGACTTTGACGTCGACTTTCCATTTCGAGGTGTTGTCATCCCAAGTTGCGGCTTCAACGGACGTATTGAAACGGATGTATTTGTAGAGCTTGTACTTATGGGCGACGTTGCGGAGGTAGTCCTGAAAAGTTACTGTCAGAATGTGTAGTTGAAGAGACACTGGGAGGGAGAGTTTGGGTGCTTACGAGAATCTCCTCCTGACCCGGGTATTCTCGACTCCAGTCTGGATTCTGCTCAAAGGAGTAGCTGTAAAGCATGCTCCAGACTAGTTCGCATCAGCACCTTCACATCTTTTATATTGCTATGTCACTTACCATCACAGCAGCACCCTGGGTATTTATTGTCACTTCTCTTCATCAGAACGCTTTCACTATTAGGAAGACATTTCGACTTACTTCCATGTTCCACCAACACCGGAGCTCTTTTCAATGACGATGAAGTTGTGGCATTGGTTTCGTACAATGAGGTCAATGGCCATGCACATTCCTAACAGATATTCGCTCAACATTCTCATGCAACGTAATATATGTGATCAAGAATCGAATTAGAACTGCATACCTGATATCCCCGCTCCGATAATCACAACCGCTGCTGTTGTATGATCTTTATTGCCAACTGGGACCTGTGGCCACGGCTGCGAGCCTCCCATCTTGAGGAGTCTAGTGGAAGTACAAGGTGCGAATTCAACGGCACCAAAGACGCAAAAAGGGAAAGAGGAACAAGTTTGATGAAAGATTGAAGAGAAGGGGCTCAATGCTTGTCAAGGGCCCCAGGACCCTGTAGGCTTCACTAGGAGGAAAGGAACCAGAACTGACGAGACTAAAGAAGAGAATCTAGGTTATGATCCGCGGGCACAAACCCTCTAAATCCTCTTAAGGACTAAAAGCGAGGCCCCCATATCCGACGAACTATCATACAAACTATCGTCTCATCCTCGGAGTACTGAACTCAGAGTATCCCGACTAATATAGGCCATTAATCACCTTTACTACCGTACTGTACCCTTCCGAGTGATTCTACTTAGCTCTAGTTTTCTGACATATTTCTAACGCGTTGAAATTATTTGTATTCGCAGCATGCTGCCTGAATCGGGTGTTGCCGATGCCATCACGCGAAGGAGGGGTGTGTGGACAGGGAAGTGCCAGAATGTGGGGAAAGAGGGCATAGATGGCTGTCGACGGGTAGCAACAGGCCGTCTCTCGGCCATTGCAGTGCCGGGCTTGGCGTATTACGACTAGAGAAGATCGACTCAAGAAGGTCAATAGTGATATGGCTAGTCGATGTCAACGAGTCATGATCAAAGAAGAAGGTGCAAGATATGAGGTCGGTTTAAAGTTGAAATGTCTTGTTGTCGTGGGATGTTGAGATGTCTCGGTTCAGATATTGATTCCTCTTCTTTGCAAGTGCTTGTTATCGCTCTACTTATATTCGATGATGCGAGACTAGTTGAAGAACATATGATGCTCGCATTTTCAATGGCATCAAACACCCGGATTCTTTCAGAACATCGTCGCCCATAACGCCCTCTGATTTCTCCCAAAACCCAGCTTCCTACCGTCAGAATGGACGACATAATGTCGCCATGTTCCTTAGCACAATACTAGTTATGGAAAGGAACCATCTCCCAGACAGAATGCCACCTTTTGTTTCATCTTTAAGGTCTAATAACCTTGTTCGCGATGCCACTTCTCCTCCCACCCTGGAAACCAAGGACTCTCTTCGAGCGTATGCGGCTCCCAGTTCTTTGGCACCGCGCCACTGTCCACTTGCTCCTTAGCATACTTCTCTAACTCCGGGATGACCACATGCTCCGTGTGCCATGTGTTCTTATACTCCATCAGACTACGCTTGCCGTCCTTCAGGACTTTCAAGAGCAGGGCAGGGATGAACGGTTCATCACGAAAGCTCTCGACAGGAGTGAAGAGAGCCTTGAAGTTGAAGACAATGGCCCCGGAGAGTGGGAGACGGCGAAGTGTTTGCCAGTCAACGCGAAGGTGGCAGCGTGAGATGCTGAGATCTGCATGCTGGACATCACGATGCTTCTCGTGGGGGTCACCAGGAGGCATGTATAGCGGCTGGTCGACTTCAAGGCCCCATGATCCGCGCTGGATCGCTTTGTCTGTAGGCTTCTTTGCAAAGTACCTGCCAAAGCGTGAGCATATATCCAAGGCGTAGAAAATTTAATGGCACTCACCTATCCATCGAGAACTGCATCTTCTCCTTATAGTCCGGTATGGGCTTATGGATCTCATGCAGCTGCATGCCAATCTTAGAGGCCACGTTCCATCCTAGCGCACTACATATCAGGCCCGCGCGGAAGGAGTAATACCCTGTAATTGGATCTCGAAGCGTAATCGCGAAGTCTTCAGGGACGTTATTTAAAAGTACCTGGAGTGGGTGGGTGTTCTTAAGATCTGACTCGGTGCTCAGGATGCCGTTGTAAAAGACCATCTTCTCCTTATCCAGACGGAAGTAATGCGGATAACGGGCGCATAGGAATTGTAAAGCCATTTCCATCAGCTCTTTGCATGCCAACTCAGATCCAGGGAGGGCTTGTAGGACACCTTCGCCATGCTTTTCGAAGAGCTCCTGTCGTTGTTTAATCCTCTTTTCGTAGGTGTTTTCGATCTCTAGCCACCAGTCGGGTTCTAATTTAGTGAGTGCTGAGTTAACGATTAGCACACCATATCAGCAATAAACTGGCAACTTACACATAGTCTGGTGGTAGGTCCATCGGAATGGCCTATATGGACGAGGCTGCGCCTTCTTGCTATTGAATTCGGGGTACGGGCGGGGAAGAGGCACGCCACTAAGAGTAGCATAATCAGGAAAATTCCCGAGAGCTTTGATTTCCTCGGTTGAAAACTCGCAAGGTGTGAACATGGGCGTCTCGGCATCGAGGTAAGAGGTCGTAATTGGAAGACATGCTTTCCTTGAATCTGAAGGTGAAGCAGCTAGCGACTCCTGCGATTTGCCCAATATTGAAGGCAGGTTGCTTTGAATCTCGGCCAAGGCGAATCGGCGAGACGGCGGGAAAGTGTCTGAGTAGTCTGGTGTTGGAATGTTCTCTGGTTGCTTCTTGCCTGGGGACAGGGACCGAGGAGGAGTGTTAGAGCCAGACGAGCGCCGACTCCGGAAGTGTAGGCGGTTCAGGAATACATCACGTCTTCCCTTCTTGAATACGAGGAGGATTGCGGAGCTGGTAACGAAGGCTGCACCAAGCAGCAACAACAGAAACCGGATCATGTTGGATGGGAACGAGGCTCATTCGGCGCTTGACGACAAAATAGGTAAGGAAACAAGAACAAGATGAGAGTATGCCAACAGTCCGAGAGTTGGCTTGCCGAATGAGGCTGGGCTAGACTTGATTGGTTTGCACAGTAGGGGTTTGAGAATGGGTAGCGAGGGATAGGGCAATGCGAGCATCTACCTCATTGAAGAGAAGCAGAGACGTTTAAGAGGAGGCGATAAATCCACTTCTAGAGTATTGCGTGACTATTTTGTGGAGAAAAGTAGTTGGAGAGTCTTATCAAGACAGCAGGAGCGGGGCGTAGAGTGTTGAAGTAGATAGCAACAGCAAAACACGGCAAATGCCCGAAACGGAAAATTCAAGAGACAGTTGGCGATGACCGAGACCAAGGTCCACGCAGAAGAGTCCCAGAATATCGTGAAGTAGAGCGACACAAACCCAGCATGACCACTCAAGTGGAGGGGTTATCAGAATCGAAGAGAACATCCGCATACAGTGATCAGCCCGACCGTCACATCGGGCCTAGCGGCCGCGCCTGCTGCTATCCAAAGAGGGTATGCAAGTCCAGTTGCTTGCCGCCCGCCTTGTAACTGATCTCTGTCATTCGGCGTCAAAACATGGACCATGATGGGTTCATCGTCGAATTTGGCGCTGGTTCCGCCCCACGACGCCCATACCCCGCGACGCCGGCGTAGTGGTGCTTCTGGAGTCCGCATGCCTCTTTAAGGCGAAAACACCCGGTTGACATGGAGCGCGGTTGCACCGTGCCATGGCTTTTGAGCGCGAAAGGATATGGCAGTTAGGCTTTCAGCTTCCGGGCCAGAAGGGGTGAGGAATGTCCAATACGAGTTGTGGGATGCATGATTCAACGCCACTTCTGCGACGTCCCTCGTGCATCTCCCCGGGAAGTAAAGTTGGTAGAAAGATGCGATATGCGTGTTAACTGGCGCATTTTGCAAATGGCGTGATCGACAACCGATTGTTGCAGGATGAGTTGGCGTAAAAGGCTATTCTCGCGAGGAGATTGTTGATGTGGGCTTGTCGCAATGGGCTTGTCGCGATGGGTGTCGAAGTTTCGATGAAGGGACCGAGTCAAGTTAGGGAGATCAAAATCAACTCAGGTTAACATCGCCTTGTAGGGAACGCGAAGGTATTTAAGAGATCTGTGGGGGAGTACAAGACGATGGTTGTAAGAGGAAGCTAAACAAGAGGATATCTTCAAGTATCGAAGCTAACCGTATTGAGAGATTACACGACGCTCCAAGTGAGTCCTTTAGCAACCTCCCGCTATTTTATTTTGTTGAGCTAGCTATTGTGAAGCGCAATGAAACATCTGTCGCTCGATATTGTGATCCCATAAGACTGATAGTATGTATTCCCTACAAAATTGATGACCAGTCCTGCTTCTTCAGATACTCCTCCATTGTCGTTCTCTTAACATTGACCCCAAGCTGTATTCAGTGAGTTGGTTATCTTGGAAGCCATGCAAGAGCTGGTAACTTACATTCCAAGGGTACTCGACACTCGGATCGCTACCATCGTACCCAAACTCGTCAATGTATTGGAACATGTCCGCAAGCTCTCGTCCAAATGAACCCATGTTCTCGTCCATGTACTTGCGATCAGTCCTTTCGAACGTGCAGGTAACACCATTTATCTTACCCCAGATCTGACACCAGTCGTTCCAGCTGAGGAGAGAGCCCGCGCCGACGAGATTCTTACCTGCGGGTAACTCAACGAGGGCTTTTGTGAAGTGACCTGGAGAATTTAAGCTTTACTTCAAGAGGGGCTGGACAGTATTAACTTGACGTACCTGCATCGGCTCTAGGATCCACCATGGGGAATTTCCTGTCTCCTCCCATTGGCAAGCTAACCTTGTACGTCCCATTCTCCTGCTTCTTTGGTACTGGCATTCCATCCTTCCAATTGCTTGCAAAGACACCCAACTGCACAAAACTAGTCTTCTTCGCCAACTCCGGGTACTTCTCGCTCACATATTTGGCAACTTGCGATTTAGAATCAAAGTGAAGATTAAACGTAATCTTCCCCTTACTCCACTTCTTCGAATCGCTCAATGTACTCAACACAAATCGATCAAGGGTGTCCACATTCGCAGCAACTGCATCCACCATGTTCTTCCCCTGTTCTAATTCGAGATCATACGCGACCTCGTTTGGGGTGCGTCCTTCTTTCTGTGCGCGCTCAGCCGTGGCCGGACTCTTCATATGCTGCCAGAAGTCGGTGTTTCCGAAGATGACATTGGCGTCTTTGAATGCCTTTTTCATCGACTCGATGTGGTCAAGGTCGCCGGCTACCATTTCGACACCTTTGTCACTCCATGCTTTGGAAGATGGTTTGGTTGGGTCGCGAGAGATGCCGCGGATCTTCCAGCCAGGCTCGTTGAGGAAGACATTGGCTACAGATGCGCCCTGCTCTCCATTAGTACTTTGGGACTAAAACAAAAATATGACGCTTGTCCGTACCTGGTTGCCAGTAATGCCAACAATGGCAATGGTTTTGGTCGACATAATGGACTTGAAGTCTCTTGGTTTTGATTGGAAGTGGTAAATTGTAGATTGCGATGAGGTTAGGAAGGGATGGTACAGGCTCTCTTTATACTCCTCCACCTTACCTTCTCCTTCACTCATCTCCACGGCCTCTCCCTGAAAACAGTCAACAGTACCACCCCGAACCCCGAACCATTATTCAGCGCTCCAAGAATTACTAACTCATTAATAACATCCTCTTTGCACTCCAACTGCAGCCTGCCTTTACCTGACCTCACCCTAAAGCGGCAATCATCCCTAGCTCCAACCCCAAGCGACGGACTCCAGACGACCGATGGCTCTCATTGGACGCACCACCATGAATTCCAACCGCATATCCTACGCCAAGTTTAAAGCAGCCTCTCCAAACGGGGGAAAGAGCAGTTTCTCGCCCGAAGGCAAGCTCGCGGTTTCGGGGTCGAAATTGAATAATAGAAGTGCAATTCGATGTGACGAGCCTCGATTTCTCGAAGGCGAAGTCTTTACACTGTACTTTCCAAAAGCGGTTAGTAGATAACTGTCAGCAAGAGACCGAGACACCGAGTCGGCATGTTATCAGTCATTCATCGCGAGACATTCTAGTGGTAAGGTCGACGATTTGGGAAGAAGACTACTGATACCTCAAATGCCTAGTGTCTGTTTTCATGCACATTACGTTGGTCTACCTCCACTATCTGTGTTCAGTGTCGAGACGTATTCCAGTACAGAATTGTCCACCTTGAAGAACTCCTCCATTGTTCCGGCAAGGGATTCAAACGGTCAAAGTCTCCCCGCTAACATATTAGTTACTGCGAAGGTGCCGTCATCAGTGGACCAAACAATTCAAGAGTAGCTCTTGATAAAATCTACAAACGCTACGCTCGCACCCTGCCTCGTGCTGTGTCCGACGATCGATAATGCCTATTGGCGTAGATAATGTGGCACACGCCGATGCGGTATGCTCAGCTCTTTAGATTCCTAGCTCATGGGGCTGAGTTTGGTCGTGGTTTTAGTCGTGTCTATAGATGTAGATATCCATGCATTAATGTCAGGGCCGAGGTCGATGTCGATGTCAAAGGGGAAGTCGTAGGCTCCGGGACTATAAAACCGTTTATGGAAGTAGAGCTAAAGCTATCTCTAGAGGAAGAATATGGATAGTGGATTCAACTGACGAGTGAGACATATGTGCTTCGACTTTGGTTTTGGAAACTCATTCTGCTGATGGGTTGGGAATGCATCTTGATAACGTATATGCTAATCCTGGCTGAGATAGGACAAGATAAGACTAGAAGTCCGTTTTGCAGAGAGCTGAGTAGTCACGATTTCGGATTTCGGATTTCAGGCTTTGGATTTCGTCTGGTTTTTATTTATGGCAAGCTTGGAAGCGTATGGATGTACCCGGGCTTGAGGGCTTAGTTGCTGCCATTGCAAAACTTAATCGTGGTTGTAACTTCATTCCGTAGGAACCATGATATTTTGAACCACAACTGGATTAAAGGAGGTAGCAGAAACACCAACACGTTACATAAGAAAGTAATCAACAATAGACATTTCTAAAACGTGATTAATCGCCTAGCGGAATATTTTAGAAATAAAAGTCTTCCATACGCTCACTACAACACAGTACACTGCCTAACCATCCCCACACACCAAATCTCCAATATTCCTACCAGGACTAAGACGAGTGGTTGAAGTCATTCACACATCGAAGCCGCAATCCATCCATCCACCAGTAAACGCCATACTCATGTGCCTAAGTGTAGAAATCCAAAACAATGCAAACACACAGAGAACACCCCTCATTAAATTTTACCTTCTCGAACTTGCCATTTCACCATACCTCCCACGCTCTCGTGTCGTATCGTAAGCTTGCAGGACTCTTGCCTGCGACTCGTCGGTTTGAGAGAACGCATAGCCGCGCTGTTTGCGCATGCGTTGCACTTGTCGGACCTTGCGTATGGCCTTTTGGAATTGTTCCATACTGCATTATACAATTAGCAAAATGGAAGAGCGGAGGAGTTAGTGAACATACCGGGGTCTATAATCCTGAATGTTGTACTTCTGAATCTCTTGCACGTGGTGGTAGGCCTGAGGCCAATACATCCTTTTTGCGTACTTCCACGCATAGTCTCGGATAAGACATAATGGAGGAAGGACTAGTAGCATTGCCCAGAATCCTGCGGAGGGGAAAAGGTTCTGAATCACGCCAATATACTCCAGTGAGACATTCACTTTCGGCGCGACGGTTGCATAAATGGGAAGGAAGATGAACCAGACAAACATTGAGCCAGGGATGGCCAGGAAGGTGTACTTGGTCCAGATATTGGTGATGAGTGCGGCCTTGCCGAGTACGGTTGCTAGAGCAGCTGTGTAGAGTGCGGTCCCCCACACCCAGTGTCCGGCATTCTGGCCGTTACTCTGAGGCCAGTCCCAAAGGATGAATGCTTGGGAGGCAAAGTAGAGGATGAGCGAATGGTAGAAACCATTAGCTACCCAAGACCAGAACGAGTGCATCCTGAAGAAGACACCGGACTGGCTGAGATGATAGAGCTGGGGATAGCGATCTAGAAGGCGGGCACTGACGAATTGGTCGAAGATGCCGAGGACGAAAGGAGGCATGACGGTGAACAAGACGTTATAGAAAGTGAGCGTCCATGACTCGTAAATGATTTGACCAGAGAACCCATTCTGGAAGGAGTACCAGAACTGGGTCATGAAGAGGGCAATGTTCTTGTAAAACGAGTACAAGATGACCTTACTAACACGTTGATAACTCCAGGAGCCGTGTACCAAGAGAAGCTTGCGCAGGTAGCGGAATTGGCCGATGGCTATATCAGCACTTCGAGCGGCTTGAAGACCTTCAACACCACTAATACCTACACCAACATGAGCAGCTTGGATCATGGAGACATCATTAGCTCCGTCGCCAATAGCGAGAAGAATGGCTTTGAGATGGCGTTTGACAAGCTTGACGACCAAAGCTTTCTGTAGAGGAGATACACGACTAACTTCGGTGAGCATGAACCTAGACCTAATGAACTGGGACACTCACCAGCAAATAACAGCCTTACACATAACAGCTAGATCTAGGAAGAGCTTCTCAAGATCCTTTTCTAGCGCAAACGTGAGCGACTTGCCATCGATGACGAGGGCAAGCACATCCATTTCTGAACCTGTCTGGCTCTGGCTCTTGATGACATTAAGTTTCTTTGTAATGTTATCTCTTGTTGCTTCCTTGTCTTCCTCGTTCACAATAAGCAAGCTCATGTCCTCGCTGATCAACTTGCAACTCATTCCGATATTGATGGCAGTCTCCTGACGGTCACCGGTCAACACCCAGACCTTGATGCCAGCAGATTGCAGAGTTGAGATGGTATCTGGTACACCCTCTTGGAGCTTGTCTTCAATAGCAGTTGCACCAAGTAGGGTGAAGTCGTGCTCGATGAGCTCTGCGGCCTTATCAAGTTCTTCAGCGCGGTTCCCGCTAACTGTCGTTTGGGCCGTGTTGAACACTTTCCGCCACTCTTGGAACTCGTTTTCAGGGACCTCGCGCATCGCCAGGCAGAGAGTTCGGAGACCGTCAGCAGCGTACTCCTCAAGATGGGTGAGTGTCGCTTCAACATAGGGGTTCTCCTTGGCAAGCCGTTCCAGGATAACTGTATCTGCACCTTTAGTGTAGCAAATGATCTTGCCGTTGGGAGCCCGGAAGATGGTGGACATTCGCTTTCTGGTGGAGTTAAACTCGCAAACTGCTAACAGTTCATATTCCAGTTCGCGACCGTCGACAAGGATGGTGACCGATCGGGGCTTTCGTGCAGTGAATTTGTATCCTAACATGACGGCTCCCTCGACCAATGCTCCCTCATCGGGCGAAGCAGCCTGGTACTTGATGACATCCTTTTCGCCACCCCTTTCTGGAATAACAGTGTGACAAGTCGCTAGTAGCGTCAAGAAGTGGTCGATGATGTCCTTCGACATATGGTTCTTGCGGTTCTCCTGAAGTCTCTTGAAGTCGTGAATTCCGACTTCAGTACCATCTTCAAACGTTGCTCTTCGGTCCTCTGGAACTTCGTCTGCATACTGAATACCTGCAATTGACGACTGCCTGAATTCCATCATATTGCAAGTTAAAGTTCCTGTCTTGTCCGAGAAGATATACTCAATCTGACCCAATTCTTCCACCAATGAGGAAGTACGACAATTCGCAGGTGTATCCGTAGGTTCGTAGTAGATGTCTAGGTCGGAATCAATAAGGCTGCCTTGGTAATATTTCACGATCTCAATTGTGACGAAAAGTGAGATCGGAACCAAATTAGAGTACAAGACCCAATATGTTAAGAGGTCGGAGAAAAACTGCTTGGCACCGTTAAAGGCACCAAGGTCGAGGTACTCAAGATTCTTACTAGAAGTAGTTCTAACGATGATGTCGCCAACGGAACTGATGGTGCTCAGGGTGATCAAAATCGCCCCTAGCATAAGAATCTGCTTGTTTACCATTCGTTCAACTGCTGTGGTTTTGATGGGGGTAGCGGTAGCGTTTCTCATGAGCTTGGTTTCGTGTCCTGTGAAAACCACAACGCCGTGAATCCATGGGGTGTTTCGAAGAGTAGCTCCACGTAGCAATAGCTGATCCGGCGCTAATGGAAGCTCTTTCTCTCCTCCACCAGCTGCCACAGTCAGGGTTGCTTCGTATGTGTACAGGCTGCTGTTAGGCTGTTCAGATCGAATTTTGCCTCCCAAACGACTCAATTCAGATGGGCTAACAAGATCTGCTGTTTCTGGGATAGCTTGCTTGATTTTCAAGTTGGTTTCTCCATCTAGATTAGCGGTTTCAATGTAACAGAGACCCTCCGGTTCTGAAGATGCCAATAACACCAGATCGGCCGGAAAGGGTTCCTCAGACTCCACGCGGATGATATCCCCAACTGCCACGTTAATCCACCGAGTATCCGCAAATGTAGAACCTTTTAGGACTTGGGCCTTGGAGTTGTTTAATGTCCCATCGGACTTCTTTCGCCGGAAATCTTCAATGTACTCTTTGATAGCCGAGACCAACAGAACTATGCCGAGGGGTACAATTGTAGTATATCGCTTAGTCGGGGAGATACCTGGGATCTGCTGTAATATCGCAGTGAATAGGAAGAAAAGATTGGCGTATTTTGAGAATTGTTCGTAGAGGAATTTCGGGAGGAAGGTAATGACGTTGTATTTTGCGGTTGAAATGTGATTGTCGACGTACTTGTTCGCCGAGTTCGCGGGGGGATTGTTTAGATGTATTATCCTGGGACCGAGGGTGGAAGGATCTGGGGTACCTCGCCCGAACCCAAATTTGAAGACGCCTGAGCTGCGCTTCTTCGCAGGTGGCTTTCCTTCTTCGATGCCTCCACTATCTGTCCGGTGCTGTTGCGCTCCATGCTCAGTTAATGGCAGGTCCATTTCAGAGTATTCTGGGTTCCTGCCAAAAATATGTTTCACACGGCCTGTCAACCCTCCGCCGAGACTCAGAATGCTGTTCCTGTTGGCTTTTTTGGATCCTCCCCGCCGAAGGCCCGCTGGTGGTGCATCGTAGCCATCTCCTCCGGCGTAGAACCCCTGCATCGAGTGATCATCGTCCGCTGGTATTTCAGCGTCAGAATACCGCTGGTAGTTCCCTAGGACTGACGTTTGCGAGTATACCCTGCCTCCCCCCGTTGAATATGGGGTCTCTCCGGCAGGCGATGCTCCCGGGCCGCCCGGAAGTCCTGCAGTCGACCTGCTCCCACCAACGAAATCATCATAAGATATAGAAGGCCGGCCCTGTGGCTGGGAACTGTCAGAGGGGCCTGTGCCTGGTGGTGGCCGCGAGCCAGAGTAGTATGCGGGTTGCGAGTCGTCGAAATCGATAAGATTGTCGCTGTTCGAGGGCTGTCTACCTGGAGGCCGACCGGCCATTGCGGCCAACTGTTTTTGACGGGAGCTTATCCTCACGCAGGGCCGCTGTGTCTTCCCGACTCATTCAGACAGTATAGAGGGCAAATATCTTCCTCCTCGAGTACGTTGAGGCGTGCGCTTAGGTTGTTCGTGGGGTGGTTGCAGAAACAGTGGATGCAGGTTGGATGCGCAACACAGCCTCCGAAGCTTGGCCGACGTTTCGAAAGACGAAGCGGCTGGATTCGGTGGATCAGCGCACAAGCAGCTGAGGATTAGCAGCCAATGCCAATTCGTCGATCAGTTTTTCAGCAAAGAAAGCGGTCGTAGTTGTGGGTGAATTGGGGGAGGTGAACGGAGGTGGTGAGTGCACAGTCGGACCCTTGAGGCAGTGCGGGTGGCCCTGGCTGCACAGAACTGGAGCAAGCGCGCAGTGACTTGGCAAGCGTTTCTTCAAGCAATAAATCTCCTGAACGTCAAAATAAACTTCACATGCTCCACACTCGTGGGCAAGCGCTCCTATATGAATGGGATTAATTCCATCTCTTGTTTGCTTCGTCGATTGTTGCATCGCGAGAAGCTCCTTGATTGACGTCGCTTGCCAAGCCACCCAAGGACGCGCATTGGAGCTTCATCCCTTCTGGCAGAATGCAGGTGTCGAACATCGCAATAGAATTGCAGAGTGTCATCGTTTCAGTCAAGAGTAAGGCTGCTTTGCGATTGTCCCTACATTTCAAGCTGCCAAGCGTCATATATTCATCTGACTACATATCAATGCCAAGACTTCCCAATGAGGATACAATCAGTCGGATTCGCAGGATTGAACAAGGCTTAACTCTTGATTGTCGTCAAAGGCGTCGTAACCTTGTGCGGCGTAGCACTTCGTAAAAATCTTAGGGCTTACATGCCCTGCACCAAAGGAAGGCGCCCAACTCACAACATCAACCACCAGGAACGATTCCTTAAAATAGGATCCTGAGACGTTTTGAGCGGAAAGTGTCATATTCAAATGAAATCCTGTCCCTCGCCAAGCAGGCATGGTGATTCTGTCTGGGCTGCTATCCAGGGGTAACCGCGTGGGACTCCTACCCCTGAACCCGCTTTGCAGTCCTGGAGCGCCCTTTATCCACAATCTTAACCATGGGAGCCGACCACTCGTTCAAGCTTGTCAGATGCGCTTTCGTGGCTCTAGATTTGGTCATGTGCCTTCCCGAGAGATGTTGCTCGCTTCGGACTGGCCCCGCCACGGCACACTGAAATCTAAAATTCCGAGTAAATTATCCTATTGACTATATATACAAATATATTTCAGAATTTGCAACAATTGTGATATGTCGCCCGGTTAGCTCAATCGGTAGAGCGTGAGACTCTTACGTTTTCACGTTCCCTTAGAACGATTGGATTGAAGTACATCTCAAGGTTGCGGGTTCGAGTGAGTGCATCTGATCCTTAGAACGAGAAATGAGTCTAATTGAGTTACTAGCCCCCGCATCGGGCTTTCAAACACCTTTTTTGGTACATTTTTTACTCCACCATTCAGATAGAGGTTGAGAAAATGTTTTAGCACATCAAGATTTAATACTTACAACATCTGCGGATTATCGAATAAAAACTATTCGTCCCCATATTTTTTTGGATTTCAGTGTTGTTCTTTTCGCAGCCTTCGTTTTCTACTAAGACGCTGAATAGCACCCTTTTCTTGTCCCGTATTCATGAACAGCATACTATGGATTAGAATTCAGAAAGTCAGCCTAAAATAGAAAATTTCCATGGGACGCCCGCGGTCATTTAGAGTCTTCGATTGGAGAGTAATTTGCGGTAATCGAAGGATACCATTTCTACATTTTTTCATCCCTTCTTTCTCGAGACCAAATATCGGCTTCTGAGATTCTTCTGGTATGTGACACCTGTTCCCGGCTCTACTGAAGTCGAGGACGTCTCCTCGGTTGATGGGCGAAGGCTTCGTCAATTTTGAGAACAAGCGACATCTATGGATTCCTCATCACATACCTTGTCTTCTGTCGCCATGTTGGTTGTTTCCTGAAGCTCGAGTGGATATGTAGGACCTCCACTTACTTCGAATACAGGAAGAGGAGCCATGGGGAAGGGGTTTGTAGAAGTATGGGGCTGGGGGTTGATATTTATATCCGATGGTTTCAAAGTGCCGGGAATTTCCAAGAGAGTGGGTGGGTGAGGATAGAGAATCAAAGACCAGTGTAGACTGAACAAGCAGAATAGTTCTAATATCCAAAAGTTTAAGTGTTGGTTAGACCAATAATGTGCTAGTTGTTGTTGTCCCTTAGACGGCTGGGTTCAGTAACTAAATGAAACCAGTGTAGACGCCAGCTGAGAAGTTTTTAGCTAGAATTGCGAGTTACTGCATATTCCCACATGATAAGAAACATTCTCAGTGTAACTTACGGTATATCTATAAAACCACTCGCTATAATTAGGGAAAAGGTTAACACAATACGGATTTCTGTTCCACACTAGCCCTGTCGAGTTCAATGTTAGGTGAGAGCTTGAGGTACTTCACCACTCCTCACCTGCGCTCATGGCCTCCCTCTGCCTAACTCACATTCCGAACCGCCCAGAACAGCATACCAAACAATGCATCCAACTCCTCCAAACCCTCTCAACACTCACAGCCCCCGCTTTCGCTCTCGCCCTCGCCGCTTCCCTCTTCCCTCTTCCCTCTTCCCTCTTCCCCCTCCCTCCCAACCACCATCCCTGTAACAAATTCCACAAACCCATAGGCTCCAATTTCTCCGTCATCTAATAAAACCCAATTCTCGGCCCTAAATACGCCGCTAACGGCGAGTGCCTCCCAAAACACCAATCTCGTTCACCATATCTAGGATATCTTCGTGCGCAGTTCCCAACGCTCTAACGCATGGTTTCTCAACCGCAAGCTTGATGAGGATGAACACGCGAGGGTGTCTTTGCAGCCCGCCAGCGTATGCAAATTCCGTCATCGCCAGGGATAGTGCATCGATGTTCCGTGTCGAACAGGTGGCGTCCAGAGTCTGTGAGTGAGGGTTGTTACGCGGAACAGAACTGAGGGGTAAAGGCTACGAGCTTAGTAAAGTGGAAGTGGGTGTAGGATTAGAAGAGTGAGGATAGGTGTTTTGTAGCGGCGTAAAGAAATGTAGCTTGGGTTGAATGGAAGAGAATGAGATGGTAGTTAATCGCAAAAATATCGATATCGTGAGTGAGTTTTATGACAACGTTGGCACAGTATTGTTGAAATTTGAGAGATCAGATTGACTGACGTGGGAGATGGTCTAATCCTAGTGGCCTTGTGTGGCGACTTGGAGGAATTGATCGGAGACGTCGGCTAGAGAGTCGTTAGTTAATAGTAAAGGTCTGAGAGGCATCTAGGAATTAGGGTGATACCGATAGTTTTTGTTTCGCACTGATGGTGGGAGGATTCTTGCCACTGCCCCAAAGGATCTCGAACAGTAAGGAGGAAAACAACTCCATCTATGCAGTATGAGAGGTGTCGATTATAATGAGGTAGCTGTAAGTGACCTATGTGATGTCGAGAAAGAATCCTAAATATTGAGTCGATTTATGGACAAGAAGAGGCCGTTTGAGACAGGGCACCAGGGGCCTATTTGCAGTATTGGGGTCTCGCGTCCACAATGATCTCAGCTGCAGCAGTACTAGCGCGATCGATGATGGAGCTAGTAGGAATGAGAATCAGATGCAGATGGAAGATTTTCTGTGCTTAAGAAATAATGCATCAACTAGAAAGGAAAACAACGCTAAACTAAAACTAAAATCTAAGACCAATCTTGCATATTCGTAGCTGTGATATGTCAACAGCTCGATGGTATCATTGTGTGTTTAAAGTCCCTTTACCCAAGCATTGAGATCGATTTCGCCGTCCTTGTATGCACTCCTCCCAAATGACAAACGCCCTAATGCACATGCCCCACCTGCGTCACCAGGGGCACGAGCATTCCCACTGTCGCAGTAGCAATGTCAGATTTAGAGAGCGCACTCTTCTCCCCCCGGCTGCTACTGGTTATGTACCCATTTGCGGTCGGATCGTCGTGGGAAAGGGAAGGCGACGTCATCTCCGTCATTGAATGCATGGCCACATATCTAAACGGTTAGCCATTGGAGCAAATTAAGTGCATAAAAGGAGCATACAAGAAAGTGCCCCCAGAGAACAATAATATCCAACCTGTCGTGAAGGCTAAGCCATCCTCTCCCCCAAGTCGAGTTCGTCCTAGGAAATTCACAATCGCCCATGTCGCCACAGCACCAGCAGGAGCGGCTAAGCTGAAGAATATGAGGTGCGTTCGTGCAGTCCGCTTTGAGAGTCCTTGTTTGAGGAGGACGGAGGTCAACCCGAAGGCGGCCGGGGCTTTATGGAGCATGATTGCGAGGAAGATGATTAGAGATAGAGCCGTTGACGGTGCGGTTGAGGAAGCCCCAAGTGCTATCCCGTCTGCGCACGCATGGATTATGAGACCGATGGTGGTTGATGAAGATCGAGACGGAGGTGTTGGCTCAGGACCGGGAGGTGGAGAGGAAGTGAGGGTTGCAGTAGAAGAATTGTGTGGCCCTCGGGACAGGTCAGAGAGCGAGATGTGGAGGGGTTGGTACTTTGGCTTTGCAGAGGCCAGCGTCGCCGGGAGGTGGTCCACCAGAAACATGAGAATGAAACCCAAGGCCAAAGCCACCCCAACATAGGCGTGCGGATCGCGTTCCTCGTCGGGGCCTCCATCATTGCCCTGGCCCTCAGGAGCATGAATGCGGTTGTGGCCTTCTTTATGGCCTTCAGTTGAATCGTCGTCACCACCTTTCTGCGGCTTCGGCTCGTCTTCGTCCGCCTTCTTTCCTTCCTGTTTTGGCTTGTCTTCAGGAGTCCTCTCGACAATGATGGCCGCAGGGGCTTTGACGGCACCGCCTCTCACGAAACTGGTATCGACTGCCTCCGACCTCTCCAGTGGGAGGAATTCACTTGCTTCTGATCTTTCTATCGAAGGAAATTGGCCAGGGTGTTTCAGATCCTTCTGCTGGCCTGAGATGGACGGGAGCTGGACATCTCGAGTCCCATGTGCGTGTCCCTTCCCAGCGGCACTGTACATAGTCTCAATGCCCTCGGGTATGATGACAATGAGCGCCGTGCCGACAAGGACGCCGGTACCGAGGAGGGTTATGAAGCGGAGCTGGCGCGGCGACAGGGTGAAGGAGAGAGGAAGGATGCCGGCGAGGAAGGAGCTGTCCGCTGTTACTACAACAACAACAATTCTCTCGAAAAGGAAGCGACACGGCGTAGGGATGTGATACTCACGCAATTGCCATGACAGTGCTCAGAGTGAGCAGCATAAAAAGTCCGTCCCACATGTTGAGGAGAGTTGATGAAATAACGCGACAGGTGGCGATGAAACAAGACAGCCCCAATATGAACGAACGATGAACACCACGTGAATCCTAACTAACCCTCCTCATGTCATGGCGGTGGTGACACTGGTGAGAGGGTCCTGGAGATGGGAGGTAGTAAAGGGATGTTGCCAGGCTGGTCACTGTGCCTGATCCTCCTGCACCCATCAGGGTCGGGAACGCTAACTTGGCGGCGTAGGGCTGAGCAGCGACCTCACCAAGTCGGCAACCCGCCGCCAAAACGCGTCACGTCGCGCGCCAGACCGTGTTCCTTCCTCTACCGCTATCACTGTCACCCGCTTATCGACAGTTCGTCGCTTGAAAAACGCCGCAGCTCCTCGTTCTTTCGCGACAACAGCTCGCAACCCCTCCCTTTTGGTGTGCGCGACACGGTCGCCATGGCGGACCTCTCTGACGTTATAGCTGAGTGTGAGCTACAGTTCTCGGTGGAATTCATATCGCAAAATGGCTCACTGTCAGTATAGGGCTTACGAACTCAAACGAATGCTTCCATATCAATCTCGTCCGCCCTGCCGGCGCCAAAGACAAGCAAAAGCGCATCCTTGAAGAGCCATTCCATCCAAGCTTCACCTACGAAATATTCGGCAATGAAGAGAAAATCATCGGATACAAGGACCCCAAGATATACTTGGACTTTCGCGCAAACGATTTGAAGCCGACGATAGACCTTCAGTTTAAGCACAAAATGTGCATGGACGAATTCTTTCCCAAGGACAATACCCAGGAGCTCGACATGGAGAAAGCACTGAGGAAATTTGTCGCTCCAAGTATGTTCCTATTGCACGGCAAGAGCCTACCTGTTCTGATTACTTGCAGATGCATTCGATTCTACCGAAACCTCCAAGCCCACAGGACCTGACCCAACCTCGTCCTCGTGGAAACCGCCAGGCGAGCTCCTGCAAGGTTTCAAGCTACATGGGAAGCAATTCGAGATTTGGAAGACAAGCCTGGCCGATGTAGTGGCAAAGGAACTTTACCGGAACATGCAGGTTCTTGTACCTCTCTTCATCGAGGGTGGCAGCTTGCTTGAGTTGGACGATCCAGACTGGACTATCGAGCGCTGGACGCTCTTCCTACTCTACGAAGTCACTCCTCTCAAGAACCCCTCAACATCCCCATACACAATCGCTGGCTTCTGTACGACGTATAGACTATGGGTCTTTCCAACTTTCGAGATAATGCACGCGACGAAATCTCTTCCATCTCCGCCAGCTAGCAGCAACGGGGACGCGACTTCCTGCAATCCACCTCGCCTGACGCAAGATCCCGAAACGTATCTTATAAACGAACACATAGATCCTCTGCAATCTCCATCCCGCGAACGGATATCTCAATTCGTCGTTCTCCCTCCCTTTCAAGGACAGTCCCTCGGAGCTAGGTTATACGAATCAGTGTACCAATGTCTGCTCAAGACTCCAAATATCTACGAGATTACAGTGGAGGACCCAAGTGAGGCGTTCGATGCAATGCGCGACTACAGCGACATTGTCTTCCTCCGGACACTACCTGCTTTTAACGCTCTCTCCCTCCCCTCAACCCTGCCTCCTGAAACTCTAAGAAAAGACGCCCCCATTCCACGCGAGCTCATTCTAGGCTCAGATACTAACCTCACCGCACTCCGGCATGAAGCTAAGATGGTCCCTCGTCAATTTAACCGGATGGTCGAACTTCATCTCCTATCGACAATACCCCTCCTCAACCGCAACACTGCCCGCATCACCCGAAAAGAGAAGTCGAGTGGTGAAAACGACCGGAAGTTCTATTTCTGGCGCCTAGCGCTAAAAGATCGTATCTACCGACAGAACGCGGACCAACTCGACGCGACGGAAGACGTCGAGGAGCGTATACACGCAGTTGAGGGCGGGGTAAACAACCAGCAAGAGGAATACAATGAAAGGCTGGAGGGCATTGAGAAGAGGGCGAGGCGAAATCCGGTTGAGAGTGAGGAAAATAGTGAAAGAAGTAAGGGCAAGCGAAAAAGAGCTGTGATCATTGAGGACGATGAAGATGATGAGGATATTGATGTGGCTTCGATCGCAAGCTCCAAGAAGGTAAAGGCCTGAATATCTCTATGCAACAGGAGTGAGTCGTCTGGAACGGAATGGAGTTTAAGGTGCTACCATCGGACGTGTGTTCCGACTTAGGGTTAGCTAACCCTCATTTCTCGCTCTAATGCCCTTCCATTGTTCATGAATCATTCTCAATTCAATTAGTGCACGGTGAATTGGATCCACGTGATCCAGCGCTAATACTTCGGCGTCGAACAAAAAGGTGGCGGGGTAATTCACCCCGCATCAGAATTTTTGCTAAGATCAGCCAAGTCTCTGTAAATTGCTCCATGTTCGCAAGGTAAGTGTGTTTTTTTAATGAGTGAATTGGTTCTTTGGTTAACCAGCCTATAGTACACGCAATGTCGACACCTCATTTCAATCTTGCAGTCCTAATTTCGGGAAACGGCTCCAATTTGCAAGCTCTAATCGATGCTTGCGCCTCCTCCGCACTCCCAAATACGCGGATTACGCATGTCATATCAAAGTATGTCGTCATCATCCAAGACTTAACATGTCAATGATCGTTCTCCAGCATGGATAACGCTGACATCCTGTCCCAAGTCGAAAAGCAGCCTACGGCCTCGAACGCGCGAAGAAAGCGTCAATACCAACAAGCTACCACAACCTCGTCCCATACAAGAAGAAGCACGCAGAAACGCTAGATGGCGCACAAGTCGCCCGCGCCGAATACGATGCCGATCTAGCTAAAATTGTCCTCAATCTCGACCCTCGACCCGACGTCATTGTTTGCGCTGGCTGGATGCACATAGTCACTCCTGATTTCCTAAACCCGATAGCGGAAGCCGACATCAAGATCATCAATTTGCATCCTGCACTACCAGGTGAATTCGCAGGTGCTGGAGCGATAGAGAGGGCATGGCAAGCATTCCAGAAAGGGGATATTAAGAGGACGGGGGTAATGATACATGAGGTTATCGCAGAGGTGGATGCGGGGAAGGCGATTGTTACTCAAGAGGTACCATTGAGGGAAGGAGAGTCGTTGGAGGATTTAGAACAGAGGATACATGGTATTGAGCATGAGCTTATCGTCGAGGGCACCCGAAGGACGCTGGCGACTATCAAGAGATGAAGAGAAGGAAGGCTTTGGCTACGAACTAGGAAGCTTGATTGATGGAAAATTACCAGTTACCAGGATGTGGGGGCTTAGAGTGATACAGCAGCAGTAATCACTGTAACCGAAGCAGCCCATGGATTCCCAGAAGAGTTGCTTCTTGCTTTGCGAAGCCGCCCCATTCCAACGACTCCAGTGTAGACCAAAGAGTGGGTAACCTACAGGGAGGAGCCAAATCCTGCTTTCTCAGTTTTGAATTCTCTCCACCTCTCCTTATACGGCGAGTATAATGGGTCACAGAAGTCCATTCAGACCAAACTTCTACAATTTCGAACTCCTCGATCATCCCCAAAAACGCTACCTATAATGCCATCAGAGCTTTTTCTGCCATTTGGACCATTCCTTGCAGTCGTCCCGATATCGCTTGTGCACACACTTGTCGAATCCTTGTTGCCCGTTCGGGATCGGGCCACCCTTCGTATCTCTAATTTCAGGGCCTGTCCCGAACTGAGGCGAGGTGACACTTTTCCCTCAGATTTATTTCTGGAATAAGATGTCAGCCGTCCCCAGCTTAGAAATTGCAATGGGAAAGCCTTTAGAAGCCTTAATTCGCTCAAATTTCTGTCGGCCTTACCGTCAGCATCAACGTCAATGAATACTGCATCTTACCACAGATTGTGGAACATGACACGGACTTCTTTCAGGACAAGAAATGGGATTCTATTAACGTAACTCCTAATTCAGCAATAGGTTTAATAGAATGAATCCACCCTAATCATGCTCCCTCTTGTGTTATAACATGCTATACATGCAAGGTGTAGTGAACGAAAACCGAAATGTGGATATCAACCGTTGGTTTATACCCCATATTTGTGTCCCTTCTTTGAGTACTTCTACGTTAACAATGGCTAGCAATGGCCACTGCTGGCAACACGAAATTATGTGAAGGTTTGAACATTTGGTTTCACTCGCATTTTGAATGCAATTTTCATAGAAACACCAGAAACGAACCATAATCAAGCATCGCTACCGTCTACCCTCCCTCACCTTTACCATGTGAAGAACAAACATCCTACACTCATAGAGCAGGCAAATACCATCTGGGTCCAACCCGCCACCCCTCTACACATAAATCCCCCTCTCCGTGCCTCGCTTTGCGAGACTTGCCTCCGAATCTACCAAAATGCGCTTCCTCGCAGCATTCACCTTCCTCCTCACCACCCTCTAACCCAAGCAAAACACCCGCTTTGACATTATCCGAACCAGTATATCGGCCACCAAATCGACCCTCCACTCGCGGCGAGAGCCATGGGAAACGCATGAAACGAGATCCCAGCCTGCACGCCCCAGCTATGGAGAACTGAAGGCGCACCAGTTCTAGGCTTTGTGCCGAGGTATCTTGTCACGATAAAACCGGGCGACCAATGCAAAGGCGTGGAGAATTAAGGTATGGATGGTTGTGTAAGGTTGTTTAAGGATGTAGGGGATACGCCATGTCAGAAGGCTCATCCGAGAGTTTAAGTGTAAGTAAGCTATGAGATGGATGGTTGGGGATTGAGTGATGTTGAATTAATGGCAATGTTTAGTGGGTAATTCTGGGGCGACATGTGATGGGCAGTTTATTTTGTTGAATTTGGGTGGATATATGGTTTGGTTCTTGGGTGGGGTGTCCGAGATTTCAGTATTGAAGTGATGCAAAGGGGATGATTGATTGAGAGTGTTGCTGGGGTTTGGGAGGGTGTCGAGGTTGAGGATTTTTGTTCCTCAATGAGACTGCAATGATCTATTAGTGGCGCTAACCCCTAGTAAAATGATAATTATTTGAGTAATTATTCGCCTATTTATATACTGATCCCCTAGAAGCAACAGACATCCCAAGAGATTGTCTGGTTTTCTGGGAGTAGCCGCCCTCAACTTTGGTTCCGACTACGAAATGGCGCGAACCCAGCTAAACTCAGGCGCACAGCCGCCCAGAGACCAGTAAAGCCGAAATAGGTATATTCGTGAACAATATTTCCTGGTTCAGATCTTAGTTTCTAGGAACCGGTTTTGAGAAATGGTTGTGCTCTAGCAGTGACAATCCACAAGGGACACACCTTAGCTTTTGAGGGAAATGGTGGTACGGGCTTTGCCCTATCCGCTTGCAACCAAGAAACAGGTGTCTCCAATAAACCCTGCCTTGGTCATCGTCCGCCAAATGACAGGCCGTTTTTCGGACACGCCGGATGGTTCCACAACAGCGGGACGGTAGTTTGTATAAAATCTGTTCCTTGTTCCCAATTCATTACCCCCAACCTATTCCTGCCCTACTCATTAACTTGGTATACTATACAAAGAGTAGGGGTAGGATCTGCTACCATGCGTTTCCTCCGTACCACCTCTCTAATCACCGCCTTTGCCATGCGCGGCTTGTCGGTTGCTATCCCAGCTTTGGGCAATAGCACAGACAATGCTTGTACCCCATTCAATTATGAATGGTAAGCCCCTTACTCCCTCCAATCCCCTTACCTACACCTATCTCACAGTTCTAGGACTTCCCGATGCTGGTGGCGCGCTGTCCCCATCGCTGACGCCAAAACCGCCATCCATAACGCATGCCAGCAGCTATCATCCTGCATCCCAGGCCAACAGGTCCCTATGACTATGCCCACCCAAGGATACGCTCGTGATGTGACGGCACAGATCCGCCTCGGGGCGCAGTGTGGGAATGCGGAGATAGATTGGGCGACCAATTGTGAGGGGTACTTCGAGACATATGTGAATGATCAGTGCGGTGAAAAGGGGAACGAGACGCACTTCTATCGTAAGTTTTCCATATTCATGAATAGGTGAGAAGGTGGCACATGTGCTGATGTTGTGTGTAGTGGGATACGGGAAGAGCAAGTGTGATCAGACGTTCTTAGGTATTAACTTAGGGGGTTAGAGGGTGGATTATTCTCACCTCGGTGGCTAGCTCATCCATACTTGATTCCAAGAAACTCCCTTACCTACGTCTTCACGAGTTTACTTTCTTCCTCCTTTTTTGCTTCAGAATTTTGCATGTTCCGGTAGTCGTCTACCTACAACGGGACCAACGTCTCTACATTCTCTCCTGGAGTGAGGGAGTGCTCCTTCCTTCTTCAAATTATAAAAGCACGAGCAGCCCTTCGCATATGTGGCCTCAAAATGCGTCAATTCGCCGCCGCCACATACTAGTTTGCGAGTCTCAGAGAGCTCCATCAACATAGTTATGAACTCCAATCCATTCCTTCTTTGGGGAGCCTCTCCTCTCTCACTCAATCAATTGACTCTTATCCTGCGAAAGAATCTCAAAACATCTAATATACGAGCCCTCGTTGCAATCTCTATCATTATAGCGGTCGTCTCCAACACTGCAGCCTCCGCTAATGAAGCGCGGCAAAGGGGACACTGGCCTCACCTGGGTTCTATACGTCCCTCTAGACTCTCGAGACTTTTTGCAATCTCCGATGTCTAACCACACTAAAACAGGGCCGCCAGCTGCTGCAGCAAGCCAGCCGGCCTGACAGTCAAATTCGTCCACTAAAAGCATATTCTCATTGCGATCATCAATACCTGTCAGCAAGTTTAGGACTATAGGCCTAGCCAATTTATCCCAATTATCCACAACACCACTAGCACTGCTCCGAGTGTTGTCGCCAAAATCATTCTGAGACCAAATGCACCATGTGGGTGAACCCGCCGGCCCCGTTCGAGAATGAACCATGAAAGTTTGGATATGTGTAAGGGTATCTTCGAAGGCTTCGAGTGTAGTCAAGATTGGGAGCCTCCAGTGTCGCCCCAATTTTATGTAGGTCCCCAAGACCTTATTCGACCAACTGTCCATGTACTAATCAGTAAGCAGTTTCACGAGTTGCGTCTCTTTGCGAGACGTCCATCATGAGCATAAACCACAAGGGCGCTTAAGTCGCTGTGCCCTTTCATCTTTCTCCTTGTTTTCTTACGTCCAAGCTCCTCGACTTGTGAGGAGTGACCTTCTGCCCTGAGGAGTGCTGTTCGGCGACTTTCCTCGTCTCTCCTTTTAATACGACTTCTATGTATGGCGGAAACCGGTGGTGAGCAGCGCCCCAGAAGTTAGTTTTCAATGAGGATTTCTTCCACCTATGGCGAATTTCAAGAAAAGGATGAATGCTGTTTACATCTGAATCGAACTTGCGAGGAATGCATATGACTGAAGAGCGTTGTGGCAGCCGGGATCTTGGAAACCCCTTGCCTTAACTGTAATACTAGCCAGCTCTGCGTTTCGTCATTCAGTAAGTTCGGTCATCAAAGCTTGTATATGGATGGGGTTCGGTAAAGAACACGCATTCATGTGCTGCTAACATCACCCATGTTAACTTACCAAGCCGCTGCGGAGAAACTCAAACGCACGACATCACGCTGATCTAGAACAATAAGTCGAGAAACGCCTGTCCAGCCTAGTGTCTCAAGTTTCGATTGAATCACCCTAATAGTAAAGGCCACTTACCGAGCCTTTGAGCCTTGGGCATGCTGGAAGCTGCACTTGACATTTTGACGAGGTATTTTCGAGAGAGGTATCCGGTATGGATCCCAGCGTATTCCTTCCGATGCCCAGTGAAGGCGACCATGCTTGCCTGGGATTTAGCCCAGCACATTAAAGCATTGTTCAAAGAAAAGCGGGTTTGTAATTGGCTGATCGAGGAAGACAAAACAACAGACGGCTAGATTCAATGTTAATGAGCAACATGTGCATGGTTGGAAGTGGCTTCCGAGGAGCAAAGTGTATAATCTTGACGTCTGAGAAGGGTAGGTTGAACCATTCTATCGATCGGATATTATTCAATATATTTCTCAAACTCTCACCGAGAATATACTCCTCTCAAGTTCATTCCCCCAACCGCTTCTTCTTCATCTAATCGCACCGTATCAACTAGAAATCTTTCCAGTACTTGATGCACGCCATCACGACCGCGAACGGCCATAATTCTCAGCCCGTCTACACGACCTCCAACGGTAACCCATACCCAGTCCATTCACTTCTCAACGCATCGGCACGAATGGACTCGTTCCCACAGGACATCCATCTCATCGACCTCTAGCGCACTTCGACTGCAAAAGAATCCTAGAGGAAGCTGCATTTCGTGACTCTAAAGTCCTCCCTTTGTCGCAATTCTAAGTATCGATACCTACGCTAATACAATATATGATGAAGGATTCAAGACTCTCACCCACAATGAAGCTGTCCACTTATATCCCACAACCCCGGACTAGAACTCCAAAGATCTCTTTACCGCACTCAACAACGGAAACTACCCTACCTAGACACTATAATACCAGACCGTGACACCAGCCCAAGCCTCCACATACCGCTTCAACGTCTTTGACGACACTAAAGATTGGCCATAGTCTTACATCCCTCTCTGGCATATTGGTAAACTAACTCTAAACCGCAAACCATCAAACTACTTCGCTGGGATTTAACAACTCGCTTTTGCGCCGGTTCATACAAGTATCGAACTAAGCGCTGACCCGATTTTGCAAGCTCGACTGTTTTCGTACCCCTATAGTCAGCGCCATTGCGTCGGTATTCATTACCAGCAATTACCCCTGAACAGACTGCTCCGCGTATATTCGCCTTGGTAGCGCGACGGACCTGCAACTCTAACATCAAATTACGGAGCGGAGCCAAACTACCTTTGCCGTTGCAACCGATCAACTTCTTTCCTGCATCCGTTGCAGAGAATGAATTGTACGAACGATGGGTCGGCAAACCAGTGGTACGCTCTGGGAAGTCACAGATGAGGATTTTGTGTATCCGAGGGCATTGTGGGATGTCCTTAGACGAACGGAAGGTCCGCAGAAGAAATTTATGTATAATGTTCGTGTGGATTTATGTGGAGCTGGGGAGTAGGTGAGGAGGATTTTATGGGATGTTCAGTCGGATTAAGTGAGAATTGGTAGAGGACGCGACTGAGGGGATTGTGGCGAAGGGCAGGGCAAAGGGAAAGGAAGATGAGGTAATGGAGGGGATTCTGAAGGGAGTGGGGTGTTAGACCGAAACGGCTTTAGTTCTTGTAGGGAGATATAGTAGTAAATTAACAGCATTTCCCTTATAAATCTAGTCTTACATCTGTCTGCCTCCACGCTATTCGTATAACCATACCTCTGGCCTCTAGTCTCCAATATTTACTACGCTCTCCTAATATCTTATGCTAACGCTATCTCAATTAAGGAGCTCGCCTATTCCACAGGCGTCCGCGAGAACAGGAGCAACTCATATTTATGTGACCAGTACTACCTTCTTCATTTAAGCCTCCAGTACATTCAATCAAAAGGACATATAACTAATCAAACACCGTCGTCGGCTTTGCCTATCCAGTACATATGATAGTATCAAGCACTGTCGCTGGATTTGCTTCCACAGTGCACGTGGTAGTACTAAGCACCGTCATCGTACACGTCTCCGTAGTAGTAGCAGCCGGGATTGTTTGGATATACGTTACAGTCGTTGTCGTTGCCGAGACTGGATTTTCAGTTCCTCCGGAAGAGACCTGCACGTTGTAATATATAAGTGCAAACCAGACAACCCCGAAGAAAAGAATGGGTTGGAAAACGGCATCCAACGCCTTGCTTCGAACAACGTAGATGAGTTCCCACCCGGTCTTGGGATTGCGAATAGAGGGGCCGGGTGTGAGGATCGTTGGCTGGATCTCTTTGGACTGGGACTCGGGCTCGCTCTCAAGGTATGTTGGATAAGCCCCTGGCATTGATTTGGTTTGAGCTTTTGGTGCTTTGGTAGACGAACAGTTTATTTGGGGATACGATGGAATTGAAGAGATCTTAGATGAGGCTAGAGTAGTGGGACTCTGTACGTCTTTGTCGTTGTGGTTTGCCGCCATGATGGACTATGAATGCTGAAGGTAGGATGTTGAGTTTGAATGGAAAGAGTCGGTATAGATTGTAGCTATCCTGTTAACAAGTACACGTAATGTTGAATGCGCTTGAAATTGGTTGGGGGTGTGGGCCCGGTGCACCAACCGTGGCTCGACATGATTTCGGAATCATGACATGATGATTTTCCAAAATCACCGTTTGTAGATGCTTTTTTTTCCCCAAGGGACTCGTTGCAACTACACGCGATACAGGTAATAGATCCTAAGCCTGCATATATGCTGCAACAGATTATAGAATATGGGTGAGGTATGCAACGTTGTGATACACACTCAACAAAGTGAGTAAATTTGGATTTACATTCGTACTCTTATTTGACGAGCAATGACAAAGGGGAAGGAACCTAAACCGCAGGGAAGAATAACAAATTGAGGGCTGTGAGCCATAACTGAATCAAACTAGTGCAAACGGAACTCCCCAATTCTCTTGGTAGTAATTTGAAGATATACTAAGAACGATAGCTCAGGAGTCAAGGGGAAAAACAAACCAAGTTGGAAGGTAAGTAAAATACCATTCTTCAGAATTGAAGCTGCACAAATAGCCCCTGAGATACTAGCCACGCCGAAAAGAATTCTCTCTATTTCGTGACTTCGACAAGAAGTTTCAACACTCCCCGTGCAGGCTCTTTGCTGCACAATTCAAGGCGATAATTACCAGTTATAGTTTTCGCTGCTTTCCCGACGGTTCGGAGCGAAGATGTCCCCTTAAACGTCTGAATTATTATTGCATTGGAGAGAAGAAACCACTTGAGCTTCTGGTAGTGAATGGCGTACGTGGTCTTGAAGGATACGGTGGTTGGTGGGTTAGCAAGGAAGAAGATGAATTGAATGAATATATTATGGCAAAAACTGACCAATGTGAAGGCCGATCATATCTTCATCAATCTTCCATTGCCTGGATTTGCTGCTACTGGACCGTCGCTAAGATGGCCACATGTGGAGAACTCGAACACCCCCATTAACCCGCATTGCCTGAAATCCGAATAGACCAGTCTCAATCCGGTGCGGCTTCGAGATATCAATGACTTCAGTCACACTTGTATCGTTCTCTGTATCAGTAGCGTCGGCGGGGAATATTCCTGCAGTAGCAATGACATCGCGGATTTTTACCCGGCCGGGTCGAGTTTAAAGGGAATCGAGACAATTAAGTATCCAGGAGATATTCACATGAAAGTGCCTATGGAATATGATGTTGTATCATTCTAAATGACTTCTCATTTCACAAATATACATGCCGTTTTAGACATAATCTTGATCCAGTCCTGACAAGTTGCCATCCTTGGCTACCTTCAAAGACTGTGATCCGCATGTTCATTCAGCAAGATCTGCTCTTCTTCTAGGGCAGCATCATGATACCTAAAAGTTAGTGACGTGCCACCTCAAATATTACTTCCTCACCATTTGTCCGAGAGGGCCTGGAGCTGTAGGTAGATCCGTGCGGATTCAACTGGCTGTCTGTACGACCATTACTTGAACTTAGAAATGAATTTCCAAGATCTCTAGTAGCAATCCAATATGGCAACATACGGTTCGTCTCCAGCAACGTCCATTTACAGCAGGATAATCTGGAAAGTGGTATTCCTGTCAATGGCGGCCTCGAATCCTCCAATACGTCGGGATTCCTTGATAAGTAGTTAGATGAATAACATAACGATGAGCTCTCGTCTTCCAAATAAGAGAATCACATGCCTACCCCACACACATCCGTCAAACCGAAGAACCAGGCTTGTGACCTGGGTTTTATGGTATGCTGATTTATCGATGCGTTCTCCATTGGTGATAGGAACATAGTCTAGATGTTCCTTGTGAAGGGCTGCGATGAACACGGATCATATAATGGGGCATCTCTTCTGCAATTCCGTTGGCATCCGACGTCCTTTCCATGATATTGTGAAGAGCAATAGTGTTTATCATAGTGATATCACTCTCGATCCTAGCCAAGAGCTCCTAACGTTCTTCTTATGGGTTATCCATTTCGGCTCCATGGTTAGAGCTAATACTGCTTTCCAATACGTCTCCATGACCTTTCCGCGACGAATCATCTGGTCCGGGCAGTTTTGCAAGCAGTCCTTGACCATCCATCCGCATTTTTACGCCATCGTGGTAGCTATGTTATTAATAAGAAGATGATATTCGAACTCGTCTGAAAGTGGCGGTATCCGCGCTACTGCTCAACCATAGTTCTTGATGAGCTAACTGACAACACTCAGGCCTTGCAAAAAAAATAACACCCAAATTCAAATGCCATATATCTCTTTAGTGCTATTTCCAGCGTCATATTCGCGACTATTGCAGAACACGATGAGGGCGGATTTAATTGATCAACCCTCTTGCTGGAATTACCCAGAACACTAACAGGATACAGATATCTATGCTAAATTACCTCTCCCATTTCCCCCTCATGTTGGGTGATAGGACGCAGTAAGCTATACATTGCGACTGTGAACAGTATAAGCAGTGTCTTAAATTCGCAGGAACAATATAATCCGTTTGTTCACAGACTTGAGCCAACTCCACAGTATGTTATCACAAAACGCGGAACATAATTAGGGTGGAGTCTCTCTATTAAACGTCTCACTGGAATTCGTGAGCGGTACTAACAAATACCTGCATTTGTCTTGGAGCACAAAATGGCAGGCAGAATCGTTGTTGTTGGAGTGAGATCCTTGTTAGGGGGATTACTGGCGGATGCCTCTTCTCGAATATACTAACCTGCTGTTAAGAATTCACCCTGTGGCTCAAAGTTGCACCTAAAAGAGATTTATGATATCCATAGACGTGATATCGGAGTAGAGATAATGTATTCGAATGTCCTCTGCTGTTGTGTGGAAGAGTCGAGTCGAAGAGGGAAAGGAGGAGGGCAGTGCTAAATATAGGCTTCTGGATATAACTCTCGATCTAGATGCATCGCCCTCAATGGTCGGACTTGGCACGAAGAGATCACGATGACGAAATAACCGCGAGAAAGGGGACTCAGAACAAATTCCATTTATGAAACTCCACATAAAGGCACGCAAAGGAAGCACAAACTTTTTCTCCCATTCGCCCGGCCGTCCGTACCATTCCCAAAGAAAGCCCACCAGGCCATCCGAAAAATAAATCTTGTCACTCCGAAACCCCAAAGGAGATCTAAAAGTACAAGCGCAATTTTTCGGACAAAACCCCACCAGACACCTCTGCGATTTACAAACGGAGAGAGAAGGAGAGAAAAAGTGAGAAACCCTATTGCCCTATGGACATTTGAAATGCTAGACTAAGGCAAGATTGGATGAAAATCTTTTGGTGAGGGGAAACTAAAACGAACTTTCCAGGTAAACCGTCCTACCATACCCAGATCCTGCCGGGGCCATAAAAGGACTCCGAATTCACTTTTCCGACCATTATGCGACGACGAAGTAAACCATTGCCCAGAGATGTCTAGCAGATATGATGATAGTATGATAGGTAACTCCCAAACTTTCCATACACAGCATTACGTGAACATTACTGGGTCAAGCCAATTAAGTCAAGGCCCGAATGATCCACCCGCATGCTTTCGAGAAGCCCGGAAAGCTGTCTAAGCGGCAGCCTCGACGGTAGCAGGGGTCTCGGTAGCGGGCTCAGCCGGGGTAGCCTCCTCGCCATCAGCATGAGCTTCGGGGTGATCGTCCTCTTTTCCGGGAGAATCGATGGCGACCTTGACAGCGATTTCGCGACCCTCGATCTCCTTGCCATTCATCTCAGCGCAAGCCTTCTGCTGGAGCTCCTCCGAACCCAGAGTGACGAAACCGAAACCGCGGCCCTTGCGTGGCTCGTTGCGAGCCTGCAGCTTCTTGACCATGAATCGCGGGATAGGGCGAAGGGCGATCTTGGCGGAGGTTGGCTGGTAGTCAGTGAAGATTTCCATGAGCTGCGGACAATGTTAGTATTTAGGGAAGACTTAAGAATAAACGCGAACGTACCCTATCCTCCTTCAAGTCATACGGCAAGTTTGCAACCATGACCTTGGTCTTGGACGGAACACCATCCTCTGGCGGACCACGCTGCTTGCGCTCACGGGGGACGTGAGGCTTCTTGGCGGAGAGAGTAGTCGTTCCCTCGGCACCCTTCTCAGCTGTAAGCGCTTCGTTCGTCGTTTCGGTAAGTGGGGTGACTTGGCCAGGTACATTAGTGGGTGCACTGTCGGAAGGAGCAGTGGCCTCTCCCTCGACGTGTTCGGCGCCTTCACCGGTCTCCGTCTTCTGAACTCACGGGTTAGCAACAATCTCAGTGCCACAACTAAGAGGGATATCTTACTGAGCGTCCGCCGCGTCCAGTGCGAGCACCACGACCACGGCCGCGGCCCCGACCGCGAGTCGACGCACGACGGCGATGCTCTGTTCCACTTGCACCCTCTGCGCCGCTACCAGAGCCCTCAGCATGAGCTTCGGGGGTACGAGCGAGCTGAATAGACACCTTGCGGTCGAGAATAGCCTTGCCGTTGAGTTCGGCAATAGCACGTTCGGCCTCGGAGGGGGTTGACAGAGCAACGAATGCATATCCGACGGGGCGGGAGGTGCGTGGATTGGTGGGGATGGTGGTGGATTCGCTGTGTAAATACAAATGTTAGTCCAAATGTCCGCTAGGAAGGCGTCGTCGTGGGGGGGGTACTTACACCAAGTAGCCTTGGAAGAAGTCCTTCAACTCCCCCTCAGAGGTCGCATAAGCGAGGTTTCCGATGTAGAGTCTCCTACCCTCGGCGGCGCTAGCAATAACAGCCTCGTTCTCGGCTGCGTTGGGCTGGGTGCCAGCGGTCTCGGTGTTTTCGAGGGAGGTGGTGGCCATCTGGGCGGTAACACTATCGATAGCGGCGGACATGGTGACTTAAGTTTTTGATGTTGATGACACGAGAAAGTGAAGAGATCGTGCGAAAAGTTGAGGAAACTTTGGGCGTCCTGGTTTACCTTGATAAAGGTCGTACCTTGAACAGTGTTTGGTGAGTTGAAGGGGATGGAAATTGACAAGACCGCCTGGAGGTGGAACTTATTGACGAGAGGGAGTTGGCGTGGGTAGCTACGAGCCCGAGAGCGTGAGGGGGTGAGAAGGCTGATGGAGGCTGGTGGGTTGATCTCTGAAGTTGACTGGAGTGCAGGAAGGAAAAGGAGCAGCTGTCGCCGCTCAAAATATTTGAGGTCCGCTCGCACAGGCGCCAGCCACTAGCCCGATTAGGAATGCGAAGCGGGTTTTCTCGCCGCGAAGAAAGGGCGCCGGGGACGGGGAAATTGAGGACCCGCTTACTTTGGCAGGCAGCAGCCACAGTGAAGTGAATGTGAAAGGTTGTTTTGCGGGCTATCCTGGTCTTGGAGTGAGAGAAAATAAGAAGTCCTTTATTCACGTGCAGGAGAAATTTATGCGCTTGCTAAGATAGGGGAGCAAAATGTCATTACATAAGCGGCGTTATGCTTGCCATTTTAGTTGACCCTGCCGAGGAACCAGCATCTCGCACCTTGCGCGCCACCAAAAGCCAATCACCACGACACCGCAATGACGATGCAGCTTCACTTTCGCATCCTCGCCTCATGGAGCGCTCGGCAGCTCCAATCATGACCAGTTTTCAAAGTCGAGACACGTTCTGCTGGCGCGCCCCTCTTTCTCTGGCGGCATTAGGAAGGCGAAGGTCGAGCTGAACTATCAGCCTTGCTTTTTGCCAGGGCTGCTGGACTTCAAAATCGTATTGAAATTGCGTGCATCTGCACTGACTGACGCACATTCAACCGCCATGGGTGCTCTACCGGAGCGCAAAGCTCTGATCCTCTATGGTTCCGAAACAGGAAATGCTCAAGATGTTGCTGAGGAGCTGGGCAGGATCGCAGAGCGACTGCGGTTTGACACAGAAATCGCGGAACTGAACGCCATCACCCTTGTATGTAAAGATCGGATCGAACACCCGGCACGCTAGTCTGACTTCCGTCTTCAGGGGCGACTGCTGCAATCCTCTGTGATTCTTATTTCCATCTCTACAACTGGCCAAGGAGATCTCCCACTAAACTCTCAGATATTCTGGAAGGCACTTCGAAGCACCAGGCTTCGGCCTGGATGTTTACAGCAGGTGAAGTTTGCGTCCTTCGGTCTGGGGGACACCTCGTATTCAAAGTAAGTGGATTGTCGCATGTCCAAATACAAGCCTGACTTGAAGGAAGATTTAATTGGGCACATCGTAAGCTCTACAACCGCCTTGTCCAGCTCGGCGCCCAACCAGTATGTGACCGAGGAGAAGCAGATGAGCAGCATCCCGAAGGGTAAGTTGACGTAAGTTCTTATCGTCATGGTCCCTCGTTCATCTAAAAAGTGTTCACGTCTGACCCTCTGCTTCTACTGCAGGGTTGACGGAGCATTTTTACCTTGGTCGACAAAACTTCGTCAACGTCTAATTGAAAACTATCCCCTTCCAGATGGTGTCGAGCCTATTCCGGACGACGTACTTCTGGACCCAAAGTGGCTACTTGACTTTGACGATGGGAATGATTTCGCATCACAAACGAAAAATCCTCCAGTCGCTACCCCCTCCGTACCAAAAGCTCATAAAGAAGCTATACCACCATTGGATCTTCTCAACATTCCAGGAGGGTTTTCAGCCAAGGTCGTTTCGAACAAAAGACTCACACCTGTGTCGCATTGGCAAGATGTTCGCCACCTCATCCTCGATACCCCCGAATACCGTCCTTACATTCCGGGCGACACTGTTACCATATACCCAAAGAATTTTCCTGCTGATGTCGAAGAGTTTCTAAAAACCATGCATTGGGAGGCCATTGCAGATACCCCTCTCAAATTTACTCCATCATCCCCCAGCACCTCTACTGCTTCGCCATTACCTATCCCAAACCTACCCTTGGGTGCCGCCGTCACCCTAAGAACTCTCCTCACAAATTACCTCGACATCATTTCCATACCCCGTCGTTCCTTCTTCGCCCAACTTTCGCACTTCACGAGTGATGAATTCCATCGTGAGCGGCTGCTCGAATTCACGAATCCGGAGTACATCGATGAGCTATACGACTACACTACCCGGCCCCGACGGAGTATCTTGGAAGTTCTGCAAGAGTTCGAAAGCGTCAAGATTCCCTGGCAGCGCGTTTGCTCTCTCATTCCTGTTCTTCGGGGTAGGCAGTTCAGCATTGCGAGTGCCCAGTCTCCTTTAGCAAAAGAGGAAAAGCATACTAGGATCGAGCTCATTGTTGCTATAGTGAAGTACCGCACTGTCATGAAACGTATACGACAAGGCGTCTGTACGCGGTACGTTGCCTCACTTACGCCTGGCCAAGAAATTAGTATCACTTTCCAGCGAGGCGGTTTAGGTGTCACAAAAGCGGAAACTGAGAAACCAGTCGTAATGGTGGGACCTGGAACTGGAGTAGCGCCGATGCGGGCGTTAATCTATCAAAGAAACTACTGGCGGCAAGAACTCGAAAGAAGTTTTGATGATGCACCGAAAGATATTCTCTTTTTTGGATGTCGTAATGCTCAAGCAGATTTTTTTTTCAAGGACGATTGGGAGGCGTTAAAGACGGAAGGGGTTCCACTCGATGTTCTATCAGCATTTTCGAGAGATCAAGTAAGTTTTTACCTTTATTCATATGTATACACCATGCTGACTCTATCTAGCGACGGAAAGTCTATGTCCAAGACCTTGTTCGTCAAAATAGCGCCGTTGTCTACGATACCCTCGCGAACAAAGAGGGTGTAGTATACATATGTGGTTCTTCGGGTAAGATGCCACAGGCCGTCCGGGAAGCTCTGATAGAGGTTTTCCAAAGTCATGGAAGTCTGAGTCGGGAGGAGGCGGAAGCATATCTAGTTGGAATGGAAAAGTGTGGAAGATATAAGCAGGAGACTTGGTGAGCAGTGGCCTGACCGTTAAGACGTAGACATTAGGATCGAAAATTAGAACCCCAGAATTTGGCATAGAATCTCTGCTCCCGCACCTTCATCAACCATAATTTCTTTTCCCGCGACATGGAGGGATAATCCATTACATAAGCGATCTCTTGGCAGACGTCGGATAACGACGGCGGGGAAACTTTCCGTCGCTCCTCGGCTCTCGCAAGCTTCAATCGTCTCGCTGAATCCCACCCTTGCTCTCGCACCCACATCTCAATTGCTCCTCCATCCGCGCCACAGCATTCACGAACGAGAGATATTGGCAGTTTCAAGTCAAAATGTCTGGATTGAGAATATTGGTGCCCGTGAAGCGGGTCATTGACTATGCTGTATGCTTCTCTCACATTTACTATGGTCCAATTCGCAATACCTTAATACCCTCCTTATCTTATAATATCTACAATTTCCCCCCCAGAACCCAATCTCACAGGTTGACTATTCACTAAAATGTCACACACCAGGTCAAACCCCGTGTCAACCGCGCTCAAACCGCCGTTGAAACTGCCAGCGTCAAACACTCAATGAACCCCTTCGACGAACTATCCATCGAAGAAGCCGTCCGCCTACGCGAACGCAAACTCCCCGTCGAGGAAATTGTCGCCTTCACTGCCGGGCCCCCCAAAGCGCAAGACATCCTACGGACCGCCATGGCCATGGGCGCCGACAAAGGCATCCACGTGCAGCTCGACGAAAAAGACGCTAGTCAACAGCTCGAGCCGCTGGGCGTGGCAAAGTTACTAAAAAAAGTTGTTCAGGAGCAGAAGAGCAATCTCGTGATATTGGGGAAACAGAGTATCGATGATGATGCGGGGCAGACGGGGCAGATGCTAGCGGGGCTGTTGGACTGGCCGCAGGCGACGCAGGCGAGTAAGGTGGATATTGAGGGCGATGTGGTGACTGTGACGAGGGAGGTTGATGGGGGGGTTGAAACGCTTAAGACGAAGTTGCCGATGGTTATTACAACGGATTTGAGGTTGAATGAGCCACGGTACGCGAGCTTGCCAAATATCATGAAGGCGAAGAAGAAGCCGCTCGAGAAGAAGACATTGAGGGATTATGAGGAGAAGTTTGGGGCGAGGTTGAAGACGATTAAGGTTACGGAGCCACCGCCACGCAAAGGAGGTGTTAAGGTGGAGGATGTGGATGGGATGATTAGCAAGTTGAAGGAGTTGGGAGCGTTGTAAGGCAGGCGATGGATAACGATTGGACACGTACTGTATATATTACACTTGGATGGGATAGATTCTGACACAACAACATTGTATGGCAAGAAAATAGAGAGGGTTGCAGTCATGTGCTTATTTCTTAAGGTGGGAATGCTATCTGACGACGGCAACTATCTAACTTTATCCCAGAGGCACTAGCTGATCTTTACTCAACTCCCTTGCAACCTCCTGATCCTTTCTTCTGCCGCCCTCGCCCTCCTCTCCCTCTCCAACCTCGCCCTCACCTCCGGCGATAACCCCCTAGCCTCCTCCTCCCTCTTCTCTGCCCCTGTTTTCTCCGGCAACACCCCCAACGCTTTCCCCTTCCCAACTCTCTTCTCCATCCTCTTCGCCTCCTCCAATTCACTCTCTTTCCGCAACCTCTCAGTCTCTGCCTTCCTTCTATCCGCCTCCGCCTTTTCTTCCGCGGCTTTCTCAGACCTTTCTCTATACTCGCGCTTCTCGACTTCCAACTTTGAGAGTGCGGCCGGGATACCCGATTTCTCCCAATCCCAGACTGATTCTCCGAGTTCGGAACGCGCGACGCGGAAGGCATCTCGAGTTGCGCGGTCGCCGGCCAGACTGAAAGGAGTGCGGGCATCATCACTCATAATGGTTGGGTCGGCACCGGCTTTTGTCAGTAGGGCTAAGACAACCGGTGCCGCGTTGAGCGAGGCAGCGAGATGGAGTGGTGTCGGGGCATGGAAGTTGGATGGAATAAAAGTAAATGTGGATGGGATGTTATTGGATTTGAGGTAGTTTAGCAGAGCTGGGATTTTAGACCGCTTGATTATCGAGGTGATCTGAGAAGTGTGGAGAGCCGCTGTCTCTTCCTCTTTCGAGAGTTTTGGAGGTTTTGGAGGTTTGGATGGAGGAGGTGTAGCAGGAATGGCTGCTGACTCTGATATGTTGAGAGCAGTAAGAGCAGCCTCATCGAGGGTGCTTTGCTTCACCCGTGTGAGTTCGACGAAGGCACGCATGAGTTCGTTTTGAGTAGCTCGTCGTGTGCTGAACGGGAAACCTCGATTTCGCCCATCGTTGTTACTAAGGATCTGTCCTTCATAGGGTCCGAAAAGAGTCCGGCGGTTGGTGCTTCCTGTTGCTCGAATGAACAGGAGCTCGGCGGAATCTATCATGGTCTTCCAGCCTTTGAGTAGGTCTCGGACTTCGTTTGTAAGCGCAGCTTCATTATACCGACGCAAAGATGAGCCAGCAGAATGAGCAGCGCCCTTGGAAGCGTCGTTTGCAGATTGCGATCCACCTTGTTTTCGTCGGGTAGTGTAACGATGGAAAGTCTTATGCGCAATGACGGTTGCTGAGCGTTCATCTGCTCCAGTGTGTTTCTTGCTCATTTTGGGGGCTAGTGCTACAATCATGGCAGCGAAGTGTCCGCCACCAATCATGCAGAGGAAGTAATGTGGTCCGGTGTTTGTCCCTAGCAGAGGGATGCCACCGTCTGTCTTGACCTTTGGTGGTGGCGTTGGCGCGAATTGTTTGCTTCGGATGGTTTCGACAATGTGTGATTCCTCCTCCTGCTCGGAATCAGAGAATATGGCGCGATACACCCCTAACGACATATTCTCGGGTAGCAAAGGGGAGGTAAACCAGAATAACGGAGGCTTTCCCGACCCTCGTTGCTTCTTTTTTGATGCAAATTCGTCAAAAGCCGGATTTGATATCTTTGCTTGCTTCTTCAGCAGTGCACTCAACGTCGACTCTTGTGCCTTGTTCCCTTCCTCCTCATCCTCATCGGATTCTGAGGACTGTGATCCTGATAGGCTCTCATCTAATTCACCAATGAGCTTTTCGAAATCTGCCTCTCCTACTGGTTTCAGGCCCCTCATCTTCTGCTTCAAGTTGTAGCTATGGAGATCGGATCGGACATGATTCCGCTGCTCAACGACGGACGCAAAGGATAGACGGCAGAGGTTGCAGGAAGTGGCTTTTGTTGGAGTCCCATCGGCATTCTCAGAGTTCTCGCCAGCTTCGCTCGCGGGAGTGGATATCCTCAGCGGTGTTTCTGGGGCTGGTCGCTCGAGCTGGCTCTTGAGAGTGATTGTGGACAGGAGCTCCTCCGGGAGGTCGAACACTGTGAGGATTAACATTGGAAGAGTGAGGTTTAAGAGGGGCTATACATACCATAGAGTGGACGGTACAGAATATGGTCGCCTTTCTGCGCCATGTTGTTGGGTTTGGGCTTTTGGTTGAGATTATGCGTTAGAGGGAAGGTTATTTGTAGGTTGAAATGGAATTTGGTGGAGAGTCACAACGTCACTTGCACGAGTCAGTAGTTGGCCAAGTCGCTAAGTATTGACTCACGGCTTCGGCTTACATCCCCAAATCATTAATTACAACCCTCAAACCGTCCCAATTCATATTTCAACTCACCTCTTATTCTATCTACAAGTGACATCTTCATGAATACTTCGCAATGCCGAATGTGCTTGTCCTCTCTTTCGAAGGATTCTCATTCTCTTCCCGCCAACTCTACCAACAACTCCTCCCCAAGCTCTTGTCCAGAGCATCTGTCCATGAATCCCTCACAATCCAGGATGCACTTAACTACATTCTCACTGGATGGCCGACAGTTATACTAGTTACAGATCCGGTTATCACCTCCGAAGATGAGGATAGTCAACGACTACTCCTCGCAGTCGCTGACCTTACCAAGCATGGATGCACCACAATCCTCATGGGTTTCTTCGCGGCAGTAGTCACCGACCGGCTGAATGTCATCTTCAAGGAGTATTTTGATCTTCGTTGGCGCGTGGCTGAATACACAAGCCAGGACACGAGCTTGCTTACACCTGACGAAAATCTGATCCGGACTTCAAGTCTAGTACCATCCTTCTACCCTAAGGCACTCTTCCTTGGTAGAGTACCTGCCGCCCAAACGATTTACGTTGGCTCCTCCGGAAACTCAATGACGGCGTATGCTGCTTATGCTAGAGTTGGACTCGGCAAACTTGGCTATGTCGGAGATGTAAATTTTGGGGAGGAACCAGAGCGCTTAATTCTGGCAATGTGTCATTTAGATCGGCCAGAGGATTCCCTTCAAACCACAGAAGACATGGAGTCTTGATCAGTATCGAAGGTAATGCCGTCTAAAGGCCTATCATTAATTCGGAGGTCTACTATGCCTGTGGATGCATCTTTACTGATTGGCTACAGTTCGGAGATGTTCGGCGTTTCCGCATCCCTTCCTCCTATCCCAGATTGCAGAGCCAAGTCAGCTACTGCAATTCTGTCAAAGATTGGGTGGCCAGGATCGAGGGAGTTGTGAAGGCCGTGTGTAGCATTCAGGAGGACGTTTCTGGCTTCTTGACCTCGAACTTGAGGTTCCAGTGAGATTGCATATTCTACTGATGCCAGTAAGGTACGCGGATGGTTCTTGCCTAAAGCCTCCTCGCTCGTCATCCACAATGATTGGAAAAATTCTTTAGCTTCCTCTCCGTTGTATAAGTCCCGAAGAACGCATCCGTAATCGTATCGTACCTCGAGGGGGAATATGCTACCCTTCCCAAAGATCCTTTCAAGCTCAGTCAGGACCGTTCTAAGGATTCGCTCAGCTTCATGTAGTCTGCCATGTGCTTGCAAGATTCGTGCCAATGTACTCTGACTTCGAAGCAGGGTCGGGTGAGCATGATCCAAAATGATTCCGCGATTTAGGACTGCTCGCTCGGCTGCTTCCAAAGCCTCATGTATTCTGCCCTGCTGAAGTAATACAAGAGCAAGACTATCGAGAGTATGCATTACTCTTGGGTGATCTCTCCCAAATACTCTTTCTGCTTGAGACAGAACCTTCCGAAGCAATCCCTCCGCCTCTTCAGCTCGACCAACATCGTAAAGCTGAATACCAAGGTTACTTCCACTGAGTAAGGTCCATGGATGGTAGGCACCGTGCGTTCGAAGTCCCGTAGAGTAGCATCGCTGGTTTATTTCCACACTTTCTTTCAACTTCCCCATGTCGCTCAAAACAATAGCGAGATTGCTATAATTCATAAGCGTATCCGGATGCTCGAATCCTGCTTCGGCTTCTCGGATTGCTATCAGGTCGCGGTAGATTCTCTCTGCCTCTTCAAATTTGTTCCGCCGTCGAAGCACGAATGCCAGGTTGTTCCGACTAAGCAAATAGTTGAATCGGAGCTCTGGCGAGTCTTTCGCCCTCGCAATCACCTCGCGATACCGTTTCTCTGATTCCTCGTATTTTACTTGATCAGAGAGTACTTCTGCAATGTTGATAAGATTGCGGATTCTATTTGGCGTATCGCCAGTCTGTCGTGCCGCGTGTGCCTCTTCCACTTCGCGGAACATAATTTCGGCCTCTCTGAATCGGCTCTGACAACCCAATAGCTCTCCTTTACGTCCCTTCATATCTAAAATGAGGGGATCTTGCGGATCTGTACTCTGGGTCTGCCAGTCCAAGGCTCGTTGGAGCAATCTCTCAGCATCACTGAATTTGCCGAAATTCTCCAGAAATCTCGAGGCCATCGCGGTAGCACCGGCAAGTTGGTTGAGGTTTTCATGCCGAAGGTACGGTTGGATGGATTCGTGTATATTTTCCTCCATGACGGCTAGATGAGAGAAGGCGGCCTGCACTTCCTCGGCAGAGAACCAGCGCGCTGGTTCAAAAAGCGCTCCTAAGATGCTTGCTTGTAAAAGACATTGTTGGTATCGCTCTTCATTTGTGGCTCGCATTTGAATCCAGTCTTTGACCAGCGGGTGAAGTGAGACATGAACGATACCTTGCGAATCTTTGAACTGGGCTTCAATCAGTGAAAGGTCACACAACTCAACCAATGCGTCTTGGAATCGATCCTGGCTCCACATGCCCCCATCAGTAAACGTCTCCATCCATTGTGGGCAGACTTCCGTTTCGTGTCTGGCCTCCCAGAATTCCGCGAACATGGACCCAGAGATATCAGCGTTGTGAAAAAAACCCAGGAGTGATAGGAACGATGAGTATTCCTCCGCAAACTCACTCTCTTCCACAAATCTCTCGAATGACAACTCCCAAGTGGTAAACACACTAAGCGACACCTCTCGATCGTCTTCATCTTGTTTTCTGCGATATTCCCATACCTTCGGCGTGCTCTTTAGGATGTCTTTCTTCCGTCTTTTGTAGTGATCAACGAAGTTCTCTAACGGCAGTGTTCTCTTCCGCTTGTTGATGTATGCTGCGGCTTGATCTAACGCCAAGGGATGATAGCCCAGTCTATGAACAATCTGCTTTACATGCTCGATGGTGTCAGGCGTTCTTTCACATGTGCTTCGATGAAAGAATAGATCGAGAGATTCTGCCTCTGGCATTCCGGGCAATGCAATGGATGCGCCATACCGGCAGACATCAAGGTGGCGTGTCGTGAAGAGAACATGGCCTCCGTTTCCAGGGGGAAGGAAATCCATTGCATTCGGAAAGCCGACTGGATCGTCGTGATTATCCAGCACAAGCAGCCAAGGTTGAATTCGGGTCTCCAACGACTGTTTAACATACGCGATGCTTTGATCGCTGTTATCGAAAATGCGACCAGGAGGTTTGATAGCTTCCGCAATCGCTTCGAAACTCCGTCGCAATTGAATCTCCGACGCAGCATCCACCCAGAAGATCCCGGAATAATACTTATTCTCATGCCAACGACGACAATACTCCAGCGCTGTTTGTGTCTTTCCTTGGCCGCCCATAGCCTGCAGCACCACAACCGGAGAATCTTGGAATTTAGCATTCATGTCCAAAATAACATTCTCCCTTCCCACAAACCTTGACACGCTCCTCCTCGGGACTTCAAAAAAAGCCTCCTTCCTTTCGTCTTCCATCACACTCGCGACAAGCGTGACTTCATCCGAGTCTATCTTCTTCAAACTTTCCGCTCTCGGAAGCACATGGTGCAACGTCAAAACCTCCACACACCTCCTCATCTCTTTCTCAATCCTCTCCACCTCCTTTTCCTTCCGCAAACTCGCAATCGCCTTAAAACTCCCCGCCCTCCAAGAATCATCTTCCGCAGGTAAGGTCTCATCCAAAATTGCATTTAACTCCTCTACCTGCTTCCTACAACTCTTTATCACCTGCTCGAGCGCGATTTTCGATCCAGGCGAAATGTGCACGTTAGTGGAATTACATATCTTTAAGTCTTCGATGAGCAAGGGAAGCCGGATACTGATGCCGCGGAATACCTTCGGGACTTCGCCACGCGCTTGTTGGAATTCGTAGAGGCGGGCAGCGACTTTGCTGCCGAAGTCGATGAATTGGACTATATTGCCAGCGAGACCGATGGCGGAGATGGGATCCATTTTACATGTTTTTCGGACCGGATTATGGAAAGAGAGACGGGCTGTCGACGTGATGGTGATATGTGGAATTCAGACGAAAGGGCGAGGTGACGAAGAGAGAAATGAGAGTTTGACATTGAAGCTGAAGGCTGAAGTCTGCACTGCACTGCTAGCGCATCACACTGCCATCGTCACAGCCACAATGGGAGCAAGGGAAAATGGGATGCCTGAGGTGGACAATCTCTTCACGTGCAATGCTCAATTCGGCTTATTACTGGCCGAGAATTGCTTATTCTAGATTTGAAACTTTGACTTTGGCTCCTTGACATTCGCATTCGCACAAGTACCGCAATGTGGAATGCCACTAGGTTCCGGCTGTCGACTTGAAGTGCCGATCATAGGCCAAACTGCTAAAATCTACCCCGATGGCGGTGAATGCTGATCTTCCATATCAGGAACCATGCATACTGTGGTGTCCGGCCAAAGTATTGTACATTGTTAATGCGCTGCAGGCGCCCCAACAACCCAGTATGGTCCAATCAGTCATACGGGACAGCTTCCGCCGGGTCTTACTATGCCGCCTGCTGGTTGGTCGTATGCATGATTTCGGGTACCCTGCACAGCACTGGCAATGTACAATACTTTGGCCGGACACCACAGTAAACCTCCAAAGCATTTCCCCGCGTTAAAAACGCTTGGTATATATTGCGGATGGCTCGTTTATTATCTTCTTAAATTTTTGTCGCATTCTATTCTTTTTTCTCGTAATCTTGATTGTTCATTTCGTTGCTTTCCTACCATTACCATTTGCCAGAGCAATCGTATTCAAGTCTACGCGTTGTCAAGCCTCAATTTTCCTTCCATATATGTGCTTCTAAGGCTCTAACATCTTCTCTCTCACAATAAATCTACATATTCACTACACCAACAACTACACCCGTATACCCCAACTATGGCAGCCTCAAGCAACCCAATCACACACCGCAAATCCCTCATCGGTTCCCCCTCCAACTTCTGGCTACACAGCACCCGTACCGGCTTCGACCTAACACACCCGTCTTCCCCCTCCATCCCCACACCCGGCTCCAAAATCACCATCCAAACCACCACCGCCCCAATAACAATTTCACCCTCCAAATCCGCCCTCATTATCATCGACATGCAAAACTTTTTCCTCAGCGCGTCCTTCGGCCGCTCCCGGGGTGCCGGCCACGCCGCCTGCGATCAGCTAGTGACTCAGGCGATCCCTGCCGCACGTAAAGCTGGGATAAGGGTGATTTGGTTGAATTGGGGGCTTACGGATGAGGAGGTTAGCGATATCCCGCCAGCGGTGAAGAGGGCGTTTGGATTTGAGGCTGTGGATGAGGATGTTGGGTTGAGTTTGGATTCGTTCGCAGGACAGGAGAATGGGGTGGGTGTGGATAAGTTTGGGAAGCAGAGGTTTCAGGGCGGACATGTGTTACTTGAGAACGGGAAGGATGGGAGGATTTATCGCGGTCTGGGGTCGGCGTGTGGGATGGTGAGACTAGAAGATGGCAGCATGATGGATGCGGGGAGGTTGTTGATGCGGGATACCTGGAACGCGGCATTATACCCACCCCTTGATAGCATGTTTGAAGACGGCAAGAAGTTGGGCAAGAGTCCAGATGTATGGATCCACAAGAACCGGATGTCGGGGATGTGGGGTGCCAAAACGGCGTGTGAGGAGTTTTTAGAGAAAGAGGGGATAAAAGCGCTATTTTTTACGGGAGTGAATACGGATCAGTGTGTTGGAGGCACGTTTACAGATGCATTTAGTAAGGGCTATGATTGTGTGTTGTTGAGTGATGGGTGTGGGACTACGAGTCCTGAGTTTGCGCAGCACTGTTTTGAGTATAATGCTGCGAGGACTTTTGGGTTTTGTGCGAGCTGTGAGGAATTTAAGAAGGGGGTAGATAGGATACGGAGTTGATTTCGATGAAGGGGGGTGAGCGGGGGTACCTTAGAGCTTGCACGGATTGAAGCATTGATAGGCTTTCGCTTCTTCCCCAGTACTCTGAGATTCTTTCTAGGACCTGCGTATTCGGTTATCGGCGTTCAAGCGCTTGTATCCGAGCCCGAGCCTCTGGAACGAGCTTGGACCATTCTTCTATTTGTCCTTTCGGTGGCGGTGCCGCTACTTCATAGTAGCGTGTCAAAGCCTTTTCGAAGTCTCCGTCCTCTTCGGCCAGTTTTGCGAACGTCATGCTTGAGGGCTTGTGACCCTTCCTAGCGGCAATGTCAAGCCATTCCATAGCGAGTTTTCGAGGGCTGTCTCGCTTCCAGGAGGTCACCCATCTTAGGGCCGTGGAAATGTCCGAATCTTTAGAAATCAAGGATTTTAGGGTCGATTTCTCGTTCCTGACTTGGAGGTAGAAGTTAGCCACTTGGTACATAGCGTCCACGTGACCCGAAGCGGCTGCTTTGTTCATAAATTTAAGCCATTGGCTCGTCGTCTTCTCATAGAAGGATGCGAGATGGTAGTGAGAAAGAGGGTCATCAGCCTCCAGAGCACCAACTTCGAAGACCTCCTTGGCTCTCTTCTGTGACTCGGGAGAGTTGTCGGCGATGAGGGAACATCCTAATGCATTCCAAGGGGGGATTAATGGCATTGCCAGATTGTTGGAATCTTGCTTGGTTTGATGGTTTTTAAGACCTTCTTTTGTGTCGGCTAAAGTCAATGCCTTCTCGTACATATCTCTTGCCTGGCTCGTCTTGCCCTCCTGTTCTAGGAAAAGTCCCTCTAGTGTCATGGCGTCTGGATTGCCTTTGAGAACAAGAGCCGCGAGGTCATTGCGGCATCGCCGAATGTCGGTGGCAGAGAAGATACTCGAGATTGCGAGGGCGGCGGGGACGGAGTGCCTGAGCCGGAGTGCGGAGAGGATATGTGTAGTAGCCAGCGAATCACCAGCTTTGGAGCAGCCCAAGAGCATTACACGGGCAATGTTCTTGTGTTCACTCGGAGGGGCCCAAACGGGAGCCTCCTTTGCGTCAGGTATTCGGCATGTCAATATAGCAAGTGTGCTGAGGTCGCGTATCTCGACTCGGTACTCTAGCGTCTCCCATCAGCCCATGCACGATTCCAACAGCTGATTGAAACTGACTGCTAGCCAACTCGACGATGGTGTCTCCCGAGTCCTTCTTTGACGAAATTGATGCAAGAAATTCGGCGATTATCGAATCTGCAACCTCGGGGTCTACGGGAAGCACCTGTTCGGCGCGGGCAAGGGCGAAGAAGGTAGCCCGGTTTCTGGTATCTATTTCGGTGCGTTGTCTAACAAGCTGTTCGCGACTTACACGCGGACCGGGGGCCGGTTGAGCATATGGCCGCCTTTGAGGCTGCGCCCATGGTACCCGTCGTCCATTCCCGGAGAGAGGAAATGGATTTCGGCGGAGAGACGCGAGGAACTGGCGAGATTGACAGAAGACGCATGTTTCAGTCTTGATATTTGAAGCCCGAGAGCGGAGCAGTGCAGGCCTGAAAGACATTTCAGTCCCGGAATGTACGCAATGCAAAGGTGAGTGAGCAATTGTTGCTGAAGCTTGCAAGTGGCTTGGCGAACTTTTTGTCTTGGCGCTTTGGCCGCATTAGAAAATTCCTCCCCGCACGCCATGTTTGCCAAAGTGCTCAACACAGCCAAAAGCATTCTAAGCAGGTCACCGTCTGCCCAGCCAGGGCCCGCTGAGTCTCGAGAATCAACACCAAGAAGCAGCGAAGCCGACGTCGACATGGTTTCCACTCGACGAGGGCCTGTGGGCGAGAACACACCGCTGAGCACGCCGCGGAGCACGAGAGGGAGAGGGAAACGGGCACTGGAGACCGAGGACACACCTATATCATTAGTGAAGAGGAGGAAGTCAGTCGTGAAGCCTAAGGAGGCCGAGAAGGCCGAGAGGCAAATGGACGATGCGCCGGAGCAGACGGACCAGCCTGAGTCCCCCAAGGAGAAGCCGCTCCTCGATGTCATTAAAGTCCGACCGCGACCAACCACCCCACAGCAGGAGGAAGAGAATCAGGTCACACCTAAGGCGAGAAAGCTCCCCGTTCGCCAAAGCCCCAGGGTCCTGATCAGAAAGAGGACAAAACCACCGCTCGGCGTCGAGGAAGGTGAGCCAGAGTCTGTGGTGGTGGAAGTACCCGCGTCGACTCAAGACACGGAATACCATACACCTGGCACACGGCAAGCAAGCTCTATCTATGCGACTCCGGCAACAGCCTTGGACGCACTAGAAGAATCCCTAACTCCAAAAGCAGAACACAATGGTGCACAGTCTGCAGTGTCGTCAAGTAAGTGCTTGGCGAGGCAGAGCAAGGGGGATAATTCCTCTTTTGGGGTTGAATCTCGTGATTCGCCAGAGCGTGAAGGCAACGCCAACACAGAATTTGGAGTGGGTAACAATATTCCCCTCGATATCTCCTCATCCACAATGGATCATGAGGCAACTTCCGGTTCAATGCCAGAGTCAGATCGAGAGTCTACTCCAGTTCCTCCATCTAATACACTTTCTTCCAAGCGCGTAATCCCAGATGAGATCCCAACGTCAACACTCGACAGTGAGAAAGCCGCCATTTCTACCCAAGAGTCACTTCAGAATACCCCCTCCTCGGGTGCATATAAATTACGGCAACGACTCATTCGATTCGCCAGCGAAGAGCCGGTAGACCACCAACCCACCTTTACTCCCACCCTTGATGGAGCTGCCGATGAACCACCTTCTGCCATGAAGTTGAAAGAAGATGACGAAAGCGACTCCGACGAAGCTCCAGACATAGTTACTGCCGCATCCGCATTCTCAAAGACTCAGGCGGCCGAAGCGGAAGCAGCTCGAGCTTTCAAAGCTCAGCAAGAAAAGGAGAAGTTGAAGCGGAAAGAACGTGCCGAACGCATAGTCGAGGAACAAGAGCAGAAGAAGAGGCGGGAAGAAAAGAAAGCAAAGAAGCTAGCTAAGGCTCAAGCAAAGCAACAGTTGGTTAAGCCAGAGGATGATATTACCATGCTAGACATTCACAACCTCCCCGCTCTCCTCCCAGATTCCATCCTTGAAGCAGCGGGAGACAAGCGTCCACCAACTCCACCGCCCCTGCTGCCAGGTAAATCTTCAAAAGAACTGCAAAAGGAAAAGTTAAACCGGCATATCAAATTCCTAGAGCGTGGCGAGAAACCGATCAAGAGCGTGAAGAAAGGCCCAGTAAACGTACATGTGTTGGCGCAACAGAACATGCTTCTGGCACCGAAGGTCAACCGAGATACACGGAATATTCGGGAACACTGGTTGAAGGGCAGGCAGGTTGAGAAGAAGGATAAGCAGGGACGGAGGAAGATGAAGTTCCAGAAAATGGAGAGGAGGGCTATTGGACATGGGTTTATTAGGAGTGAAGATTAACGGATGTCAAAAGTTTCTTAGTCATGGGGTTTGTACTAGGTGTAGATTGAGAGAAGAGGCTGCTATGTGTGAGCCATTTATAGCGCGAGAAGCTATGCAATGGGAGACACCAAGGAAATGTTTGTTATCGCTACTATATTAATATGAATTGCAGAGCACCTACACACCCTCCTAAATCCGAGGCAAAACTTCTGTTAACTACAGTCTCTATACCTACGCTTCACCTCCCTCCCGGCAACTTTATATTTCTCTATAGAACAGAATAGTACTATTCAGAAGCTTCGCTATCATCTGCATCCTCTATCTCTACCTTGCAGGTGGGGCCTTAAACGCTGATAGAAAGGCTTCTTTTGAAATATGGTGGGAATGGTTGCGTGCCAAGGCCGAGATCTCGTCCCCTGACTTGCGCTTGAACGGCGAGAAGCAGGCGACTTCAAGAGGCTGCAGTAGGTGCGACGAGTGTGGAGGCATGCAGAGAGTAATAATCTTCTTCTACTTGCATAAAACCTGGAAATCAACAGAGCAATAGCTCTCGTAGCCGTCAATAATAAGCAGCCTGTATGCTCCAATAGCGTTTGCATGCGAGTCGAAGTGTTTAAGCCAGGCAAGCGCCAACTTGTTATTTGTCCCGCCATTAGGGCTAACTTCAAGAATCCAGTCGCGAGGGAGGCCCTCAAACCAAGAGGAGATAAGAATCTTACCCGCGAAGATGAGGAAGGGTGGGATAGCCTCCCCCGTTGAACCGACGCCTTGTATCAGGGTAACCCACTCGCGACCGCCAGGCTGTAGTTTCTTCCGCTTTCCAGGCTTCTCTGAACCCGTAACTACAAGCTGAGACGAGATCTTGCCCATTCGGAAGTCAGATTCGTCAAAGCTGTAGATGTCCTCGTCAATAATACGATACTGTGCCTTCATCTTCTGAACAAGTGTGAACCAGGGCTGGATAACCGCCGGGTCTTCGCAGGCAGCTCGCTGGCGATCGTATGGACGGCTCCGTTGGGTTGTAAGTTCTGGTGTACGCTTTACAAGTTGTCAACCCCGTTCTTGCTAACAGGCTTCCCACCCCACTCTCTTAGCAGTTTATCGGCCATATCTCGTACGTCAGCCTTTGACGGCGGCAGGCCGCGTAGGGTTTCGTCAAGGATACGCTGTATAATCACCTCCTCTTCTAGCTTTGTCAGTCATTTCAAATTCGGCTCGCAGTCGCGTCGAGGGCGTCGTGCGGTGCGTCGTCCTGTATCGTTATTCGAGGGACAGTATATGTTGATGTAGCGCGTCTTTCGCTTTGAACTTGCTTTAAACTAAGATCTAAAATATCAAGGAATAGATCCCCTTCTGTATAAGTTTTAGGCTTCTTGTGTTGTTGAGGCATTACGCGATGTCATCGCGCGGCGGTTCGCGTTCTTAAGATAGCTAACTCGCTTGCGAAGTACGTAACTAACAAAAGGATATTTTCATACTACAGACTTCCACATCATTCTTCCCTTGAACCCCTCTACGTCTCGTATCTCAGACTCGAAAATGATTGCCACTGCTCAATCTGTACTACGACCCATAGCACACGCGGACTACTACAAGTACAGTAGCCAATGGATGGTGGGTACAATGCGAGCCATTAATAGGAAACATGCTGTGTTCATCGACCACAGGTTATGCCTTGGAATACACAAAAATGAGGTCTACGCTAAAAGTGGATCGTAAACGGAAAGCTAATTTTCCAATCATTAAAAATACTAGGGCAGAATGCTCACCCTGAGAGTATCCACGAGCTGAAACGGCTTAGAGCATATCCAAGAAGACACCAGTGCGCATATCTTCTATTTCCCAACCCATGAAAACCGCATCATCTAAGGTATTGCAAACTGAGCTTTATATGTATTGACTCATCCTTCATGTCCCAACACAACTCTCCAAGACCAAAGTCCTTCCACCTTCCCAGTTCAATTATCAACTCATTCCCGCACCCACGAGGCTCGCATTCCTAGGATCTCAGGCTCGTCGTACGGAAAATTCTCTCAGAAATCCCGGCCAGACGGAGTAACAAGGTGGTATTTTTATGTTTGTGTGAACAAAAGTCTCCATAATTGATCTCAAAAGCCATCCAAAGGCTGAGGTGTCCTGCTTGGAGAGCGAGACTTGTACAGGGAGCAGGTGTACTTATATGCCTTTGATCGAAACGATTTGTTGGATGAGTGGGTGGCTAGATAAATGATGAGGGTAGGGAAATGTTCTGCGAGCCCCTCACGCGATTTGAAGCAGGGGTTATTTAGGAACCTCCTTCCGGTTACGAACTTGCGCTACCTTTCCTTAAAGCAGCCTCCAGGCGAAATTAATCTAATAACCTCTGGGTCGCAGTTCGTTCAATAGATTCTGCAGTGGACGCAAATTCTACGATGAGTTCGAGTCCTCTGGTTCACCCCACAGACTGCAAACGTTGGGAAGCTGCACCTCCCCGCGCATTCTGTATACCGGGTACATGAAAATTATGCGTAAATTCGTCGTCCATATCAAGTAGCGAGACTAAGTTGAAACAACATGCTTGAAAGAAAGTGGATCCGCGACATGTTCGGGCTTGCAAGCATTTTTCCTGCGTACCTCTCGTTGCAGAACATCCAAGTGACACCCTTCACGACTCCCAAACTGAGCAAAGGAGTGAGATATGTAGGAAGCAGAGAGCAGAAAAATAGAAACTAGTGAAAATTCTAGCAGGCTGATACAGTGTGGAGAGGAAGAAGCTCAAATGGCAACAATTGATTAGTAGAATGGTCGATGTGGAGTTGGAGACGCCGTCTAGTTTCCGAAGTCCCTTCCCTTGACTAGCCCTAACTCACCGCCCACCCTACATCCTTGCAAAGGCTCTTGTCCCCTTTTGATCGCTAAACGACCACAGAGGTAGCAGTGTTTAGTATACGCCTGTATTACTTTTACTTGATTCATTTCTAGGTTATAATACAATTAAATTTCCAAAATGATTAATCTTCTTCTCGTTCGAGTCCAATGGTCTAGTGGTATGACGTTCGCTTCACACGCGAAAGGTCCAGGGTTCGATCCCCTGTTGGACTACTTCAACTTTTTGCTTTCAGAGGCTTCATGCGATTTGCATTTTGCATTTTGAATTTGACGGGGCAATCCAGGGTGAACCTTTTTTTTTTTTTTTAAAAAAAAAACCTCGCTTTTTACACTACTTACAATTAAGTCTTTCTCTTTCTTTTTACACTAGTAAAGGTCCTATATAGCAAGCTATTTTTATTGTCTTTTACTCTGAGGCGTGGATTTGAAGCTGTTGTTGTCGTTCCAAAGATTTCCATCATGTGAATTTTGGGGTTGAGGAATGACTTGATGTGGGCCCCACAGAGACCTCAACAACATTGAGCACTTTAGTGGCTCTCAAGAGATTCCCCCCACGACTATAATTCCATACCATAGCATGTCCATTTTCGCACCCGACGAGTTTCTCACGTGCCCATGGTCCGAAAGCATCACGGAATGATCCTCGGCAAATTTCGGTCCGAATCTCACACCACAATCACGCAAACCCTCTGCCATAACCTGACCTCAGTCTTCCAGTGCTCCGCGTGCCCAAGATCACTCATAACCGCGGGCGCTCCTGTCCCTTAGCCTATTCAATTCCAGAGTCCTTGTAGCGTTCCGCCGCAGGACATAACCGTGATACATGCGCGGCCGAGAAGGCTGCAGAGCACTCAACGGCCGGTAGAATGTGGGTCTTGCTGCGTCACAGATGTGTGTTGAATTATGCGGAATTGGAATGGATTGGAATAGAGGATGAGAGTAGGGGCTAAGACGCGAGAATGGGTCGGATTGGTGCCTGAATGGTCATGGGATAGGGTTCGTGATAGGTGGGTTGATCGTTTGTGGAACGCGGAGATGAGGCGGTGGGGTGAATGTGGCATTGTTGGCTCGTGATGAGGATGGAAACGTGAGGAGGGGTAGGTGGGGAGATTTGTCTGTCGTTATATTTCTTGGGGTCCCGCCGTGAGCGGGCTTGGGATGAGAAGTTCGAAGTATTTGCTGGAACAATTCCATCTATTCCTGTTGAAGTCAGAGAACTAGAAGCAATCATACTTGGATACCTCGCCAAAGATTATCTACATCTACGCCACATCAACGACATCGACAAACAACTACACCACGCCACGAGCAAATACCAAACCGTCACCATGCCTATCCACCTCGCTCCACGCTTCCGCCGGCAGCCCTTTTCAACCGCCGCCCGCGTCTATCCCTCCATACCCTCCCACTTCCACTCCTACCACCCCCCAGCACCACAGACATCTCCCCAACCACCAGCGATGCCCAAACTCGGGCGGATATCCCGATGGTACTTACCTGCCATGGCTTTCATAGCCGTCGGTACGCTATTCCTTCCATCTGACCTGTTCTCATCATCCCCGTCGTCGAGTCAGAAGCAATCGCTGGACTCGGCTAATAAGCAGCTAGGCATCGCGATAGCGAACGCCCTCGAGGAATACAACATGCAGCATATGAGTGAGAGGCAGAAGTTACGGGCGCAGGCCGAGAGGAATGCCGCGCTGTTGGAGGCGTATGGCGAGAGGATGAGTTTAGCGGATGTGGAGAAGGCATTAGAAGTTTATGAGGTGCAGTGATGAGTGATGGGGAATGAAAAGTGGGATAGATGGATGGTGGACGCAGTGGCTAGAGAGTGAGTTGCTTGTGGTCGGCTTGAATTGGAAACGTCTCTGTCTGGGCTAAGGGAGGGCGGGCTGGGTGCTCGGATAGAAGGTAGAGCTAGGCCACGAGTGGCTCTGTTGTACGATGGGCCATGTACGAAAATGAGAAGCGGCCGCTGAAAAGATAGGAGCAAAGAGAAAAAGACGGGCTGTACGAAAGACGAACGATGAAGCAGAGATGAGGCTGGCGTTTTCCTGCGATCGAGGACCAAGAAAAGAAGCATTCGAGGACACATGCTGGAAATCAAATCTCTTCGAGGAGTCCGGCGTCAACAATCGATCGATCGAACGAAGCTTGTCAACTATAAATTTCAACACCAGCAAGCCACCTGCGGCTTTGCCATTATCTCGGCAGGTCCAAGTCACCTGCGACTGGCCAAACATTCATAGCAGGATTGCCACCTGCGGCTCTGCGCGATCTTCTGGTTTGGGCGGCTACTATCAAATTCACGGCGTTCAAGTCTCTAATGCCGTCGTTAGAACGGTTAACAACAGGCTGAAGTGACTGAAGCAAACTTGCAGTTGTAAGGCTTTGGTATCAGTAAGCCTAGACATCGGGTCTTCGCAATATGCAAGACTGGACGGGAACTGGAATGGTGTAGGCTTTACAGAGCTCTAGGGTGATGAGGACAGTTTAAGCGTCGAACATGAATGCTATAGTTATCCTACAGTTCTAACCTGGAACTTGAAAATGTTTTCATTCGTCGGTGTGTTGATGATTGCCCTAGCGAGGGCGCTTTCCGGAATCGGGATGATGGCATGCACGACTTCAATTCAAGGTTTGTATTGGTCAAAAAACTGACCGAAATGGGTAGGAGGCTTTCTCTGACTCCGCGACTTGCAAAGAGAGCAATTCAGCGATGAAATTGCGAGCCTCATCAAAGCCTTCAAGGCCCGGAATTCCAAATAACACGTGATCCAGAAATTCACCATCTCATACTCTCATCATCCCCCCGAATCCGAAGCTAAGGTTTCCAGATCCCCCAGATCCTCATTCCCCATCTAATACCCCCGCATTTAATCCTCGCCCCAGATCCCATCCCCTGACCATCCCCAAACACTCCCAATCCTCCCGCCACGTTCCAGACACCCGTATTCATCAAACCACCTGCAATCTCGATCCTGCCCGATCATCTCTCAGCTTTCCCCATTGCCACCCGCCACTCTTCTTGAGATCCCATCCAAAGAGGCAAGCCGGACCAAATCCCAGCCCAATGACTCTTCAGTCACGGAACATGCCAGAGTTCAAGAAACCCATGGTGCGAGATGAACTGATGACGTGAGCCTGCGAGTCGCTTAGCCACGGAACTGCAACATCTGCATCCCCAGGCCTGTGCTCGGGCGTGTAAGGCGTGTACATTATGTCGTGCATACGGTCGAATGAGGTTCTTAAGGGAACGCGAGGCTTGGCGCGTGAATGCGCATGGGCGGAAGAAAGGCGGAGACTTCCGACAGGATCGACAACGTGAACGTGGACGTGGACAGCTGCAGCTAGCACACACATCCGGTCACAGGGCAGGACCTAGACCTGATATGGGATGATATGACGTAGGAAGCTTGGGGAAGTCGGAAAGAGCTTCCCAATTCATGGGGCAGGTGCAGGTGTGGGGGATGCAGGGGAAAGGGTGAAGGTAATTAGACAGAGGGTGTCGACGGCTGGAATTTGGGGCAACCGGAATGGATAGATGCAGGAATGGACCTTGGAAGCCGAAGAGGGTACCGGAGGAAAGAATGTAGGGAATGATGACAAAACGATCAAGAGAAATTGCATTGTGTGTGAGTTCATAGAAGGAGACGTACAAGCCAGGGAAGGAGCAGATGCAGGGTGATGAACAACATCATTTGCAGTTGCGGACATGTCTTTGACCTCACATCTAAGATTCGATTTCGTATTACAGCGAGGACCAAAACATTGTAGAATATACAGAATCCATTTGGCCCAATTCTGTGACCCAAGCTGTGTAGCTACCAATCTAGGGGCTTGGTATGGAGTAATGATGCCAAGTAAAGGGGAACCGCCAGCAGGCAAAGGACCGTCCGGGAACGCGCATCTACAATAGATGCCGAACCCAACGAGAAAAAAGAGAGAAGAGAGAAATCCATACAGAAAATACTGCAATCTACTATCACACCCGTTGTACATCCAGCAGTCCCTGCCTCGGTTCAGCGGTTGCGGCACCAAAACTCCTCGCTGGTAAAGCACGCGATAGAAAGAAAAGTGGCTTGCTTGGTCAGTCTGCTGCTCCTCATTAACATATCCACTCAACAACAATTTCAGCCCACTCAATCCCCGGGAACTCACTTCCACCTCGAACGCACTCTGGCTCTTCAGCGTCAAGATTCCACCTCAATATCCTTCACGGGGCAGTCCAGCCCAAGCCAGTGGGAGCGACGCCGTTGGCGAAACTGAGGCGCTTGCATTGATCATCAAGGTGGCGGATCGTGGCCTTCTTCTCCGCATACCACTTCTCAAACTCGACAACGTCATCGCCAGTGACAGTTCCGAGGCGTTTGGACTCGTACCACTCCGTGTCCACCTTGCGGGCGGCATGGCGGAGACGTGGAATTGATTCGGTGCGGAGTTGGGAGAGCTCGGTAGTGTAATAAGCATTTTGGGGGTCGAGCGGAACAGAGAAGGAGCGATCGTGGTGACGCTTGTGTGGGTGGATAGGATCCAGATCAATGGGGGTTAAGCAGACGGGGGAGATTGGGGATGCCAATGAGGTCTGAGACCCAGACATAGACCGGGCAGGAGAGTCGGACCTGGGCGAGGAAGAAGAGGAATAGACAGGAGAGGAGACGAAAGAGTCATATCGGCTGCTAGCATTGCTGGAGGTCCGCAGTTTTGCCAGGGTCGGACGAAGGTTAGTGAGTCGATCGACGCTGTCGTCGAGCTGGACTTCTAACTCATCTTCGAAGGTCTGAGCATGAGCGATGGTGTCTACTTTCGCGCTATGTTGGTGGAGTCGCTCGTATCCGCTGAGGACTGCAGCTCCAGAGTGTTGAAGGGCAGCTAGAGTAGACTTTAGCTCGGTGGGGAGACTGTTCCATAAGTCTTGAGGGATGTACCACGCCGGAAGGTGGTTCGGGTCGTAGCTGAACGCATCGCCATCTCGTGGACAGAGAGTGCGGGGTGACTCAATCTTTGGGCTAGACGGAATGGCTGCCGTAGTGAAGCTACGGCGGCCAGAGCTACGACGGGAATGATTCCGGGAGGCAGAGGTAGGAGAGTGGTAGATGGGCATAGAGGAGTTGAAGTTTTCGAGGGCCATTGTGTTTGATGTTGATTCGACAATGTTGATTCGACAATGTTGGTAAAGGTGGTCGGAGGAAGTTGCAGGTGGGGCAGGACTTGTTCGTGGTAATTGGCGACGATGTGGATGTATTTCACAAGAGAGTGGCAGGTACTTTTAAAGACAAGTTGATGTGGTCTACAGAGTAGTCGAGATCGTGCAATGAGTGAAGGTTAGTCCCTGGCGGTCCTGGGAACAGTGATGGAGGGAGGGAGGGTTGGGATAAGAAGTAGTAGGACCGAAAACGTGATTCGGCTGGCTTCCATCAACTTTTAAGCGGATTCCTACTTCAGCAACACCCATGGCCTGACGCAGTTACCTCCTCTGTGGTCTGATGTGGAAGATGGGAAAGTGAAACTCGACTTCTTGCGGCTCGGCCTGTATGCGGGTCGCGCCTGAGTGAGGTCAGTTCAAGAATACGAGCTAACGGCAGGGTGCGCATGATGCCCCAGTTCTGGAGGACTTGTCTAGAATGCTGGGGTCTCATTTATTTTTGTCTCGAGATGCAAGAAAGCAGATATGGCAACAGCAAACGCGATTGGCTCACCAATTCCTAAAGCATTCACGCTGCTCTCGGGATCCCTCGGTCGGTAATTCGGTGGGGGTCGGCAGTAGCGGGCAGGCGGAGTCTGCCCTTTTTTCTCTTCCTTTGTTTTTCGATGCTGTCGTCAGATGGAAGGACGCAGGAGATGTTGTCGGGAGCGGCCGTTGGACGTTTCGACAACGTATGCGCACTAATATGAGGCTTTTAACGTTTCTGTGGTACCCAACCAAACCTCAAATCCCACCCATGACCATGACTATTACCAATGCTGTAGTAGTGTTTCTATTTGCTGTCAGCTTGCACAGCTGCGGCCGTTGGCCACAATCTAAATAATCGTATCATGGTCTGACAGCGAGATCTGAGAGCAGCGTGGAAACAAAGAAACAGACAAACTTTGATTGGCTGCCTTTATTTTCCAAACCACCTACAGCGACGAACTCACAAATCGTCTCGAAAAACATTACTATTCTTGTCGCTCGCTTTTGGAACATATCAGTTCGTCTTCTTGGCCATTTTAATGCAACCTTATCACTTAGTAGACAGCTACGAGGCATTTTTCTCGCCCGCGCATAGATTTCCCACCAACAGCTCTAATCGAGGATGGGCCGCCTGCATTGAAACCTAACGCCGTGTGAAGATCTTCGATCCCTTACTCCAACCTGCACCAGTATTAGATTAATCTGGCGGTATGTACGAAAACGGAACGGACTGACCTCTGAATCAGGTGCAAGCCAGAAGCCGTGGAGATGATACCGCTCACATCACCCTTTTCAAGGCTGAATGCCGCGTCCTCAAACTCCTTCTGCATGTCTCCCTTCCCAAAGAGGCCCCTTTCCAAGTGTTAGCGATGCCAAAACCTGCCTCGACAGAATAAGCTTACAGATCTCCTCCTTTGCGAGCACTGCTGCAATCCGACTCGGTAGTCGCCAGGTCAGAAAGAGATTCACCCTTCTCTTTGATCCGCTTTTCATAGTCTTTTATAATCTCCATGGCTTCCTCGGGACTGCGTGTAATGCGCGCCTCCCGCCAGCTGGCCGGGCGGCGACTATCCCTGTGTTTGACCAACAAGTGCGCGCACCGAATTTTGCCCTCAGGAGTTTGGAAAGGGGGATTCGCAATACGGCTGGAGCTGTGATGTGATGCCATGTATGCCTTCAACTTCTCGGGGTCTGTGCCCGTCGGGGGCTCCCATCTTGAATCCTTCGTGGCGGGGTGGAAGTAGTACGGGAGGTTCTTTGTATTGGAGCGGCGGACCTCCCAGCCACCGGGAAGACCAGTTTCCCCTGACTGCTGAGAGTGTGAGTCGATGCTCGATGACTGTTTCGTGGGGCAGTGCCGCGGGGTCAATGCATTATCAAACTTACCATCGCGTGAGTGGTTGTAGTGCTTTGCGGTAGTTGAAAGAAGTTCAGAGTAAGATTATATATGGAACAGCAGCGGTGACGGCGATTTGAATTGTGGACGTCGGATATTTTGAGGAGGAATGATGGGGGTTGGTGGAGCAACAGCCCTAGGAGCTTGTCGTGACGGGGTGGGTGGTTTGTGCTCCAAACAAGGGTGCTTTATAATGAGAGCCAATGAGCACCGCCTTGTTGATGAGTCAGACGTACGGGTAGCCGCACCCGGCACGTGTTACACGTCCTCCACTCGCCTCTGTACAAATGCTCCACTCTCACCGCATTCTTCTTCATTCATATTCACCACGCGATCACCACAGACCTCGGTGCGACTGTCTCCCACAAACTAGTCCTGGCTCCAACGCCTGACACGCTACTTAACACTCTACACACCTCTAGAAATTTTAATCCAGAACTATGGCATCCCCAGCTGCTGGCTTCGAAGACAAGAAGGAGGGAGCGAACAAGAAGATCCTCTTCCGGTTTTGCTCTGAATGGTGAGTCGTTCCGTAATCTACGCTCCCCCGTGTCCGGGACTAACACAGAATGGCTAGCTCTAACCTGCTCTTTCCCCGCGAAGACAAGGAAGCGAATCAGCTCCTGTTCGCGTGCCGCACCTGTTCTTTTACCGAACCAGCGCCCTCAGCCTGCGTCATGCGTCACGAGATTGCATCGACTGTCGGAGACACTGCCGGAATCACCCAGGACGTTGGTCAAGACCCAACGGTTGGTCTCTCTCAATCTCTTTCCGATTCGTCCCTTTCTGAAGAGCTCCCCGGCTTCTGCACTATGTGCGGCCAGGAAATCTTCTGCGAGATCTGCGGCCAAGAGACGGACAACGGCATGTACATGGAAGCCGACGACGAAGATGGCCTGCCGATGGGGCCTCAGGAAGGGGTCGACAAGCATTCAAAGAAATGAGCAATCTCGCGGGTGTTTGGTCGCTTGTTCTGCTCGTCTTTGAGCCTGCTTGCTGACTGTCCTTGTCGTTAGTTGCCCAGAATCCAGAAGCCCTGCCCGTCGTGTGGCGAGAACGAAGCCGTCTTTTTCCAGTCCCAGCAGCGTACTGCCGAAACCGGAATGGTGAGCAAGTACTTTCTCCTGTGTTCTACGCCTCACTCACGCAAGCCAGAAACTGTACTACGTGTGCTGCGCATGCGGCAATGTTTGGCAGTAGGAGACGTGAACGTCTGTCGGGATGACTATGGATTAGTCGATGAGCATGCATCTTGCATTGGGGCGGAGCCTGGAGTTTGGTAGATTCTTGAATTCGTGGTGGCCCGGAAACGTGGTATTCGATACCCAGGATATTTGTACAATGAATGACATGATACGCCGCTCATCTAACGCCATGCTACCTCCCTTGCACATGTGCAGTCCTACAAGTGCATTGGTGCCAACGACAGAATCTTGGACCACTGCTTCTGCCTCAGCTCTGCTGCGACTACACCGTTCAACCTCGTCCCAATGGGCTCTCCGGCCTTATTTATTAGGACGCAGGCATTGTCGTCGAACTTGACGACGCTTCCGTCCGGTCTCTGCCACTTTTTCGCGGTCCGCACGACGACGGCATGGCGTACATCGCCCCGTCGGACCTTATTTGCAGCGCTGATGGAGACGCTGTTTCCTGTCTCTGGGCCGAAGTTTCGCTGTTTCTGGACGACGACTACGATGCGATCACCTAAGATATCGCGTCAACGGTCAACGGTCGCCCCTCCCCTGCTTGGGCGAGCAGACGTACCAACTTTGGCCGGCCTCTTCGATCGCAGGACGTTGACACACTCAACTATGGCGGCGCCGGAGTTGTCAATGCAGTTGACGAGGGTCTAGATTGCGCAGATGCATGAGTGGCTATCAGAAGTCGTGGCAGGGTGTTGCTCGGTCGTACCTTGAGCTGGATCATGTTGACCAGCTTCGTGTCTGTGTGTCAAAGAGCGTCACCCTCCTCGTCTGGCTTCTGTTTGCTATCTCCCGCCGTCCTGTCGAAGTTTGCAGTGACTGATGGCCGGGGTTGCTCGGAGGTGGCCGGCCCGCGAACTCGCTTGTCCGGTGAGCCGCTGCGGCGGTCTGAGCGCGTTCTGCTTGCGTCGGTGTCGCGCCAAGCCTCCGCCGGATCCAGCTGCAAGGGTGTAGTTGCTTTGCCTGTCTAGTTCCCCCCCAGCGACTCAGCCCAATCCAAGTCTTACCATTCTCACCGCGACCCTCAGGATATCCTCCTTGTCAGCCCTCTCCGTGCGGCGCCGTTCCTTCCCACTCTCATTGAAACTGTTTTGGGTTTCTTTGTGTCTTTTCCTTCGGCAGGTTGCATGGCGGCGTTGTTTCTGCTTCCAATGCCTGAGTAAATATCCAAGGTCCTTCACCCATATACGTCACCCCCCAACCACCCCCTTTTACTTCGCACCCCGCCGTCTACCACCAAAACACTCTCGCAACCGTCTCCGCCTTCGGAGAAGCGTACCTCTTCCTGTCGCCACTCTTGCGCAAATATGGCGCCCAAGCTGGAGAAAAGGAGCGGCCTGACGCTGGAGAAGTTGGCCTCGTACGACGATGTGATCACGGATGCGCTCGTGGACAAGGTATGCTATTCTTCATGACCTTCCCCCAACGCTGGTCGCGGACGTCTCATGCGGCGATTCACTCCACTAAACGCGCTATTGCAGGTCTACTACTGGACTGCCATCCGAAAGAACCGGGGCGGCCGCTTCTCCGCCTCCCGAGGGCTGCACGAGGAGGATATCGCGAACATCCTCCGCACCACTGTCATTCTAGAGAAGGATCCCGCCGAAGCCGTACAGAAACTGCTGCATTTGTTGGGTTTGCGCAAGTATGTGAATAGTCTGAAAGACGATAACGAGAAGGACCAATTCGCGCGTCATTTGCGCAAGTACGTCAACATATACATGCCGGACTGCCCGTTCGAGGTCACTACGACGAATCGCTATACCATATCCGAACATGAGGCATCCGTCACCGCGCGCAAGGATATTAGGAAAGGCGAGGAGATCAAATACCTCACCGGAGTCCAAGTCGCAATGACTGAAGAGCAAGAGAAAACGCTCGATCTGGCACGGAAAGACTTCAGCATTGTCATTTCCAGTCGCAAGAAGACGCGATCCTTGTTCCTCGGACCAGCGCGCTTTGCGAACCACGATTGCGACGCCAACGCGAGGCTATGCACTAAAGGCTACGATGGCATGCAGATTGTGGCGGTTAAGAATATTGAGGTCGGCGAAGAAATCACTGTATCATATGGCGAAGATTACTTCGGCGACGACAACGAAGAATGTCTCTGTTTGAGCTGCGAAAAGCAACTCGTCAATGGCTGGGCACCATTTAAGCCTGTGGAAGAGGACGAAGAAGACGGCGAGGAGGATGAGCAGGCGGCGAAGAACGAGACCCCAGCCCCAGATGAGAGATTAACATCGAACAAGCCCTACTCTTTCAGGCGGAAGCGAAAGTACGACGACCCCGAGAGCGCAAGCGATTCACGCGATGCTACACCTACTGCAAAGAAGACGAGGCTAGAGGTCCCGCATGATCCACATGCGAAGACATCACGGTTGCTGTCTTCAAAGGCGTCTCCAGTCGAGCGGCGGCCATCCCACCAATTGCGAGAGAAGGCACTAAAAAAAGCGCATAGCACGTCCTCTCTCCGGCAAGAAGTACCAATCTCTAGTATCGAGGACCCATCCACAAACCTCCCCGCTTCTTCGCAGACCTGGAGGGACTTTCGCACTCAGCAGCGGGTTGGTTTGCTTGCTGTGACTCTGGATGAGACAAGCTCATCAACCCCGACCACACCCAACTCTTCCACTGCCGCAGGCTCCCCAAAGTCCTCCCAGTCGACTGATGCTACATCTGTCGACGAAGACTCGGCCATGAGTAGTACCGATGAGAAGATCAAGGTTGAGTCTGACACCATCGTGGTCAGGCCCAGGTTCGAGATAACCACCGTCGAAACACAAGACACAAAACGCTCTTCACTGGATGACGATGTCATGTCTGAACTCAGCGAGCTCTCCTCAAGCCAGGAACTAGATGACGTTCTCCAAGAGATTGTCCGTCGAAAGCGATCGAGGACCCCACCAGTCCCACGAACGACTCGCTCACAGTCACAACACACGAGCGCAAACCGCCTAGCTACTCCAACGTCTCTCGAGGAACCTCAGGAAGGCTATGTTGAAAATACCCGGAAGCCAGGCGACTATACGCTCACCGATGCACTCTTGTCCGCCAAGTATAGTCGGTGGGTCGAGTGTCACACCTGCGATGACCACTTCGTCCAATTCGATGCCTACCACACCCGCAAGGAATGCCCGCGCTGTGAGCGACACTCCAAACTTTACGGCTTCGCATGGCCTAAGACGGATAAGGAAGGTAAGCACGATAGGGAGGAGCGCATTCTGGATCATCGAACTGTACATCGATTTGTTGATGCCGATGAGGAGAGGACTATCAAGAAAGGCGGTCGTAAGGCTCTACAGGACTACATCGCGGCGAGGTATTCTACCCCACAATCCATCGAACGGGAAACGTCCATGAGTGTCGAGGTTGAGTCTGGGCGAAAGAGGAAGAGGGTCCGGAAGACCATGTAAGCTCTTACATCGAGTTAAAACTTCGATAGAAAGAAAAGGTATCGAGAGGACGAAATCCTAGCTAGAACTAGTCACTGCAAGGTACCGGCTCTTTCATTCCGCTTGGAATCTTATCACGAGGTATACACGATGAAAAGAAAGTAGCGAGTGGAAAGAGTCGTATTGTTGGAATACATGACATCATTATAATGGCGTTTTTGGCTGAGTCGGCCAGCATCGTGATGGTAAGATCTTTGGGGACCGATCTTCCCGTCACTTCTCGTCTCGTTTTCCTACTCTCTCCCTCTCTTTTCTCATGAGCATGGATGCTATGCATGACCTCAAGCGACGGCGACGGGGGGGTTTTCTTTTGGCGTTTTTCTTCCCTCATATCTACATTACATGGCCTTCGGGTCTGTTCTTGGTTGGCTTGGTGCTTTCTCTGCTAGTGTTTGCGTACTCATTTCCTGCCGTCTCCAGATTCCGAAGAGTGGGAGTGTTCGATGTCGCATAATAGTGATATGCACGGCGTAGTGCTTCGGCGCTTTTGGCGGCCAGTATTTGATCCCATGGTTTGGACGGGCCCTTTTCGCTTATTGTATTAATAGATATCTGGGGGGCAATGTATCAACGTCAAGACTAGTTATCGCATCTTACTAGTTTCACTATCTAGACATATTTTGAGGTGTTCAAGGAGGCAAGGTTCAGTATACGATACAAATATTTCACTCACCACACAAAACAATAGAAACCACCCCACGCCCACCTCAACGCACTCCCCTCGTCGCTGTCGCCGTCGCCGTCCTCCCAACATCCCTAAATACTATCGCCGCCGTCTCACTCGAAACATGCTTCGTATACCCCCCTCCCTCGTCAAGCTCATACATATCCCATTGGCAATCGCTGAACATGCGATTCTGCCTCACCACCTCACCAACCGGCACTGCAAGCGTAGGCTTGTACGAAGTCTGGTAAATAGTTCCCCCATCCCGGGAGATGCAATCAGACCCGCAGTTCTGGGTATACGCGGGCGCCCGCACAGTTGAGATGTCGTTGATCAGGAAATTAGGCGTGAAGAGTATGCTGCAGTAATCTGCTTCGCGACCACTGCAGGTCTCTCGCGCGGAGAGGATTTGGGGTTCTTGTTGGGCGACGGTGAGGGTGGGGAGGATGGTGGAGATGTTCCAGGTGGCAAGGGTCAGGGTGGTGTCATCGAGGCGGCTTGTAGTGCCGGTGTAGGTTTCGAGTATCACGGATTGTAGGATGTGGTAGATGCTTGGACTCGTGAGCGTGAGGCCGGATATTACGGCTGTGTTTGGTGTGCCTGGGATTGAGGGGGAGAGGGGTGAGGGCTTGTAGGACGGATTGCAGAAGTCGGTGCCGGTGGGCGTGGGCATGGGCCAGTAGTGTATTGAATACCGTCCTGCGGTGATTCGGCACAGAGGAGAGGTTGTAGACGGGGTAGCTGTTGTTGGGCCTGGTGTCGCGGGCGAGTCGTTTGGTGGCGTACAATTCGGCGCTTCTAGGAACAGCGTGTAGTAAAATGCACTCGCAGCCGCAACATCACTTGGAAGTGGTGTTTCGGCCAGAATCTTGGACATCCGCCATCTATACGCGGAGTGCAGCAATCCGCACATAGGACTGAAGTTTACCCCAACTCGACATGTAGGTGCCGGACTATCATATTCGCTCGTCCATGTCGGTACCACAACGCTTACATCGCTGGAGTATGTCGTGTAGCTGCTAACAAAGCTGGTCTGTACGGTAACGCATTTTACGTCTTTGCTCAAAGCCCGTGGGTATCCGTCGCAAAGGGTAGTTAGACCATAGGGCGTTGTTGTGCAGTCTGCGCTATCGTACGTTATTGTTGAAGACTGGATGATTGGAGGTGATAATGTGGTTCGGATTGTAGTGATGCTTTTTCCATATTCTGTATATAGGAAGTGGTGGAGCACTGAATAGTCGGCTTGGGATTGCCAGCATTTGAGACTATCCAAAGGAATATCGCTGAATTCAGAAGGGAGGGGAGGAAGAGTAGCAGTTGGAATAGCGGGGTGTGGGGGAGCAGGGGTGATTGGCCCAGTTTTAGAGTTTTCTTCGTTGGATTAGTCTGGAATTGGTCGCTGTGTAGAAAATGCGTTTACGTACGAGAACGTACGGTGGACTGGAGGAATCCAAAAGTTAGAAAAAGTAAACGGGGTGGCGGAAACATGGTGTCTTTCTTTCAAGGTCCTGAACCACCGTCAAAATGAACTTTGGAAGTATTTAGAAATGCAGAAATATTACGAAGCGGGTCTACCTTTGTAGAAAAGGAAAATGAGCGAGCAATTGTACGACAACATTCTTGCAACATTTCACCTGACTGGTGACACCCAGATGTGCCAAGTACGTAGGAGTATATCCAAATTGATGTTCCTTCACATTGCTACCATCGTAACCACCAGGGCCAACGAATATGCAAGCAAAGCGGAAAAATATATAAGGAAACATTGCCATAGAAAACCACCTTGGGCAAATGAATCCTGTGCAACGTCGAGTCTTCAAACTAAAGATGTTGCTAAGCTTTTCGAGATTGGCCTTTCGTATTATGAGCCGTCCTTCGATATGGACCATTTGGTACGAAGGTGGAATGTTCGAAGTGAATGATCTGCGATCAAAATGCGTTTGTTGGCGAGTTTAAATAGAATAGAAGAAAATGTTCCTTTTCCAAGTCTGTGGGTTGTGTTGTGAATACTCGATATATCACCATGTCAGTCCGAGGTTTGGATGTGGGGTTGACATCACGCACGGTCCATTAGACATACATGAGTGCAGGTTTCCGCTCACGCATTCTTCCCCATCTTTCTTCAGCAGTGATTAAGGCCTTGGTCATCACATTGAGCCCTAGAAGGCCTGAAGGCGGTTTGGAGCTTCGATTCCTTCGTTGGATCGATATCTTTTGTTCGTTTTAAATTTCCGTTAGTGACTACAGCTGTACGAAAAGCCCATCATCGTTCACGTAGTGATTTAAGGAGAAAGTTGATTCTTGTTTTCAACATCCTGGAGACAACTGGCGAGGGAGTTTGCAGAGGAAAATCATTCCCTTAGAATCCGTGGGAGGTATTGTTACCTTGTAACCTCCGTCAGGACGCATTTTCTGCATCTTACGTGGTTCGCTGATTGTCTTGGGCGGAACGAAAGTCAAACAATCTTAAGTATGGAAAAGCATGAGAGAAACCCTGGAAAGCGTCAAGTTAGATACTCAACCACCGTTCATTCAGTTCCACCCCCAAAAGGATTCACACCAAACCCACCACCCTCTAATCCACCCCAATTCTCATCCCAACCCATAAATCTCCTCACAACCCCCTTCTGTCCACCCGCAATACGACAATATCCCCCTTCAAGATAAACTCTACAATTCCTTTCCGTAGCGAGAACATCCTGTTGCAGCCACTTTCGTCATATCAATGCAGGCGCCCAGGTCGGGGAGTGTTAGCAGCATGTCGGGGATCCTTGACAACCCTATGCGGAGCCAACGAATCAGCCGGTGGTGTACGAGGATGTGAAATCGTAGAGGATTTTGACATTGTCCACTGGATCGAATGGAATCCAGGTCGTGTTGTTTCTTAGAGTCGCTCACATCGAAACACCTTATGCGATTGCACAGGATTGCATTCGAAATTGCGTTGCTGCGTAACAGTTCAAGACCCATGAGGTGTGGTAAAATATATTTAAGCATATCCCACATCCAAATACGCGAGAAAGTGAACGAGAAAGGGTGGGACACTTCAGACGAAAGCAATTGAACACCACCAGGCTAAGAACTTTTCGGGGAAGACAATTATTTGCAAGGCTGATTCCACTAAATCGGCATATATCGACATCGCACGTCGACGTAGGACAGACTGCTCAAGCCTACCAGCCCAACACCCCTTCACATGCCGCCATGGTAAATTCACGAATGGGAACTAGGGTTAGGTTGATTCAAGGAGTACATATTCTGTAAACTAACAAACAACTAAGTAGAAATGGCTAAACAGCAAGAAAAAGATCTCCAAGTAACCCCCCCCCCCCCCCCCCCAAACTCGTTCAAAAACGCCCCAGCACCCTAGTATGCTTCCCTCCGAATGATCCCCTACCCGGCCTACCCGGCATTCCTACTAAACAGCCTCCTCTTTTGTCCAAGCATACTCCTTCGCCACCTTTCCCCCACCAACGACCCCCGGCGGTCCCATCCCCACCATAAAATCTCGACTCTTCAGCAACCAAACAAACCAATTCGGCACCTTCCAGCCAAAAATCACCCCAACACCACCAGCACTACCAATCGGTACAATCATCATCTCACTCGTATTAGGTTTATATAACCTGTCCTTTCCAGGCGCTTTCTCGTTGGGGTATTGTGGGTTGTAGGCGAGTAGATCACGCTTCAGATTGATTCCCAGGATAGGGAGAGCGTCGTAGATGTCGAGGATGTTGTTACGGGAGTAGGAGGATACATCGCCAATGGCGTAGACGCGGGCGCCGGCGTCGTCGACGCGGAGGGTGGAGGCGTTTGTTTTGAGGTAGCCCGAGGTGGTTAGGAGGGAGGATGGAAGGAAGGAAGTGTTGGGGAGGACGCCGTGCGCCGGGATATATAGATCGGCTTCGAGGCGATCACCTTTAGTGAGAGTGACAGCGGTGCGGTTATTAGAGGATGGGCTAACGGCCGCTACGCGAGTGTTGTAGAGGACATCGACGCCGAGCTTCTTGAGTTTATCCTCGGCTTTTTTGCCGAGGGCTGGTCGGAGGGTGGGTAGGAGTTGATTGGCGGCTGTGATGAGAGTGATGTTGACTTTGCGGGGAGGCGTGCTAAACCAGCCTGGTTTGCCGTTCAGGAGCTCGCCAAGTTCGCCAGCACTTTCGACACCTGTAGGACCACCTCCAGTGATGATTATATCCTTAGCTGATGAAACTTTCGCATTCATGCTCTTAATCGCATTAATCGTAGCTGCGGAGTCGGTGTGCTGAGAGTAGACGGGGTCGTGGGTCCTAGTACCTGTTGCGACAATGAGAGCATGGTAATTGAGAGTCTCATCTCCAAGATAATCGCTCCGCTTGTAGGACACTGAACGAGATGTGATATTGAGACCAGTAGCAGCTGCTTGGATGAAGGTGAGGTCTTCTGCTGGGTACGGCTTGAAAGCCTTATGGATATCAAAGAAAATCTTCTCCGCAGGTAAAAGCGCTGTCGAAGCACCAGTTCGTGGGGACGCTATACGGAAATAGAAGTCGGATGATGGACTGATGACGTAGACGTGATACCTAGCATCTTTCTTGGCTTTTAGGGCAGGGAGGATGTGCTTGAGAGTATAGTGAGCGGAGAGGAGACCAGAAAAGGAGGCGCCAAGAATGACGATATTGCGTCGTTCAGACATGGTGAGGGCTGAAACAGATTCGCGGTGCGTAGGAAGGTGAGTGGATTTAGAAGATAGCTTTAAAAAACCTGTGGGTATCGATTGAAGAAATGCAGAAATGTGAAACTAGTGATGGATTGGAAAGATCTCATTGTGAAGACATGCTCACAATCATATATACTGAACCCCTATCTCCTAACAAAGGAAGCTTATCACTGTACCTGTCTCAAAAACCTATCTTTGGATGGTACGGACGAAATTGTGTTCGCAAAAGCAGAGCTCGCAAAAGCAGAGCTCGCAATTTCCTCACCATGCTGCGAAATGCCTCTTACGGCTCAGACTGCAAACTTACCGGAACCAGCACCCTGTTGATTTCTAGAGCCGTCATTGGTCTGCTACTGCATTTCGTGCACTGCTTGCAGCATTTGTCGCAAGAGAAATCTCTGTGAGGTTCGTAATCAGTTCACATTTTGGATGACAAAAGGGCTCGGAAGTCGGAAGCAGGAACACCCGGTATCCGTTCCGAGAATTGTAAGCAGATCTAAGAATTCTCTCGACATCATTGGCTCATCTGGATCCTGAAGATACACGAGGTCTTTCGCACAGATGATGTGAGACTGGACGATTTTAAACGGAGTCTTTGTTCTGAGAGGCTTGATTTAACTTCAGGACATGTTCCTCCTCTACTGTTTCACACAGGTAACTTTGAATATCGAGATCCTTCTTGCGAACCTCCTGATTTCTTGCAACGATTCGCACTCTCCGTTAATCTCACAGATAAAAGGATATTCACTGTACTGAGTAGGTATTATACCTGTTAGATGTATGTACTAAATCCTACTCTCATATCCCCCACCAAAGCAGCCAGGCCACCACTACCATCAATCCAAATCAATGCCGTGCCGATGAAGATCCCAAAATGCTCCAGGAGATGCATGCAAGTCATAAGTTGAGGGAGCTACATCCTCAACGTGATGCCCTATTAAAAACTAGAAAGAAAATTCTCCACTTTTTAGAGTATCAGTATATATGAGTGGCAGGCAGATGGAGGGATGCGAAACGAGATATGGCAGGAATCAGTATATGCCTTGGGTTCGATATTGGAAAGTGTCGTAACTGCCAGGCTTGTCAGGGGAGCTCGAGGAAATCAATATAAGGAACTTACAGTCGGGTATAGTAACTCCCAACGCTCTTGGCGATTAGCTCGTCCACAAAAACGTCTGCCTCTTCCTTGCTGAGATGAAGCATCATCCTGGCACGTAACGCGTTCGTTACACCGGCGCCTCCAGCCGCAAAACACGGCAGCTTGCTCTGTTTACCCATCATGTCAACTAGCATAATCAGCCTCTCAGCTTCTCGCCTTAATGACCGAAATGCCCTTTTGGATAGCGATTTGAACTCTTCAAAGGCCGGAGAGTTCATTCCACCCAGAACATCGACATACTCTTGTGTGAGCTTGAAAGGAGCTGCTTCAAACCCCATTGATCCAGGGGAGTTGGACAACATGAAGCCAAAATCGATATGGATGATATGGCCTTGGTTATCGATGAGGAGGTTTCCATTATGACGATCCTTAAGCTGTAAAACATAGCAGATGATGCTATACGCCGCCAAGGAGCGTGTAAAGGCACCAACACCCGCGATGTAGCTGTCTGACTCCGGCTCACCGAAAGTTTTCACAAAATGGTCCTTTAGTGTGGCAATCCGCTTTCGAGGATTCGTTCCAGCGGCAATGGTTGCCAGCGTAAGACTGCGTTTCAACGAATGCAGAGACACGCCGTTAGTGATGGTCTCGATAAGCCCAGAAGATTCCCCGGTAACGAGAATCCGCATGCGCTTCGTCCAAACAGGCACTTCCGCATCTTGCCAAATCTTAGTGCAAACCTGGATGAGTTGGCAAGCAAAAGCCTCTTGGCGAAGATCAGCGCCTGTTTTCACGATAACACTGAACAGATCCCAGTTTTTCATGTGCCCATAAGGCGATGAGCGTCGTATGCGTTCCTTTTTGGCGCTCCATTCTTCGCCAAACGTTGCAGCACTAGGATCGTCCCGATCACCTTTTCTTCGCATGCCTCCAGTCTTCATGTCATTTTCCATGCGCGCGGCACCTGCCCCAGGATTGGTTGCAACTGTCATACTATCGTCAAGATCAACGGGCTCCGCAGTAACAGCCGTAGGATCGGAATCTGCCATTATCGTATCGAACGTAGGTGTTGCATCATCTGACAAGAAGTTCTGCTCTTCTAGATTTTGCATACTCGCGATGATCTTAGCTTTGATGGCAGCAACCTCGGTCTTCGGTCGCTTCGAGCCACTGGCCTCAAGTTGTGCCAGCATTTGGGCAGCGGTGCGCATATGCGTTGCAAGGGCAGAGAAATCCGGTTGATCGCCGCTTTGAGTCCCCCGGCTAAGAGGCATTGTCATTTTTCGGGGAGCGGGACTGCTCGTCCTGCTGATTTCCATATCTGATGTCCTTGGAGTGGAGTTTGTAGCCATTGAAGACATGGTATTCGCTCCGCTCGAAGACCTAGGTGCCGGTACCTTCCCATTGGTGACTGCGCTAGGAAGCGTCACCCTCTCAAGACCGGAAGCAAGGTCATCCTCATCGAGATTCTTGATAAGGGAGGTGCTGCCAAGGTCACCGTTCGCAGGCTCAAACACACTGTCAGTTCCATTTGGTGGCGTCCGATCGTTAGCCAAATGTTCGGCATTCGTGATGTCGAATAGACGACGTTTGGAAGTGCCTTTCTCAAGCATCAGCTTCTCCAACAGCTGCTGATTTTGCTCTGTATCTGGGTCAAAGTCAAAGTCCTCGTTGAGAACTTCAACCATCAGCAAATATGGGACTCTTTCTGCACTGTTCAGACTAGTTGCTTCTGCTGGATTTATTCGAACTATGCGATGATGTTGGCTATGAGAGGCGACTCCATCTTTGAGTGTCGCGGGAGATATGACGGGTATGTCGACTTCGGCAGGAAGATCTTGCGCAATTAGTGCAAGCTCGGCCCTTAAAGCGCTCAAACGAGCCGGCTTCGGCACAATAACCAACCGGTTGGAGATGTCCTCCAGCGCACTCAGGAACTGAGTTTCATTCCGGAAATAGTTCGACCGCAACAGTCGTACTTTCTGCATTCGAGACAAGGCCGTCGGTGTCAGAGGCCTGGGTGGTTGTGCGTGCTTGCGGTGAGCGTGAAGATCCACTGGTTTCGGGGTTAACCCAGCCGTAGCCGGTGGAGTGGGAAGAGGCGAAGTGCCAGGGCTTCGAAATTCAGGCAGGGAGGACGAACTAAGGCGGGCCTCGGTGCTCACAGCAAGAAGAGAAGGTCGCAAGTGCCCAGACGTAGCTCTAGTGGTATTACCGGGCCGGGCCGCTTTTCTCCTCGCGTCTTTTGGGTTCTGCAGTTCTCTCGGACGGGAACTGGAGGCCTTCGATGACCTCTGATCTTCTGGATCTGAATGGCCTTGGGCGGACCTTGGCCTTCGTGGCTTTGGAGACGCAGCTCCGGCCACTGTATGGCTCCGGCCGAGCTTCTGCGTCTGGACATTATCCGATATGATGTCCTCGACGGGCCGGGGTTTGCGCGCCTGTGCAATTGCAAGAGGCCCAGCGTGCCTGGGGAGAAAGGGGGCCGCAACGCTTGCAATCACCAAACTGGAAAGGACCGTGACAGGCAAGATGTTCTCCTTAATCTTCTCCCTACGCAGGGGCTCGGCAGAACCGAAGACGATACGCTGGACCTTGTTGTATATGCGCCGACATGTCTTGAACGCGTTGGAGCTCGGGTCACTGGAGAGGTCATGCAGGTAGGTCTGGAAGAGCCAGAAGGTCTCGATATAATTGTCAGCGGCTTCGCGGCAAGAACAACGTGTCCACCTCACCAGTAAAGCGCCATTGACCGACTCCTCGCACAGGTCTATTATGAACTCCTCCAAGGCCATAGACTCATTGTCGACGCTGATAAGGAGGTGGCATAGTCTGCGGGCATAAGCTCAGGTGCTTGAATGGCGGAGGCGGAGGGTTGGGGGAAGCGCACTGGGGAAGGAAGAACTCGATCTCGTCGTAGGCAAAGTGGCGGAGCTTGGAGCACAGCACATAGTGGATGCCGACATGATCTGCATATCGTCTGCGAGCACGGAGAGCGTCAGTCATCCATCTTGGGAAGCTGTGGCGGTGTGGTGCGGCGGTAGACCGGCCGCGATGGAAGTTTTGGAGACATACGACAGGTACGCAACAGTGAGCGAAGGATCGTGGTTGAAGTGATCCGACTCTATGAAGCGCTCTAGCAGATTCCAACTCATCTGGGACGGATCATTGGGGCGTGGTGGAAGAGAGAGGCAGTCTCATGGCTCGTTCGAATCGACATGTAAAGGGTGCACGTAGAAATGGGGCACTTGCAGGGTTGTGGAAGCGGGCACTTGGCAGCCCATCCGCGCTATCCCTGAAGCGTTTGCCTACGTTCAATGGCTGTCCTCAACTCTCTTGCAATTCAAGCCACTCTTGCTTGCGCTGTGAATTACACACTCCTAAATTATTACTCTACATGACTCCTGGCTCTCCCTCCAACGACTACTTCCTCTCCACTTTCTTGCTGCCTGTCTACGTGAGCACCCCAGTTGCTGTCTCAACCTCCTTAAACAGCTCAACCGCCTAGCTGTTCGCGTTCGAACATGCGAAGAAAACAATGCCAAACCATACCAATGTAATTGTTGTCGACACCAGTGCGCCTACCTACCTAACTTATAGGGTTGACACATTAATCCAATGTCCTTCTAATCCATAGATATGATACAAGAAGAGAGAATGAGACATACATATATACAAAGGAGAGGACCGATGATTTGGTTATTAATCGCCTGCTGCATTTAGATCGACAAAGATGTTGACGGCTGCTACCACGACCTCCGCAAAGATGAGGATGATGACGATCCATTCAAGCAATTCGCCCTGAAAAGTATTAGTTTCTTGCAGCAGTGTTGGGTGGTCCGTACACTCACATGTGTTACTGTCAGCTGATCTTTGAGCACGGCGAGGAGATCCCCAATAACGTTCAGCCGCTCTGTTAGAAGTCCAACTCTTTGGTCCATCTCCAGGTAACTCCGCACGGCCTGGTACACGGGGTCCAATTGCGGTTCCGCCCACATCAGCTCTGGTGCATCGAGCACTGATCCTTGGAGGTGTATGCTGATACGGAGAATGAACAGCTCGCCAATCTGCATGTTGATTTGCTTCTTGTTGAGGTTGATCTTTCCCGAACTAGCAATCTGAGCAGGAATATCCTTCGTCTCATCGATGGTGTTGTCTACCAGGTCTTCGAAAAGTGACGTTTTGACACTCTGAGATAAGGCGTGGCTAATCGCAAGCTTGGTCATGTAATTCTTCTTATCCCTTAAGCTGATGAAGTCGTTGTATATCCGAGCCTGGTATTCTCGAGTATAGTAGAAATTGAATTCTTCCGTTTCAATCTCGTCTTTGCCAAGTTTGTCCACCTCGAACTTCGCAATCTCTTTCAGAAACCGGCGCTCCTCCGCCAGCGACATTCCCCAGATGACAACCGTGCCATACTCGAACAGAAACACTTCAGGGGTGTGGACTTGAGTGTCGAAGTCAGCCGTCTCCAGAGATGGATCCGAATCCGCATGCACCTGCGAGGGTCGACGAGGGCGTACAGAGCCCTCTCCATTCCCCAAAGATGTGTCTTGCCTGTCCGTATGCAGATCTATCAAGTTCTCTCTCCGCCTTTCACTTTGGGCTTCGACTTCGATCGCACTATCCGAGAACCGCCGGGGTCGGTCTTCGGAGTATCCGTCCTGAACGCTGGTGCTTGTCACCTGTTCCGGGCCTCGCTTCCCATAGTTGTACGGAGAATATATGCATTCGTCAAAGCGCTTGGCAAGGGTGCCTCTTAGTCGCATTTTGCCTTTCAGAAATCTCATGAGGTCGTCCATTTTGTACGATGCTGCTGTGCAGTACGCCGTAACTCGAGGTAGCCGTTCCCGATCTGCTTTGCCCAGTCGTGCAGCATCCCGCCTCGCAGTAGGATCCTTTATCCGAGTGTACTGAACGTAGACATCGCGGCCACTCTCCTCGTCCGGTCCCTCTACACCTTCTTCGGGATCCGGCAAGAGCTTGAGCTTCTGCGCAGTTCTTGTAGTTCTTTGAGGGCCGATTTTCGGCGCAGGTATGCTTGGTGGAGCAGTCGGTGCACCTGAGCTGTTCCTCCTCCTTAGCTTGTTGTTGAGAGTTGATAGCATTGGTTGGCCGCCATAGCTGGATGGAACCTGCTGCATCGCGGAGGTAGAGCCGTAATGCGAGTGGGCTCTGAGCGGTGCAGGCTGCTTAGGACTACTCGAAGTGACGGTAGGATTGAACGTTACGGTGCGCTGGGCTTTTGGTGGTATCGGTTTGCTTGGGGTGGAGGCATGGGACATGGATGAGATTAGCGGCGTGGTCTCCATGGAGCTGGACGCCATTGCTGATCGGGACGATGATGTGGGAGGCTGGTCGGAAGCTATAAAGAGGCCATGATTAAAATAGTGTGGCGAGCATTGAATTCACTAGTAGTAGACATTTATTCTGGGTAGGTGCCGTGTTGGCGTGAGCGTATTGCCCGTGAAACATTGAAATGACGTTCTTGGGTACGTGCACGGACCTCGCGCTAAAAAATACGATGTGAACGACTCCTAACGGTTGGCTTGCAGCTGATAGCTTGACGTGCAGGCAACTTCATTGGAGCACTGTGTAGAGTCAGCAATGAGAATGGCACTTCTGCTGTTCCAATAGTTCACACAGTCTGCCTGAGCCCTCTCTTGCTCTTGCTTTCTGTCTTACTGCCATTTCCTATTTTCTTTTCTTTGTATGATTATTCTTTCGGCATCTCCTACATTATGGTGGGCAGTGGAAGGCCTTTGATGCTTCTGTAAACCTGGCAAGCAGTATTAAGTATCCTCTCTGTTCTTCACACCTACCCGCTTGTCTCGTCACAGGCTTGCGTAATCTTGATTCCAATGCCCTCTTGTCCTTGCTAATCTCAAGCGTTGCTTAAGCAATACACATCTTTTCCGCCCTTTCCAGCGCACATCCTTTTTCATCTTGAGCAGTAGATTTATCGCTATTGACCCTTGCAAAATGCTAGCAAACAAGTTAGCTGTTCATACATCTCTCCTAATTGCCTGCTAATACACTCACTTATATATTGGTATTCCTCTGCCTACACTGTTGTTTCCAATCCGTCTTTGTAAATTCACTTTTCTATGCCTGTTCTAAAACAATGTCCTCTTAGTATGGAGTAGGAAATTTGATTGGTATTAACCTCGGCACAATACTAGCAAGTACCGAAACATATATTTATTGTTTTTATACCTCGCCTACTTGCCTGCTAATATTCCTCCACATACACTTCTAACATCTATCCCGGTGCGGCGAGCCACCCGGCGCGGCGAGCCACATCCCCTGGTACCTTGTCTTGAAAGCAGTCGCAAGAACGCATTCCTATTTATACTCAAATTTTCCTTGCTGTAAACTATAGCTTGGCAACCCTGGACCATCTGGACACCTCCAGACTCAAATATTACACTGTGCATTGTCGCTCCTTTGCCTAGTCTATACATAATATCGTTCTGACGAGATATTTAAATATCTCTGTCACAGCTTCACTAGCGTATTCTCATCGGTTTCAATGATTATAAAGGATAATATACCAATCTTTTAACCTTGCTATCAGGCTGAGAAGGTTCAAAAATCGATTCATGGAATGTTGCCACGCCGATCGGTACTTCCCAATCAAAGCCTGTCGGCTCCGAAACGAGCCCGGCTCCTCAGACCCAATCAAACGTCTGGAAAAATACAGAGATAGTGTTTTAATAAAAAAACCCTTATTCTTAAGCTGTGGCTTGGTTCTGCGTTTGGCTCATTTTGAACCGGGGAGGAATGCCCTCCGTCCTCTTCAAAGCGCGTCGCCCACCACTACAACTTCCTGAGCCATCCAGCACGTTTATGGATTTTACTTGTATCCTTAATTCTTACAAAATTCTACCACTTCTGAGAAATGTGCACTCACGTGTCCACCAATTTCATGGGAAGCATCATTAGATTAACTAGTAGTAAAGAGCGTGGTCAAAATAGTTTAGTTTAGTGCATTCCTATCTGCAATAACGACTCCTGCAACGCCTAACCAAGCTGAGATAATAGAACCAAAACCCCTAGTCTAACCTGTCCTGCTGCAATCTTAGATCATCCGCGCCTACTAGTGCAATTCGTTGCTCCGCGCTCAACCAGCCTGCAGGCTCCAACACTTCACTCAATCGTGGCGACTTCGCGCTTGGCTCGAGCACATCTCCTGCTGCCGGACATGCCTTGCGCTTTTGTCCACCTGTACTCTTGCCTACAGCTTTCGTAGTCTTGTCTTCAGCTTTTTTAGCTTCTTACTCAGCCTTTTTAGCTTCTTTCTAAGCCTTCTTTGCCTCTCTCTTAGCCTTCTTAATCTCTTTTGCCTCCTTTTTAGCAGCAAGCTCTGTTCTTGCCTTGTCTATATCCTCCTAGACTATCACCTTTGCCATTCCTACTACATCAGACTTAGTGGACCGGCGGACTTTGCCCTTGTTATTAATTTCAGCCAGAAATTCATTTTGTCCCTGTAGGGTGGCACGTTCTGCAAAGCATAATTAGGCAGCGTTGATGAGTTTCTGTTGCAGTTTATCTTTATACTGTCTGTTTGCTTCGTCATTAGGGACCTGTCTAATCAAGTTCTACAGGGATATAAGAGCCTCTGCTGATACTGGCGTTATGGCGTTACAGGCGTATGCGGTACCTCCTGCGTACAAGAGCCTACTCCCTCACGCTAAGTTCTGGAGCTGTTAGTTCATGGAGAGGCTTTGGCACGTCACTGAGTACCTTGTCAGGGTTGAAGGGATACAAACCGGCCTTGGACCACCTAGCTCGTATGTTGCGAGGTGTGAACGCCTTGGTTCTTGTAGGGCTGTATAGATAGGTAAAGTGCTCCTTGCTGATTGTTCCTACGCAACTTTGCTCTAGTTGCTCAACTTGTTCACGGTAGGCTGCCTTTAAAGAGCTGAACACTGAAACATCGCAGAGTTAAAGCTTGTGTGACGTATAGGAGAATTCGGCAGAGGATGATATTGTTATCAAAAAAATACTGGAGAATCTCGAGCGTTTTATGCGTCCTAAAGCCATCTTTGATTAGCACGGGTGGTTTCCTGTTAGTAAGTTCTTTTGTTTTGGGATTGAAAATATGCTTGAGTCACTGTAAACTGATATAGGAGTTGGTATATCCTTTATTGGATAATGTATAATACTATCTAGGAGTATTATACGTTGTCTAATTTGCTCTATGTGTTGACCCTGGTCAGATTATCATTAGATTCAGATACCTACCATCAGCGCTCACACATTCTATGGCTGTTATGTTTGTGCGTTTGATACGCGCACCTCTTTGACCTCGCTTGTTATTCTTGCTGACTACGACTTTGACTGCCTTCAGCATCGAGAGGAGAGTGCCGGTCTCATCATAGTTCCACACATTGCATGGAGGTATGTCCGAACGCTACAGCACTGGCCTAATCACCTCGAACCAGTGTACAACTTTGTCATATATGTCGAACTGCCTCCAGCCCAGCGCTTGCTGTTTGCTTGCGGTAAGTTCTAGATGGCGTTTATAAAAAAACTGCGGCCAGTTCTTGTAAGGAGGTTTACTTGGCCTGTCTTCTAGATCTCGCTAACAAGCAAGGCTAAAGGCTATTGAACGTATGTACCCTACTTGAACAGACCGTCCCAGCGCATCTTGGTGCGCCAGGAATATGGCAAGGGCTTTCTCTTCCTACGGGTAGAGATAAAGCTGGCCGTCATCCTTGTCTTTCTTGGATTGTTGACCGCGGGCACGATGTTGAAGGGTAGTCCGACAGACATCATTGTCAAGTGCTTGTTTCCGCAAAAAATCAGAGGATCCTTGCGCCAGTACCTAACCAGCTTTGTCCATCTTAGCTTACTGCGGTGGTGTTGTTGTGAGTAGGAACCGGGCGAGGAGGCATGAGACGAGCGCGAAGGACTGAGGTGGGACTGCGCTTGACCTTGTGAGGGGGCCCATATTTGGGCCTGTCTATTTTTAGCCGTCCGCAAATCTTGAGTTCGTTTGGCATTGCTGTATGGCAGTCGAAGACAAGCTCCTAAGGAATTGCAGAAACTTGACAAAGTTAAAGCTTGAGATTGTTTGTGCAGGAATTTGCAATCGGGATGGGCTGCAAGGAACGCGGGGTCGTTGCCCTGCAAGGAGCCGGAACCTCCGGCCTCCGGAAATGCAGTTTAACTTAGCGACTGTTGCAGATGTGAGATGACTAAGCCAACTAACAACCTCAAGAACAGCTACATGCACACGACGCTAGACACAGATCTAGCCAGATCAATCTAGAATATCAGCAATTCAATATTCTGTGCATTACGTGATTTAATCGCAGTAATCACATCAATCCAGAGTCTATCTCTCTCAACTTATTGTTGCCTTGCTGCCTTTCAGCACACAGCGTGCAGGCACCAAGGATGATCTAAACCAATGATAACACTATTATCGACATGTGAACTCCCCTAAACAATCTATCAAAGCCACCAAATTCATCTTTTCAGGATGGCAGAAGAACGGTTTCTTGCTTTGTTGCTGTCTTTTTCGAGTGAATCTATGAAGTGATTCTACGTTCAGAATGCCTTTGAAAAGCTGTATAGCTGTAGGCATAAGTCAGTCAGGACACCAGCCTGTTGTGTAACAACGGCCGTAGCCAGTCGCAGCATGCCACAAATTTCAACCAAACTTTCAGAGTCTAGCAGTTCCTCGTGAAGATTACAAGAAACAACATCAACACTAGCTGGCACCACGATGGCTTGTTTGTACACCATACAAGAGATCGCCGGCAAAGGTCGAGGCGTCCTTGCTGCAACCTCTATTACCAAGGGAACGCGGATTATCTCCGAACCTCCGTTGTTCAGAGTATTCCGCGGCGGTAGTTCCAAAGAACAGCTTCATGAGGCCATTTTGAAGACAATAGCTGACCTCAATGGAGAACAACGACAGCAATTTCTTGCCTTGCATAACGCATTCGATGATGAATCTGGCCCAGAACTGGGACGAGTTCGCACCAATGCCTTGCCTTTGGGATCCGATGCTATTGAAGGCGGCATATTTTTGGATTCGTCGCGCATCAATCATTCCTGTATTCAAAATGCCCAGAATACATGGAATGAAGATCTCCAGAAGCTGACGATCCACGCCCTCCGCGACATTTCAGAAGGAGAGGAGATCACTATATTCTACCTCACAGACCGTCCGAACCGCCAGGCACGGTCCGAAGCCTTGTTGTCATCATTTCGCTTCACCTGTTCGTGCAGCCTATGCTCTTTGCCAACCAACGAACGCCATAAGAGCGATACGAATCTGGACGAGATCAAGAGACTAGATGAATTAATCGGCGATGGGATGACGATATTTTCTGCGCCTTTGCAAGCATTGCATAATGTACGAAAGCTGCTAGCCCTCCTCGATAACGAAGGCTTTGCCGACGCGAGCGTCCCAAGAGCATATTACGATGCCTTTCAGATTGCCATCACGCATGGTGACATGGCAAGAGCATCAATATTCGCGGAAAGAGCAGCGTCTAATCGTATAGTAATGGAGGGTAAGGATAGCTGAACTGTACAGAAGATGGAAAGATACGCCAAGGACCCATCTGAACACTCGGCCTACGGTTATACTGGAAAATGGAGGACGGAAATGGTCGATATTCCGAGTGGACTTGATAAAGATGCGTATGAAGGCTGGCTTTGGAAGGAAGAGCAGGTAAGCGATGGTCAATATGCGAACCTTCGAAGTGAGGTACCCTTTCCTTCGTTCAAGAACCTCCCCGGGGACAATGACATCAATATGGAATATCTTGGGATCATAGATGGCTTTCACTACTCCCCTATCAAACATTGGTGCTTCTTAGGGGAGATTATTGAAGTCGAGACAATCTTCCGTCTGCGGCTCATTGTAAAAGACAAGGCCAACCACCGAGTCCCAATCGCTTTCCATACAGACGAAGGGGGCCAGGAGCTTGACCAAGCACTTTTACAACATGGATATACAGTTGCGATACTCTATGCAGAGCATCACGGGTTCCTGGACATGACGGAGGGTATCCGCCACGAAGTTCCGAGCAACATCAAAGTATGTTTCAATACCACGGTAATGCGTGTAATCAGACTATAAATGCTAATAAGCCACTTTATTCAGATATTTCCACTACCCTCTCGCATGCCCAGGGAGATGAAGACGATAGCGCCCCCTAGGCCGGGCTTTTGGTGGGCGGATTCGTTTTCAGCTCCGTGACGAAATTGGATCACACAAAATAGAACACAATTGACTTCGTAGTATCAATGACATCTCAACATGATTTCACTACTTATCTGCTCATTCCACACGCAAATACCGCCATGATGCATGCAGGAGCCCGAAAATGCCATGTGGCTGATTATAATTGGCTGCGTGAAGACATCTTACTTTTGTGACACCCTCCCTAAGAACTTACGGCGACTTAGCAAGCAACTGCACACAAGAGCATGAGAGTCGATGTTCACGTATCTTCTTGGGTTCGCTCATTGAGATGCTGAGACGAAATAATCATGTACGCTCCGGTAGTCGTTGAGATTGTAACCTACTTCTACCCGGTTGGGAACACCTCCGCGGTTCATCTGACCCGAAATCTCCCAATTGAAGAACCTGCAGATATTCTGCTATTGGGCTGCGGCGACATACGCAGTATTCTGTTCACCTTCTACAACGATCAAGATCTCAGTCAGCGAGCGTCCTCAATCTGCATTTGGCCCGTTAACTAACACGTTGTGGAGTTCGACGGACCGATGTGACTTGCTGCGATATCGAAGCCGCAACTATTGGTATGGAATCTAATTATCCCCAGGATCTATGAAGACTCACACGGACTAATTACTTGTACGTTAGCGCGTAACATCCTACTCCTCAGCCTCATCTTGGATGATGAATATGGCGCCCTCAATTCGCAGCTGTGGAGCATCTATTATCATCTCTACCTAGATGATGCATCGCTGGAGCTCCTTAGTTCTCAAGCGTCTAAACTCTATTACCTCGCTACGTCATTGAAGAGCTGGCATGATGGCAAATATGGCGGGCGACTCAGATTTTGCGACAGCAGTACGATGAAGAGAGTAAGAGAGGTGTGGAATACCTACCGTGTCCCGGAATTCAACAGTAATAGGTATAAACGTTGGATCCAGCATGCTGATTCGGCTATTCAAAGAGCCATGAAGTCACGAAAGGCGCGCATGGGAGAGTCAACTATTTCCCTTTCTGGAATCCGATCTGCAGCTCCTGCTGGTATCAAAGCTATCACAGACGCCCCAACGCTTGGGCAGCATTTTTGGGATCACGGTACGACGGAGGAGAGACTTATAGGTGTATCAAAGGCAGACCATATCAACCCGATGTTTGTCACCGACTCGTCCACTCTCCACTATGGCACAGACCCGTTACTTGGGTTTCATCTGGCCACTGCCTACTCCCCACTACATAAGGAGTCCCCCTTACACTCCGAGTCAATGCGTAAGAAGAATTTGCCATTCAAGGTCGTTGAGGCCGCACGAGTGCAATTCGCAGCCTGGGCGAAGGCATTTCGACAGAGTTCAGCACAGGATACGACCCTCCGGTTCTTCGTAGGTGACGTGATTAGCTTCTCATATGCGCTTCAGCATGCAAACACTACGAGAATCAAACCCGCAAACATATATCGTGATTCGTATCACTGGGATCCGATCGTCCTGAACGGCTCCGATTACGCCGAAGCGGGCGCCGCGCCGCTACAATTCAACGTAATTGATACCTCTAATCTCATCGACCATGTCGGCTCCTTGAACCTGCTTGTTGCTGTCGCGCCATTGTTGAGCAACAATAGCTCTTCCAGTCTATACACTGAGAGTATGGTACAGCGAGAAGGGTCTCAGCAGGAATATATCAATAGCATAATGTGTGGGCATTTCCCGACAATTTCAACGCTGATGGGTCTGTTCCCTGTCGAGTACTGGGCCAATTCATCGCCATATTCTTTCGTTGACGACTTGCTCTTGGAATCAAACTATGGAACGGCTGATGACAGCTCCCAACTGAGACCGATGCACATCAAATTGACCTGGAGGCGAACAGCTGCGGGACCAACATCGCCGGCGTTGGACACTCAGGTCAGGCTGCACCTGGATAAGCTCGGGCTGGCTCGGATACTGCATAAAGTGTATCTCAACATGTTTCGGCACGAGAACGTCCAATTTCTGCTCTCTAATCTCAGTCCATGGTCTCTGTCAAACTACTTCATGCCGCGCTTCCATCGAGGCAGCTTCGCCCTCATTCTGCGCTTTGTGCGCAGTCGCGTTGAGACAGACTGGGATGGGATGATGGGCCATCTTCTGGACCTCATCGAGACCGAAACCACAGTCTTGATGGGCTTGAACTACATTCAAGAGCTATATCTATATCTGAAATTGTATGGTGTGCTGTCAGTGCCTACATTATCGTCATCGCCGATGCAATCGAACTCCCCTGGCGCTACCTCAGGAAGTCTGAGATACTGGAAGAATATTCCTCCCATATTATGTGCTACCTTGATCGTTCCGAGGGAGAAGATCAAAGTAATCACAAACGTCGACGCTACAGAGATCGGGAGTCCCATCATGCACTGCGTAATACAATCGTCTCCAAGCTACCAGTCCCAGAGATGGCAGAACATCTTCTCCGTGGTGCAGGTCTCCTTTGGCAACCTCTCCACAACTGGGATACGAAACACCGACTCATTCCAAGTCAGCATCATAGAAGACGAGCTCAGGTGGCGCGGTAGCTCCGCTCTCATTGTGTCGTTTCTGGTCCCGACCTGGATATTGCTGCTGGAGCCCCAAGCTGCCAAAATATCCTTTGGAATTCAAAGCACCCCAGCAGCTGCGCAAACTTTTTTGCGCACCCTTGGGCCAGAGATGACCATCTTCGAGACGACGTTGGAAAATGAAAGCAGCCTGTTTTTCTCCCAATTTCCACCAAACCAGAAGGACACTTCTTCTTTGCTACCTTTCCCAAGCCGTGAACATGAGGTTTCAACCATAGAAAAAGCTATTGTCAAAAGCAAAATCACCGCAAATATTGACTCTACTACAACGAAGATGACGTCTCTGGCTTGCCGTCTTCAGATACTCTCCGAGGATATCCAGAAAGCATTGCAAAGCGGCGGCTTGGTCCAGACAACCCAGACGTCTCCGTGTGGCTTCCTTGAGATCTTTGGTCCCAAGTCTATCCCAGTCGCCTTTCAATTTCCCTCGCCTGTGGTCAGAATGAATAGCAAGACCAGGATCGCTCGAAAGTCCTTGTACATCGAGGTCGAAGCACCGTTGGCCGAAGCGACTGTCTGGAAAACCTTCCCAGCACATCTCTATCCGGTCATCTTGGCTTCCAGCGCTCCGGTTGCATGGAATTGTTCGCGGCTGAACTTAGACCGCCTGCCAACTATTGACACTTCGAAGCTTGCAGAGATCGAGTGGCTCGTCACGCACGCCAGCGGAATGTTCAATACAAGAGAACGCCAGCTGAAGACCCAGCCGACAGCCACAAATGCCGAGCATGACGTTCGCTTCGCATTCAGGGACTCTCTGTTCTCGCTGTTCATGATTTTCACAGGGCTTCAGGGACGGAAATCAAATATGACTACCCTCCATAATCCTACTGGTGGCGGCGTGCACGCAATCATCCTCATCAGCAGTCTGAAACTCGATCTCAACAATCGTACGGTGGTCCTTGACTGCGCAGTGCTGTCTCTCACTGATCGACTCATGCCCCGACTGGGCCCGTTTCTTGGCGCATTTTCTGGACAAAAGGTTTGCCACATCAAGGTCGATGCTGACGAACTGCAACTGTGGAAGCAGAATCTACCTGCGATGGTGGAACGCTGTCGGTCATGGCCGCACCAAGCTCGCTGCGAGTATCGCGCTCAGTCGCGCATTCCTCTGTCGACAGAAAATGGTCAACCAGTTATCTGTTCTTGTGGAAGTGGTAAGGTGCCGGCGAATTTTATTATTGGAGTCCCACATTGGGAGTCGGTTTCACGGTACTTTGTGCGGGCTGCCATATCCCTGTGCTTCTCGACCGCGTTCTCAGAGCAGTTGTTTGATTTGAGTATTTTCAGGGAGAAGGTTCATTCCATGCCCGAGTGAGTTGACCACAAACGATATCGAGTCCGTAGCGAAGTCTGCGAAGCAGGACCAAAATTGTTTTGGAAGGCGACAGATCTCGACTGTCGCTCGGAGGAGGGGTCAAGCATTGGTCTCATGTTCGTGGTTGGGGTTGTCATTGGTGTTACCATCCAGAGCAGCAATGTGGCTGTTTAACGCATTAGCACCCGTCCAACAGCAAGGTACCACGCAATAAGCACAACGACGTTGATAGAAATTGCTAAGTGTTGTCGTAGGGGAATGCAGAGCGAAGAGGTCAGCATAAGTGAGGACTCTGCATAGAGCACAGACGTGTTCGCGGAGTTGTGCCCTAGGCAGTAAGATTTTACTGGTTTTGTTTTGGAGTACTGTTTGATGCCTGAAATCTCACTTGGGGTAAATCCATTAGTGTCTAATTAGATGGCAGAGGACAAGTGTCGAAAGCGGCAACAAGGGTAAGCGCCAGGCGACAGCGACCACAGATTTGGCCCGTATAAATGTTCTAGAGGTTTCCAAGCTGCGCCACCTCATGTTCAGGGCCAAGCTTGTAATTATGCTAATAGAGAGTCTTTGACCGATGCTTAGCGGCTTAGGTAAACAGCTCCGCACAAGCCATATCACGTGAAAGTTTCATCTCTCCCCTCTTCTGAGCTTCATATCCTTGAAACTACAAAAATTGAAGTTCTTATGCTGTCTTCAGACTTTGACATCGTCTTTATCAGTATAAGAACTTCAATTTTTGTACCTCATAAGTCGAAAATACGCCTTTGACTGCAATAAAGCAGGGGTAGACTTCGTGGATGAAAAAGAATGGCGCCATTGAATCGATCAGCAGGCACGCCAACATACGGTCGATCTTAATGTTATTAAGTGTCTAAGATAAGAGAACAGCTATAGAATAAGGTTTGGGAAATAGAAACTGTATACATCCGCGAATAAGAGACTAGGAGTACTTTGAAATATTATGTGGCTCGCCACGCCGGGTGGCTCGGCACACCGGGATAGATGTTATTTCTTTTCTTACACTATAAGGTCAAAGCCATTCTACTAGCGTCAATTCTCTAACTCTATTCTAGAACTACCCCTTTCTAGTCCAGAGCACTTAATTGGATGTTTCTAGTCCAGGGTGATTCTAACAGGCGGCGGGTCTTGTTTCTTCCCTAGCGATAGCTTATCATGCTGTCCGCGGGTGCTCTCACACCATTTCTCTGTCTCGTCGCACGCATCTTGATTCTAACACTTTACCCATTCTGTCAATTCTGAACACACTTTGAAAAGAACACAACTTCTCGTTTAACGCCGGGTTGCAAACACTTCCAATCATTACAAAGAATCAGCCGGCAGCAACAAGTATTAAATGCATTCTCTCAAGCTACCTAATCCTCTGCTAACCCCCTAAACTCACCTCAAAATCTCAACCCCACCTCTCACCACCTTATACTTCCCCCAAAACTCCGTCTCTCTCCTCAATGCCCCCTTCATCCTCTCTACCCCTTCCTCCCTCACCCCTATTCCCCCAACCCCGTCGACCGCAACCCTCAACCGACTCCCCTCCCCTTTCCCCAACAATACCCACTTCCTCTCTCTCTCTCCCCCAAAAACCCCTCTTGTCCTCTTCTCGCCCTCCCCCTCACCTATAACTTTCACCTGCTTCCCTATCTTCCTAACGCCCGCAGAATCACGAGGGGACGCCACCTCCCTCTTCCTCACACCCTCAAAACCGGGTTTAAGCGCACAATCTGCTCCTAGGCGCCCCTTAAGCCCGTTCAGGTTCCGAAGTCGTTTGCACGTGATCTTCCAAGCCAGTAGAGCCGAAACGAGGAGCTTGAAGCGAGCACGGAGAGGGTAGCTGCCGATATCTATGTCATTGGCCAGTTCGACGAGGGCGGGCTGGGAGATCGTGCCGCGATGGCGGTTGGTGGTGTTGGCGAAGGATGATGACATGGTAGTGAATTGCTATCCCGCAGTAATGAGATTGTGATTGGAGAGCGGGTTGACGCTGTATGGAAAAAATTATGATCATTCATCTCGAGGCTGTGAGATGGAAGGGTTGAGATGTCTAAGGAGCAAATGATTACAAGTGAGGGTGGGATTTTAAAGATGGGAGTGGAAAGGGCATCTATTGTAAGAGAGGTACAATAGGGGCGAAAAGGAAAATACTATACTCCGTGGGCTCAGGCTTATTTTGCTGTTGTCTGGCTATTCAAATTGCTATTGTGAGTCTGGTGAGCAAGAGAGGGTTGAATGAACGTGCGAATATGTTATCTTAACGCGAGGAACACAATACTACTATCTAGCTATTCGGACTTGTATTGTGAGGGCAAGGTAAGACGGGCAAGTAAAGAGTGCACATAAAGATTGTTGCTCTCACGAAGATATATTCACCTCTACTCCTCAGTTTCACTGATAGATAGAACAACAAGCACGAGCGTCATAGGATAGAAAGGTGATGGACGGGTTCATTGAAACGGGTATATCCCTCCAACAACTATGCTATAAACACTATTGGTGCCATGTCTGCATCCTGCGCACACGTCATGCAAATCTCACCTCGGAGAACAAGCTCGCTCTGACTTGCATCAAAGCCACGACCTCGAGTACAAATTCTTGCAAGATAACCACATTCGTAATAATATGGCCTAGACTCGCTTCCCTGATATCATCCTTCATCTCAGCCTCCATGTCACCGCCTTCAACCGGCTCTTTAGGTGGCGGCTGATACTTTGACAACATGACTTCTACGGTCTGTGAATCTGCTGGTTGACGGAAGCGTATGCGCCGTTTGAGCACATCCGAATTCGCGACTTCAGCTAGATTGCTAAAGACATCTGCCATGAGGGTGGACTGACGGTTGGCAGCTCGCGGTGCAGGTAACGGCGACATCCCACGTGAAGGCGATCCAACTAACGTCTGCCCTCCGAACTTCGACGGCGCCGGAGAGGCAGTAGGCGTGTGTCTGAGATCAAGACCTTCCTTCCTTCCTCTTGGGGACTGGGTCCGCGATGGGGTGCCTGCGCTCTCAAGCACATGTTTCGGGACCTGTGGGGTCCACGATCCAGCAGGCAACTCTGTAGAGGGGCGAGTTGATTTGATCTGTGGAGTTGACTTGATAGCTTCGGAAATTTCTTCATGGACGTGGAATGCTTGCTTTCGGTTCGTGACATGTTCATCAAAATCTTGGATGTCGGCGCGGAGGGCTTCGACTTGGCCTTGGAGCGATTGTAGGCAAGCGAGCAAGGGAGGTGTAGCAGAAGAATTCCATCTCGGCTGTCGGTTTGCTTTCCACATATCTCGCAGATTCTCAGTCGAGAATTCTTCGGGCACTGGCTCGGCAGCCTGGAAGTGGTAATTGGAGGGCTCAACCGAAATCCAGCCTTCCAGTCTGAGTTGGGAGCAAGCACCAAGGGTGATGATAGTTTCTGTGAGTCCCAGGTTGGTTTCGACGTCATTCGTCAAAAACCGCAGTAGTAGATCAAGGAGTGACCTAAATAGCGGATCTTCAGGAATAAGGTAGTGCGGTCCAACATCTCGAGGACTTATTTCTGACTCAAAAAATTCTAGCCTGTGAGAAGGCGAGACTGGCAAGGCGAGAGCTTTGAGGGAACACGGATGACTCTCGAGCAAGCTCATCTTATCTTTTAAATGACTGTTATATGCGTCATCTACGCCAGCTTCACCTGCAAGACCGACAGCTAGGCTAAGATATGTCGCCAGCTCGGTATTTAACGCACCAACGGTTCGATTGGGTTCTTTGTGGTGAGCGTCGATGATTTTGATTAGGGATCCAAGCGCGTAACCGTGATTCTTGCCGAGAATGACGGTGGTGAGTTTTAGCGCTGCGATCACGGTCTGGGGATTCCGCGATTCCGTGCTACTCAAAACGAGGTCGACTAAGTTGAATAGCGAGGGGTTCATGCGGTCATCTTCTTTTTCTGGCGCACCGAGCAGCATTAGAGATTGTCGCCGTTTGATGGCTGCTGGGGATCGAGGAGTACGCGGAGAGGAAGGTGTGTAATCTGGGAGTGCAAGAAGATAGTGAAGGATCATATGGACAAGCTCGGGGTGGTCTAGCGCATCGAGTATGCGCCGTAGATATGTAAGGACCGCCACAGCAGAGCCACCGTCGACGTCAGAAGACTCCAATAGCGAGGGATACCTGTCATGAGCTCAGCACTGAGTAACGGTACACGGATAAGATAGGAATTTTAACTAACAGTAATTGTTGAAGAAATAGAACTTGGAAGTGGTCTATCAAGGTGTGTCGGACTTCGGTCGATCCGCAATGCTCAAGCACATCTTGCCAGAAAGTGAGGTAGGAAAGGAAGGTCTCTAGGTGAACCTGAAAGTCAGGGGAGAAGAGACTATCGGCTTGTGGGTTTGATTGCATCTCCACATAGTCCGAGAGGCTCAGTATCAGGGGCAGGTCTTTCCGCGGGTGCAGGATAGACAACTTTCTAGGAATCGTGAGTGAAAGGGCTGAGAACGGGGGTTTAGTGCCAGACCTGCTGAGCTGACTATATAGCGCTCCAAGGCCGGTAGCCATGAGCGTTGGAAGATCACTGTTCACTATCCATTGCTCCAAGGCATGCGATTTCGATGAAGAATCGAATATGTAGAGCAGTCCGGTCCTTGCAAAATCTCCAATGCGACCTTCATGATGTACGTGGTCGATGAGCTGGTAGCACAGTGGGAAGTCCTCCTTCTGCGTTATGCCCGCAAAGTCTACCTTTTGATTTACGAGGCGACCGTTTGAATCCGCAGCATGGGTCGTGAACCAGACGGGCAGTATCTCCGGCTGCAACCTGATCTTTGCCGCGATGCCAAATAGCAGCTCCACGATGTCAGCTTCTATGTCCTCGCCAACACCCATGCTCCCTGCGCCAATTGTTCGACCGATGAAGTTCATGAGGGATGCGGCGAATACATCATTTTCGAGAAAGTCCTCCTCCTCGCTGTCGATGAGCGCTGCGTAGAAGCCGACTCCGTCCCTGACCACGTGCTCATCGTGCGACGTCGCTGCAATCTTAGAGACTGCCGTATAGATTTGCTGGGAGGCCGCGAAGTTGAGGCAGAGGTGAGGCGCCGGGGATCGCGACTCATCGTTCAAGGTCGTGGTGAGGAACTGGAAACCGCGAGAGATGTCTCCACAGGCCTCCCCATCGTTCGAGAGGGAGTGTGTCTTGTGCCATATTTGCTGTGCCCGAAGTTAGCACAAATCTCCTCTTCTATGCAAGGCATTCGCACCAATATCTGGTTGTATTTCTGTTTGAAGCGTACCAGACGCTGTTGGGGGTTGTTGGTGGCGGCCTGCTTCTTCTGGGACCCGCCGAGCAATCTCGTCCACTATACACCAAGTCAGCTTGACATGTTTCCTTTTGCGCGCGCGATATCATACAAAGTCCATGCCGACTACGGATCGCCCATCATTCGGGCGGGGTCTCGTTGCGGAATGAGATGCGGTCGACGCGTTTGTCGGGTCTGCGGAGGTGGTGCGGACCCCCGAAACATGCTGTGTTCCAAGATGGGGAGTCACGATTGGTAGCGCATTCTCGAGGGCACAACAGAACAGAATTATTTAGTAATGTTTTGAAATATTAGGGACAGGAAATAGTCTGTTGGTATATTCTAATGTCAACTCCTATCCAACACGAACCGGCGTGCGGAACGCACCCACTTCCTATTAGTGTAACATCTTCCATAGTTGCCAGAAGGAGAGTCCAGCAGGCAAAAGACAGCTCAATACGAGAATCGGTGTCCGCGAAGGATGTTAAAATTACGACCGTGGACCAACTTTGCTATCGAATTTCCGTCTACGCGAAATGCAAGCTTGATACTTGCATCATGTGTCTACTGCTCCCTCTGCTTGCAATTAATACACAAATTACATTCCTCGAGCTAGCGCATCATTGGCTACTCCTCTGAAAAGTATTATTGCCCTGTGTTGCTCGTGGCGCGAGTTTTAGTATTTAGTCGTTGAGCAGGCCTGACTGAGCGATTTAAAACACTAAGTTACTTAAACTACCTTTGTACTGCATCATCACTAACATTGTAACTGATACCTTGACCTTGTCCGCGGTACACTGCCACAGTAGCGTACAGCCGACAGGCTGAGCCTACCCGGACTATTGTAGAACCAGAGCGAGTGCCAGCAGCCTATTTTGAAACGCTCCATTACTACATTTTGGCAAGGCTCGTGCAGAAACCACAAGAACTCCAGCCAGGTCACTAACACTTGCATTGTTAGTGAATTCTACACATTGCCAGTCGAATAACGTGGGTTTCGAACAAGAGATGAGAGTCCAGGTTGTGCGTTGCTAAAATTAATAACCTTAAACAAGAGACTCTGGGAATCACATATTTCCATACCGGATGTGAACCCCCACCGCCGCCACCACCTCATCATCTCGAAGCTGGACCGTCACACATTGAACAACCCAGGAACGGTGTCACAGCTCTGCGGACCCATGCGCATGCCGTTGTAGTTATATCGCTACACTTGCCCCTTTTGATAAGCATTGCATCATGGATAGTCTTTCCAGCGCGGCAAGCGTCATTGCTATCATTGACATATCCGCTAAAATTACCTTGCTCTATTTCAAGTATTCAGTCGCCGTGAAGGATGCGAAGAAGGACATTGAATGCAGTAAAAGGACAATTGCTCATATCACGGGCCTTGTTAAGAAGATCAAGCAGCTATCGGACGGACGAGACAAAGCACGGCTTTCTACCACTTGCGGGTTATCTGGGTCACTCAAGGGATATTTTCAAGGGCTAAAAGAGGTAAAGGAACAGCTAGAGCCGGGGGAGTGTCACAAAGCCATGAGCCGGCTCGGACCGGGCACTCTTAAGATGGTCATTTACGAGCAAGCAGGTCGAAAATATCGTTTCTGGACTAGAAAGATACGAGCAGACCTTTGCCCTCCGCTCCAAGTTGATTAGAACGGAATCTAAAATAGCAAGCCTCAATCGCTGTAATTATCTAGTATAAATTCCACAATATATATAAAGATAAGCTAATCTAAAAGTATATAGCATGTATATTCCTATAACGTCGTGTTGGTATGTTTGAGGTGGTGAAGAAGACAGGGTGGATGGACGTTATGTGGATAGCTTGTCGTGCGGGTGATAGACAATGCAAGTATCGAGCTCACATTTTGCACACACACAAGAATCAGGTATTTAAGCAGCTCAACAATCCTAATTTTGAGTTGACTGAACAGATAGAGTCTAATTTTGCTGCCAAAAATTATTCTACATATTAGCCTCCCCTTCCAGAAGCTATGAAAAATGGTGTGCGCAAAGTAGGTTGGGGGTTTCTTGGTACCAGGGCCCTGTCTGGTCTAGGATCGGGGTTACTACACAGCATAATTAGGAAAGAAACTCATAGGCATTAAAAGGTAAAAGTTCACTGCCCCGACGAATCTCGACCTCTCTCGCACATCTGCACTGAAATCTACGACTTCTTGCCATTCAAATGCCATTCCATGAGCTTCTGGAAGACTCCCTTGCCACCTGTCTCAATCACATCGCCGTGGCAGGGGATGATTCGATCGAAATCCCACTTGTCGATCTTGGAGACTGAGGCGCCATAGCCAGCCCTATCCCCGCTACTAATAGCATACCAGATGAAGCGCTTCTGCCCATTTCCGGTCGTACTTGTGAGGGAGCCGAACAGCTTCGTTAAAATCCCGGTTGCTGCGCTGACGCCTGTCTTGCTAAATTGCTCAGTGGCGGGGTAGTTGAATATCAAATCCGCCTGTATAAGCGTCTTCGTTGGTTTGTGGTTGAATACAAGCTCCTTGTTCGGGTGCGCATAAACATATTCGTACTCGAATTCAGCGTCGAATTCAGGATCGATTGACGGGAGTGGCTGCTTTGCTTTAAAGATATAGCTGAATGGCACATTCTCATTTTTCTGCTTTGTACGTTTCTCGGGGAGCCCCTCAGGACCGATGACTTTTGCAGAGGGGTAGGCGGCGTGCCATGGGCCGAGGAATATGTGATGCTGGTTGTGTTAGCTACGTTACTACTGTACATGAGAAAAAGTATGCGATTGAGCGTGCTTACTTCGGCATCTAAGGCAGTAATGTACTTCACTTCTCCCAATTTTTCAACTGTAGCTTTCACTTCATCCGTCAATGAGGTAGGTGAGAAGACCGCCAGAGCTCCGGATCGTAGGCGCACTGTCAATACTGTCAGCACTTAGAATTCGGCTTGATTCTAGAATTCTCCCACCAACAGTTCCTCTTCCACCAACCTTTATCTTACCAAACCGCAGGAATGGAGATGAAAAGGTCGTGATCGCGTTGGGCACAACTTCTCGGATGACCATAACTTTGGCCGGATCATACGGAACTAAGTTGGACGACATGCCGGAGCTGTACTCAGGTGAATCTGAGGGGGAGGGGAGATGAGGGGAGTGTTTTTCTTTTCTCGAAATTCCAGAAAGTAGATCTAAGACGTCAAGCTTGGAATTTAACGGAAGCCCAAAGGAACAATGACGTATTGGCAGAAGTGTGCGGGTATCTCGATTTCTGTTTAAACAATTTTTTGGATGGGAGAACACTCCGTTTAAATGCTTCACATTCTTCGGCCGAATCTACATACATATCCTCGTTTGCTTCGGCCTTGAGTTTTATGTGTTGTTGTGAAAGGATCGCTGTGCTGGAGAAATCAAATACTTTGACCGAGGCTTGATCAATGGTGTTTGATTCGACACCCTAATGCATTGTCAGCACCCAACCCAGGCACATCATCCAGTCAGCCTGTCGCAAGTGAGCGGAAACTATGTGGTCAAAGCTCGATGAAATTCAAATATCTATTTGAGCTCCGCAGATAGCTTGTGATGAAGAAGGAAACTACTTTTGTCGGTAAGTTATGATGATTAATTCAGCCACAATCGTTCCTTCACGTATCATGACTTCCAGGCTACATATTGCGCACCAACAGCCTTGTGTCCGTACTCCGTCCCTAGAGCATTTTTGTCCGTCACGAAGGCGGAACTCATCATCCAAGCCCTCCAATCCCGGACCCGAGGAAACGCATGCATAGGCATGGTAGATGAGACATACGCAGTAGTCGGCGACTTGAGGGAGCCCGTGTGTGACGCGATGAAGCCCAGTCTTTATGCTGCAACAGCGACCAAGGCCAAGTTCGACGTCTTGTACTACTGTCCGGGTGCTTTGATGAAAGCGTGATTCTGGCAAACGATTCTTGTATGCACCCGTCACCTGGCATTTTCGGCACTAAGCTCAGCCATCAAGCCTCCGACATCCCTCTTCTTCGCGTCCTCGTTGAGCCTCTTCTGAATAAATGCACTCATGTCCTTGACCTTCCCAAGAGCTACGTTTATATAATTTAAAATGGCAAGCGGATCGACCGTTGCTCCTCCGTATTTGGCGACCTGGCACACCTCTCCGTGCCTATTCATCGTGACAATCACTTCTCCTTGTCGGACCTGCTCTTCTGCAAGATTTGCATCTACCAGGAAGATCTCTCCATCTTCGTAGTATGAGAAGGTTACGCAAAGCGGTTGGTGAAGGATTGACAAGGGTATAGGTTCCCGCTCCCGGACACTGAGCACGGTTGCCTTCTCGCCTTCTACTAGGACATCTGGTCTACGGAAATGTTGTAATGCAGCCATGACAGCGATACATGATGCATCAATTAGCCCTCCATCATGATCTACAATATGGACGTCGGCTCGAAGCGCGAAGCACTTGATACCGGCAATAATACAGAGAGATTCGGTGTCGAGGGCGTTCGAACGTCGTATTGCTTTCTCAAGAATGCGGGAAAGGATGACTTCGGCATCTGTGGGTCTGTATGCTCAGTTAGGTGCTTCTGGTGAAGCACAGTTGGGGAGAAGTCAAGGAAGTCGTACCGGCCGACCTCGAAGGCTGGCGACGCCATTGGAGAGAATTCGGTAATGATCTGGAAGATGCCATCAAACTTGCGCTCTGGAAGCGGTGTAGTCACATCAACAGAAATTCTCGCAATAACCCTAGTATATTGTTAGCGAAGCATCTGCATAGTCTTGAAGCGCTTTCACTGACCTCGTTTTTCCGAGCTGGACATCTACGACGCCATACTCCTCTCCAAAGGATAGCTCTAGAGGGCGAAATGCATCGAAAGCGCGTCCATCGAGCCGAATGTTCTCTTGGAGGGCCTGTCGGATGAACTCGCGCTCGTTGACCGAAATTTCGGCTTCTCGAGGCATTGTGGGACTAAAAAACTAAGGATCAATTTGAGTCGTATGGAACACGAGGATCAAAGCCTTGCGTTTCCTGGAAATGCGGCGGAGTCGGAGAAACATCATCGCCGGCCTTGGCACTTGGCATATATTTCCCAAGCTTCGACCAGTATCTCAGATAATCTCTTCGTCAATCCAATAATCACATCGTTCACTCCCTCTCGAGAAATCTCCAAACCTTGCTAGCAACATGACCACCGCTCATAGGCCAACTTTTGACCCCGTAAGCTCCCCTAACTCAATTAAATATCTAGCTGAAATGTACACAACTAATGAGGATGTAGGCTAGAGGTAAGGAAGCCGCGCGCGGCCCTGCCTATCACCAGCGCCTTCTTCCCGCTCACACGTATCTCAAACTAAGGTAATAACCTATCCGACGTCCCCAACGAACGACAATTAATATAGTCGCAGGCAGACGGGGCAAGGAGGCGATGCGGACAAGCACAACCAACGTGATCTCCGGGCGGAGCTTCTCGAGGCCGAACGTAGATATTATGCGAAGAAGAATGGCACTCCGCTACCGCCACTTGAGGCGAATTCCACCACAGATGGTGCCTCGGGCGAGAAACGCTTACATGAGGCGCTCGAAGAAGACTTAAGTGACTCAGAAGAAGCTAGGGAGAAGCGGAGGCGCATAGCAGTCATCGAACAATATTACGAAGTCGATAAGAGCGACAGCGAGAGTAGTGAGAGCAGTGAAAGTGAGGATGAAGAGGAGGAGACAACTGCTCTCATGCGTGAGCTCGAAAAGATCAAGAAGGAGCGCGCCGAGAAGAAGGCGAAGGAGGTAATGATTGAAGCCCTCGGAAATCTGACGGCGCTAACTTTGTGTCAGGATGCCGAACGTGCAGAGAAAGAGCAAGAAGACCGCGAAATAAACATTGCGAAAGGCAATCCACTCCTAAACCCACATGACTTCACCATGAAGCGACGGTATGTCGCCCTCCTCCCATTTAACAAAATTTGGCTAATGATAGGCATAGTTGGGATGATGATGTCGTGTTCAAAAACCAAGCTCGTGGCACCGAAGACAAGAAGAATAAACGGAAAGAATATGTCAACGACATGCTGCGTTCGGACTTTCATAAGAAGTTCATGGTATGATCTCATAGCTGGCACAATTTACATAAACTAACGATCGGCGTAGGCTCGGTATATGAAGTGAATTCAAATATGCTTTGAACTCCATTTCACATCTTAGATTCACAGAAAGAGCCCGTTGATGGCAAGATATTCCATGAACGCGCCAAATTTTCGATCAAAGTACCCCACCTAGCGTGCACTATGCCACGCTCTTAGAGTGTACTTCGAGTGAGAGGACTGCGGCCGATATGGGAGGCTAAAGATCTGCGGTAGGGTAGATTTTCCCGATGATATCAATCCCGAATAATGGCATTCTCACCCTGCATCTCTGGCGTAGGTGGTACCTTGGTGTTAGGGATTTTTTCGACCTCAAGTGGTTTGAACTGGATAACGTGGGATACCCCAGAGTTTAGAGGGGTGGGAGAATGAGTGGCGCAGGTAAGGTCTTATCTCGATCAGCAACACTTAACCCGTTGGGGCTCAAACCCCATCACCTCAACCACAACTCAAACCAATCATATTAATTTGTTCGAAATTTGAAGTAAATCTTTGACGCCCCATACTGTTAGTGTCACTTTTGCACTCGTAAATCTGTAATTCTACAGTCTTGTGGAGTTGGAAATTAATACTTAACAAACATTGTTCAGAAAGGTACAGTTCCTCCAAGACGGCTTTTCGCCTACGTCCTTGCTTCCTTTAGCTAGGGCTCTATTTCTACTCGAGGGTACAAGGCTTTGCCAACTAAGTTTCATTCCCACCAAGGCGAACTGGAACCCGTGTCCGCAAGGGACTGGCGATGATCTACGTGGGAGCGCCAACTTTATCAAGCCGTGTGACGACATACGACTTGAACTTATTCATTGTCGCTACTTGTCTGCTTTAGGATGTCTAATAATCTATGATGGAAGTAATACAAATACGAGGGTCCCTTTTCTATGCGCAATCCTCGCTGGATCTTCAATCTATGCTCAAAACATCACAAGTCTTTCTTCCTCTAGTCTTCATCCATATTTCTGAAGTGAATGTTATCTCCTTCTCTAAATCGCAATGTCAGACACATATGGCAGCGGTACGGTTGGTGGCGTAGGCTTCGGCAACAAGATGTCTGCGGACCCTGACCCAAACCACCCAGAGCTTTCTGAACAACACACCACTACCCGCTTCGGCCGCAACGATTTCCACGCCTACTCTGGTGGCCACGAAACCTACGGCTCCGGTGCCGTTGGTGGTGCGGGATTCGGCAACAAGACAGCTCCCGAGAGTGAAGACTATGACAACAGCAATATCAGGTTTGGCAGTCATGGAGAAACGAAGCCGTATAGTGGACATACGGAACATGGGAGTGGGACGACGGGCGGGGCTGGGTATGGGAATAAGACAGGGGTTTTTAAGACGAGGAATGGTAGGTTTTTTACTTTGCGTAGCTCCTTAGAGATAGGGGTTTAAACTAATGATGTGTAGATTCGACGCTAGGCAAGTTGATGGAGAAGGTTGGACACGTTACGCATAATGAGAATCTGGCGGAGAAGGGGCGCGCGAAGAGAGAGGTGCAAGGGTTTGGACAAAGCGAGGAAATGTGAGCAGGCTCTGGAGAACATCTTCGGCTAGTGCTTGGAACCTTCAGTTTGCATTGTTCGAGAAACTACCTCTATATTATACTAAAATGAATCAGTGAAGTGTTTGACACTTGCTGATATAGCTAGCTCTATGTATTTGGTCGCTCATTGTCCTTTCCTTCATACTATCACGCTGGTACAAAGTCTTTTGCAATGGACACCATCCTTTCCAACCAACTCTTAGTCTTGGCAGCCTATTCGAAGATCCCCCTCAAAACCTTCATCGTTGGAAAGATGACGACGGTGTTGCAGGACCATCGAATCGCCCACCAATCATATTTGCTCACTTCTCTTATTGGTCCGCGCAGAGCGAGATCACATGCACTCGTATTCAGCCCAATGTGCCTGAATCGCGACCATTAAATCTTAATCCAGCCGCTGCACCAGGAACCCCTGACAACGGACTTTTGAGACCCTGTGCCACACCCAGCACGACCTATTCCCCAGCTTAGTGCACATTTTCATTCCCTCCACCTCCACCTCCTCTCCCACTTCCTCAATGCCTCCAGGGCTCACACGACCACCATGGTCTCCGCCGTGGATATCATCACCTACATCGGTATCCCACTCGCAGTCCTCGGCGTCCTCCCCACAATCTACACGTGTCTAAAATCCTTCTTCACACTTCGCGAAATCACGAAGACGTTGCATAGAAATGGGGTCATCGCGATTACGCGCAGCGCCCTGCTTTCCGGGATCGTCGAGATTGAGATTCCGCGGAGGAGTATTATTCCCCTCGACCGCGGCGACCCGAAGTACTTTGCACTGAATGCCAGGCCGTCGAGTCTGAAGGGCGGGACATGGACGTTGTTCAATTGGAAAGAAATGGTTATTGGGGTTAAGAGTTATAGATTACAGTATCATGACGAGCTTTTGCAACCGCAGGCAGAGATTGAGTTTGAAGCGCTGATAGCTTTCTTGTTGGATAGAGGCGCTGTGCCAAGTAAAGAAGGATGGGCGGATCTGAGAGGGGCCGGGTTGTGGACACCTGCAGGGACGAAGTTGTTGCTGAGTCCGGTGTCAGGAGAAGAAGTGTTAAGTGTGGCAATGAGTGATGATTCGGATGGGATACTGAGCTTGAGCTTGAATTGGCGCAGGGAGTGGGATCGAAGGAGCGCGGACAGTTTACCGCCATACTGGACGAGGGTAAATCCTCCCTCTGTGAAGGACGTAGATGTGCTGGCGAAGCTTAATGAGATGGAGGCACCGCAGCAGGACGGGAAGAAAGAGGTGGATAAGAAGGGCGGATTTCTGGACGATGACAGCGCTGCGAGTGCTGTAAATGTAGGATCGAATTCCGCGGTAAGAGTTCGAATCGGCTCTGCCGGTATCCAGGAAGCATATGGAGAGGATGACGCAAAGCGAAAGTTGACTCTTCTCCACCTCCGCCCACCATCATCATCTCACGACCCCACTGCCGGTTTCTGGTTCTGTTGCGCCGCGACCGCATACGAAGCCCCCCAAGGCGGCCTCTGGAGCTTCTCCATCCCAGAAGACGTCCTCTCATTCGTACGCCAGGACACCGTACCATGCGGCGTCATGGTTCTCCTTGGCACGATGACCGACGACGAAGTCCCCACCTGGCGCACACCCTACGACTACAAAGCCGAGCAGTTCGAAAAACATGTTAAGTTTATGGACCAAAGCCGACGAATGCAAGAAGAAAGCCGCATGCCACCAGAGCAGCGTGCTGCTGCGCAAAAGAAGCGTATGGAGCAGGACGCCATCGATTTCCACAACGAAGCTCGTCGCCGCCGCATGAAAGAAGAACAGCGTCGAGAATCTGAAATCCTAGAAGCTATGCAGAGCCAGAAGCTTCCGATAGCTATCGTCGCTGAGGCAAACCGTAAATGGATGGTCCAAAAATTCTCCCTCTCTGAAGAAATTCCTATCCTCTCCCTCGTCGAACAAACGATGTTTGGTATGGTGCAAGACAGTTCCTTTGCTAAACGTATATCGATCATGTTGGATCTATGGAAGAGTTGGGGGCAGTCGGGCGGGATGACGAAAGGGCATTATTTGGCGATTAAAGAGGACCAGGTCACTTTCGCGTTGGCGAGTTTTGTGTTGTTCGTGATTCGGAGTATGGTTAGTGAGCCAATGGGGAGTGTGGCTGGGGATTTACAGGAGTGCTTGAGGATCTGGAAGAAGGCTCGGCTGGGATGAGTGTGTTGGGTATGGTGAATGATACCGGCGTTGGCATGAGCATTCTTCACGATGGCGGGTGGATTGGGGTCGTTGAAGTTAATTTTTTTAGCTTGGGAAAGATGTTAGGATGCTATATGCATCATATATGGTTTGTCGTATGATAATGCATTGGTACTAGATAGCTAATGTATAAATTCTAATCCAACGCTCCTTTCGACCACTCCAAAAGCGATGCCAGCAACGCTCCGTTTCCAAGCTCAACTCATCAAACCATGCTCCTCTCCTCCACCCTTGGCCCCAATTCCTCGTCATCCGCATCCCAAAGCACGTCCGGAGACCTCGAATTCGAAGGCATGGCCTCTTCCTGCCATCCCCATCCATGCGAATTCCATAATGTCATCGGCCTCACTTCCTCGCCTCGTCTCCGCTCTTCCTCCGCCGCCACCGTCTCCCGGTCCACAAGCGGATCCTCCCCTTCCCCTTCCCCCTCTACCCTTACTCTAACAGCCTGCTTCCCCTTCCTCTTCCTCCGCAACTCCCTCCTCGCCTCCTGCAGCATAATAAGCGGATTCAGACTCGTCCTGCTCCTTGCCGAATCCCTCGAAGCAGGAGCCTGCGCAGCAGGCTTAGGCTTTGGGACTACGTTGCGGACGTCGAGTTCTATTTCACTTCGGATATGATCTTCGCGACGTTGTTGGATGCGGGCTTTGTTGCGGTGGTAGAGGTGTGCTTTCTGGAGATAGTAAATGCTGCCGAGGATGAGGCCGAGGAGGAGCGCCAGGGGTGGGGCTGTGAAGAGGAGGGTTGGGAGGAGGAGGATGGGGTCCATGGTGGGTTATGGAAATACTAGCGCACTATTACCTACGCAGTCCCCCGAGAAAGATGGCTTTGTAGATTGTAGATAGTGTAGTCTACAGTAGGTTTGTGCTTAAGTCGTTGTAATACGGTGTTGTGGTTTAAATGACGGAGGCCTTTTATCTATAGTGTAGCTCCACAGTAAGAAAAGTAGAACACCAATATAGATTTGCGAGGTGCGTTGTCCGGGAATGATGAGCGAGTCTCGGTGACCGCTGCAATTCATCCTTGATTTTCTACCATGGAAGTGCACTTCGCAGGCCAGAAACATAGCCTTTTTTGATCATGGTAAGGGTATATTTGTGACTAAGCAACGACTGTGACGACAGAATTCGCATAACTTGAGCATGTTGTCGCAGGTTCGAGGTATGTCGCGTTCATGTGGACTCGCGAAGTCCAGGCACTGACCCTTAAAGGTCGGAAATAGCCACATAATGCTAAGAAAACCAATCTTGGTTCTCCGGCAAGTCTAAGAATCCGTTGCTTAATCCTTGGGTCCAATCAATGAAGTTGGTCATGTCTAGGTCCGGGTCTCCTTGAGCAAAACTTGTCGGAGTATGGTGCAAATGCCTCTCCTCAAAGGCATTATTGAATCCAACACCAGCCTGATTCAACTCGGGATTTTCGTTATTAGAATCAGCTGACATCCCTTCATTCCCTAACTCATTGAAAGGATCTGGCTCTGAGTAATGGGAGCTCGCTTCGTTTAGTGATCCTGGAGAAACGTACCCGGAATCCTTTTCCTCATTTGAAGAAGAAGGTTCTCTTGGTTGGCTGATATTTCGTGAAAACCTAGGCGACTCCATGGTTCCGTCCTGGTGTAGGCATGTAGTATGGATGGAATTAGGGAGCGCGTGGTTGTGTGCGTGGTTTGACTGAGCGGGGCTTAACAAATGCTGAGTAGGGCTTGAAATCAACACAGGGGAAGTATCGGTATTAGGATCCTGCCCATGGAGAATTCTTTGTGTGTTTCGGAGTAGTTCCGGGATCCGACTATTGAGCCTTTCGCTCACAGCTCTAATCTCCTCTTCCACAACTCTTTTGAGTTCTTTTTCCATGATGGTAACGAACTGGTTTCGGTATACCTCTTCGGAGCTTGTAAAAGTAGACCCGAAGTCATAGACTAAGCTCTATTAGTGGATTATGGGGTAGAAAGGTGAGACCTTGACACTAACAAGGGGAAGGAATGTGGGACTCGTCTTCAACGGCGAAAATGAACTTGTATACACCTCTCCACTTGTCACGTTGTGACTGACCCCGTTGAGAGAGCTTGCGAAGTCCTTCAATTTGATCTTGGGAGATCCCATCGCTGCTTTGACTCCACCGGAAGGATGGAGAAGGGCTGTCTTTTAGCTCACACTGATCGACTGATTTCAGGTGCTCGGTTAATCCCCGATGATCCTGCACATCGATTTTGCATCGTGGACATACAAGTGGTAGAGTATGCGCTCGATAAATGTGTTCCCTGTTATCAGTTAGCTTAATCTTTCAAGACGTAAGTAAAAGACACTATATACTTTACTCGGTGAACAGTGTCCCAACCTGGCCCGGAACAAGAGCCACGCATATGGGCAGTGGGGTCTTTCTTGAAAAAAGGACATGCAAGGCGAAGGTCGTGCCCAGTTTGGCACGGCTTACCTTGGCCATTCCGTCGGCGCCGCTTTGTTGGCGTCTCTTCGTTATCAGTATTATCACTACCATCATCTGGGGCCTTTCGTTTCCCGGCTTTGCGAGAATTACGTGGTGTTAAAGACAACCGATTTTCCATGTTTCCACTTGTTCCTTCTGTATTGGGGCCTTTCGGATGATGTTTGAATCCACCTGCTTCCATATACCATCTTATGAATTTTCGCATTGCATTTTCCACTAGCACTTGTCGAGTATCTAACATCATCCTAGATACCATAGAATATTCGTTATCGACATCACCATTATCACTAGTGCTGCTACCTGTATGTGATAGTCCCGAATTTTCGTTTTCGACAGGGTTGGGCAACATTTTGCACTGAGTCTGAGCAATGGAATCTCTTTGTTGCTGCTCTGATTTCATCAAGGCCACTGAAATACCATTTTCATCATCTGGCTTAGGCGTTGTGTAGTATTTCGAGGAAGCTCTTTCGAGACCTGGGCGAAAAGACACCTGATGACTACGTTTAGTCAAGCATAGATAATATCAAGATGTAAGAGTAGTCTCAATGACATACCGGGGTGGATCCATAAGATGGATATTGGATAATGGAATGAAGGAACGGGATTCGAGGGCTTTCCTCAGGAAGAGGACTTAGAGGGGAGAGTCTAGGGGAACCTGGTATACGGTCCATGCCCATTTGGCCATGATTGTCCGCAGCGTCAAAAATACCGATCCCAAGGCCGATTCCCAGACAGATCCCACTGTCGCCGAGATAAGCGCCTTTTGCATTTTGCGTGGATCGGTAAGCCTGTGACAAATTTTTAAGCCCCCTTTCCATGCACTTCTGCTCCACCAACTCCCATTCCTCGCCAACTCGAGCCGCTAAAATACTCCAGATTTGCTGCCGGACTTCCATGTAAGCTAGAGCAAGGATATCTAACCTAATACCATCTTTCTCTTCTGGGGTATGCCTATCCATTAATATTTCATATCGCTTACGACATTCATTTGGCGATTTAGAAGGGAGTTGCAGAGGTACAATTTGGTTCCAATGGAGTCCTTGAGCCCGTGCAGCAAGAAGAGTCTCATCATCTTTTGCTGACCATGAGGAACTCCATGGCCTGTGTCCAGATATAGCTATGGACGGCAATGTATTTGCCTCTTTACTATCTGGAGGCGAGCTGGTACCATGAAGCAAAGTGCTCTGGTGAGAGATTATGGGAAGGTCGAAGGGTGCTCCAAGGCTGGGATCGCGTCTACTAGGCCTCGTGCATTCCTTAGGCATAATTGTTATGGAGAATCCCAGAGAGGAAAATTGAGTAGCGTGAGCTGACCTGTTAAATGGTAAGTTAAATTGGTAAATGAAAGTAGTGGAAGGTTGTGAAGGATACACAGGCAGGGAAGTTAAATTTCCAAAACTTTGAATAATACAACTTGAAAATAACGCGCTCGAGGACAAAATACACAACACTAATGGGAGGTGTAGAATTCAGACGTAAAGAGGAAGCTATGAAACCTAGCAAGTATGAGCGAGGGATGGTGTGTTGAGATCGGGTGGAACGCGGGGCGGCTAGCTATTAAAATGGGGTATGTTTACCAGAGCAGAATGCAGCGCGCACAAGATGCGCGAAAGTTGCGCACAAGGCTGCGCGGAATATATGCCAAAGGTGCGCAGATGGGCGCAAGGCTGCTGCAGGCATCAACTTCAACCTCCCTTCATCCAATAGGGTCCATAGCTTTATCGGACCAATCAACATTCAACCATGAAAGAAGTCTCACATTTCTCTGCCTAACTATATATGAATGTATCCTAAGGGGACTTTCCTTCTGGGAAGGCTTCGATAGAGTTCTCGAAGATCTTCGCTGTGGTATGGCATGGCTCACTACGTGCGGAAGCAAATTCTCTGAGATGTGGAACTTAAATGTCGATTAATGTGGCCAGGGAGTGACGGATAAGATTTACAGACACAAATAAGTCATTTTGGAATGAGAGCCTGAAGCTAAACTAAAACTTGATACTTACAAAAACGCCATGAGTTGCTAATTTTGTGAAAAGAATTTGCGCCTACCAGCTGGACTGGGCCACGGAGTCTTCATACTGTTGAAGCTAGGATTGAAGCTAGGATTGCTTATGGAATTCAACTCTAGAGAATATTTGAGTCCTCAAAGGGATTAGGAAAACTAAAGTCCATTTTCTGCTTCTAATCTTAGTAGTCCGGATTTATGGTTCTCTCCTCTGGAAACACGAGAGGCTGGTATTATTGAAGCTGATGGGACGGCCACAAAGACGAAGCGAATTCCAGAGGTATTGCGGTGGGGTTGCGGTCTAGCGGGTTGGAGAGGTTGAAAGTTGGGACGTTGGCAGGATATGGTTAGCGAAGTCGGGAGCAAGCTGTTCCCTGCTCAGGGGTTGGAGTTGGTGCGTCCTCGGGAAGAACTGCATGGGTTTCCTCGTGAAGTGGTGCCGTAGTCTTCGTTTCCAGATTGAATATCCTCAGGTCTTCTGATAATACAGCTGAAACATGTCCCCAGTCTTTCCCTCTGTCTTCTTTGCTAGAAAAGAGTTGTTTGGGCACTTTCAAGTTTGCCTGGATAGGTTCTGACAGAGGCCCGCGCCTGTTGGGATGGCTAGCTGGTCCAGCGCTCTCGTGGTGAACAGGTGTTTCCTGCGATGTACCCATATCAAACGAATTTTAGCTGTGCATGTGCCTGTGAGACGCAAAGCTCAATAAGTCGGAGTGAAAATCATATGAAGTGGTGTTGACTCTATCAGCCGCAGTTGTCTCGTCTAACAAGATACTTTCCGTGCTGCTGAAAATTTCTGCAATTTGACGTCCCAATCTTTCACCCAAAGCCTTCATTTCTTCATCGATTAACTTTCTCAATTTCAACTCCATAATGGTTCGAAACCTTTCGTTATGAGAGCTTTCATAGCTTCGAGTAGGAGGCGAGCTAGGAGCCGTCATTGAATAATTGTAGACTATGTAATGTAAGCATTGTAGGACATGTAAAGTTACAAGGGTAACTAGCATAGAGAAGGTGTCGAAGATTCACCCACTGTGGGAAAGATGAATTTGGAAACTTCCCCCCAATCCTTGAACTCCGATGCAGCACGTTGGCCTAGTTTGCGGGGCTATTGTCCTCGCTCATAGGAAATATCATCGGTAGAGATTATTTGTGGCGATGCCGATTTTCTTTTTGGCTCGCACTCACCTTCTACCTTCAAGTGTAGCCGCAGCTCGTCGTCATATGTGACCGTCACATGACAACGTGGGCAAAAAAGCGGTTAGACATGTACTCGATGCATTTTCTCTCTGGATTTTGCCAATAAGTGCCTCACTTAACGCGATGGGCGTTGTCCCGCCCAGGGCCAGATTCCAATATTCACCATCTCGGCCTCGCCTTCCTGGTTACTCTCTGTCTCTTCATTCAACGCGTTATACCTGCACCATTTATGGGCGGTTAATCCGGGAGTCGAGCTTATCTGAAGCAAGAGTAAGTGGTGATCGGACATCGTAGATCAATCACGAAGGCTTACCGGACTCTTCGTTTTGCTCTTACTTAGTTTGCGTGACTCCAATCTGTTCAACTATGCTTTCTCATTCCCCACTCCTTGAAAACGTAGCCCCTAGATTTGTAACTGCGGCCTTAATATTTTGGATGATTGAGTAAGATATATATAGTAGCTTTCATGAAGCAACAACAATGGAGTGACACAATAACAGGAATTAAGAAAGGAGCAGGTAAAGCTCGGTGTACAAGGAGATGAAGCCACTGATCTAAGATTTCCAATTTCAGTTACCCCAAATTAAGTCCTCCACTTCGGGCACCTTAATTTGAGATTAAGGACGGCGTACACTTTTTTCTCTCTCGGCTTTGCCTAAACATGTTCTATATATTGCATTGGAAAATTCAACTCATTATAAAGCTACTGAAACTGAATTTCCTCCCCCAATTTCTGCCTAGGGGCACTTCTTTCCCTTCTTGCAAGGCTTTGATGGCGCACTTGAGGATTTTGGTGGATCAGCAGCTTTTGAAGACACAGGTGGTGGCGGTGGCGCAGAGGTTTTTATTGGAGCCGAGGAAGAAGGGGTTGGCTGGGAGGATATTGCCGGGGGTAGAGTTGAAGTACGCATCGTTGTGGCGGTGGGGGTGGAGGACGAGAATTTGGCAGTGCTAGAAGAAGAGGATAGTGCTGAGGAAGTGGATGAGGATGCGAGGGCACTGGAGGACGAAGATGGCGTCATGGAGGAGGCGGGGCTTGATGCCGAAGATGAAGCTGAAGAAGATGGAGCGGAGGCACTCAAAGAAGTAGAAATAGATGAAACAGTCCCGCTGGAAATGGTAGACCCGGTCAAAGAAGTGGAAGAAGCAGAGCTAGTCGTAGAAGCTGCCCCAGAGGACAAAAAAGAAGCAGTAGTTGAAGGAATTCCAGTAACTGAAACAGAAGAAGAGGATCCAGTGGAAGAAGCTGGTCCAGTGGAAGAAACTGATCCAGTGGAAGAAACTGATCCAGTGGAAAAAGCTGATCCAGTGGAAGAAGCTGATCCAGTGGAAGAAGTTGATCCCGTGGAAGAAGCTGATCCCGTGGAAGAAGCTGATCCAGTGGAAGAAGCCGATCCAGTGGAAGAAACAGATCCAGTGGAAGTAACTGACATCGAAGTAGACGACATCGACGACGACGAAGAGGTCCGCGAAACTAACTGGCAAGCGCCCGAGCGAGATGCTGAGCCAGACGGGGCGCGCTTCTGATTCTTTGAACAAGTCGCTTTCCACGTATGTTCATACATCTGATCCTCGAGCCAGACGCGATATATGGCTTCCTGAGGGTCCTTGCTCTTGAACGTGTTTTCATCCTCTTGGTCAGGATCATACTCCACGAGGATCTTGCCGTTCGATTGCTTAGAGAACTGCGGTAATTCATCTTCGGTTGGTTTGACGTATCGCCACCTCTTGACTGTGACACCACGGAAAGGAGCCCCAGCATTTTTTGTTAGGATGTCAATGAGTCCTTCGACCTTCTCGTCATACAGAAATTTTCCGTCGTCACCTTTGGGACTGGAGACGTAGATTGTAGGATTTTCTTTCGAGTTGAGGATCTCGCCAGTTTGGGTCAGGGTACCGGGGCGAGTGAATCTGGAGCCGTATTGAGCGTTGTCATTATTGAATACGTCGAGGATACGTTGTTGCCAGAGTTGGTTGTATAAATCGCTGCCGCCGATGAAACCCGGTTCCATCTAGAGAACATGTATCAGCCTTTCTCTCGATACGTGACGCTTCACCTCAGCATATTATTAGATAACGTGGAACATAACGGAGGAAGAGCCTATATGGTAAAACCCTTGCTAGAACTAGAGAGAAGGCCAACAGAGCGCAAAATTCTGTCCTGAATCTCCCTCCTGCTCTGTTCCACGTTAGGTGACAAGATGCAGTACTTACCAGATGAGTCATCCAAAAGCCTTTCTCAGATGCAATAACAATTCCAGTGCAACTAAAACACCATTAGTCCATGTTCCTTTCATACTAAGGATGATCCTACCCAACAAGCCCCTGAACAAAAGCTTTCTTCGCCATGTCCGCAAAGGTACCATGGATTGATACAGCGTCCACTTGCGTTGTAGCCCAATCAAGCTCCTGGCCTTTCGGGGGCTTCCACTCCTTAATCATATCTGCAACATAAAACTTGGGCGTGGTGTCTAAGTCTTTCGGGCTATCGAGGTGACGTTCTTCAAGAGGAAATCCATCGCGTCTGACTTTTGCAGAACATGAGAGGCCTTTACAATTGGCATCACAGATGAGAGTAGAGGCTCGAGAAGCAAGGGGAGATCCTTGAATAAGCAATGGAAGGGCTAGTAGAAGGAAGGATAAATTGACCATTTTGAATGAGTGACTAAAATGAAACGAATGACTGCTGTATGCAAAAGAACGAAGAAATGAAAAGAGAATGGCGCGGCTGATTCATGGCTCTTCGAAGTCGAAGAGGAGCCATATATACAATATTTGTGTGAGAGCGCGGACTTCTCGACCTGCAAGTACCACCACGCAAGCTATTCTTGAAGCCATCTACTCGACCGTTCGTACCCACAACCGCGGAAATTCGAAGGACTGAAGTCCGGTGCTTTTCTTTGCATAGGTGATGTCTGCGGAAAGTCAGACTGGCTCACAGACGGCGCTAAACACTTTCAAGATTCCGCTAACCCAATTCGGACACTGCTAAACCAAGCCTTCTGTACCTCACCCTTCACGTCACCACTGTGCAACCAAAATTATCCCAAACAAGTTTCAACCCCATCGATCATCTCCAGGATTCGACTCCTTCCTTTGCTCAATTGCATGACAAACACAAAATCCGGGTGCCACAGTGCAAATCCTCAACCAAGTTTCGGCCCCAGCCGCTGACAGAAATCTCCGCGCCTGATGAGAAGGAGCAACTAAAAGAAGGCTAATACTGAAACACGAGCTTATTGTGAGTGTCAAAACATGTTACTAATTATTTCTGAAGAGTGAGCAAGGTGTAAATACCGAAACGGTACCACAGTCTGGGAGGAGATCACCTGTACGACAGGGTTGCATTGGCGTAGTCTAGTGATTTCGAGACACCCACAATCATTCTTGCTTGAATAACTTCTTCGAGTATCTTGTCTTCCTCTACTCTTCTATTTTTGGAGGAGCTTCAAGAATAATCTTACCACACTCACGAACCCCGCAACCGCAGAAATTGCTCGCCCTCTGGAGTTCTATGCCCTCGCGCGTTCCATACCATACCCCCTTACGAATTCCAAATATTTTCAACCCCCGCAGCCTCACGAGCTCCAAAGCTCACGTCAATTCTATCCCCCCCAAAAACCACCACCTCACCTTCCCAGCATGTCTACACCTACCTCCACTCCACCAAGTTCCCTCCCAAATCGCCCGCCCCACCCCAAAGCCCTCCTCAAGACTGCGATTCGCTCAGACTCCATCCCTCAACTCCTCGAATCTCTTGCCCTCGCACGCTCAAAATCCCCAGACACATTTTCCTCCTTTCTCGCCTCAACTCTCGTAGCCACTATCTCCGCCGGCTCAGTCCCACTTACGACCTACCTTCTGGAAACCGAAAACGCGGGCGGTTCTTTATCTCAAGTCACTGCTCAAGTTGTCTCTACTGCCCCATCGATAGGCTTGCTTGAGGTGCTGGTGAGGCATGGTTGGGATATTAACCACCAGGATCCGAAAGATATAATGCACAAAGGGCAGCGGCTTATTGACCGGGCGGTTCAGGATGAAGAGCTGGTTATGTGGCTAGTGGAGCATGGGGCGCGCGTGGATTTTCCAGACGTCGAGCCAGATCTGGAGAGATTGGAGGATTGGCCTGCGCCATTGCTAGAGACGTGTGCGGCGCTCGGGAGTCTGAAGACGTTTGTGTATTTGCTGGGTAAGGGCGCGAGGTTAGGACGGAGGACATTGCACCGAGCCGCCGGTGCAGGGGCACAGGTTGGTGCTGAACCAGACTCCCTATCGGCTTCCGACGACGGGAATATAAGCCCAAGAGGCGGCAGCCAAGATGGAGAAGACAGGAGCAGAAACTACAAGAAACAGCGGGAACTAATTCTGCGATACCTGGTTGATGAACTACGCGTGAATATTAATCAGATAGATACGGACGTCCCTCGTGGTCATTGGTTTTATGGTTCCCCAATTAATTATGCGGCGAAGGAAAAGAAAGGGGCAGCCGTGGTGAGGTGGTTGCTAGAGAAGGGTGCAGACCCGACGATTAAGTCTTTGGATGGTGGTGAGTTGGGTATGGATGCGAAGGATTATGCGGAGGCGCATAGGTGTGAAGATGTTTGTGGGGTTTTCAGGGATTGGGAGGAGGGGAGGTAGTGGGGCGGTGGTATTGGGAGGGCTGTGGAGCGGAAGGGAGAGAGAACCGGGAATTGGAGGTTGGTGTTGAGAACTGTCTCGAAAGACAGCACTGCATATTGTTACCCAACGTGAAACATACCAGGGGTAAAGTAGGACAGAGATTTGTAACCTCTCAACACCCCCCATCATTCCAGCAAGAGGGCCAAGAGATAGACACTACTCTGGTCATATACCACGTTAGGTAAGGAAGTGCACTAGATAGCAGTGGAACTAGTTTTTCACGTTAGTACCTCAAAATCATGCATATACATCCACTAGGTAATATATAATTGGCATCGTAGTTTTCTGCCTGTTGAAGACTAGGATGAAGACTTGTAATTTCAATTGTGGATTGGCTTAAGCTTGCCGGGTACCTTTCGCAAACCTTCATAGAGAGCTAAAGCGGCAAGTGCTTTAGCATCTCGAGCACCCTCCCTCCACAGATCTTCAAGCTTGACCACCTTAAGCGTGATCCTCTCTCCCTCGTTCCTCAACCCAGTACATCTACCCCTCAGCCCGTCCAGGAAACTCCTAGGGACCCGTTTCTGCCACAGGAATAGCGGGATGAATTCATCGCAGGCTCCAGGGCTCGGGTACATGGCATTCTGTAGCTTCTCTTTGAAATCCTCTCCGCGGTCTTTCTCGGTCGTGAATGGGGAAGTCGATGTTCCTGTCAGGGCGAGGGATGTCATATCCTCAAGCTCGTCTTGAGGAACCACTAATGCCGTCTCTTCCTCGATCTCCTTTGCGGCCGCCCCGGTAAACGTCTCCCCGTCGAGCATGCCTGCGGGGATTTCTGTGAACGCAAATGATGCAGCAGCAATGCGAGGTTGCACGGTTAGAATGACATATTTATCGATCTCGGTGCCCTTGGGCACGTCATCTGGTTGGAGGATCATCTACTAGTACTCAGCTTCAACTTTTGATGAGGCCATTCCGAGAAATCGAGTACTCACAAGCATGCCCACGCTTCCTCCTCGCAGAAACACAGCCCCGGGAAGCCAGTTCTTTTCATCGTCTTCGATCGTAGCCTGGATCTTGACGAACCCAAGCCTTTTCCCGAACCAGACCGCGGACTGGACGTTGATACCACGGAGCTTGTATGGGGATGCGTGGAAGACGTGGTCTTTGTGTTTCTGCAAGTCTAGCGAGTGCTGAAGTGTGGTAATCCAGTTTTTGAAGGCTGGAAAGTTCAAGAGGTGGTCCTCGGTTACATCATGTGGCAAAGTGACTTTGTATGGTGGATATGGCTCTGGCAGTGTGAAGGTGGACATGCTGACAGTGGCTTTTTTTAATTGCTGGTGAGGGGAGGCAATGCTGATAGGGAAGGGATGTGCAGTTAGTCGCAATCGCGAAAGGATGTAGATATGGACAAAAAAAATAAGGACCTTTGCCTGATGAAACATAGTGTTCCGTAAGTCTACCACTTGTTGTGACTGTTGACAACGTCTTACAGGGTGAATGGATGTGGGGCGAAGCAAAGCCTGCAGGGGTCACAATGTGAGCCTTGTGGTGAATGCACCCCTGTACCCCCGCCTTCCCGGCTTCCAACCACTCCAGCTTTTACTTCACTCCACCTTTCAACTGAAGACAGGCTTCAGACCGCGAATAGGGTGTGGGAGGGATCTTCCAACCGCCTCTACAAGGCTTGTAAGACTTCAGCTATCTACAAGCTGGTCTCAGTCTCCAAAGCTGAACGCGTCCCCCCCGCATCCGCTGTCGAGGTCTCGCAATGGGTACCCTTACAGCCGATTGTCCACGTCTGGACTCCCACTGCCCGCACAAATTGGCAACGTCCTGCCGTCTTACCTCGATATCAAATTGCTGCGCGTGTGCCGACGAGCGTCCTCACTCCCGTACCTACTCAGTCTATATCGATGGCGTCGGTCTCGTCCAACGTGGGACGCGATGGCAGGGCTACTGCTGGTTCTGCAAAGGTACTATCTTCCTCCCAATCACACAAAGCACATATCCCCTCTCCCACCCCAACACTCCGAACAACACGTGAAATGAGCATCTTCTGACGTACGCAACCAGAATTCTGGAATAATCGCCTCGCCGCTACATACCCCCCCCTCCACTCCTCCCAGACTCAGATTCCCTACATCCCAGACCAGACCGAGTTTCTAGAGCGCTGGTTCGAGTTTCACCAGGGGTACCGGATCGTGAAGCGTGCAGGCGGTATTGAGGACCGCATTGCTGTTGTCGGCGAGCCTTTAAAGGACGTGAGTCCCGGATTCCTACCGCGAACACTACATCAATTGAGGAGTAGGAGGGTCAACGACCACAGGAGAGCCGAAAATAGGTTCAGGAGAGCACCGCTGGAGTCGGAGGTGGTGAGCGAGGAACCCCCGCACCAGGGCCTTGAGGACGCATTGGATAGTCTACTCGAGGACGTCTCGGATCACGAGCCAGACGGGAGAGAAGTAAGGAGAGACGTACAGGAGCGGGAACGGAACTCAAATATGCCCCGCCGCGACTCTACAGGGCTATCGAGGCCTCTTTCACGCACCGAAATCCATCTTCATCGTGCGCGGGATCGACTCATCCGCGTCTTTGGCACCCGAGAACAAATCGAGCAAGACGACTACCAATCACCCATCTCGACTATGTACAATCGAGCCTACGACAGATATCGACAGGCTGAGGACCGGCGGGCATCTGGCGATACTATTGCGCCATCTTCCACTGCCTCCCTTTCGCCTCAGGAACGGGAAGATCTTGAGCAACAAGTCTTGTGGAGTATTCTTCGAGATTCGCGAGAGACACTAGCAGAAGGTGATGCCCCAGTCGGAAACCTCACGCCACATCCACGCCAGCTTTCCCGAACACTATCCGATGCAACCATCCTGTCAGAATTCGCAACTCCCCGTGGTGCATCAGACCTGTCCCTTCCCTCAACTAACGCTTCGCCAAGCTCATCCATGACAACATCCTCCATGCCATCTTCATCCACTTCCTCATCGAGATCCGACCTCCAACCTGCCCTCGACCATCTCACAGCCGAAATCAACCGCCTCCGCCAAGCCTCCGAAACCGTCGCATCAATCCGCCGCGCCATTGACGCACGTGATAGGGAACGCGAGCGTGATCGTCCAGCACTGACGCTCGACAACCAACCAAACCGTCCCCCACCCTTGACGGACGAGGAAATGACCAAGAACTTGGCTTGCCAGATCTGCTATTCCCAGTTAGCAAATATCGCAGTTTTGCCCTGCGGACACATGATTATGTGTCAGTATTGTGCAGACGTGGTGATTCCGGTTAAGCATTCGCATTTGCCCGTTGAGAAGTCCAAGTGTCCGATGTGCAGGAAGGAAGTCAAGCAGAGGCACAAGATTCACGTTGGGTGTTAGGGGTGGGAGAGAGCATTTCAATTTTAGGGAAGGGGGATATCAGAGTCTTTGCATAGGTCTGCCGGGAATGGATGGTGATCTATTCTTTATAGAATTGAGGAGAATTTACTGCTTGACGATAGAAGCTGTAGTAACTTATATGGCTTCCCCTGCACGTCACAATGGGATTCAAATCGAGTGCAGACCACTCGAGAAAGGATATTGCGATTCTGACAAACATAAAGAGTGTAAGTAAGATTAGGAACATGGACAAAGAACTACGAAAAATTGAATAACACATACAAATACAAATACTACAAAACACTAAACAAAAGAAACCAAAATCTTATGCATCAGCTGCTTCCTCAACAATAACAATATCAAAATACCCGCATACTTCTCCATGTCCTCCACCCCCTGTCCGGTCCTCGCTCTTCTTCCCCCAAGCTCAATCCTCGGACTCTCCAACCCCGAATTCATCTTAATCACCTCAAACATCACCTGCAACCGCATTTGCCCTTTATCAGGACTTGCTTCTGGAACCTTGGTCTGAAATAAAGCTCGTGGAGAGTCAGATGGTTCAGATCCAGAATTTCGTTACGATCGTACCCGTGGGGTTTAATAGAACGTAACTGTTACTGTTAGAAGTGTTTTTAATGCGCTGCCGGTGGCAATATAGTTTTGTTCTTTCTAATAGAGTGAATGAAAAGCAGCCTTGTAGGCAGTAATAGTTACTGCAGTAACAAGTGTTTCTTGAGGCTCTGGAGAGCTTAATTTGGACACAATGTTGCTAATATAGTCACGGAGCTTATTCAGTAAATTCTTAAGTGCTTTAGCAACCTAGTTGCGTTGTAGGTGCAGAGCCTTAATTATAGAGGGCAATAGGTAGTAAAGGTGGATCTATATATATTATTTAGCTTTCGCAGCAGCAAGCGTTACAGTCTCTAATATTAGTATAGAATTGTAAATTAGCTCCTTATTTTGCCTGCTTCTAGCCTTATTAAGCCCCAAGAAAGCGCCCCTAGCAAAGTTTTAGCAGTGCATTAATTTACCCTTCTACTACTACGCGCAAAACTCCTTCTGCAAGCGCAGCATTAAACCACTAAGAAATTAATTAGTACAGGCAGTTACTAAAGCAGCTAGAGCTTTATTAACTGTACAATAACAGAAGAAAATTCACTTTTGTTCTAACTGCTAAGAGATTGCTACAATCAGTTGTTAACAGTGTAAGGCCGCTGGTCCTTACAAGGGTGATAATGCACCGCAAGGCCGGACGCGGCCTGTATTGGGTCAGGATTGCTTGATCCTTTGTTTCTAGCCTCGGTCTCTTTGTTTGACCCTGTCTATTTAATGCTCTTCCGCTGCCTCCTTAGTTTGGTAGCGATTCGTCTCTCTTTTACATGCATATACGTTTTATCACTCTACTATTAACTCCTACTGCATGTTACTACTGCTAGCCTTACAAATAGTAGAAACAATACTAACGTCCCTCCCTGCGTGCCGGAAAACCCACCGTGCCGGAAAATACGAGGGGTACTTTGACTTCAAGCGACTATAAATCTACATACACGTCTAGCTTCAATAAAATTATATGTAAATAATGTGCTGTAGCTACTTCTAAACATCTAGAATGTTTCCAATCTATAAATTACATTCGTGTTATCGCCTTCTCACCTAATTCACACCAAGCCTTCTTTTATAGCGAACAATCTCTGCTAGCTGCTTAGCACCACTACTAGGCTTTTACTGCTTATAAATTATATGTAAGGATCTTATATAGGCCTTAAAGCCTTATTATAATAACAGGAAGTCACCATAAGCTTTGTACCTGCTGTCGCGCGCAAAATTCATACAAGGCCACCACCCCGGTCAGTACTTCTGATCGAACCAACTACCGATTTCGGCTAGTGCAAAACAACCCCGCGCCCACATAATCATAGCAGTGTAATTTACTTGTAATGACTGTAAGACTTGTGGCTGTGCAGAGTCTTAGCGTGCTGGCCGACCCCAGCCCCACAGCCTTGCGATCCCCACTCAACCTCAGCCTTGCCTTCAGTTAACCAACTCAACTCTCTCCACAACCCTATGGCTGGAGCGGGTCGGCCGCCCTCCCTGCAGCCGATGGCAATATCCGATTGCGAAATCATTGTCATTACCATACCAGGACGCAACATTGAATATTCGTCAGGACGAATACGCCTTCCATGTTCTCCTCTAGCACTCATACCCCCCTATACTCCGCGAACTGGATGCCTATGTCTAACGGCGTTTAGGCTAGGTGGGGGGTGTTGGTACACGCCTCTAGAGTTAGTACTCTATTTTAACCTGCCCCTAATATCTAGCCCCGTCCGGTAAAGGCGAAGGGGAGCACAACACGTCAACCTAGATGTGGAACATCCCCCATATCCGTGGCCGTGAACGCCCCACCCAGCTGTAATGTCAACGACCGCAACGCCTCCACAAGGACAAAGGCCCTCCCAATCCCCTAAAGAGTTAGCAACATCCCAAGCTAATAGGCAACCACGTTCTTAGCCCGGCCCAGGCTCAACCTAAGTAGCTTTCGCCAGACGTCTGCGGCGTACATCATTGTCGTCACAATAAAGAACAGCACTACAAGAGTCAGCACACAAGCAATGTGCCAGCCCAGCCGTTCCCCTTGCGTTAGGAATTCAAAATTCCAGGCTATTAGATAAACCGCCCCAAACAGTATAGACGTAAGGAGAGTAGCTATCATACTAACATGCAGCAAAGAGTAGCGCAACAGGAAACGCAGCCACCTGATGTTCCCGACGTCTATGTAGTGCACGCTGTTGTCGGGCACCCACGTCTCCGCCCGCACGTACCAGAATGCAGAGGGTCCCAGGTATCCAAGCTCCTTAAAGTCGTCAACACTAGGTTGCCGTGCCGCCAGCACGTAGATACATGTGCATACATCCTTAGGCTTTCTTAGTAGCACCATGTACGTGGCGAGGCTGCACAACAAGAAGGAGAGAGTAACAATCTCAAGCTGCGTAACAAGGAGGCTTTAGGCAGCGCAAACAATCAGCTAGACAATAAGCCACAGCACGTTAAAGGCAGCAATAGCCTTAACAAAGGCGTCGCCCTTACTGCGATCGTTAATCTCGTCCTCAGTCACACTAGGCAGTGGCCCAACAATTCCCCTCCTGCGCGCTGTGAGCAGCTGCCGCGCGTTGAGGATCCACACGTTCCCCCGCAGCGCCATGATGTTGCACCAGTAGCTGGTCTGCTTTTGGAGGCCGACGTCCGCGGACCGGGAGGCGAAGGCAGCATCCTCTGCCAGCCGCGAGTTCTGCACGTGGAGTCGCCACCGCGGATGGCCCATCAGCCAACTTTTCCAGATATTAAGGCCGTACTTAAACCGCGATTTTGCCATCCAGACGTAGTAGAACTTATAGAGCACCCTAGCTTCTTTATTAGCTTCTTTCCTAGTTTCCTTAGCAGTCTGCTTTTCTCCTTCCTTAGTTGTTATAATCCTAGAAACCTTCCTATTACTTAATCATTTTAGCTTAGGCTAAGGACAAGAAAAACAATTAGGACAGAGAGCAATTAAACACTTAACTGCTTTAGCTGTTTTATTACCATCAAGAGCAGTTCCATCTTTCAGCAAGATAATAGGCATTTCCTTTAACAACACAATAGCCTCCTTAGTTAATAATACCATAGGCACCATTCCTTTGCTGCTTAATAAGTAAGCCTCATAGCTACTTAAGCGTAGCTTTGTCTCCACCAGAACCTCCTTGTCACCAAATTCAATCGCGAAGCCGCCCATGTTCGCCAGGAAGGTGTGCGTAAGCGTCCACAGCACGTCGTCCTCGTGCGCGTACTAGAGCATCTCCGCGCTAGTCCGCCGTGCAGAGAGAAGGTTAATCAGCGCTTTACCTAGGATAATCTCAAGACCCATAAGGGTGATAAACATCCACCACAGCTTCCGGGCGGTCAGATACATCTCGCGGTAGATGCTCTAGGCGGGGCCGTTGGAGGTGGTCTCGGTGGGGACGTTCAGGTGCAGCACCGTCCATGTGCACAGCAGGAGGGTTGCCACGCACGTCCAGACGATGTCGAGGGTGCCGCGGATGTCAGGCGAGGACAGATATCCGTCGATGTGGGCGGGGATGGAGCACTGTGGCTTGTAGGTTTTCATGGCGATATTTACAGCGTCCAAAACAGCCACTATGTACTAAGATATATCTTTTTTTCTAAATTAAAACTAAGAAATAGATTAAGCCCCACCGCAGCCTCTCACAGCTAGCCACGTGCTCTTGCAGCATATCCCTAACCGTGTAGCGCGGTAAGGCTGAGATGCAGCTGTCACACTGCAGCAAGAGGCGAATTTGCAAGCAACTAACTAATTATGCTTATATCTTAAGAAGTGGGTGAACATCTTAGTGATGCTAGCAGGGAGGACAGCCGACCCGCTCCGGCCATAGGGTTGTGCGATGGCGAATTCGTAGGCAGTTGTACAGTAGAGAGCTAAGTTGGTGACTAGAGGCGCAGCCAAAGTTGAGCGGGGATTGCAAAGCTGCGGGGCTAGGGGTCAGCCCACCCGCCAAGACTCCACACAGCCACAGGCCTTACAGTCATCATAAATAAATTACACCACTATAATTACGTAGATGCGGGGTCGTTTTGCACTAGCTAAATCAGTAGTTAGTTCAACCAGAAAGTACCAACAGGGGGTAGCGGTCTTGCATGAATTCGTGTGCGATAGCAGGCACAAAGTTAATAATAACTTCCTATCATCATAATAGGCTTTAAGAATCAAGTAGGACCCTTGCATGTGGTTATAAAGTAATAAAAGCCTAACAGGGTGGCTGGGGGCAAGAAGGCGACAATGCAAACGTAATTTAGAAGCGGCAGGTATCCCAAATGTTTAAAATTAGCTATGATACAAGACCCATAGAGAAATATAGTAAAGCTCGGTATGCGCGCTGAGTTATAGCCGCTTGAAGTCGAAGTACCCCTCGTATTTTCCGGCACGGCGGGTTTTCCGGCACGTAGGGAGGGACGTTACGTTCTATTAAACACCATGATTGTACTATAGTGGGTGGCATGTCCAAAATATGTTCCCTGGAAGAAGAACAAAGGGACAATGAGGATTTCTTATTAATATTAGACTCTTAATAAACAAGAACGTTAAGAAGGTTGTAGTAGTGCGGTTTAACTTGTTAACAGCGACTTCCACCATTGGTGAAGCACTCATCTCTAGCGTCCCCCGTTGTAGCTTGTCTCATATCTTCAATTCCTCATTGCTGAATCCCTCAGCACCTCCTCCCTTCTCCTCACACTCTTCTCCTCCATCTCGATATCTTTCACTTTCTCTATCAGTGAAGTCCCCCTATCATGACCCATATTAACCGCCGCTAAGGTCACAGTGCTCTCAGTGCCATACTCAGCTGCCATCCCTTTCGCCGTTCTCTTTCCCACATCAGCCCCCGATATCCTTACTAAAAATACTCGCAAATATGAAAAAGGCCTCACATATCTTTCCCCACATCCGGCAAAACAGCAACAGGAGCCTCAGCCATGAACTCTGTCTCTCAATGCGCATACACCCAATCCGCATTCTTTACTGCATCTTCCATTGCGGTGCTAAAGAAGCACGTGAGTATTTTGGTTCGTGCAAGAAGTACTTTGGCTGCGAAATATCGATTTTGTTTACTAGGACACTAACTACAGGTGAGGGTGGGATTGAGAATACCCCCGATCTAGGCGATGATGCGAGAAGTCGCGGTGGCTGGGGAGGCGGAGAATGAGACCTTTCATGTTGGGGACGGTGTCGGTAGCTGTGGGGGTGGCTGCGGGGACTACGGGGTCTCCATTGGGAACGGGAGAGGTGGTGAGGTGAGCGTAGTGGGTGTGGAGAAGATGGGGCTACACGGACGGGGCGGTTTGGATGAAATTAGTGAGGTGATTTGATGATAGTCGTGTTCGCTTGAAGCGTTTGTATCGGGTCGGTTTATGGGACTTATGTGCTAGAACGGAGCTGCGGTGCGTTTTCTTTCGTTTCGGGATGAACAAATAGGGCTCAAAGCAACTGTATGTTTGCTTTTGACAGAAAGTGTGGACTATATATATATCGTGATATTCTCGTAAAATGTGTTCCCGAATGTCTGACGATCAGTCTTTATCATGAGCAGAAGGCCATGCAAGGGCCTAGACTGACTTAGGCTTCTAGCATCTCCATACTATGAAGAAACTTTCATTCGAATTCCATACACCTGGAAGTCTTGTTGCCATGTTTGAAGTGTATTTAAGAATATATGTGGGTATCTATCCAAACCAATGCCCAACCCTACAACTTGCTTTCCCTAGGTGTCCTCTCCACTGGCAACGCCCCGCTCATCATCTTCAACCTTTCCCTTTCCATCTCCCTCCCATAAAGCACCCGTTCTCTCCCACCTCTTGTTCCCCACCACGCAACCGCAGATCCACTCCGCTCAGGATCCATTTCCCCACTAACTAGCACCTCCCAAAATCTCGCCTTAACTGCTTCTCGCATGATCTCGTCGTCGATTGCATTGAGTAATTCCGCGGATAACGGCATCCACTCTTCTAAGAGTGGAATAGTGAGGAAAGGAAGAGCATCGATGAGTGAAAGGGCCAATACAGCCTGTTCAGACAGAGGTGGAGGCGGTGCATCTGAGCCTTGCAATGCTAGTGTTGTCTCATCGGGGGGCAAGGGAGCGGTGGGTGCGTTGAGAGCCCGGTGGAACACGAGTTCTAATAACGTCGCTGGGAGATCGGGGTGTGAAGCTGAGAGGGCAGATGGAGGCGCAGTGACGCGCATGAGCGTTTTAAATGCGAGTCGAAATTGTCTTGGGGAAAGGTTATGTGGGAACACGCTAAACAGCGCGTCAATGTAAAATGGTAGATGTTTTGCGGTGATTTCTGCAGATTGAGGTGTCGATAGGACTGCAAGCATGACGCTGTGGGCAGCCTCGAAAATTGGGAGCATGTTATGGTTCCCTCCTGCTGCTAGATATGGTACAGCTGATACCACGAGAAGGTCTTCATTAGTTATGGGCGACAGGACGAGGGTGAAGTGCTCGGCGGTGTTTAGGAAGTAGAGATCCAAGATTCGATCGAGTGGATGTCGAGGTATTTGGCCTAATTGCTGAGGGGCAATTGATTTGAGAAATTTGTCGGCGTGGATTGGATACCCAGAAAGAACGTCCATGGCAGTCAGATACACGAATGTATGCTGGGAGAATGAAGCGGGACCGAGACGAGATGTTATGAAGTAGAGGTGGCGGAGAGTATTTAGAGCCTGGGTCGCAAGCACAGGCGCGATTGCATCTGCTGCGAGTGCTCCATCACCCAACATTCGATTGAACACGCCCCTTAAAATAATAGTGGTAGCAAACAGAGCAGCCTTGAGAAGCTTCCAGAGAAGTGGCAGTGTCGTGTTCAAGGCTTCCTCCTCTAAAGAAGAAGTTTCTTCAGCGGGGTCGATCTCGGAGAATTTGATTTGCCGCCACTGCGTCATAAGCGCTCGAGAGAAGCTTGCTAGGTCATCCATCATCGTCTGTATGAGCCAGGGGTCCTTCACATTCTCGACAGAATGAGCGATGACCCTTGATAGAGGGCCCATCGAGGAGACTAACGGCCTGGCCATGATGGCCTCAACCTGCCTAAAGGAGCTCGAGCGCGCCTGGAAATTGTCAGCATAAGAAATGCTGAGATCGATGCGGTCATACCGTCCAACCCAACTTTTTCTCTTTAACTTTCACATCCAAATCCAACCCCCCTAAGAAATAGGCCGATTGAAAGCCCTCATTTGAAAAATAAGCTGTACCAATAAGGACTGGTAGCAGCAAGTCGTGATCGATCAGCGCCCTTTCAGTATCGGCAAGACATCCAAAGGAGTGATTTAGTATCAGGCAAATCGTCTGACCCCCAAGCCCATCTGCCTCTCCGCGCTGTCGCACTTCGGCTAACGCCAAATTCGTCGCCCTCACCAGGGCTCCTTCCACTCTCTTCCTCATCCTGGACGCCCAATATAGATCCATTCCCTGCTCCTCAAGACTTCCAGTCCCGATCAACAGGCCTCCGAGGACGATGAGATGTTTCCACCTTTGACTTCTTTCATCTGCGCCTGCGACTACCGCACGGATCCAGTCGTCTAATGAAAGACCTCCACCGGTTGGAGTTTGGCCGGGAAGCAGCTCTGGTGCCTTATAATTGCGCACATCGTTGTGGTAATTCAGCACTGTGGTAACTGCGGAATGAAAGACGGAGAGTAGTCGAAGCGGCGTCCGGACACCATCGGGTCGGTCCCAGAGTGCCGGCGCTGTCAGGAGATGTGATGTTAATAGACTGAGATTATGTGGATTTGAGAGCGTCGTAAGGAGTGAAGAGGTCGTCGAGAGGATTCTAAACAGGTTAATATCTTGACAAGGGGTTTCGGGAGCATCGCGTGCAAATACCGAGGCGTGTCTTGCTGATCCGTGTAGGTTTGTAACGAGCGGAGGAGAGTGGACAGCAACCTATCTGCTGGCATTTTGGCGACTGTTATGCCCTCATTAATTTCCTAGCGCTTTCATGGTACATGGGATGTTCACACGAAAATGGCTGGTGTTGACGTTCACCTCGCGATCGCCGAGGTAATCGGGAAAACTCCGGCCGGAACCTTAGCCTGAGGGAACTACGACATTCACATTCCACTTCACGCACCATCTCCGTGACAACTTCACCCTCTTGGACCTTCACGCGACTACACCACGGCACGTGGGCCGGAGACATACTCAAATGCTCCAAGCGCGTGGTAACGCCATGCAGCCCATATGAGGTATGATCTTCTCCTCAAGCTCAACCCTTCGTAGCAGCTTACCAGCCTCCAGCTTCATCCAGCGGGTTAACAGCGCCGCCCCTTTGGGCTATCAAACCCCCGAGTTCCCCTCTCTATACTGGCCTCTTCCTGTCCGTGCTGCCCAAGCGTATTATCTCTACCACCCGACCGACATATGGCGATTCACGACCTACTGGACCCTCCTCTTCTTCGGAGCCATTCATCTGGTCGCTGCGGCATGGGCATGTATAGTGCAATGGCGGAATTGGAGGATAATATGGATCACGCCTGCCCTATACGTGGTGATTGGGGGGTTTGAGGGTTTAATAGCTGGGAGTATAGTTGGCGGACTGTGAGTGAACTTCACATGCTTGCTTGTGAGTCCTCAGCCTGAAGCGCTAATGTCATACGTAGGTTAGGAGGAGTGTACAATGCTGGGTACTTTAGGATGTCCACATGGATTCCGTTTGTTTGGGCTCTGGTCAACGCCCTCGTGCTCATACTCTCATCCTTTGCCATTCACGGAGGACTCTAAGAAGGAACAGGGACATCTGGCATGAGAAATTGCTGGGCACCCTAACGACGAATCGCCATCTCAAGAACTATTCTATTCTCTTTGGAAAAGAAGGATTAGCATATGTCGGCGCTAGGTCCTCTTTGTGTACGAGTTCCAACTCAAGGAAATCAAGAGATCAAAGAAATTGCTCATGGAAAGAAAGACAAACTACCCGTCGCTCGTGAAAACAATCCGCGAAACAATTAAGGTCACTCCCCCCTGGCTTGGTCTAGAGCGAAGACACGCCATCCCAGCAACTCAGGTTCATGGTTTCCCCATGAATTGATCTCTTTTCATTCTGTCTCGCGTCATATGTGTGCTTCCTCTCGGTCCTGAGTCACTATTCTTCTCAAAATATTGTCTATTTCATCGTCTGCCCTTACTAACTAGCCTAGATGGAGACGGCGCCAATCAAATTCTAAGATAAACAATACAGGACATCCACACATCTCCTGTTGTTGCGTAAGTCCTTGTCTAAATCCAGGCTACAGCCCCCTACATCTTAGCCATGGGCGCAGCGGATTCCTCTGCTGGAGGCAGTCACAACCCGTACAGAATGTATCTCCTTATCGTCACCGTGCACCCTGTAGGATGGAAACCAGACACCACACATTACATACCTTCAGTCAACCCCGATCCTCGCTGCCTAGTACGCATCTGCACTAAAGCCTTCTTGAAACTTCAGTTTAATGAGCCGACACTTGCTGGTGTTGATTGGCACAGTTGGTCAATTCTCAGGCCAGAATGCTACTGGACTGTCTAATCGGACTAAATGGATTATACTATAGACGCAGTCAGAACTGCCAAATTAACAGATCCACCAAGCAAACCTATCGTCTATGCCATGAAGATGGGGCCAAACATCATGCCTTTCACGCATGTTGCTAGGTAAGCAACCCAGACTCCGCGTGATAGTATCGTGATCGAAGCGTGCGCCACGACGTACGAAGTCGTAAGAGACCGATTCGACAACATCTTGAGCGGATACGAAGCCAATGGAGAAGCGGAGGTGGTGCGGGAAGATTTTTTGCCACGAGCTCAAATCAAATTCAGCGCTAGACGCTGTAGACAACTAGAAATCCAGATATTAGTGATGATGTGGTCAGATTTAGTAAATTTCTAAGAAGCTTTGTTACATCAAGATGACGGTCGTGGAGAAGATACAGAACGTATGGTCAGATGGGGTCCTGGATCCGCCATGGGGAAGAATAGACGTGAACGACTGGCCGGACTTGCTGTAAATGGAAAAGTTGAGCCTCCGAGGACTGCGAGTTCTCCATAAGATGTTTACTTTTCCAACCCTTCCGATTTCTACTCCGCCTTGACGTGCCTTCCTTCTCGTGACTTGGCCACATCATGGATCTGTCGTCCGAGGATGTCTCCTTCACACACGATCTATCAAACAACCACCAAGCTTCCTCGACATTACTTTTATCTCAAGATCTCACTCTCCCCTTCTTTCAGCCATTCTTCTCAACGATACCCAAATATGTCTAACGGCAACTGCCCAGTCGGGCCAACAGTCTTCCTCCTCATCGAAAGCCGGGCCCCAACAGCGGAGAAGCCAGGATACCAATGTCCTCACATTAGTCCTGACGTTAATTGGATCTCCCAATGTGCTCGTTCATTAGCAGCCTACCTGGTCGGAAATCCACACATCCAAGAGTCGCATTATCATCGTCCATCAGACACAAACATGACCTTACAGGTTATCTATGGACGAGGATGGGACCCCACAGATGGCAAGGAGAAGCATATCTGGGCGGATATCACTCTTGCCGCCGACCGCGCGCACCCGAAAACGCCATTCTACGTATTGTTGCAGAAGTGGGTTATTTTGAGCCCAGAGAATGGACCTTTTGTGAATGAGCCCGAAGTCACTCTCATCGATGTCTCTCGGAAGAAGGAAGATGTACAGCAAACCTTTGGGCGACTCGTGCATGACCTAGGGGATGGAGCCGAAGTGTCTGAAATTTCGCCTAGGTTGCATATGGCAACGCTAATGGTGAGGAGGGGCAGTCGACATGACATACAGCACAGGTGGTGGGAAATTGTGGAGGCTAAGGTGGATTTGCCTACTCAGGAGGATGGTTTCATTCCGGGTTTGACAGGATATGAGGATTATGCGATGGTTTGAAGGGGGGGGGGTGGAGTATTCTTGCTTGGCACGATCTTGATAGGTCCGTATGCTCTCTAATCGTTTTCTCCAGAGTTTTGTTCCACTCATTTGCACAGCCTCCCGCGTATGCATTGCCATTCTTCGCTGAAAATATGTCTTCCTTCAATTTTTCCTATCCCGCTCATATCCATAACACAATCTTACCACTCTACTCGCCTCTTTCACTTGCTTATTTTTTTTTTCTGAACGAGCGTCGTTTCTATGATAGATTGGAGGTTGCGTTCCCGCACCATACACTTCACCTTCACTTGGATAACCAAGGTCGCGAAGGACTTCCCTCCTAAATTTATATGCTACCTTTGCTTTAACTACTTAGAAGACAGCTCCCCGGTTAACACGACGTTGCCATACATTCTATGCTCGAGCATCATCCATATTATGTTCAAAGAACGAGAAGAAACTTCCTAAAAGTCAATCTGTGAAATCCCTCACATAGGTCCAAACTGGTATCGTGGAAGAAGGTGAAGATGATGCCACTTCATGGGAGTTTAAGGTGGATAAATTTAGCCCGAAACAATTAATAGGACCTTATGGAGTCTCCAGGGGCCTTTCTAAGTCCTACAGGGGAGGCTCTTTTTCTCTCCATTGCTTCCTCCTTTGGGTGTAGACTAATTAGAGAAATATCTATTGGACAATGAGTGTCTCATGGAATATTTCTTATTCAAGGTGACTGAGCTTGACGAACTCTGATAGAATGCATTCGAGTTCCTGCAATCATCAAATTCTGGGCAGGTAGAGGTATGGACACGTCAGCAAGCAAAACATTCGCCACCATCGCTCAGGCAGGGTGAAAGACGGTACAGCTCTGGCACGCTTTTCGACTCCGCAAAGCCCGATTAGACGCCTAGGCAGATTCCTAGCCCTAGATACGATGAACTTTGGAGGACTTCTGCAACGCAAAACATCATTGGTCTTGAGCGAAGTCTTGACGAGAGTGATTCGCTACTGGATTCTGACTTGCAGCTTCGCTACACACATGTCAGCTGGGAAATCGCATGCACCCCACTTAAATACACAGCCTGGTGCTTTTCGCGTTAGGCGTTTAAAGGACGTGGACTTGATTAGATCTATTGTTAAGAGACTCCCCTTAATGACCGGTCAGAGGGTGATGGGCAAGCAGACTCGTCCGCCTCATCTTTCTGCAATCACTGCTCAGCCCAAGGCTGTGTTCTGGTCCTCCGTCTTCGGTCAGCCTGCAAAATGCCACGTTGAGGCTCGACTGTCGGCCACTTCTGCTGTGTTCGCAATTCTGTACGGCTCTCTAGTGCGAAGATCCTTTACAACCTATCTTGCTCTCAATCGATCGGCAGCCCAGGAAAGTGTGTCCGCAATCATTTAATATGACCAACCCACCCCAACTTAGAGAAAAGATTTTAGACGAGATAGAAAGAACTAGTTATAGCCGAAAATACAGGAAAACCGGTGTCCTTTCAGTCGACTTTGTCAAGAACTTATTCGTAGACAATACAAAGGACCTCCGACAAAGTTTGGAAGACGATCTCAAGAAACAAGGATTTAATAGCGAAGATTTTCAAGAACTAGAGGGACTGCACAGTTACGTTCTCGCCTCCTCCAAGAAGCTGTACGCGATCCTACTCTACTCGGGCCGTTCGGAGTGGATTGTTGCTGCTTATCGATGCCAACCTCGCATCGACGACCGGATCTTTAGCAGAAAACATGGCGCGGAGGCACCGCAATGTTTACTTGAGGATCTGCTTAAAACAGCATTAGAAGATATCGCCGAATATGTTGTCATGAACCAATGGATCATACCTCCTGTCCTTACTCCTGACACTCATCGAAAGTTCTCATCAAAGCACTTCAGGTTTCCCTTCGTGAGAAAACCGAAAGAAGTTGGCCATGGGTCGGGCGGTGTGGTATGCCAGGTTGAAATTGCACCTGGGCACTTGGAGGCAGAGGGTTATGAGCCGGTACGTTTTTGGACTCAACGCTTGATTACACCGTTCCTTGGATTGTTGCCGGAAAATTCTCGAACTGGTCCATGTTGCTGATCAATTTCCAGGGCAGCCTCGTAGCATACAAAACGGTCGGGGGGGAGGATGGCGAACCTTGGTCAAAGATATTGCAGGAAGTCAACACCCTCCGTGCGCGCAAGCATGATAACATTGTGCCACTGTTCGCGAGTTTCTCCGCACAAAGTGAAGAGCCTGTAACCGAGGACTCTTCGGAACATATCCTATACATGCTGTTTCCTTTCGCTACAGGCGGTGACATGAGGAAATGGTTGACTCTAGAGACTGCTCCAGAAGGCCTGAATGAGACGCACGCCCGCCAAGACTTCATATTCCGCTCCATGCAGGAAATCGTTTCTGGATTGGCATACATCCATCGCGAGATCGACCAGATCATAGGGGTTCATCATGATTTGAAACCAAGTAACATACTATTGTTCTGTCACGGAACAGCATATTGCTGGAAGATCTGCGACTTCGGCAAGGCGCACCTTAGGAGAGTGGAAGATGGCACAGGAATTTTGCACACTGAGGGCAATGACTTCGGGACCTACGAGTATCGACCCCCGGAGTACTTCACTGGCCATGATAAGCTGAACCTTGAGAAACATGGCCGTGCCTTCGACATATATGGCCTAGGCTGCGTGTTTCTAGAGTTGGCAACGGTTTACAAGTATGGCTGGTCGCCGAACGGATTACCCAGGTTCACCACGCTGAGACGAGAAAACACAATCCACGCGTTCACTGGTCCTATGCAGCGCCTAGTGAAAGGAAAAGATCAATCATTCCACAATAACACAAATATCGTCAGGCTTTGGATATCCGATCATTTGAAAATGAATAACAACGATGCCCACTTTAGCACGGTTGTTGATATGATTAAGTCCATGCTTAAAAGTCGGAAACAGAGAATATTTGCGTGGGAGGTGGACATGGAGCTTTACTTCATGCGCAATCGAGATGAAAAGGAAGAAGTACTGAAGACCAGATTTCGAAATCTTGTGCAAGGAGCCAGAGCACCTCTCACTGCTCTAGACAATCAACACAATCCGTTACGTAGAGCTATATCGAAGGATAGACCAGTCTGGTGGAAAACCATTCTTGAAGAGCACAATTGGTCGAACAACGAGCCGACGACCACAGGAGAGCTAGCTCGAAGAGAGAGGGCGGGGAATCTGTGTTCCAAGCCGCGCTACTCGACACTGAGTGATTATGCCCTACCGTTCGATTACCAACATAATAGGTTTTTCAGCCGCCATAAGATCGATGCGAAGATCACGAAAGGCTTCAAGGAGTCAAATTGCGTTGGACTGTGGGGACTTCCCGGCGTAGGGTAAGCGTTCCAGCTCATCTGTCAGTGGGCTTATTTTAACTCATCTGGTTAGGAAGTCACATTTGGCATATCGCCACGCGGACAGATATCGCGATCCTGCTCGGCCAGAAGATAGAAAGCACACGTTTTGGGTTAACGCGGCAAATCGAGGCGAATTCGATCTATCGCTGAAAGCAATATACAACAAGATAAATGCTAGTGACCTAGAAGCTGAAAGAAAGAATACCGTCGATGTGAGAGATTGGCTAACTGAATGCGATAACGGGCCCTGGATAATGGTATTGGACAGTCTCGATGACGAGGATTTTGCAAAGAGGGTTGCAGAAGAACTGCCCACAAACTGTGGGCAGATATTGATCACTACAGTGAGCAGGGCTATCTGCAAACATTTCATGGCATTTCAGGAGGAGGTGTGCCTGCAAGTCAACAATCTGGAATTAGAGGATCGGCGAGCCATCTTCCGTTATTACAACCGGGACCCTGTCATGGACAATAAGAACATCTCGAACTATCTTCTGGAAAAAATATATCTGCCTGATCATACCAAATTTGTAGCCACATACTTGGCACAGTACTCAATCTCTGCCGAAAGACTCTACCATGACCTGAAAGCTGGAAGACGAGAAACAATCCATGACGCAGTCAAGGCTGGGTACAGCGATAAGAAGCGAGGCATTACACCCGCATTTTACGCTGATAAATTATTCAGCTCACTCATTCGCGAGTCTGCACTCCGCCGGAATGAGAAGGATCCTTCAGGACTATGGCCTTGTGATGACATGCATGTGTTAGGGAAGCTCTCTTGCCTCGGCCAGGACATGCATTCACCCTTGATCGAGATGATGTCTGAAGGTCATAGCCGATTCGACAAGATGCTTGGGGAGTTGAGGAATCTATCATTTCTAACCCAGGACAAGCAAAACAACTACTACATGCCCGAATTTCTCCATGGAGCCGTACACGACTGGGTCGAAGAGCGATTAAGCATTGTCGAATTGCTCAAACTACATGAGTTCGCGTTGAAGATTTTGCTTCGCCTTTATCGAAAGGAAACAAAAGGGGACTTCACTCCAGGAGCTAGCAGACGCGGACAATACTGTTACCTTCGCATGGTGAAATTCAGGGCGCACTTCGACCGCTTTCTGGACTTCGTACGGTCAAAGGGCCAACAGCCAGTAAAATACGGTGTCTCCAACGACATGGTCGAAGCTGTGCACACATTCTCTCAGCTGTATCTAGACGACGCGTACTATGAAGCCGCAATTGACGTTCTTCGGTTCATGTTCAACCACTATCGAGAACAAAAGTACCGTTCACCCCTCCGCCACCTCCTGACCCAGGCGTACATTTCATCATCGTCTGGAACAGCCGAACAGCATCGAGAGGAAGCAGAGTTCCTACTGAAGGATCTAGAAACAGAAGCAAATAGTCAAGACAACGAAATGGAGCGAGTTAAATGGACTCTCCTGTCTGCTCAGCTTTGGAATAAGTCTTCGCGGCCAGACGAGTCGCTCGCGTTGTTGACAGGATCTTGCGACCTACATCTCACTATTAAAAACGGGGAGCCAATACTTGCTGCTCCACAGAAATGGAAAGTAAAGAAGGCACGCACTTACGCGATCCGTTTGCAAATAGAGCAAGCACGAGCTCACCTAGCGAAAGCTCGACTCACAAACGCCGATCAGGACGAACGCAAACAGCAGCTTGGCAAGGCTTTCAGTAGCCTCCAAGTCGCTCGGAGAGCTTCGTCTCACTGGTTTAAGGAAGAGCACAGCTCGTTGCTTCTAGAGATTGAGGAGATAGACGCTGATGTATCATTCGAAACCGGTGAGCCGGACGCGCTACACAAAGCTGCAGAATTTCTGGCGTCACGTGTCGAAGCTGTCGAATCCGAGTGCAAGATGAAGGATCGAGCAGAAATACATAAATGGGATCTACAGTGTAAACTCGCTCGTGTCTGGGCTGGTTCATCCGATACCGAGCTCCAAAAGAAAGCAGCTGATACGCTGGCGGGGCTGCTCAAAGATTATAGAGACCAATATGGTAAACTCCATGGACACACCTTGCGTTGCGCTGAATACCTTGCTAAAGCCCTCGAAGTCGCTGGCAATCACGAGGCCGCGCAACAGATCAAAAGGGAATTTCAATGGAAAGCTGCCCAGTAGTCTTTAAGCTTGAGGCAAAAGAAGGAATGGGCTTTGTATAATGTTATATTACTGTGAGAATGCGCTGTATAGCTGGCGTTGCTTTATTGATTGAGTAAAATGTGTCTTGCCTAGGTACTTTTAGGATGCCAGAGTACTAGGATGCCGAGCATAGAATTAATCCAATCGGATATAGCTATTCTGAACTAGTAGCCATGTCTCTCAATGCCCAATCATTCAGCGATGGGTCTTTAAACCAAGAGGAACTGTTTCCACCATCCGGGTGGCCATTGGCCACCTTTCCTAAACCCAATCTGAACCCTTTGACGCCGCCTGGGTATATGTAAATATAGATCCGCTGCTAATCCGCTGCTAATCCGCCCCAAAAATATACACTCAGACGCATATACACATTAACGCCAGGATTCGAAGGGTTCTAGCAAGCAGAGGCCCGCGGGATGTATATGGATATCGAGCTTCTACTCGACGAACGCGATATCATTTGTGAGGAATCCTGGCAGCTGGAAGTCGACGTTTCGCTTGGCCTCTCAGCAGACATTGACTCAGATGTCGTGCCCTCGATTGGTTGAGATGATTGTGAAGGTGCCGACTGTGCCGAATTCATGGGAGCAACATTGGGTACGTCGGTGGTATAAGGGCTTCGTTTCGGCACGCTTTATCAGTCAGCTGGTTCCAGGGAATATAGCTATGTGCGCCTTACAATTGCTTCCCAATGTAGTTTCCGATTTTCTCTTCGTCGACGCCGGGCACGAAAGCCAGTACAGACCAACCGAACAAGGTCTTGAGAGCAGGAGGCGTGCGACGGAAACGTGAGCGGATGAACTCTAGGGGACGCTTGCTACCCTTTGCAGAGGGCATGACTGCACTTGGGCAGCTGCATAGGTTGTCGTGGACGTTGTCGAAAGTGGTTGTCGCAAGTGGTTGTCGCAAGTGTTGTACGTGACTGATGAGAGAAGGAGGCGAAAGTTAGGTAGGGCAAGGGTTAGCCAAGGCTTTGACCACACACCTGACCTCGAACGGGAGCGTCCTGTTCGGGAAAGACCATCGTGAACGATCTCCTGCATCCAACAAGCTTGTCCGGTAATGTGGGGGAGCTTTGGCTGGATTTGGTGGATGTGCATCGTGATAAGGTTCATTGTATCAGAACGGGACAAGGCGCCAGCTCCAAAATAAACAATACAGCTTTCGGCCTCATCCAGCCAAGCTGCAGGGGCGCAATATCACGTGATTAGAACGACAACATTGGATTATGTCCGGACCCTATGGAAAACCATAGTCTTTAGCCTAGATTGTCGACGCTGTACCACACGACAGATTTATCGGATGAATAAGCTCCAATTCGCTGGTGACGTGAATGAAAAGTCTCGGGAGCTTGTGTGCGTCCACAACGACGATATTCGCGATCATCTTCTGTATTTGCCTTGCTGAACAGCTTACGTTCTCCCCCTTGGGCACTTATAGACGCTTCCTTATTTTGTCATTCGCGAATATCCTCCCAGTCTCCGCATCTCCAATCTTGACGGAGTACTTCTCGTCAGTTGAATAATCACCAGCCCCGACGATTCCCGCTCTCCACTTGTCTCTTCAAGCTTAGCATGTCATCGAACTGCTATGGGAATACAAAAACCATACCATTGCTGAGTACCCACACCTTGTCTCCCTCCTTATATTTCTCTGCCGTCTGGTAGGCGCCTTCTGGAGTAGCTGGTCGTGTCATGCTGTGCGCTTTTCAAAGCCTGATTTCCTTGTCAGCCTCGTCGGACACACACCAGTCATCGAGGACGTTTCGCAGTGATGTGACCTTTTCTTCGAGCCCAGAATGTGCAGATGCCTGGATGTCACGGTCGCAGTTTTTTCTTGCCGGTGCTATCGAGTATAAGGCATTGAAGAAGTTTGGCCGTTGCCTTGCGCAACTTCTCCAATATGCAGCTTGATTCAGCCTTCTGCATGTGTCCCCGTCACCCAATTGAAACGCTACCATCAAGATCAGTGCAGCCTTCCCCTACACTATTTTACGGTCCCCGGCCTTGGAATATCGCCAGCCTCACGACCCGGGTAGTTTCCATGGCCGATTATGCCTTGACCTGAAAGCCTCGATTATTGCCTCATGCACCAGTAAGCTGCTGAATCCTTATAACGACTTCCGGCTGCTCTCACACCTCGAGAGATTCTGCACACCATGGACCCAGTGTCCGTTTCTGCCTCCCTGTTAACACTGCTATCTGCTGCTGGTGGGACTTGCCAGTTCATTTACAATTTCATCTTTGACATCTCCGACGCTCCATCCGAGATCAAATCACAAGCAGACAAGCTAAGATGCTTGCACCAATCCCTCTCGAACCTTATGCAAGCATATGGCCAACTGCCGCCCGATCTCCAATTCGAACCAGATCTACAGTTGCAATTAGTCGAATTTCTACAGAAAGTGTACAGGATCAAGACGAAAGTCCAAGTCAAATGCAGCATGCTAGATCAGCATCGAATTCAGAGAGTTTGGGAACGATGCAAATGGCTAGCATCAGATCGTCACTTGAGGAAATTCTATAGTTCGCTAGAGCAATGGAATACAGTTTTCGTCCAAGCTGCATCGGTCGTAAATCTGTAGGTATTCGCTGTCAAGATAAAAAATGGGTGGCTCTGATAGCGCACAGAAAACTTCTAATGCGGATCTTGGAGCAGACCTCCCCAGCCGGCGCAGAGGCTCCGCCAGCGATACGCCCTGAAAGAGCTATGACAAACAACTTATGTGAAGTAAATAGACCAATAAAGAGCCGTTATGTGGTGAATCGCATGGTCGAAGACTCTGCCCCTCTCGACTCAACCTTCAGTGCCAGCACAGACGCCCACCAGCCTTCCAATCAGTTAGAACGATACCTATCCAAGCTTGTGGACCCAATAGATCTTAGGGTTGATAGGTTCTGTGAGATCGGAGGGAGCTTAATAGCAGCGAATTTCCGCGCCGGGCACGTTATCACTAGACGATGGTCAGCGCAGGGGCAAGAAACCTATAACGTCCTATCAGCACAAAGTGGATATTCGATATCATTCATGGTCCAACCAACAAGGATCAAATTGAGGCTATCGATCGCAACGTTCTTTCTATATCAGTTTGCACAGTGGTCGGACGTCAGCCTCCGGTTTCAGCTGCGGGTCTCGTCTTTGATGACTATCGACCATCCAGCATATCTCGCCGCGGTGTGCGGAGACTGGCTGACTTTAAGGAAGCTTCTGACCAAGAGCGATGTAAGGGTAACGGACCAGACTGCGAATGGAGATACGCTACTTCATGCAAGTGAATATGTCGCATAGAAAAGCTGGGGGAAATGCTAATTTATGCAGATCGCGGTTTCAAGAAATCAGACCAGTCTAGTAAAGGAGCTTCTTCGACACGGAGCCGATGTCAATGCCACCAATGATCAAAGCGAGTAAGTACGGAAACTGTTGCTGTGACATGTTCCGGATTGATGGGCGCATGTAGGACGCCTTTGCACATCGCCGTGGCTTGCATGTGTGACTACGAAGTCTCAAGGTGCCTTATCTCGTCTGGAGCCAATATGCTCCACCAAGACTTAGGTAAAAAAACGCCGCTCCACACCTATTTCAATGAGAACCTTCGGAAAATACTCGAGTTTCATCGGGACAACATAGATACGACTATAAGAGATAGCGAAGGGATGACTATTTCTCACTACGTGTCTTTTACCAAGCAGTCTAGCCCAGAAGACATAGCTCGTTCGCTAGGTCCACATCCTTCCAACATCTGTTCGACTGACCATGAGGGACGAACAATACTTCACCTAGCGCTTCGAAGAGGGAACCTAGAACTCGTTAAATACTTATTTGAGCAAGGGATCGAAGCATTAGAGCAACCAGACCACCACGGTCACACTCTGATGCACTACGCCACCGAGAGTCGCCGCATTCAACTGATTGACTTCCTAAATTTACGAGGACATTCCATCCGCGCAAGAGACAAAACAGGTCGTACTGTTCTGCACCACGCAGCCTCGAAGGGCAAATTAGCTGCGGTAATAAAGCTCCTCGAACTTGGGGCGGCGTCAGATCTGGATGCTCTAGACCTTGATTCACGCACGCCAATACAAGTTGCAGCTCTGTTCGAAGCACACGCTGTGGTGGAATACTTACAGAAATTGTGTAAGCCGCAGATGCTAGTATATCCCGGGCGAGCAATGCAAGACGCTAGAAGCGCAGTGGCAGGCGCTGATAGATTTACTAAGATGTCGATGTTGGTGAGCGCGAAGTACTTGTACTGTTTGTTGTTTCTTGTAGGATTTTCGATGGGCGTTCTGTATGCATGAATGGGGTTTGTGGTGAGGACGCCCCACCTACCTACGCTTTTAATCTTGCTCGAAAGTCCGGTTTTGATCAAGGAGACTCTCTAAACATAAGAAGAATGAGTGCAGATTCGTTGTTTAGTGAATATCCTAAGATCCATCCCAAACTCCAGATGAAGTGAAACAGTCTTGCCTAACCAATGGTGGATTTAGACTTGCAGCTTCACTACGCACGTCAGCTGAGAACCGCATCTCTGATGGTCGCGTCCTGGTACCTCGTAGCATTTTTTCCCTCACTCGCAAGGCTACGGTCGACTCTCATGTTAATGGTACAACGCTGGATGTAAACGAGGAATATTGAACATGTCCAGCGTCCATTGCAAGGGTACAGATAATACCAAAGCTAACATAAGCTAAAATCCTCCTCAACCGCCCGAAGGGTAGTATCGACTTGTACCAAATGGCCATGAAATCTACCGTCGGTGAGCGGGATATGGTGAGAAAATAAAACCCCCCTGGAGGCTAGGACTTGGGATTTTGATGCTGGGAGTGAGGAATATTGAAAGATAAAGTCGGAAGATAGTAGCTAGAGAATGAGAATGAGGCATTTGAGAGAACAGAAGAAGTGACCGGTAGGAAATCCGGCTGGATGGAAAGTGATCATTTAGAGTGGGAATGTTCGGTAGCTAGAAAACGTAGATAGACGTAGGAGAAGGCGACGAGGGAAGTGGAAATGGTTAGCTGAAGTGTCTAGGTGCCTGTTAGGCTCAAGTGACATAGGTTCAGGGTCTTGAGAGTACCAATTAAACTGCTTATCCTTGCGTATTAAAGAATTTGTATGTCTAGACCCTTTGGGGATATTTCTGCCCAATAGAACACCCAGTTTTATCCCAAAGCCCAAGTGACGAACGCCAGTGTAATGCGTTTATATACCTTCAGCGCCAAACCGTATCCTTTGAATACCGAATAAACCGGTTCTAATTTCCTCCTAGCTTTACAAAATGTTCTTAATTCTGTTCCCAATAATACGTAGACTCATTTACGTCCTCTGTGGCCTGCGCAGCGGATGCGCCTCAGTATTACTACACTCTGTTAGCTAACCTATCTCGCATCTCACTCTCCACCAGTACAAACTCACAAAACCCACTCATCCAAACTGACAAGCTCAGGCTCAGAGAAGATCAAATAAAAGTACTTCAACGTCTCCGCCATCCAGAAGCTCTCACAAGAATCCAATTTCTCAGACTCTTGTCCGGGGGGACATGTGACATCCGCGATGGCGGAGTTGGAGATGTTGGTTCGCGTCGAGTTCTTGATGGCTTGGAACATGCGCCAGGCGGCGTCTTGAAGAGTGTGGTCGCCGGTTATACGGTAGAGGATGAAGACAGATTCGATTGCTTCTGGGCTAATTATCCCTGGTTAGAAGGAGCGTATGTTGTCGTGGGATAGGATAGGATGGAATGGATGGAATGGATGGAATGGAATGGGGATGAAAGGGGTTTCAAACCGTAGCAAGAATCTCTTATCCGAGATCTCGGTATAACCAGGCTGTAACCCATCCTCTCGAATAATTCTAGCAACATCCATAGTCCGTGCGAAACTACGCTGGTTCATTACTTCTGCATGCCACTTTTCAGTGCTGTATGTACAATCATCTGGCTCCGAACAAGGCACCACTGTGAAGGACTCCGGCATAATTCCAGTTGGCATGGAGTCGTAAGCCCAGATGCAGCCGTCGACGAGTTTTCTCGCGATATCAAGCTCATCCGGGCGATCAAAGATTTTGGACCCAATGCCGACCATGCCGCCGGCGAAGCATGCAAGGTGTTGGCCTTCTGGCTGGAGTTTGATGTGGTCTGCAGCGTTTTTGCTAACGGTTCCAGATAGTAGGATATTTTGATTCCCAGGATTCAGCGGACGAAAGAAGAGATATTTCTTTGCGGCCTCAATGGCGCCTTCGTATAATTTTCGGTGTTGGTCCACCAGGCCCCCAAGGAGCATGTGCTGCTTCGGGAAGTACTCATACAGGGAATCCGACATGCCACCGAACGTGAAGGTCCGGTGGGCATCGAAGGACTCGTCGAGCGGATTGACAATGATAGGGAAAAGTCCTGGAATGGTAGTGTCATTCTGGTGCTTCTCAAACTGATTTGAGATGCGCTGTACAGCATCAAAGTACTTCGGCTCGCCGGTTAACTGAGACAATCGTGTGAATTCAAGACTCAGGGAACCAAGCTCAGCGCTAAGAGCTTGGTTAGGAGCTTCTTGCTCGCCATCTAGAGCCCCACTGTATGATGATTAGCAATGCCAGCAACATCGAGGAGAGGAGCATACTTAGCCCAATCCCATCGAGTTATCGGTAAGCGATTCGGGGTGTCAAAAGCAAGATAGAGCATATCCCCCAATTGTACTGCTTTATCCAGCAGAATACGATGCTTCCCCTCGCTCAAGTCGTACGCACTGAGAAGGCCGCCCAAATATCGAATCGTAGTCTCAAAAAGATTCATCGTGGTTTCTCCGGAAGTAGTAAAATCAATCCTTTTCAACGCCGATAGCGCTTTTTTAAACTCCTTATCCAGTCCCATAATCAAAAGTGTATCTAAAGTATCAACCATTGTGGCAGCCCGCATCCCAAATCCATTTTTATATCCACCAGAAACAGGAGTGAGTTCGTCTTGGAGCCAAGCGTGCTTCTTGTACCCCTCCCAAGAATGTAGAAATGTCTCTTTCACGTCTGCTAGTCTCTCTTCTCGCTCTTGCCTGTTGTGTTCCGTCTCCGCTACGAATTCGTGCTGGATCTTCGGGATTTCGGCTGGGGTGCCGGACGGGAGGGCTATCATGGACGAGACAGGATAGCGGAGGGGAACATCCTTCCATTTCACTGGACGGCTGATTCGTGACGAGGATGTCACTGTCGGGGAGGGTAATTCATCCCTTTGGGTGAGCTGACGTAAAGCAAGGATGAGGAAACAGGCGGAGATGCAGAGAACGAAGAATCGACGGATGACGAAGCCCATTGTGGTGAGCCGGGGGGGGTTAGAAAAGATCTAGCATTTGAGTAGTACAATTGGTCTCTAAAAGAACGAGTGAGACCGGGAGAATTACTCCAGAAGTGAATTTACAAGAGCTAGAAAGAAAGGAGGCCAAAGTCCGAAGGATCGATACCCATGAAGAGTTACGAAGAGCTGGGAAGGGGAATTAAGAGTGATTAGAGAGGCAATGATGGAAATGAGACACGCCAGGAGGGAAACTAAAAGGAACGAAATCTAAACACTGAGTACCAGTGGGCTAAGAAAAGGAAGGGGCACAGTAAGGAGAACATGTTGAGATGGCCTGGCCTGACAGTCTCCGTCATGATCGCTTATCGTCGCGCGGCCGCTAGTGAACATCCCCGTGTCGATCTAAATGCAGCTTGAACCAAACATTCACAGACGGCGTTGCCCTTCATTCTTCTCCGTTCGAGAAGGACAATTGGGATGGGGGCTCTCAGGGATAAATTCATGTACAAACTGGGGTAGCTTCCATCCTCACTGGTACGACCAGCCCACCAGTCCACCAGCCCACCTGTTCAACCCATCCTCGCGTACAACCCTCTCCCACGGTAACCCTGAAACACAAAGCTGGACTCGTGGAACCGTGGAAAGTGCCTGAGATAGTCAAAATGAAGTACAGCGGGTGAGTTCTACCCTCCAGTCCCTTCAACGTTATGAATCAGCATTAATTATCCCTCTCCTCGCAGCCTGTGGTTCATCCCTAGTCCTATCAACGCGGCCGACGCGTCGACGAAGAACTTCACCGCACTCATCAACAACATTGAAGCGCAATTCGACTTCGCAACGCGCCAATCCCCCTGGGCTTTAAGTCACCGCCTCCTGCGCTCCATCCCCCCTCCCTCACAACCACCCTCATATCAGCACATCCTCCAGCTCTCTCACCTCAGCCAGGGAAAGGCATACTGCTACATCCAACCCTTCATCCCTCCTACACAAACCCCACAGCACACACAGATCAAATCCGAGCCGAACTCTCAATCTCAAGCGTCAACCCCGGCGCCGACACAGCAATTCTCGCAGTCTTCTACGCTCTCGCTCTCGCTCACCCCCGCAGCCTCGGGGTCCATTATCGCAATCCCCTCCTCGCAATCCGATTCCCACATTAGCTTCTTGTGCAACCAGTTCTCTCCGCTATGGGGCTTCCGGCAAGCGCTGCAAATCCCAAACGGCATGACCTACACTGCCGGCCAATTCATCATTCACGTCGGCGAGATCCGCGCCTCGCGCGCCGGCGCTGCGTCTGCGTCTAGCACGACATCTCCTGGCGTTGTCGTCTGCGTGACGGCTGTGTACGAAGATGAGCTCAAAGATATCCAAAACAAAGACTATCACAACCAAGATCCCGACGACTTAGGCTTTACGTTCCTAGACGGCGGGAGCCAGGATACGACAACCGAGGAAGTGGATTGGACAGACTTCGAATGCAAGGTTCGCGCGGCGTGGGATGTGGTTAAGTTGGGGTTGGATTTTGGGAAAGTTGAGGTTAGAGAGGTTATGATGGCGAAGGAGCGGCCGAATGCCGAGGGCGAGATAGAGGCGACTGTGAGGATGTGGTGTGAGGTCCTGAGGCTGAGGGGTTGAGCGGATTGGAGGGTGCAATCACGGGAGACAGCTGGTGGAGATAACAAAGGCCGGAAGATAGGAGCATGGTCCGCATACAGGCGCCGGCATGCATGGGTAGATACCCAGGCCCGAAGGTTGACTCCAGGTGCAGGGACAGTTGCAGAAGTTGCGACTGAATCGTGTATCCAAGCCATCCACCCTTCTGTCAGCACACCGCGAAGGCCGGGTAATCCTACCAGCTCGATAGCTACGCGCAAAGTCAAGTCATCAATAGTGCAATCAGTCCCTTAAATTATGGAGAACAATTGAATTATTTCACCCATCCCTCTACCCTTCCCTTCCAGTGCCTGCCATTCCTTGCCTACCCTAGTTTCCAATCCCTATAGGTATCTAGAACAGAACTACTACCACATAGCTACCGTGGTTTCACCCACTAGCGAATAAGTGTTCTCTCTCTCTCCAATTCCTAAATCTCCACGCATTCATTCCAATCCTCAGGTATCCAAATTTCATTCATCCTCCGCAGCTCCATCCGGCAATGCCACTAAATCCTCCACGAGAGGCCATTCCACGGGGACGTACGAGTACAACAAGAATCTCAATCACGCGATCGACCAACAAAACAACAAAAAAGAAAGAAGGTAGGCCGAGAGAGCAGGAGGCTAGTAAAACAAGGGTTGCGGACAAGAGAGTATTAAGGAGCGAATTATCCAGGAAAACGAAAAGGAGAGTTAAAGGCAGTACTAGCAAACACACACGCGCGGGCCAAAACCAGACAGAAACAGAGTTCGATCGATTGATCTCTCGTCATGTTCCAAAGCAAAGACTATTCGAAGATAACTCGAAGATAAATATTCGCGCCAGAACCCGATCCAAGACCACACCAGACCAGAAATGCAGGGATATAACATAATGGGGTCCAAAAAGTGGAGACTAAATGGGTTAAGTGGAGCAAAGTATCGCACAATGAAGTGGAAGAGAAATTGGTTGGTAGATCCCCCTTTTTACTGCGCACCGACTTCTTCCTCGGCCCATCCTGGAAGGCCACCGTCGCCTTGAATGGCGAGGCCGTATCCACCATTTCCGCTGCCGAAGCCACCAATACCAGAGCTGAGGCTGCCAAATGAGCTTTGCTGGGGAGGTTGGGATTGTTGTACGGGCTGGGTGAAAGGACCCTGGGTGAATACTGGAAGACTGACGGCACGGGCATGCTGAGCGCGAGCATTCAGGTTGGAAGGGGCGAGCAGGCCGCCGACGGTAGTGGCACCAGTTCCATTCGAGCTACCATTGATCAAGCTGAAGCTCGAGGTGCTGTTGTGGGTGGTGTGAGATTGGTGAGGCTGGGGAGTAGTGTTCATATCAGCGCCATAGAAAGCGGCTTGTTGAGAAGCAAAAGCTTGCTGTTGTTGTTGCTGAACCTGCTGCTGTTGTTGCTGATGCTGGAGGTTGGCTTCAGCTTGCTGTTGTTGCTGGTTCTGCTGAGCTTGGAGGTACATCATCAATGGGTTGTTGTTACCCGTGTTGAGGATGTTCGCGGGTGTCGGGGCTTGAATGCTAGGGAATTGGCCATTAGAGCTTGCGGCAGTGGAACCAGGAGCTGCAGATCCAGTGGGAGAGACGGAGGGTCCAGTCTGGCTACGGGTTGGTTGTAGTCCGTTGATCGGAGAAGGCGACTGTACACCATCACTACCAGCCTGCTGACCCTGGTTCTGGTTGTTGTTCATCTGACGAGGGGGGTTGCCGCATCGATCCTTTCCAAAATTAACCTTAAACCGCTTGTACTCTTCTCGTCCACGAACGGCTTCAATCGCTTTAATAGCGTTGGCAATGTTGGTGAAGTTGACGAAGGCACAACTCTTCTCCCGAAGAGTGTTGACCAATTCAATCTCACCATATTCCGAAAAGTCTTGTCTCAGCCGGTCTTCCGTCCATGATTCATCAAGATTACCAATGTAAACATTTCGCGATGCACCGCCGCTAACCGCAAGAGCGATGGCAGGAGGAAGTGCTCCAGAGTGTTTGCCCCAGCCGATCTTGAGACGACGGTTGTGGATCATCAATCCTTGGAGGTTGGAGAGGGCGTAGAAGGAAGCGGCCGACGTTGGATCGATAAACGTTACAAAACAGATGTGTTTGTCTGGGATGTATCGAATGTGATGAAGGAGACCACCTCGAACAACGTTGCAAATCTCCTCAATCGTCGTTTCAGGATGAATGTTTCCGAGGTAAACTGTTCGGTTACCTAGATTATTGACTCCTCCAGCAGAGGTTGCAACAGCTGCAGCAGCAACAGATTGTTGGGCGAGGGCGTTCGAGATCAGGTCGCGGTCGGCACCGTTCAACACATGGGCATATCCCGGGGCGATGCCAAGGTATTGCGCGGCGTTCTGCTGTTGAGTCTTCGAGACGTAAGCACATCTGTCCTTGCCATAGTAAACCCGTCTTGGGGCTTGCCACTTGGGCTCTTGGGGGAGCTGGGCGACTGCTTTGATGGCGTTTCCGATGGACAGGAAGTGGACGAATCCAATAGCCTTCTCCCGCACGATCTTGACGGTATCAATCGGGCCAAACTTGCTGAGATCCTCACGCAGTTCCTCCTCTCCGACATCTTCGGGTAAATTGCCAAGGTATACGTTTCGGGAAGCCCCTGACTGTTGCACGGCAAGCGCGACCGAGGTAGGCACCTGCGATGGCTTTCCCCAACCGATCTTAATATCCTGGCCCCGAATCGACAACTTCTTCAAAATCGCGTCTGAGTGGAAGTGGGTGGCGGAGCTGCTGTCAAGGAAAGAGATAAAGGCGCAATTCTTATCCGGCAACAGCCTGACCGACTCGATTTGACCGCTTCTCACATGGCCAAGAATTTCCTCGGCTGATGTCTCAGGAGGAATGTTACCCAGATACACGGTCCTGCTTGTCCCGGAAACCAAGCCAGGCGCAATTGGCATGGCCGATCCGAGTCCACCATAACCCTGAGCGCCGTATCCTGGAAATCCACCAGTTGGTGACTGTGGCCCACCAAAGAAGCCGGGCCCGTTCATGTTCGTGGGAGAAACCAGATTCTGGTACAGCTGTGGCGAAAGAGGCTGTTGCATCTGAACAGGGCTGCTGACTTGGTTTTGTTGGTTTTGTTGCTGTTGAGCCTGGTTCTGTCCCGCGAAGCTTGCATATTGCTGGAACTGTGGCGAGGCGAATGCTGAAGGCGAGCCTGGCTGGAAAGGGCTGCCGAGAAGCAACTGCGAAGGCAGCAAAGGAGTGAAATTCATGTCGAACGCTGTGCCTGGCGTTTGAAGGTCTGCGCCATTCTGATTATTCGGTGCGAGCCTGCCCGTATTGATGGTCGGAATGTTGGATCGCTCCGGATGTCTGTCAGCATATCCTGGCTGATTTGTATTGAATGCGCCGTGTGAGAATCCAGTGTGAGCTCCATTCATGTGCTTCTGAAAACTCGCCTGGAGCCGCGGGCCACTGGGGGCAGTCGGAGCGTTATCGTGGTGCTGCATTCCGAGGAGATGTGGGGGCAGGACAAAACTGTCCCGCGCGCTTTGGGATAGAACAGCCGTGGCGAAGATGTATTATTGCGTCCGGTCCTCTAAGTCCCGGACTGCGAAATATGTATGAGAGAAGATATAGCTGAACTGTCGCAAATGACGGCTACAGTGGGTGCGAAGTGAAGAGTTGCGATTATTAAACCTCGTAGAGACCAATCTGGAGAGAGAGTTTAGCGGTTGAGAACAACACGTAATTGATACAGCGTCCCAAACTTACGTGCAAAAGTCAATGGCAGCTTGACAGCTAATACAGGATGGAATACACCAAATCGAAGACCAAGGAGTGATCCAACACGGAGTGGTTCGTGAATCGGCCGAAGAAGAGAGAACCAGCAACAGGATGCAGCCCGGTCTGAGTCAGGGGCACAGGTGCAGTATTATCTTACAGGAAGAATAGCTGCAGTATACCTCTAATGACAGCTGCAGAAGCGGTCGGGATTACTTTTTTAATAAGGCTCGGGGTGTGGAGGGGTGCAGGCCTTGGGGGTTTGTTTTGAAGATGTGAATAGGGTTGAAAGAGCGAACAATAATAATGAACGAAGCAAAGAGGTGATCTTTGTCAAGCGACCTCGAAGCAAAGAGAAAGATAATGAGTGGACGGGGTCGAAGGGGAGGGATCGTGAATTGGAGGGCGGGAGGGAAGAAAAGGATGAAGAGAGACGATGAGTGAGAAGTCCAGGTGCAGGTTGCAGGCCAGACAGGAGGCAGGCAAATGAGCCTGCCCAAAGCGGCCTTAGCGCCTGTGGCCACATCTTATTTTAAACGCGCGTGGCCATCTTCATCCAAACGCCAAGTTCCCACGCCTCATCCAGTGCTGGCCCTGCAGCGACGAGCGCGCAGACAAACGCCTGTGTCATGGTGGCGTCGGCTTGCGTGCAGCGGCACCTTCCATAGCGGCCCTCCTGGTATTTGGATGCTGGCGATGGTGTCGCTCAGGGCACGTCTCTATCTGTTGTTGAGTCCACCTGCTCGAAACCCAGGTATTTGCCGGGTAATTGCAGCCAGAGTGCAGAAGAGCCCTCGTTCCTGACTAGTAGCCATTCGCTTGGTGGGCGAACCATCGATGCCGCCAACCAACAATGCGCGATATCCAAAGCTCACTCCTTGGGACATGTTGCACGGCGCCCGCAGAAGCAATCTTTTGTCAGGGGATGCTGTGTTCCGACCTATTTCACGTGGAACACCAGTCCTGTCTAGCCTGACACTGCCATGATTGGATAGGAGAAGCGGGACGGACGACGGAATGGGAATGCACAAACGCCAAGCCATAAAGAGGCGCCTGGGAGACGGCCAACACGGAATGTTGGGGTCTAGGATGAGCGATGCAGAATGATCTTTAGCCTCAGGACTCTCGCTTTGACAACCAAAAGTGTGTTTGTGTCCCTAAAGTTTAGCAACATGTAGCGCCCGACTGTGCGATTATTGAGCCATGGCTGCCAAGCCATGGCTGGTGCCCCAGTCACGTGATTGGTGAACTTCAGCGCTCGCCAAATTTGACAACTTTCGCATCCCCTTCACCCAGCCCATCATCGATGTCTCCATGTCCGACTTGTATCCATCAATCGCGCAGTGCGCCGTCGTGGCCACCGCCTTGAAGGTGCTACTATTTCCTGCCTAGTAGGTTTAATTGAATATTTTCGATGCACGCATCAACAAGTAAGCTCACCATTTGTGCCAGCAAGTCGACCGATTTCGAGGTTCATCGAAATTGGCTGGCCATCACTCATTCTTTGCCCATCAAAGAATGGTACTTTGAGGTGAGATAGCTCTCAACTCCCTCTGCAATGGTATAGGTGGTTAATAGGTGGCGCAGAAAACATCCGAGTGGACTCTTGATTATCCTCCCTTTTTCGCCTACTTTGAATGGTTTCTCTCCCAAGCCGCCGCGTCTATTGAGCCGGCACTACTCAACGTAAAGGCCTTGGAGTACGACAGCTGGCAGACAGTGTATTTTCAACGCGCAACCGTCATCCTCACTGAACTCGTATTGGTCTATGCCTTGCACCTGTGATTCATGCCCTGTCTTGCGAGCTATATCTTTCTACTAACCTTCCCTCAGGTATGTGAAGGGCTCAGCTTCAAAAAGGTCTGCCCATGCAGCTGCGCTTTCTATCTTGTTGTCTCCTGGGCTTCTTATCATTGATCATATACATTTCCAGTATAATGGCTTCATGTATGGCATCCTCGTCCTCTCACTAGTCCTTGCCCGTAACAGTTCGACTCTTCTTCTGAGTGGCCTAATTTTCGCGGTGCTTCTCTGCTTCAAGCACATATATCTATACTTAGCACCAGCCTACTTTGTGTATCTGCTGCGAGTGTACTGCCTTAGTCCTCGGTCGTCCTTCCCATATTTCCGGGTCCAATTTTTCAATTGCGTCAAACTCGGCGTCGGTATTGCCGCCATCTTCGCTGGAGCCTTGGGGCCCTTTGCCCTATGGGGTCAACTGGAACAAGTCTTTCGCCGCTTGTTCCCATTCTCAAGAGGTCTGTGCCATGCATACTGGGCACCGAACGTTTGGGCCATGTATTCGTTCACCGATAGAGTGCTGATTTATTGTGAGTCAATATTCGAACATTGAAGTACTCACTTATCTAACATAGGTAGTGGCACCCTACCTTGGACTGAAGGTCGACCGAGATGCGATTAATAGTGTCACTCGAGGTTTGGTTGGTGATACATCATTTGCAGTCCTTCCTGATGTGGCGCCCTTTACATGCTTTATCCTGACTTTAGCTGCGCAAATTGTATCAGGCTCCCCTACTCCATTTTCAAGCTGGTGCTGACAATAATCTAGCCTTTTCTCATACGACTGCTTGTGAAGCCTTCTTGGGACGGTTTTGTTGGAGCTGTAACACTCTGCGGCTATGCTTCATTCCTCTTCGGCTGGCATGTTCATGAAAAAGCAATCCTTATTGTCATCATTCCTTTCAGCTTGCTCGCGCTCAAGGATCGGAGATACCTTGGCGCGTTTCGACCGTTGGCTGTAGCCGGCCACGTATCCCTTTTCCCCCTTCTCTTCACCGCAGCCGAGTTCCCCGTGAAGACAGTGTACACCATCCTTTGGCTTGTTCTGTTCCTCTTAGCATTTGACCGACTCGCACCTGCGTAAGATTTGTGTTCCATTCCTTCGGGTCAGGCTAATCAGATGCAGGTCTTCCCATCCTCGAGTCTTTCTTCTTGATCGCTTCTCACTTGTTTACATCGCCTTCTCGATACCCCTTATTGCGTATTGCTCCCTACTTCACGGTATCATCTTCGGGCAGAAGTATGAATACCTGCCTTTGATGTTTACAAGCTCCTATTCGGCAATCGGAGTTGTCGGCAGCTGGGTCGGGTTTTCGGTTGTGTATTTCAATTCGTAGTACTGAATAGTTGTTTCTTTCAATTGACAACATGCTCATCTCCCAGAGTCTTCTATCGTCACTTCGTAATCGTCTCCTATCATCCTCCGCAATGAATTAGTCGATTTTCCCTCAAGAACGACCATGGGAAGCGTGCAAATCGTAGCTACTGGCAGTTCTCCCAATTCGGACTACAATGTCTCGCGAGGATAAATAGAAAGGAGTTTGGAGGGACTTGCGAATTGATATGATTTTCAGTTCTTTAATTTTTATGAGTGGCTTAAGATTCCCCGCGAAAGCCAAAGTGACCGGAAACCTTGGCTTGATCAGTGTGAATGACATGTGCGTTCAAAACTCAAAGAGTAATAGTCATTCTTTCTTCTTCTATTTCTTGGTCATGCTGCTCTTTATTGATCCCAGACTGTCCTGTCTTCTTATGCTGGTATGTCATTGGAAGGGAGAGACATTTGGATCTGCTCCATGACACTGCACATTGAGGGTAGCACAATACGTGAATTAGTACCGAGTGAAGCTTTTTGGTAGTTTAATAGCATTACACAGCAAACTATTGTAGATGAGCTCTGTGCTCTGAATGAAGCCTTGTCATGTTCCGTAGCATATCCTGACAAGGAGGCTTCTTAAAGCTAAGCTCTGCCTAGCATTAGTTTGATATAAAGGATAGATACACATGCCCCTGGCACTCCTAAGCATAGAGAATTGATATCATAGAGTTGACATATTTATTGTTGAGGTTTTGTGTTCTTGGTGTTGCTGAGTGCGGGGGAGGAGGTGCTGCGTTTGTCCCAGGCCTCTGGGCAGGGAGTGGGTCCAGTTCTGGGGGGTCAGAGGCGTCTCGGAGCAATCTGGGCCAGGGAAGTGGATGCACGACCTTAAAATTAAAAAAATGATCTGTAGATACCGATTAAAATCCACTGGCACGCCTTGCTCCGTGCAGCGGTTCAAACGAGTACAAACATGTGGGGTCCAATGTGCAGCGTGGTTCCTGGTCCAGAGGAAGGTTTGGCGTTGGTGGAGGGAGGCAAGCGACTAGGGCCGCTTAAGTAATTTGGAAGGCTCCCTCTGGGCTAAGACTTAACTACTACCCTTTAACCCTACTTTTCTCTCACGACTCCGTCTCCTCTACACCACCTCCTCCGTCGCCGCCACGTCAACCACGCCCCTCGCATCTTGACCTACGCGCCCAATACCATCGGAAACGCGTCACGGAAACCATTCCGACACCTCGAACATCGCGCAACACCCTTCCGAGGACCACCTTGGTGTGCGGTTGAGGTGGATCCTGGCCGGAGTGTCGTTAAAGACCGTATTGCACCCACGACGAAGCAAGACGACCTCTATCTCCTCTCTGTAATACGCTCACACCTCCGCGCTGTCCTCGAAGAGTGCGACGCGAGATTCCGACTCGGCATTAGCTCCCAGATGAACCGCAGCTGTTGATACAAAATGGTACGGAACGCGTCCCAATCGACGGCCTTGTGTCTGTAGCTAACTGGGAAAGGTTCAATACAAGCGTAAACCGGTGAAGTTTGACCAACCTCCACCCTCCCTGGACGACAATGCCGAAGTACGCTCTCCCCACCTCCGCCGTAATTACACCAACTGAACGTGTCATCTAGGTTTGGGTCATCGAGGCGACTGGAGAAGTCTTCACTGACTATGAGAAATACCTAAGCCGGTATGGTGTTCAGCTCAACTGTTGAGATTAGAGCTGTGCTAACGTGTACGTAGGCGCGACTTCTATCTTCAGGCAAGTACATAGAGCAGACCAGGTGGATTACGTCGATGCGTTCATAGTATGCTGATTTTAATGCAGAAGTCGTTCACATGCGAGTCGACGGGGCATACAGGCTATACCTTCTTTGAAGCAATCGAGAGCGAGGTATGCCTATAACCTAACGCTCACTCAACTACCTTATGGCTAACGACTTGTCAGACTGAGGCTTCTAAAGAGATCAACAGCATATTTCCTGAAGGCCTGCGATCCCGTGTCCTCGCTTTCGTGCAGTTCCAGAACACGGCTCGGATGGATGACTTGGTCAACCTTGTCTTCGATGTTTGTGGCTCTACCCCTCTCAAGCGACCAGGCTAACTCTACCCAGCATTTTCGAGAGCACTACATGGTTGGCGACCGCGTTTCTGTCGAACATGAAGGTCTCCGCCGTTATGGGGTCATCGCGCAAATGCAGGATACCTCCAGGCTCCACACAATCTTCTCCGGCCAATCAGACGAGCAGTTTCGGTCATACACTTACCACATTACTCTAGAGGGCTCTGGTGAACAGCTTACAAAGTACAAGGCTTCTGAGCTTCAGCGCGACCGGCGAGTCTATTCTAAGCTCGTCTTGAAACAATTTCTCCGGAGTGCTGTTTCTAGGGAGGCGTGGAACGGGGCCCCATGGATGGTTAAAGATCACCTCGCAAAGAGGTACAACATCAGCACGAAGGTTCCTGAGACGAAGACTCGCGACGCTGTTATTGCTGCAAAGAAAGCACAGAATGCCGCCAATGCCATCAGTAACTCTAATCATACCGCTCCCTCGACATACCCCCTTAGCATGTCGAACATGCCAAATGGTCCAGATACTTCTCAAGGGCATCCTATATCAAGACCGCCAGCACCGGGAGGGCAAACCACATTTGTGAACTTCTCAGCAAATGCTCAACCGCAATACCACCCCGACCAAGAACGCCAGATGACGGGTCCTCCACTACCTGAACCTGTAAGATCTCACCCATTCCCGCCTATGAACGGACGGTTACCACCATTTATGCCGTCGGTGCAGCCGCCTCAGATGTACCAACCCCTCCCTCCACATCTTGCCCATCACCTGACCCAACACATGCCACCGCCAGGGGCGGGTTTACCCATCAGCCTCCCCTTCCAGAACAACTTCATGCAATATCAAACTCTTGCTCCTACGAATCTCCCCCAACAGCAAGTAGCGCCGCCAAGCAGGGCTTTCGAAGCCGTCAAGTATCCGTGCGAGGATTTGGAGATCCGAGCGCCACGTCTGAGTTCCGAGCGACCGCCACTGAAGTTCTTCTCTGATGACGTCCCTGAAGGTGTTGATCCACCCGAGACAAAGACTGGTATATTGATGAAGAGTGTTGGCCCACTTTTGTGTACCTGGGACACCTTGAACGTTCACGACCTCATCTACTCCTTGGACTCATTCACGCTCGATGACTTTGTCCGTGCGATGCGGTTTTCGTCGGAAGAGGTAGAATGCGAGCTTCTCGTTGAGGTCCACTGCTCGGTATTCAAGCAAATTGTCGCCGAATCGGGCAAGCTTCAAGCACCCTTGCCGAAGGTCGAGGACTCCGATGAATCCGAGAATGAAGAGTCTAGCAAAACCACAAGCCCCGAACCTGAACCCGAACCAGAGCCTCCAGTGCGAACTACCCGAAGTAGCCTGAGGAAATCGGAGATCCTGGTTAAGCAGCGGACGCCCACCCCAGAGCCACCAAAGCAACTGCACAAGGCTGCTGAATTCCTAGCAGAGTTCGATTGGATTGATCAGTGCAAAGTTCGCAATTTTAGGGAAGGCGGATGGCAGGCGGTCCTTGTCGGCCTCCTTTATGCTCTTTCTTTCAACCCTCTGCAAAAAGATGCCTGTGATCAGATCTTGGCTGAGCTGGTTCCCCCAGACGATGAACCTTCGATGGAGAACATAGCTCGAAATTATGTGTATCTCGATGTTAATTTACGGATCACTGCTTTAGAGATGGCCTTGAGACTGACCGTAGCTACGGAGACCTTTCGCGAACAGCTCGCCACTGCTGGCCAAGATATGACTCGCCTCCGGAAAGAAAAGATTGAGTTTCAGAAGAAGCGGAAAGAATTGTAAGACAACCAATTTTTATTTCAGCCTTTGCTTGCGGAAAGCTGACGGTTCTCCCACAGGGCCGACGAGCTTTTTAAGTTGGATAATGAGCGGAAGATCCAATATCCTAACAACATGCCCATTTCTCCAGTTGATGCAAAGGAGAACCAAGACTTCCCTATGACTGGTACCGAGGAAGCCAAGGAGGAAGCAGAAGCCGCCAGCGAGTCTTCAGAGGAGCCTCGAGCTGCCAACCGGAAGCTTCGCCACACTAAGCAGAATAAGCGCAAGCGTGAAGTGGAGGCTGCCAAAAAGGAGAGGGCGAAGAAGAAGAAAGCCGAGGCAGCCAAAACCAAGGCGCAGCTCGAATGGGACAAGTTACTCGTTGATATCGAGAAGAAAAAGGAGGAGTTAAAATCCTGTGAGGCTAGTATCACCGAGCTGGATGAAGACCTCCGCGAGGCGCTAGTAGCTCGAAGCAGGCTCATCGGAAAAGATCGCTTCATGAATAAGTATTACTGGTTCGAACGTAACGGAATGCCATACGGAGGTGTTCCCCAGAGCTCCACTGCAGAATATGGTTATGCTAATGGTCGGCTTTGGGTTCAAGGACCCGATGAACACGAGCTGGGACCGAACCTGGTGGAGCCAGCTTTGACCCAAGACCATGAGAGGTTCGGCTTTACCATTCCTCAACGCAAGGAGCGCGAGGAAGGCTCAACGCATCTATCGAAGTCTACAGAGTGGGGTTATTACGACGACCCTGCTGATCTCGACCGGCTCCTAGCTTGGCTCGATGACCGCGGCGTTCGGGAAAAGGCACTCCGCAAAGAGCTGACACTGTACAAAGACAAGATTGCGTTCCGTATGGGCAAGATGAAGGAGCATCTCACAGAGGCTGAGAAGTCTAAAGCAGAGGGTGAAGAAAATGGAACGCGCGTCTCCACCCGGACGAAGACGTACGTCGAGAAGGATGTCACCAAAGACCGCTGCCTGCTATGGACTAATAGCATTATGAGGGGCGATTTAGGCTACAGCCACATGGAAGAGTACGAACCGCCTAAAAAAACGAAGAGGGGCACTGCAAAAGTTACCAAAAGCAAAAGCCGTAAGTAACTAGCACAAGGTCCAAGAGCAGGCGCTATATCTAGCCCCATTTCGCGTCCACAGGCTCTCCCTTAGGCCTATATCATGAGTTACGACAATCACTGTACGTCACGGAGTTTGGGCCGACACTCGACTTCGGTTCCATCGGATTTCTTCAATGGTAGCGATTATTTCCTGGGCAACTTTGCATTATCATGGAGTTAAAATGTTATTGTTTCTTGTCACGGTCTACCCCGTGGGCAAGAAGTTATAGAGGGTTCATGGTGTTTTCACTGGATATGTACGGGTGGTCATTTTCCTAGTATCCCGTGTTTACATGTCTGGCTAGTAGAATGGGGTTGACCGGATTCAATGGGGATATGTACGACGGTGTGTACATGTAGCATGGCATAGGCCTTAGGCGGTTCCCAGCATCGGAAGACTCAGATTCTCCTGAATCTTCGACTGTATTAACGATTTGATGAAGGGGTCATTGAAAACAGTGATGGTCTCACGGATTGAGTGTGATGACATGAGCCAAGTATCATGCCTGATTAGGCTAGACGGGCTTGGCATTTTGCGGTTGACATATCCGCCTTCACTCTCAGCCCGCGTGTCCATCACGACCTCACGCCCGCTCATCTCCACACGCCTGGCCTGCACCAGCAATATTCTCTCTGCTTCACCTTCTGCCCACTCTTTGACTTGCAGGTGGACCGACCCACTCCGAAGATCTCATCGCTTGTTGCCAGTATGGCCGCCAATGGGGCGCGTAAAAGTCGGTTTGAGCCGCACACCCCTCCCCCTCGCGCCTGACTAACCGTATCGCAGCGCCCGCACCACCAAGCTCCAATGCGAAGACTAGCCTCGTTGATATAAGCCTCGTAAAAGATGTCCTGGGTGAGAAAGATAAGAAGCCCATGATTCTGAAAATCAGGAAACCAGTGCCTCAGCCTTCCAAACCAGGCAACTGGAAGGAAAGCGAGACGATCAGTAGGTCTTCTCCTCCAACCCTCATTAGCTCCCAGCTATTTTGGAAGCCTAGCATAACCCTATTTGGCCTAAATCTAATTCCTTTGTAGATGTCGACACCTCCAAGAATAGTCAGACTGAGCCTTCCTCACCCATCATAAACCCGCTTGACCAGAAGACCCTCGCCGCGTTTCCTACCGGTCGACCGCTGGAAGACAAACTGGATACTGTGCAATGCAAGCATTGCCGCCGGCCCATCCTCCGCACCGTTGCTGCAGGCCACATCCGGGAATGTTTGAACAAGAAACAAGAGAAACTCAAGAAGAAGAAGGAGGCGAAGGAAGCCAAGGACGCAGCGCTCCGAAAAGAGAAGGGCGAGAAAGATGACGACGAAGGTGGTAAGAACAACGCCCGCAAATCTGCCGTGAAAGGTGCCGTTGTTGACGGCGAAGGTGCAAAGAAGGGGAAGAAGAGGAAGATCGATGGCGATGCGGAGAAAGCTCCGAATGCGAAGAAGAAAAAGAAGGACGAGCCGAAGCCCAAGGCGGCGAAACCTAAGGGACCTGTCGATGTCGAGAAGCAGTGTGGTGTCGCACTTCCGAATGGTAGTTTCTGTGCTCGGAGCTTGACATGCAAAAGCCATTCTATGGGACTCAAGAGGGCCGTGCCAGGAAGGAGTCTGCCGTATGACATGCTATTGGCACAGTATCAGAAAAAGAATCAAGCGAAGCAACAACGTGAGTTCATCCATAGCCGAACACATTTCAGTTTTTCAACAGTTCCTGTTGGTATATTTCCTCATTTGCTTAGTTGATTCCTACATCTCTACATGGGCTTTCCTATGCGTTTACCTTCTCGGACTAGTGTCGTCCTACAAACTTGTACTCCTTCTGCTCTTCACTGCCACTCCGCTTTTTTCCAAAGTCCTATTCTATTGTGCCTTCCTATATTCGAGACAGGACCCGATTGGAATATGATGATCTGACAAGCGTGATTAGGTGCTGCTATCGATGCCAACGCTCCACTACCCGAAGATCTTGAACCATCAGGGGCTGTCGACTCCGACGAAGAAAAAGAGGCCATCATGACTGCCCTAGCACGTCACAGGCCACGACCAATCGCAACCTTCACTCCAGTATCGCAGAAGTCCAAGTACCAATACATCCGCATGAAGGACATGCTCCGGTCAGCCCTTGGTGCACCACACGGTGGCTCCATCTTCTCAAACGTACCATCGAATGGTGAACATGTGGGAACCAGTAGAGGTCTCGCTCTGGGAATGATGGGTGCGCCTCCAAGTGCCACTTCTGAGAATTTTCCAGGTAGCGCAGGCGGTATGGGAGGATTTCCCCCTCCACCAAGTGCCGGATTGGATGGTCAGTCTGTTTCCGGCATGAATCCTGGTAGTAGGCGACAAAGCTCGATTGGTATGGGCGTATCCGGGAGTGCGGGCCCACGACAGATTCTACCCGGACAGTTACCAGGCCCTGGACCGCAGCAGCGGAAGGGTAGTATGGCTAGTGTTGCTAGCGTTGGTGCTTCTTAGAATAGCTGACACTGTCTCTTGCCGCCGTCCTGCGATCGGCCAGGTAGGATTCAGGCTCTGTTCCAAGGTCGTGTTTTTAGGTAGTTCGGGATCTGCACTACGGATACGGTCTGTGTACCTATCTGAGGTTCTATGAGCGGTTTCACGTGTATATGAAGCATCGGGATGGCATTTTTTCTGGTTGGCGGCACCGACATGACTTGGTATGTCGTGGCTATAGAAGGTTCTTCATTGGGTGCTATTGAGATACCCCCTTTCCGTATTACAGTCGCTTGTACGATTAGAATGCTGATTAATGCTCTTAACTTCAAGGGTGGTATAGGTGTGGCGTTTAGAGAAGACACTCAATCTTCCACTAGAAAGTTCCACTAGAAAGTTTGAGCGGAGGATTTTCACAACCGGGAGAGGGTTTTATATGTGATCGCTTTATTTAAGGCCTACCTAGGTACAGCATGTTATCATTGACCATGGGACATAACTAGGGTAGAGTCTACTTATTAAACCTCTTGCTAGAATTAGGGGGAACGTTAATAGGATGTAAATCACTTTCCCAAATCCCCCCTAGTTGTGTCCCCACATTAGGGGACAAGTTGCAGTACGCAGATAAGACCAGACTACCCCCTGCAGCACTATTCCGTAGCACTTGAACGCCGGTTAATGTAAGCCGCGAAATATTCCAACTGGATCAACTTCCACCGGTCAATATAGGCAAGGATATAATCTGGGTCCTTGCTGAGGATTTGATGATCCTTCAGATTTAGAGTAATCTTGGCTCAGCCTCGTTCTCAATAGATCCTTTCCTGCATCCTCCGCCCTTCGAATACGACTCCATGAGCATAAATTGAAAGACATTTCTCATTCCTGCTAACCTCTCTGCTAATCAACACAGCTCTTAGCACTCGATGGCTTCTCCAGCAACACCTGCCGCCCACCGCGTCTTTGCAATCGCCGAACTCTTCAATCTCATCCTCACCTTCGCGCGACCAGCCTCCCACCGTGTCTTCGAAAGCCTAACCCTCTTCGATCATATCCTAAGCCTCGTCTCGCCCCAGGATCTTCTTATCTCCTGTCTGCGCGTCAGCCGAGAATGGAACGACGCCATATCCAACAGTCTCATCCTCCAACAGCGACTCTTCTTCAAACCCTGCGATTACCCTGATCCCTCCAAAGTAGACTGGGATCCTGGTGTACCCAATTCTCTATTCTATAGCCCAAACGAACCAGGTTATACAGACTATACCCTAAACCCGTTCTTGATACGAGCCTTTCCCAGGTGGTTTTATGCGCCCGACGATATGGCCCAGCATTGTCGCGGCGACAACGAGATCAGCGGCCGGGATTTCGTGAATCTGCCTTGGAATAAGAATCCCGAAGTCTGGCGGAGGAAAAATGCGAGTTGGCGGAGAATGGAGATTGCGCAGCCGCCTTGTTTTTGGATCAGTGTGCAGGCATATAAACCAGATTTCCGCATCTTAGACGGTGTGGAGATCTTGCGTGATGAAGAGGGTCAACTATCCAAGGGGAGGGGGTTTACGGTGGGTGAGATGTATGATTATTTGGAGAGGGTAGCGATGGATCCTGATGAGGAAGGAATGGTGGCAGATTTTGAGATTCGGATAAGGAGGGAGGCGTGGGAGGACGGAGAGACAGAGTTGCAGGTTACGTTGAGTTTTAGAGACGGAGAAGAGGATGGGGACGAGTGGGAGGGGGAAGTTTGGGGGGAGGAACACAAGAGGAGGTTTCGGAGTGAGGCGTTTGAAGTTTTTGATATTGAGTTGTCCGAGGAGTATCTTCCGCCTGTAGGATGATGGACTTTGGTTTTTTTGCTTGAAGTTGTTTCCACATTTTTTTCTTGAATTCTACAGCATGTTATTACATAGCGTGGAACATAACTAGGCTACTTTCTATCTGTTAAGCTTACTAGAATTTCGGTGAGTGCTATTAGGATCTACATTTCTACCTTAAATTCCCTTGCCATGTTCTACGTTAGGGGACAAGATACAAGACAAATTTTTTCTACAGGATTTCCTGTATCTCCGTTTGATACTTAGTATTTGCGAATGCTTTGTTTTTCATTCTTAGCAGAAGGTTGATAATTCCCTCTAGCGCACACTCCTCGGTACTCTAGTACTATTCTTCTTCTCAACTAATCTGCTTCATCTAGGGCGCTAGGGACATCATGGCCATGGGACGACTCGGCCATACAGCGAAATTCAAACACAAGAGACTGGTCTTCAAGAATTATTATTTGCATGCAGTATAAGACACCTGGTAGCTTGGCCAGGAGCAACACATATTCTGTGACTGCGCTGGCTTTTGGCCGCCGAAAATGACCAGGCCATTGAATTCCGTAGCCCACAATCACCAGGACGGTCCGCTATCTTCCTATCCCTAGGTAACAGAAACACCTAAGCATGCTTGTAAGCAAGCTTTACCAGGCACTTTCCCTAACCCAACTCCCCAAAACCCTCCCTGCCATCTAGAACCATAAATCCCACCCAGCGTAATCTAGCGTCTCATTTATCCCCCACACACTCTCCATAGGATATATAGCGCATCTGCCACAATGGAACCCATAACACCAACACACATCTACATCATCCTAGAAACCTACATCCTCTCCCAAAACGCCAAACTCACAGCTCCCGACATCCTAGCCTACCACCCAAGTTCTTTTACCGTTGAAGAGATATCCCGCGCCGAAAAGGGAAACATCGGAGAATTGCACGTCGAACTACGCTCCTCATTCTCGCTCTCTTTCCCAGGGTCCCCACAACTACGACACCGCCATCACTGCCTTCAACGCCAAAGCTAGTACCAATACCTCGGGAGAATCTCTGCACATAACGCACCTGTCGCGTACAGCTATCCATCTATATATATCCTTCTGCTGTGCTAGCTGGGAGGTTGACCTTTTGGCAAAACGCAACAGCACCTCTATTCCCTCGGCATAAAAAGGTGGACCCTGGATCCCGAAAACGCGGATGGAGAAAGGGGACCTGAGACTAGAATGGAGGGATGAGAGACTCAAGCCTTAGTGAATACATGAGCGCGAGGGGAATTTGATAAATTGTTGTCTGCGGACGGGGCGTAAGGCGGTGGGGGGTGGTTTGGTGGTGGGAGCGTGTGAAGGTAGAGGTTAGGGGGTAGAGTGGAAGTGGATGAGAAGATAGATATGGATATGGAAATATATGGGGATAGGGTAGGAGAAGTTGTGGGAATGGACAGGGAGGAGGATGTAGAAAGCGAGAGTGCTGAAGAGGGAAAAGTGGGATGACGGAGGTGTGAGGGCGTTGGGGTGAATATCGATGGATGAATCAAGGAGAACGGAGATCCTGCAGAAAGGGATGTGAGTAGTAAGATTTTGTTGGAGGCTTGAATAGAGACACCTAGAGAATATCCTTTGGAGGATAATGCCGGTTTGCTCAAGAGGCTTATACTTACTCCATCATGGTGGAGTGCAATAAAGATTGTCAAATAAGAGCCCTCCAAGAAACTCAATGTCATTGCTAGATTCTATTCTAAAGATGCATATAAATGTATGTCGCGAGAGCGAAAGCAACCTAAAACTCCACACGAATGCAGAAATCCCCCACCGTCTAACTGGATCCCGCGGCAAAGAAACTCAAAAAGCTACCTACAGTCAAGCCAGCAACGAGACACAACGACATGAAGCCACCTGCGGCCTCACGTTCGTCTTCGTCCACCCATTCTACGAATCCCATCATACAATTGCTTCCAATGTATCCGTTAGAGAGACCGAACAAGAGCTGAACCACCAAGAGATAGAATACATCAGAACTAATTGTAGCCCCCTTGCCGCGTAGATTGCAAAGCAGATACATGGGGATAAAAATGACTCTGGAAATAGACAAGATGAAGAGAAGGCGCGGCTTGGAAGTGAGGGTCAAGCCGGGGATGGCTGGAGAAACACGGCCAATCAAATCTCCGATATTCCAGAGGAGGAAGGCGAAGGGAATGAAGGAAGCTGGCTGGAAAAGGCGAGGTGCTGAGTGAGGATCCCGCACGCTCTGGATTTGCTGGGTAAAAACGGGGAACATCATTGTTACGGCAAAAGTGAGGAAGACGGCACCGGCGAGCCAGAAGAGTTTCTTCAGAAGCCTTACCAGAGGCACAGACTTACGCACGAAACGTTCGGGATCGTTTTCGCTGTCTTCAGAGTCAAGCGAACGTTTGATACGCTGTCTCGGGCTATGTCGGGATAAGAGGAAGGCGAACGCAGCAAGAGTGACTGTTGAAACCACGGAAGCGGTGAGGAAGTAGGCGAATGCGGAGGTGCTGGACTCCAGAGGTGCTCCTTGTTCAGACTTTTTCTCCGGTACAGAAAGAACAGATACGATTTGGGCAATACAAGGGAGCACTCCAGCAACTCCTTGGCCGGTCATGATGCCTTGTGTGTATTCTTCCCGTCCGAATCCCGACACAAACGCAAAGACACCATTCTGACATAGGCCTGTGGCCAAACTGGCACTGAAGACCACGAGCATTAAGAATGCAAAGTAGACACTGGCCGTGACGCCAAGAAATAACCTTGTGGACACGGCAAGCAATGTGAAGACGACAATGTTGAGCACGAGGGAAGCGACTATACGCTTTGGATATGATGCACGAGCCTGAAGCTTTGTCAAGAGTATCATGGATCCTAGGTTACCGACTGTGGAGACGGACAGTTCGGCAGACTGGAAGTTTCGGAGTAGTCGGTCGTCTGACTCGAAGCGGCGTTGGAAGTAGGGGCCGGCGGCTAAGAACATATTCCTGGACTAAAGTTAGAAAAGTCGCGGTATTGACTGCATGAGTTGTAAGTCTTACCATGCCCAAAGCATGGCAACCCCGAGCAATAGGAACACGGAATAGTCGAGCCATGAGAAGGGTTGCTGCTTGGAATGGGGTATCGGCTCTCCATCTGGACTCTCCGAGCCGCCTTCCAAAGGCTCATACAAAGTCTTCCGCTGGAGCAGTCTGCGTATTCGCTCCATTTTCCTCTAAAAGAGTGTTCTGTAGTGGAATGAAGTGTTTCGAGGAGCTGTAGCGGTTGCAGGCACGTCTTCAGCAATGATTAAAGTGCAAATAAGAGAGCCCCCAGCAGGCAGTCATCTTCTACCTGTAGTCTGCAAATGTCGAGGGTGAAGGCTGATGAACCACAGGGCGCAGGTGACAGATGTTGTTCACGAGGGTGAGGTCGCCAAGACTGTATTAGTAAGTTAATCCAAAATTGGACTAGGGCTTGTTGACGGCCAAACTGTCCAAGACCCCCCAAAGAGCCCTTCGTCTTCACGACACCGCCCCGAACTTTGCGGCATTCTGCGCCCTGAACCCACCATGGCTTCGTCCGGGCCACAGAAGATTTCCGTCAAGCGGAAGCGCGATGATGTCCCCGTGGAAACGCTGAGTTTGATTTGCCTGCTCTCTTGAAATTGGACCCTCAGAACTGACTTCCACCAGTAATGGAAACAAATGAAACTACGAGGGCCAAGAGGGCCATGAGAAAGGATGGGGGAATCATCTGGAGATTAGTAAAGGAACTTAGCTCCATGCAGATTGTACTGCCTCTAACTTAACGTAAGGTTAATGACGACCAAAAGCGGATATCGCCACGTGCTTCAAGCTTGGCCCCACGTCTAACGCGCTCTCAACCGGCAACCCCCCGTCCGCATTCCCCTTCTCTCCAGGAGGCCCGTTCATCAGGAACCGTGACTCCCAGGATTTTCCATCTTTCTCGTGGCAATGATAGGGCGATTCTGGTTGAAAAGAAGGGTATAAGTCAACCGGTCTCCTCCGTGGACAAGACGTCTTCCCCACTGGCTCCCCTTAGTTCCCCTGCTAGTCCTGTTCTAGAGGGTATTGCGGAGAGGACACCTAAAATTCGAAAACTCCCAGGGCGGAGTACAGTCACTCTATTTCGACCTGACGACCAAATAGTGAAAAGGTCGCAAAATGAGATTAAGCAGCCTTCAGAGGATGTTGTTCATATGCTGGAGCAGTTTGCAGAAGATATCGCCAAGAAAGAAGCCGCACCTGTCCCTGCACGAAAGCAGCCAATGAGGTTCAAACCAAGAGCTCCGGCGTTGAGGTACAAGGATCGTCACCCAGAGAAGGCCGATGCCATGAATATCGATAACGACGACTACGTTTACGACACCTACTACCGTGAAGAAGTTATGCAAGATGCAGATGGTCCGGCTCTCGAACCCAGTGCGTCTGTTGGTATCATCGTTATCGAAGAAGATGACGAGGAGTTATGGGACGGATATGGCGAGGAAGAGGAAGAGAGCGACCGCGTATACACCGACGATGAGGATGAAAATGCGGAGGATTATTATGCGAATGATTATCCAGAGGATGAGCTTGATTCCGAGGACGAATTCGGCACTAATCCGTATCGGTACCATCACGGTTCAGACCAAGAAGAATACGATGCGGTAAACGACCCCTGGAGTGACGACGACGTTGACGCATTGGATCGAGACCATGACTTCAGGGATAGACTTAACGAGAAGTCTCCTTTAAGAAAGCTTCACCTCGCTCGACCAGATGAGGATCACAATATGGAAGTTTTGTAATTTCACGACCTTTCATCCCATCGACAGAAATGGTGGTCTTAATGTCATAGAGAAACGATGCTAGGATTTATCATCGTGCAACCCTCCATGATCTTTGAGCCGAACCAGACTCACTTACAAACAAGGCGTTCCAAGTTACGACGAACTCACACTTCTTCAGATTAGCCCGAAGGGTAACACTTCTCATCTCGCTTGCACGGCACACATGGAATTTTACAAAACTGTTGTTTGCCTACCAATAATTGTTCCTATGATAGCCTGCCTTGACGGATAAATGATAGTGCGTCCGAACCATTCCCAAAACAAGCCTTCGAATTCATGTGCACAATTTCAGCAGAACAAATGCTAACCATTTGTAGGGTAAAACTTCACAGTCCTTCGTTGACACCTGGGCAATCCTACTTCAGAGAGTATTTGGCGGCCCGAACATCTCCTCTAACACACGTAGGAAATCTTCTTTGTTCAGCTCTGTTATCCTCCGCCTGAATGTTTCCTTATTTGTTTCTTTACGTTTCTTCGTATCTCCAGACTGTCTTGCGTAAATCAGTCCCCATTCTGGCATCAGTCTATACGCCTTGCTTTGGAGGCCTTGCACGGTTCGTTCGTCCTTGTACCTGGTTTGGTAGGCCTCGCATGCTTGGCTCCACGTCAAGTCAAGCATGATATGCAGATACAGAATGGCAATAAGTTGCTCGCTTGTATATTTCGGGCGGTCAGTCACCGTGGAGTTCGGTCTAGATCCTGGTGATGTGCGACGTGTGCACTTTGAGTCTTGGAATCTTGAAATTGCAGCTGAAGAAGGAACCGCATTCCAAGACGGTGTCGTGTGTGAATCTAATCGCGTAACCGGTGAGGAAGTAGAATTCACTCCTACTATAGGCGTGATCCGAGATCTGGACCCCTGATATTGAAGCGTTGCGTCCCCCTTGGTACATCCAGGAGCAATTGTTTCCAAGCTCATTCTAATCTGGAATAAGCCCGATAGGTCTTACCGTATTATGGGGAATTTCGACTTCTCCAACTTACGGGTTATTGGCCATACGCCGGGACGGCGAGCTATGTGATCCATGTGGCATATCTGTGGTGGAAACACGCTTGCGGCTGTTCGACTCTGCGCAACGAGGAGCAACCAATAACTTCAGGCTGGTGAAGGGAAGAATGGAAGGGGGGTGAAAGCCTTTGCAATCTGACCCTTCTTTAATACTCCGCGTTGAGCTCATATATGGAGTACCGAACAAAGCTCACTACCCATCATTCACATCAAAATGAGATACATATTTCTGTGGAAGGCTTTCTGTATTACATCACCGGGCCACACAGACCCCAACACGAATCCAAATGTTGCCTTGTCAACTCTCTTGGACTTTTTCTTCAGACCACTTTTACACATGGCCGGTCTAGAACGAGAGTACAGGGCTGCTGGAAAGAAGAAGGCGTTTTTTGATCACAAATCAAGGGGTCCCGTTTCTGAACTACCCACTGCATGTATATGTCCAATCGATCCATTTCCGTAGCTACGGTTCCGGTAAATGAGTAGTAATCTTGCGTAAAGGACCCTCAGGTCGGTATTTGTTTCGTAATTGAATTGGAAATTTCAAGGTTTACACGGCAGAGTTTCCCTGCTGGGTGGCTTGGTTATCATTACTTTTGGGGACCGAAGCAGACAAGAGTACTGAAGAAAAACTCGGTCCGAACAGTCCTCCTAGGCCGCTATCACAGGGGTCAGCTCGAACGTTCTCGATCTGCATGCTGCATTCGTGGCTTCCTTCCTTTGTGTCGGCGTTCTCGGGCGTGGGTTCTTACACGCGTCTGAATGCTGTCCTACCCAAGCTTACAGAACTCATTTTCCTGACTCCGCATCTATCTTAGGTGGTTGCCACCAAGGCAAGACAGAAAGTTTGCGCCGTTCCTTTACCCTGGTTCCCTCTCTTGTAACGATTTCGGTGAAAGGTAACACGATTTTCAGATTCGCATGCCGACTGGGCCATTTGAGTACGATCCAATCTTACTGTTGCTCTGTTTTACGCCAAGGTGTATATGCCTAGTGCAAGACACTACCCCACGACCTGAGATGTCCCGGGTCGAACCGTAGACTTTCCAGCCGACGTCGCAGGCATTTCCCTCTCCCGCGTCCACTGCCGTGAGCGTTAAGGTTGCTGGCACCGGGAGCCATTCAATGCATGAAATACTTGCTTGCATGGCGCTGCATGTGCTCAGAGCGCCACTGCCAAGCAAAAGACCACCTTTAAAGTTAGAATGCGCGCGGAGCACTAAGTCCGGAGCGTGTGGAAGCCTTCCCAGGGCGAATGCCGTCCAACCGGAGGGACATGCGTAGCGAAGGAGTCTGTGGAGGTACATTCGACTGCCAACGGGATTAGCTTATTTTGTAGGCAACCCTCAGCCCTTTGCATCTGGCCATTTGCACGACCTTCAGGTGCAACATTACCCTCCCCATGATCGCCGATTGCTCATGGGCTGTATGGTCTCGTTGAAATTGCCTACTGAATGGTTATACGTCGGGTTTTCAGTCATGAAGGTACTTCCTGGTTCGGTTTCTCTGGTTTGCTGGAGTCGTCGACTCTCTTGGACCACCGCCTCGTGCCCTCCTGAGTCTTCACTGCCCATTTCCACGGATGAACGTGCTCTTGGACTGCCTCTAATTTGTCTTAGGCCTTGAGACACGCGCTGAGACGTTCAGTCCTACCAGATGATGGGGATGCATTCCGGTTTTTTATTGGATTTGTCACCGATGTCGGCTGTAGTCGGGCAGACACCGACACCGCACAGGATGGATGACCAGGAGGACCTCGAGCTCCGGCCTACATCACTTTGGCCAGGGTCGGGCCGCACACTTCTGCCCGAGCCTCTGTCCCTTTTTCAGTACCTTCACGTCTCCTATCCTTTCCTCTGGTAACTTTCTTCAGGTGATTCCTCCTCGCACCAATCACGCGAGCGTGCGGCACAGATTCTTGGCTCTCGACCCGCATAGAATGATCACTTGACCGTTGCGAAAGCCTTTGGAGGATGCCTCTATACGCGGTCGTGGTATGATGACGTTGCCACCCAATACCATTTTCATGCTCCAAGATAAGGCTATTCCTACAAGTGCGACGAAGCCGACTTTGAGCAAAGGTGACAGCTCACAATGACTCAACCTAGCCCGAGAATAGAATCTTAGGAGCATCTTTGGAGTTCCTGCGCCACCCTTCTCTAGAGTATATCTTCCTGCCTTTCCAACATGTGTAATTGGAGACGCAAGCGCTGTTGTTAGTTCAGTGAGCTATCTTCGAGACAAAGGCTGGAAGTGATACTTCACCTGGCTAGACCATGGTGGCTCGGGGCTGGAAACAGAACGAAGTGGACAATCAAATCTTTGTGACACAAATAGCCTCTTTGTTCAAGAGCCTAGCCCAAAATCTTGGCATTCTGTGTTTGATTCCTCTTCTTTCGAACGATACATGAGGAGGAGAGAACAATGTCACCCTGAACACTGGTAGTATTGCTACCTCTCGTCTCTCTTCTCCCTCCACTTTCTATCATGTCTCTCCCATTCATGCATTCCCCGCAGTGCATTCACCATGTGTTCTCCACATTCATCCACACAATTTGCTTATCAACCACACCTGATCCCCACCACGCTGCTAGCACTTCTCCACATTTCCCAATAACCCTTGCACAAATGCGTCTTGACGAATTACGTCTTCGGCAACGCTCGTGCCGATCAGCACGCTCTTCGGTACACGATTCACCTTTCTCTTCGCGCCATAGTGTTCTGCCGTCCACAAAAGCGACTCTGCGTCCTGCCCATGAAACTACGGAATCGGGCAACCCTGAAGACAAAGAGGCACAGCATCCCCCGATCTTCATTGCCGAGGAATAGAACGAGACTCCATGTTGAATCGTCGTTCCGCGAACCGGGAATTGGGGTTCTAGTTCATCGCATTGAACCCCTTTTATCGTCTTAGGGTTGTAGACAGAATATTGCCACGCTTAGGAGTGTCCGCGAAGAAGCACTTAAATCCGGCTCGTATTTTTGTTGATTTTATTTCGCAGTTGACGGCTTCTGCTGCATGTCGTGTAACCATTACGAAAAACTCAGCTACGAAATCTGATGGAGGGGCAATACTATTTCAGTTTGCCTGACTCTCTCCCTGAACTTCATTTTTTTATTTTTTAATTGCGGATTCTATCGTTTACACAACCTCTCCATTGGGACCCTACTAGTCGTACATGCTCAGAGTTCGAGAAGCGGCATTCCGGCACTTGACTCGGTTTCCTTCACCGCTTGATTACGTCTTCTGGTTTCCTTATGTGGTCCTTTCCACACGGATTTTCGCCACCACCATCTATACGTTAGAGGAAGACAGCTCTGCTTCTATTGACAGCACGCATAGGGCTCCTTGAGCAGGGAGGGGTTTCCCCACATCACTGCCACCTTAAGTCACGTCAACCAGATCTCACCAGCTCGCTAGCGTTGCTAGTAAATCTGCAATTGAGTCCAAATTGAGTTTAGGAACATTCACTCATGCATCCCTAACAACACTGTCAGCATTACTCTTACACCTTTTCATTACTCTCGTCCTTGACTAGCATATTTCTGCTAAAGGAGGCAAAGAATCGCGTCGTAGGTCTGGTATTTCACCACCAATTAGTATGCACCTAATAATTCCTTCTATCAATTACCCTCTAAGGACGACCGCATCTCACCCCCCTCTTTGCGATGCCATCTCTCATCCAGGGCAATTTCATCTCGCTCTTTACTTCTCTTCGTTTTGCATTATCGGTGGCCGCCTCGTATGCTTTGATGCTCGGAGTGATGCCTCGAGGTGAGCCATTGTGCTAAGTACCACACACTACATCTAGACACAGATATTAACTATTGACATATACCGTAGCGCCCCCCACTTCTTAGTAGATAAACGCCCCAGCGAATAATACCGAACAATTCCTGTGATCCTGGTTACGGTGTTTACCATCGTAGCTAAGAATTTGGGGAGTCAGGGTATGCATCTAGCAAACGATAACCCTAATCTGGGGCATATTGGGCACCACTGCGAATGTGCCTGCCGCTGCACCCGCGACGGCGAAAGCGACACAAGCAGAGTAATCACAGAGGGGGGGGCCCTCAGAGAAACCTCCACCAACAAGCTCAGTCAGTGTGCCTGTCGTCGAAGACCAATTGGGTGTTCCGAACTTGTCCGAAGCATGACTCCGGCACGCACATCAAGCGATAGCGGTACTGAATCCCAGTACACACATCCGTACCGATTCAAAGAAAGAACCATAAAGCGAATGGAGGTATAACATGTTGGCCAGGGTTCGAAGGCATTTATGTATCGGTGCCACGAGGAGGATCGTTTTAGAGGAGAGAGTAAAGCCCTCCATATGATATCTCATAAGCATAATCTAGCATATATATAAAAGAAATTTAGTCCTATGCAGCGGATGCAAATCTAGTGTATTAAGTGCATTTATAAGAACGGTAGACATTCGTCATGCGCATGTTTTACAGGATCACATTGATCCATTCCGTGGGAGGAATAAGATATTCCCCGTACTGTGGTAACTGAATAACAAGCCATGGTAGTCATCGAGTAAGTGGCGGCGATGGGGATGCTTTCGAGGAGTTCGACGGACCGTACTCGTTAGTGAATTGGCCGTACCTCGGCCGTGGCTCACACTCATACGAGTGGGTAGGTTGCGGAGATGTTGTTTTGCATTCGTAGGCTGTAGTCTACCGGGCAGCGAGATGAAGACATGTCTCGTGATAGAGGATATGCCATGATAGTAAGTTCGTCACATTGCGTCCTTCCACTTGAAACGTGAACAACAGCCGATGCGTGTTTCAAGCGCTCTTGATCCTTGGCCTGATGCCAATCCATCATATCTTTTACTGCGCCTCCTTCAAACACCTCCCTTCCGCCTAGCCTTTCCCCTTTCCCGCCTCCTCTCTCTCTCTATCTTCCTCGCCTGGCTTAAACTCGGCCCCAATCCCTCCTCACTATGTTTCGTCACCTCCAATGCCTCAGGGCTAACTTCATCCAGTAAAAATCTACCCAATAGCCCCTGTCTCCATCGCTGAATCATCCACAACGCTGCAGCCTCAGTATCGAATTTCCCTTTCTTACCCAGCCGGCCTGTTTGCTCTGCAATGTTTTCCAAGAGGTCCATGATGTTGTTCGTGGGAAAAGAGTACGAGGCGTAGAGCGACGGGTCGATGAGGTTGATATGGTAAAGGAGGTAGTCTGCTAACAGGACGGGAGAGATAATTGTGTCTTTTACGCTACCGCAGAGGGAGAGTTTAAGCATAGCTTCTGCATCCGGGACGTAGGGGATGAATACACCTGGCGTATCTAAGAGATACACACCACCGCCGACGCCTTTGTACTTCCCACCCCCGGAGCTCCTCACGTCTCCACTCCCTGGGAGCTCGTCGTCATCTTCACTAGGGATAATCTTGACCCCCGTAGCAATCTTCCTCGTAACCCCAGGCTGATTCCCCGTCAGCGCTGCCTTTCCTTTCCCGGTACCATGCGCACGCAACGCATTTAACAATGTACTCTTGCCGACATTCGGCATGCCCACAATCAGGAGTCTATGACCAATTAATTTCCACTGATTCCTCGCATGCTCCCTCAACATGTCCAACAAGTTCGCTATACTCTTCTTCCCCGCACCAAACCGCTCCTTCTCTTTCTCCTTCTCCCCCGCCCCAGTCCCCGCCCTCGTAAACACAACTGGCACACTACCATGCCACTCCCTAACTATCCGCTCGTTCTCAGCATCCCTCTCCGGACCTCCGAGATCCCGTTTCGTGTACACGACAATGCGTTCCTTGCCCTCTAAGGCGGACTCGAATAACGGATTGCGGGATGTGAGCGGGACGCGATAGTCGCGGCATTCGAGCACGAGGTCTATTGTGCCAAGTATTGCTTTCATTTTCTGGAGGCCCACTTTGTGGTGGCCGAGGAAGTAGGAGCGGGGAAGGGAGGGGAGGGATGGGAAGGAGGTTCGAGGGATGAAGGACATTGTTGGTTGTGGAGATGGGGATGCATTGTTAAGGGGAAAATGTTTGCGCTATGAGTTTGACATTGGGTTTGTGCAATGTGCGATCTGCTGAGCTTATGCACTTGGAGTTGCAATGGAAAAGTGAAGTTGGAACCTTTTCTGGCGCGAGTCATGCGACTTCACTGTCTTGGCATGCGTGAGTCGGACCTCGATACTAATTGAAAGCTACCCCTCGAATAGACATCTATAGGAAGTGTACAACCATTATACGGCATCGCATTAAGAGAGCAGATATGTCACCATGATCCATGAAGTTGTAAGAGTGTTTTCCAATAAAGCTATCTACAACTGATTCCTACCAAGCAGGGGAAAACAAGCGGATTATTTTTTGGGTTGAAAAGGGACGGGGGAAAACATGCTCGCAAACAAACAGGGAAAACAATGAAGGGTTACAAGGAATTAGAGCATGTGCATAGCGTTCACGAGCGCTTTCTAGTGAGAAAAGACAACTCATCTCCTCTGCAACACCTCCGCCAGGTCCGCGGAGATCAAGCCTTCGTCAGAGTGTCTGGTGCTGGGGTCAACCAGGACAACGGGAGCCACCATGGTGGTGCAGATCCACTCATGGCGTAGTTGTGGCGGGTGGGGGTATTGAAGAAGTCACAGTTTTAGTGCTGGTCGTGGAGTAGGACTTAGTAGGTAGCACAATATCGAGTGGGTAGCCCTTCTTGCATTTTTTGTCCTCCCTAGGACCCCTAATCGTCACTTCTTGTTTGTCTTCACCCGCATTCTTCCATTTGGCCTCGCCGCAGATTCGGTAGTCCGAGTAAGGGTGTTGAAGCCAGACAGACTTCTTCAAACTGCCGCGTTCCTCGAGTTCCTCGAGACTCAGGGTTGCTCGTGGGTCGGCGTTCGCGTAAACAGGGACGTCTAGGTCAGGTCAACGCTGCCAAACCAAATGCAGATAAGAAGGTGAAAACACGTACCATAAAAAAGCCAGTCTTGGGCATCGCGAGCCGCAACCGTCTCAGTGGCTTCAAAGGTTTGAGTTGTCGAGCTTTGCTCTGGCCAAGTACATTTCCTTAGGATATCGGGACGATTCTTGCACTCAAACCGAAGTCTCTTGTCGCCCTCTAGCCAGCATTCGTAACAGAGAGTAGATCCAGTCCAGGGATGCTTCATGAACACACCCTTCGGCTCGAACTTTGGCTTGTCCTTTGCAGCCTTGCGTGGCTTCGGGGTTGGGTTAGCCCGTGGCTCCAGATTTGGTTTTGTGGAATAGTAAACAGTCCTGGTAACCTCAGTCGTGTACGGCTCTGGGATGGGCGATTGTGCATTGTCGAAAGTCCAAGAGGTCATGACCTTCTTCTCGGCGATCTGAGTCGTGGTATAAATCACTGGTGGACTGCATGAAAACTTGACAGAACGAATTATGTCGTCGTCGTCGGGAAATTTGCGGCACCCCTCGAGCATCTCTGGCACTTTGAACTCGAGGTCCTCGAAGTAGCGTAAATGTGGGGCGCGCTCGGTTGGACATCCGCCCTCCGTATAGATGGTAACCTTACACTCAACTTTGCCTTTCTCCACATCGCCCTTCCATTTGAGGTGTTTGTCCTTGTTCGGTTTGTGGATGCTGATGGAGTGCGCGTCAATGTTCTTGCATTCGTCCTTCTTGATATCGATTTGCTTGGTGAAGGGATGGCCAGTGCAATCGTGATCGGCGAACTGACTGAGGCGAATCTTGTCTTTCCGCCCGGCGTTCGTGCCGAGGACAAGGAGTGCAAGAGTGACGACCTGGCAGAGTACGTCGGTATGTGATAAAGAGCAGAATACATGGATTGGGGCCACTTACCAGGCGGATGGGCACCATGATCACACACTGACTCTAGCTGAAGCTCCAATTGATGCTGCAGCTCAAGAGTTAGCCATTGGAACTCGAGAGGACAACCAAAGGAAGGTAGAGATACCTAAAATCAAGCAGCAGTGTCCAAGTACCCAAGACCTGTGATGAAGAGTGTTAGCAGCGAGTAGCTGGAGACGAAGTTGAGGTGGTAGAATCAGATGGATAAATGGCTGCAGATGGGGAGAGGAAAGCGTAAAGGCGAGAAAGTGGTAATTGGTAAGAGAATGAGTGAATGGGACAAGAACAAAGGGACAACGTACCCTTGAGCCGATGTCGAAGTCCAAAGTCGAGGTGGGAGACTCGGAGCGTGGTGGGAGACAAATGAATCGACGAGACGAGCCCTTCTTAAGGGTTTCGACTGAAGGACGATGTGGTCCGCTTATGTTGACCTGGTGACCTGAGAGAGAAACTACTCAAGTGGAAGCAGGATGTGCCTCCTTAACCTGGGATCGAGCTGCAATGGTCGGCGGGTGCGCGTCAAGTATTGGCTGCAACATCCGGTGGAATCGTGTTTTGGGGCGTTGAGATGGCAGGGCCGAGGCGAGAAGAGAAGGTCCCCATCGATCTTAGAGTTCAGCAACGGAATCATGGTTGAGCATAATGGTGAAGAGGATGGAAGCTTCGAGGCTAGGAAGACAACTTTCCTGGGATATACGTAATCTGCTCTTGAGATGAAAGAGCGATAGAGCACAACCAGACAACCCTCAGCCAAAACACGAGACAACCCGCAGAAAGACCGCAAACGCCAGTAATCGCCTGCGGAAAACATAGGTGTAAGGCTCGCGAAGTTCAAGAGTAGCAGGCCTGGAACATGATATCAAAACAATACCAATCCACCAACCCACCCATCAGCACCATCTGTATACAACTCCTGACGCCTGAATCCACCCACAAAGACTACAAATCTTCAGACTCACTACTCAAGACCCTCTATTCACCAATCTCCCCAACTTTCATCTTTCTTTTCTCCACTCTTCTTAACCGCACTCGTCCCAATCCCGCTTGGTTTCTTCTGTCCCCCAACTCCCAAACTCCCTTTACCCTGACTCCCGCCCCCGACACCTGAAAACTCATCCCAAAAGTCTTGTTTATCTTTACTCGGCCCCTTTGGTGGAGCACCAAAGTCATCCCAAAAATCTTTCTTATCAGCCGCAGGACCATCCGGGGGCGCTCCGAAGGAATCCCAGAAGTCCTTCTTCTCGGGCTCGACGGATCGTTTGGCGTTGGGATGGGGTTTGGGGTTATTGGGGGAGTGCTCGTCACCTTCGACGAAGCGGGTGAGGGCCGTGGCAGCGCCGGTGGTGGTGGATTGGATGCCTTGGCCAAGGGTGGCGGCGGTGTTGCGGGCTTGGGCTGCCAGGTCTGCTTCTGCAAGCTAAATAAACATTAACATCACCATCCCTCGTGGAATGGGGTGCAGCTTATTGTGTGGGGGAGTAAACCGCAACTCACCTTCTGTATCCCCGGCTTCACCCACCCCTCATACCCCGTCTTCCCGGCCTTACTCACACTCGCGCCCAACCACCCAAACCCCTTCGTCAACGCTGCCACTGGATCCTTCTGAAAATCATCCAGTGCAGGTGGCGCCCCCAGCTCCTCCTCCTTCTTCCAATGCTCCGGCTCGCTCCCGAAACCTGCGAACTTGCCTCCCTGATTCGGCGGTAAGTCCTCCCTGCGATTCGCATTCTCAGCGCCCATGCGCGAAAAATACGCTTCATTCTGGGTTTTCTTGGACAGTGATGCTGTGCCTAAAGCAGGCGATCCCGAGCGCTGAAACCCGGGCTCATTACTCCTCGTTCTGCCCAACGGTGTCTGACTCCTACTACCGGGCGTCGCGCGGCCACTTAACGGCACGCTCGCACCCGCTCCACCCACGGCGTCCGCGATCTTCTTCGGCACGCGCTTCGGCAAGCTGCTCTTATCAAACTCCCTCCCCTCAACCTTACAGCTTAGTCTCTCCTTCCACTCATCACCCGCCTCGCTATCATACCGCTCCTGAATGCTACTCTCCTCAAACGTCCTACTCTCCTTCGTATTCGACGGATGTGTGTTGAAAAAGTCTTGGAAGGGCTTGTTGCCGCCGGCAGCCATGCGCACGAGTTCAGCGCCCTTGAAGGCGTCCATGGTTATGCTGCGGATGAAGGAGATGTGGACGCCCAAGCCACGGTGGACGCCTGAGCAAGAGAGACACATGAAGATGCCGAGTTTGGGAGACGCCTGGCCAAATCATGTAGAATTAGTATTTGTTGGGAGGCAGGCGGGCGAGGAAGAAAAGAGAGCAAGACCACACACCCATTGCGGACTCGGCGCATTGCAGTCCACGCACACATTGTTCTTGTTCGTTTTCTGGATCTCGAGTAGCTGCACAAATATGCAATTAGCATCTGATATGACTAAAATCTGCTCTGCTCCTCGTATACTCCTCCCTATGGAATTCATTCCCTCTGAGACCCTCCAAGTGCAAAGAACCAAAAGGCCAACTAAGCTTACCTTGCTCCTCGTCTCCGGATCTACCTCCCACATTTTACTCATCGTGTCCAGCCGATGCAAAGCCTTGCGACCCCGCCAAATGCGCCGTGAAAGTGGTAACTAGGAAGCGCCGTGGAAGTTGGGTTGGGTTTCGGGCGGAGGTTTCGAAGAGTGGAGGCTCGAGGTTCGAGGGGCACTCGCGACTGAAACAATCCAAGCACGTGCACCCTACTCGCAGCTGACAGGGGTAAATCGTCATATACAAGTGAATATATTTCAATCCAGCAGCAAAGATTCCCTCCTCAGAGAACCTTCAAAGAGGAATTGCACCCGCACCCGCACCCGCACCCGCACCCTCTCGTCTAGTCCAAGACCCGCGTCTAGGTCTGCATCGTTGCACACACTAGCTCCACAAGGCTCATTCCAAGTTATCACACCAACATCCAACCATACAAAATTTTGCTTATTTCAATATAATATTAACGCAACTGTCCAGATCCGCGAAGCTCACCTGTTCGCTATTCTGTCAGATTGCGTGGTTATGACCCGCAGTTGACCTCGAAACCGGGTGACCGTTTCCAGTTCATGCGGTTAGATCCACCGCCATTGAAGACAAGTCCCAATCCCATTCCATTTCCATTTGCCTTTTGGTAGTCCCAAAGAACCCCAACTTCGCAACCCGTCCCGTTCTTCCTCCAGTATTTACGTGATAGCATAACAAAAGGAGAGTCGAATTTACAAATACAAGAAGAGTAACCATTAAACAATGCAATAGCCGTATATAAAGGAATGCGCCTGAGGGAAATGCCCACAAGGTGCTACACACCCACTCTTGTATTGATGTAGAGACCGAAGTCCAACTACAAACCAGAACGCCAATACGCCGATGCTTATGGGGGAATATCAAGAGGGGGCAGCCGAGTAGTCGCACAGTTTTCATAGTCGTTATTCGTTATGGTGTGGGAAGTGTTCGAGGAGATTTCCGAACGTTAGTGGACTTTGGATCTGATCACTTAGGGTGAGGGTCAGGATCAGGGTTGGTGACCTAAAACACATTAGTATGCTGATCAAGTAATAGCTGACACCGAAATACGCTTACATTGAGGGTCCGTCCATAATCCCGTCCATCGTCTAGACTGACAACACTAGCTCGGCTCACATTGTCTAGAGTCATCATAGCGGATGGGTTGAGACGTTGGTCGTAGATGTAGGGGCGGCTGTTTCGCCTGTCCGAACCAGAGATTGGGCTAATCGAATCGTTATCGACGCCGAAACGACTGTTACGCTTGACATTTGTGTGGATGGCTGGTAGTTTTTCACCTGCCAATAGTCCACTCCTGCTCATTGTACTCGTGTTACGCTGGACTCCAGATTGACCTCCGTCTTGTTGCAGCTTCCTTCTCCTCATAAGGAAGAAGGCTAACAGGCCAAGCAGCACAAGGAATACAAGGCCACCTATGACGCCTCCGACGATGGCCCCAATGGGAGTGCCTTTCTTTTGGTGGTCGGTCAAAGCTGGTGCAGCTCCAGCGGAGGATACAACAGTTTGGGTGACAACGACACCGCTGACGGTCAGGGTCTGAACGCTGGTGATAGGCGTGGGGACAAAAGCCTGACTCGGTACGCTCGATGCGGTCGTTTTGAAAGTCGTGGCAGCAGGACCTGGTGCAGACTGGATGTGGACATTAGCGAAAATGGACTCCCAAACGCAAAGAAAACTAGAAGTTAAGGAAAATGGTTCTATCATACAGGTGTCAATGTGACCACCGGAGGGGACGCAGTGACGGTCTCAACGACAGTCTCTGGGTTCTGGTGGGTCTCTTTGGCAGAGGAAACAGGACTTGGCGGAGCTGAAGGAGACTAATGAAATAGTCAAAGGAAAATCCTCTCAGTTTGGGATGGGGACCGGCCAAACCAAACTAATCCAAGAAAATGATCCAACTGAAATTGTAGAACGAGCAACCAATTGGGTATATGGAAAGGTAAATTGAGAAAGAATATGAATAGACGAGCGCGACGATGCAGTAATATCAATGCTTGCAGAGGCAAGGAGAGAAGGAGATCTACTACTGACTGCAGTCGGCTCACTTGATGGGGCGTCCGATGAAGGTGCAGCCGAAGAGCTCGGCGACTGAGAAGAAGCAGATACTGGAGGAGTACTCACTTTGGTCACAGAGGGCTGTGAGGCACTTTGAGTGCCAGAAGGCTTCTTTTCAAGAGCAATGTAGCCAAACAAGCCCTTCTCTTGATTGCCGCACTTCTCGTCTGGAAATCCAGGACAGTCCTCATTGCAATCGCCGGTGTCTTGTTGGTTGGCAGGTATGTAGTCGGAGCACCAACAAGACTGATTCTGGACTACGGCAAAGGCAGCTACGTCTACGCACTTGTCATGGCACCAGCCATTGGATTGCCAGATGTGGACCACTGGAGACCGGGTGTTAGCAAGAGTTGGGAAGATGTACAAAGCAGCACTTACAATCTTCGCTGCCTGAGCCCGTGTTCTGGGAAGAGCAGTAAGAGACAGTGAAATCGGATGCAGCAGTCTGAGCGAGGAGGACAAAGAAGGCTATCGCGGTGATGAAATCCCCGAAGAGGCTCTTTGTAGCGAAAGCCATGTTGGTGGAGGACCGATATGAGGATACAATATTATTAAGCCGAGTGTATTCCTAGCAACTCCGCCAGGTCTATTTTTATTTGTACTTTAATAGTTGAGGTTGCCAGCAAGGAAGGGGTGTGTGGTGGTAGGTGGTGGCTCGTCGAAGAGTTTGGTGATGGTCTGAGTAGGTACAAAGACGCTTGGCAGGGCGGTGACTTGTATTGTACGCCGCCAATGCCGAAACAGCGATTGCTAAGGCGTGAAGGGAAAGACCTCGTGACAGATTGGTGAGGTCCTAGGGCTGCCGGGGTGGAAGCAATGCCGGGAGGTCGTGCAGTGGTGATGCTGCTTGTCGCTAGACGGTGGGCTCTCGCTGCAGGTGCAGCAGAGTAACGATGCCGAATAGTATGCGAAACCTATTCAAAAGAAGGGACTTGTCAGCATTGCTTCCCGTGGCCAGTCAACAATGACGGCGACGCCAGATGGTGATGTGGAATTGTGTTGGGGACTGTGTGAAGGAGCAACATAAAAGAGGGTGGAAAGATGGGCAGCTGGAGGGAGCAGGGAAGCTCGGCCCCAAGAGAGAGGCCACAGCCAAGACTTACTAGGTACCCTTGCACAATCGAGAGATCCGTGCGTGAACACCAAAGCAGGAGTCCCACACGAGCATTGGCCGTGAGTAGATCCGCTGCTCCCGAGGATTTCCAAGGTTCGTCCTGGAGCCCGTCGAAAATTCAAAAATACTATTGCGGCCTTGTCCGGGCTGCTCTGCTGCTGGCGAGAGGTCTCGCGATTTTGAAACGAACAGTCCGCCCCCGCTCTTTACCTGGCCGATGCTCGTGAAGGTCCGAGGATGCTCGCACTCGAAGCAATTACGATAGCTGCCCCTCCTCCTCTCTTGTCATGACGTGCATGAACAGGCTTCGCAGCAAGACACCGACCACAAACCAGCCAGGTCTTCGGCCGTCCGAAAACGCTGTCGTTGCAGAGGTTGTGTCCAGCGTTGCCGTGATTTGCGACTGGTCGTGCGGAGAAGACTGTCTTGGACTGTTGCACTCCTCCCGCGCCCAGTGGATCCTCGCCGGCCAAGTTCCGTCCGGTGACAGGTGAAAAACCGATAGTGTCGAGTTATACCTCTCGTATTAGACAGAGATTTTAGAAGCGAGTGGCAGTCGGGCCTATATTAAGGTCGACAAAAAAAGAAGGGAAAAAGCGAGTGTTTGGGAGTGGGAAGTTGTCAGCTAACAAGGTCGGAAAAGAGAGAAGGAGGGAAGGAGAGGCTGTCTGATAGCGAGATAATATTGTGCCGCTCTCTGCGATCCGATGCTGCTGCTGGGCGCCGTCGAGTCGCTGATCACACGGGCAAATTTAGCAACAGCGTCGTATCGAACGGTATCTTCGCTGCCGGGGACCGCGCGAATTGGCCACAGTTTTGACCACACCAGAAAATAAATCCTGCGGGGCAGCGCCGACACGATAACACGACACTCTGCAGACTTCGAGAAAACCGGATGGATGCCTCGATAAGCAGGTATCCAGCATGTATATATGAAGGCGTTATGAAGCTATTGGAGCAAGGTCAGGGGAGCCGCTGACGGTCTTTTTTCCCCGTACTATTCGCGGAGCTTGCCTGCCAACGAAGAAAGGCAGAAAGCGATCTCCAACTCTTTGTTTTCTGGCGGATGGCACCGTTATGAAACGGCGTGTTCGCCAACTGACACCAGTGCGCGCCCTCGAGCAAATCAGGGTCATCCAGAGGCACCAATGAAGACGGGCGAGACGCCGCATCTCTTCTGCAACCTCCCTCACCTCTTACAGTACACATCCATCCTCAATCTCAAACCGCGCTGATAACCAGCCATGGCAATCTCACGTTTCCCATATGAACACCTCATCTGAACCCGCGTACACTTCCCAATCCCCTGTTCTCTCGCCTGTCAAATCTCCTTCGCCTTCAGCCTGATCTTGCGCGTGTTGCCTCGCCTCCCATCCCCAGCCCAACAAACCCACAAACAAGCATTGTATCTCAACGGACAAACAGCCAGAGCCGAAATTGGGCGCTTCCCGAAGCAGACTTCATCTCCACCCAATGAGCTATGCAAACGCTAAACAAAAACGATCGGGGCTGGCTCCGCGCCGTGGCACAGTCTATCCCTAAACCGGTCTCGCTACCGCCCGCGATGACCCAAGTCAAGCTAAGCGTACACAGAATGATGCAACTGCTGCATCGCGCGACAGGGCTGCTGGCTCCTCCGGGGATGCGCTGTCAGCCGATCGGCAGGGGCGTTGCGGTTGTGTGGAGTTGAATACAGTGATGTACTGTTGGTTTTATGAGGATTGTCATGGGCTGTGTCGAGGCGATGACGGATTGTTGGAAGGTGTTTCGTCATAGCTGTTACATATGGATACATACAAAGGTAGGATTTGTTTTTACGGGTTCTGTTGTTTCCCAATGCTGGACTTTGCCGCTGTGTGAGATTTTTAAATTTTCTATTTTGAGGCGGTTATTGGACGGTGATTGGACGGGAAAGGGGAGTGGTGTGGAGGAGGCTAAGAGAGGCTCTAGTTGTCGGATCACAAGTGGATACAATCATCGTGTGCGAAGTGTAGCCAGGTCTTTTAGCGGTAGTGAGACTAAGATCCATGAACTGTCCACGATTTTGGACATCAAGACAGACAAGACAGGCTGGTGAGAAAGTCGAACGGACAAGTGGGAGTGTGGGGCCTCGAATTTAGAGAATCGCTTCTGGGTATTGCTATCTATACATATAGACAAGAGGTTGCGCATTGAGCTCACAACTTCGACTTCTTACCACCTGCAACGCCTTCCACAGGCGCTCCTGCTAGAAGGAAATCTGGGTATTCCCATTGGCGCCCGCCGACACCTGACGTGTGCCACTGACCTCCATCGACTGGAAAGGGAGCTTAGTACGATTATCAAACGATGGCGGGGCACGTCTTTGAACTTACCGACTAGCACCTCCCCGTTAACATAGCTACCCGTGTCGGAGAAAAGGTAAATGGTAGCATCCGCGATCTCCTTGACCGTCCCATATCTTCCAGATGGGATGGCCTTTGCTGATTTATCCCGGCCCTCTGATTTTGATAGCCGGGCCACGCCCTCTGTATCTGCAATCGGACCGGGTGCGATAACATTCGAGGTTATGCCCCTCGGTCCCTGCTCAATAGCAACAGACATTGCCATGGCATCAACTCCTGCCTTGGCTACAGAGACATGGCTTTGCATTGGCGTACCGGTGTAGTGTAGCGTTGCGCTGACAAAGATAATGCGACCGCCAGTCCCATTGGGGGGTAGTGTTTTCCCGTCTGTCTTATGCTTGCCCGCGGACTCGATAAGATAAGGCAACGTTGCTTTGACAGTATTCCACGATCCTAGAACATCAATGTCAATGACCGATTTCATTGCGTTGGATGATATCTGATCCATAGGGGCCAGAAAATTTCCCGCTGCACCAGCAATCACAAAGTCGATGCTACCCAGCTCTTTCACACATCTTTCCGCAGCCGCAGTCAGCGCCTCTGGTTTTCTCACATCCACAGCCCCGAGACCCAAGACTTTTGCGCCCGTCCTTGCAGTCGCGATGTCCTTTGCCATGTTCTCCGTCTTTTCAACATTCCGACCGATGATGCAGGCGTCGGCGCCGAGATGGACCATCGCACGGACCTGTGCAGAGCAAATCGTCCCTGCTCCTCCCGTACAGAAGACGACTTTATTATCTATAGGAACAGCAACAGTCAATTCAGGTTAATATATAGGAGACGGAAGGAACGAGGGGCGGGAGGACAACAATGGGATTCTGAATGCCGTAGCCCTTGCATCCATCTGGGGTAGGACAAGATGGGAAAGCGCATACCGAATATGCCGTCCCTCCACACATTGCTCATGTATTGGTACTTCTCGAGAGGCATAGTGCGCCGTGTCTTCCAAAGCAGCCCGTCAGTCTAAGCGGGTAGATGTAGAGCGGAGCTGGTGGCAGTGAGTAAGGAGGAATTGGCTAGATAATTGCGAGCGGTACATCAAAGAATATAACGCAGTTTACGCCTTCACCAAGCTTCGGCCGTAAATCGTTGTGCTTATGGGGATGAGGTTGAGAACGCGCCGGCACCGCGGACTTGCCGAGGTAGAATGCTGGGCAGTTCGGACTTTATTCGACAGGGACAGCATTGTGCTGACACGAGGTATACCGCGGGAGAATTGACTTGTGGACATCTCTCATTCTTTGAATTCCCTGAGGAACAGTATTTGAGGTGAAGAGAGTGGGGGAGGGGGAGGCATGTAGGGTTCGGTGAGCATGAGGTGCTAACCTTAGAACTGCTCCACACTTGGCTTGTGAAGGAGGCGCTCCGAAGGGGAAGGGGAAACTGCGCCTGCTCCGCATTAACTGGCTTCTCCGCGCCTCCGATCGCAAGTCTTGCAAATGTCAAAGCGCATCACGCATCAGCGCCATCAAAGCTGTCATCCCATCCACAAGCCAGCAATACTGTATATTTCGGTTGGTAACACAATGCCGTCAGGAACAATATCCATCTGCAAGTTCGTAGGGACAATAAGCCTGGGGCTGCTCACAGTATGAACCTCCAGATCCCGCCGCCTTCAATGATATCTCTCCCCGCTTCATTCTGGAGCCGAGAGTCTGGGAATGAGCTGCGAAAGCAGAGAACTGGCTTCATTTAAAGCTAACACACATGATCAGGGCGTCTCAGCCTCCCTCGCTACCCTGACCCTTCCGTCTCTTCTCACCCTCAAGACCGCAACAACCGCCCGCACAACACTCTCATATCTCTCTTCCCGTACGAAGGTACTCTCGACATATTTACGTGGTATCACCGCCTTCACGCTTTTCACTGCGTACATTCTTTCACCCCGCCGTTTCCGTCATCCTTATCTACTATATACCTCCATCTTCGCGTTCGTCTCAGGCCCAGGCGTAGATTACGCCATCGCATATTCCGAAGGAACGAACGAAGGGAGGAATCAGCTGGACTTGGAGGCTCAAGGCGACGACGTGAATGGAGAGCAAGTACGACAGGCTGTTGAGAGGATGAGGTTTACCGAAGGAGTAAGAGCTGCTGTTGCCGGTGTGGCTTTTGCAATGGAGGTTATTGGTATCTGGGGGGATGGGGCGTAATATCGCCTAGCTCGCTGTGCGGATAAAGAAAAGGTGGAATCATGGCGTGTCAGGTGTGTTGATGATGGAATGCTGGAGTTCGGTAGAGTGATCAGTTTGCTGCGACATAGCAAGTTTATATCCGCTCAGGTAACGACACGATTACGGTTTGGGATCGGTATATGGTATATGTAGCAACTCTCCTATCCGTTATATCTTGCTCTTTGTACATCACAGAAATTTCATGGCCTCTCGCCATTCCCTTCTCTACTTGCTTGCATGGTTTTGCCATTGCATTAATGCCTCATCTCATTCGTCAATTGCACATACTCTAAGTTGTTTTCCGCCGTAGCATACGGTACCCTTTCTCTTGCTGTTTCTCTGATCCTCTGGAATCGCTCTTTCGACGGCCAATATTCCGACCAACCGGATAAATTCTTTCCCCGCAGCCCCTACATGCCCAAAACGACCCAAGTGTCCTGGAAGGAATGCATCATGCTAGGCTTTCAATCAACCGAAACCACGCTTGACGAGCGAGTGCAATTTTTCCGTACTCAGTGAACAACCTTCGTATCATGATAGAGTACGTGCGGGGACATCATTCTTCGGCCCAGCGATCGACACTCTCGGTCCCATATGCTGGTGCTATTACCCCAATACGTCTTAAAAAATTAATATTGAAGCTTGGCTGCCATCGCCTCACGTCGTGATATTCCTGTCACTACCTACATACATCATGAGATTTCTGCTCTGTCTCCTTATCCATCTCCTTCACATACCCACCAAGGCATTCCCCTCTCCTCAACTAAGAAATCACCACTCCTTCAATTGGGACACCACTGATTCTCTAATTGCCTTCGGGGACTCCTACACTTATGTTCAAGGCACTCTCGGCCACGTCAATTCAACATTCATCGGCGACCTGCAAAATCTTGTCTTCACATCCTCCCAACTTCTCTCCGACCTCATTGTCCAGAACCAAATTGGCACTGCCGAAGGCGGCCCAAATTGGGTGCAATATCTCACGCAATGCGGCTTAAAACCAGGACTGACAAAACTGAAGGAATGTAAGGTGCAGCTTTGGGATTTTGCGTTTGGGGGTGCGGATGTTAGTGAGGAGTTGTAAGTTGTCGCATTACTTAGAAGGAATGAGCAAAGTGCTAGGCTGATAGAGACTCAGTACACCACTTCACCACAACTACACGGTGAGTCTCGAAAAGCAAGTCGAGCAATTTCTAGACTACGGTGACCCCGTACTATCCACCTTTCTCGATAAATCAAAAGCACTAGTGACTAGCTGGATCGGCATCAACGATATCGGCGACAGTGCCAAGTACAATGTCTCGTTCCCAGGCTTTTACGACAAACTCCAAGCGCGACATTTCGAGTTCATTGACAGCATTTACGCAAGAGGCTACAAAAACTTCCTACTCATGAACCTCCCGCCCTTAAACCGTCGTCCCGGACTGGTCTTCTCCCCCAACCCCTCCGTCAACGCGACAATGATTCAGTGGTGGAACTCAGCGTTGCAGAGTCATGCCACCGCATTCTCTAATTCACATAGCGATGTAGAGGTCATGGTATTCGACGTCAACAAGGTATTAAATGGAGTTCTGGACGAGGCTGAGAAATGGGGATTCAAAAATACGACAGGATATTGTACCGCGTACAATCAACCGGATATTTTAACAGACCCGGGAAAGTATGGGTGTTTGCCGCAGAAGGAGTACTTTTGGTTTAATACGGGACATTTGACGTGGAGGACGCACGAAGTGCTTACGGGGTTTTTGAGGGAATTTTTAGAGGGTAGAGGTAAATCAGAGAATTCCTCCGTGCAAGATATGGAGTAGGGCTAGCAATCCAGTCTAGCGAATCCTGTAGTCTTAGTGGACTAGTATGGTATATCATTTGGGTGGTTATTGTCGATGGTTACAGGGATGAGGGGTTCACGCCAAGCGTAGAAGCTCGCACTTCCACCACTCCTTCCCCTTCCAACATTGACCCAGAACCCAACCTCAGCCTTCGCCTTCATATCTCCGTCAGCAGTTGCTTCTCTAGCCTGCTCCAATCCCTCCATTATATATCCCCCCTCCCTTACTCCTCCAAAATGCAGTCAGGAATCTCTGGTTCGCACTCATTCCACACATTCATCGCAGCCTGCTAACGCAACCGTCAGCATCGCAAGAGCTCCAACTAGCTCTCCAAACTCTCTTAACCTCAACCTCTCAACGCGGTCTCTTCGCTACAATCACGAACGAGCAAATCACGCCCGGCTCTACCATCCCGTCCTCATCATCCACCTTCCTCTCAGACCTCTCCAACCTCTCCTCTCACATTCAACCAAATGTAGCCTTATACATCCTCCTCCGCCGCTCCGACTCCCTCTCCTCCCCAGATAAATCCCTCGTCGCAGTAACCTACGTCCCCAACGCCGCCCCAGTCCGCCAAAAGATGCTATTTGCTTCCACCCGACTCACACTAGCCCGAGAACTCGGTAGCGAGCATTTCGCCGAAACAATCTTCTGCACCGAAGCTGATGAACTCACTGCCTCGGGTTGGGAAAAGCATCTCGCACATACCTCATCTGAGAACCCTCTGACCCAGGAAGAGCGGGATCTCGAAAACATCAAAGAAGCCGAAGCTTTGGAATCGCGGGGCACACAGGGCCAGGGTCTGGCGCAAGGGGGCCGGATTGCGATTCGAGCGGATGGCGATATTTCTGCAGCGTTGCAGGCGCTGGGGCAAGGAGGGAGTGGAAATTTGGTGCAGCTAAGGATGGATGTTCCGACGGAGACGTTGCAGCTCGTTGGCATGTCCGAGGCTTCGCCGTCGCAATTGTCGAATGAGATTAATGGCACAGAACCCCGGTTCTCGTTTTACAAACATAACGATCCTGCGTCGTCGATTGTCTTCATTTCGACATGTCCGAGTGCAGCGAAGATTAAGGAACGAATGCTGTATGCGGCGAGTAGGAGTAATGTGATTTCACTTGCGCAGTCGGAGGGTGGATTGACCGTTGCGAAAAGGATTGAGGCCACGAACCCGGACGAAATTACGGAGCAGGTCATTGCAGAAGAGTTCAAAACCGCTGCAGCAGAGGAGAAGAAAGGGTTTGCGAAGCCGAAGAGGCCAGGACGGAGGTAGTAGAATGATGGCTGCGGGACGGCCGGGATAGCTTATAAGAGTGGCGTTTCTAGACCCATTAAAGTGGCAGGGTTGGAATTGAAAATCCCCAAAGCTTGAAGTCTTAAGCTCTGGAAGATACGTACCGAATTCAGTAACAAGTGAAGTCTGAAGATTGAATTCCATATCGATAATGCTTATGCAGCTCCGACTCTATATACCACAGACATCCAGTTATGAACCGAATGAACATAAACCCATGTCTCCCCTTTAACTATCAAACGCGGGTCGGGCTGGCTTTTCACCTTCTCTCCTAACCTCAATTCATTTTTTTTTTCATATTTACAATCTCCCTTTCAGTCTCCATGCAGGTATCCTTCACTCTTCATACTGCCCACCAGGCAACATATCCCTCCCCTTCTCCAGCACCGTCTTCAAATACTCATACACAGTAAACGTAACCGCCTGCCCGGGCGCAACACGCATAATACGGGGCGTGATACCTTTGTAGAAACTGCGACTGCCTTCTTGTTTCCACATGTCTCTGTTGCAATTGTTAGCATATCTATTCACAAGGTATCTCGCCAGTGTCCCACCCCACAAGTCTGGGCCCTGGCAAGCGGATGCTCCTTCTATTAGACTGGACAAACGCAATCCCACTTACTTCGAGATGTTGACAATCCTCTGCACAGCAGTCTGCCCCGGTTCCGCGGGCGTCTTCTGCAACCTCGTCTTAATTGTATCAATCGGGGCATTACTCAGCGGCCCCATGGCCCCACTAACCAACCCAATTACCATCGTCTGATAACTCGGCAAATCCGTCGTACCCTGCCACCTCTGCAAAATACTCCGAAACTCGCTATACGCCGTGAAATTCACTGCCTGATTGGACCCCTGTCTTAACGCCGTCAAACTCACTCCTCGATACAACGCACCAAACCCTTCTTCTTTGACAACGGTGTACAGTGCGTGTGCCGCGTTGCGGTATTTGGGGATGTCTAGGGGATCCGCCATGGAGTGGTGTTGGGCCTGGAGTCGGATTTTTATGACTTCCATGGGGGTGACGACGGCGACGGCTTCAGTGACGCCGGCTGCGAGGCCGGCAAGGAAAGTGCTCTTGCCGCTGACGTTGCCGGAACTGTCGGCCAGGAGCTGCTTGTACCATTCGTAGGATGTAAAGCGGATTGCCATTTTGGGAATAATTCCTGTAAGGACGGCGCCGAGACCTTTGTAGAGGCCCAGGGGGGTTTCGCGTTTTATGATCTCGGAGCCGGTTTTGAGGAAACCACGGCGTGGGGCCTGGGAGTTTTGTTAGGTAGTGTCTTGGGCTGTGTATGGGAATAGCAGTGGTGTATGGAAGTTATAGTGTCATGTTAGAGGAGGGGGAAGGAACCAGCGAGGATAGGGACAGAACATACGCCCGGCGCTCGCGCTCTTCTTGAGAGCTGCATTCGCACTTTTATTGTGTCTATAGGTTGTGTTAGAGCTTTTTTTCTCTAATTTAATGTTTCGCGGAAGTATAGCTTACCTAGAGGATGGCACGCGAGTGCTTCCATCATTCCAGCTCCACCTCCAGCTACGATTCCACAAAGTCAGCACTCGGGTCCCTTATAACCTAAAGCTCCCCAACTCATCAATTAGGCCTACCTATCAGATTTGTAGCCGCCGAAGCAGGCTTCTTCCCCCCAGGCCCTTGCGTGGATTTCGCGGACATAATTTTTTTAGTGGTGAATTTTGCGCTCAGCTCAAAGAATCAGATCTTCTAGGGTTCAATAGTGTTTGAGGGTGTACGTGGGAGTAGTGGGGTTGGAAAACAAAGCTCTAAATGACGCGCTGTGGTATTCTACTCCGAGCTCTTCCCTAGTTTTAGAGCTCTAGCTTCGCTATGTCCGTCTTCGGCTCCAAAATATAGATAAGGAATACGCACCAAAGGAGACAGAAAACGCACCCAGCAGAGTGGTACACAAAAACTCAAACAACGAGACGAGAGAAAAGATAATCAAGAACCTAAAATAACCCCAGGGTAGGAAATTCGTCACAGTCATATGCTTCTTGTTAGCTAGCTAAACCAGCTACCCGCGGACATGGAAAGACATCATTCGTCCACCCACAGCCTCGGCCCTTGCTTGAGCCCAGACCGCAGCTCACGCGTCGAGACATGTCCCGCATCGTAGGAATTCGGTGCTTCGGTGATATTCCTTGGCGAGCTGGAGGGCAATGGCGAACATTACCCCAGACCCGCGAGTGGACGAACGGAAGCTGAAAGCTTCGGGCTGAGATCGGCTGGCTAAGGAAGCATTTTTCGGTCTAAACTTCTAGTATTGATATGCAGAATTTATCTTATTTATGCCCCAAAGATTGACACAGAGTGTGCAGAGAAATTTGTTAGACACCTGGGATTTTGACTTCGTGTTTACGATGTGTGAGCAAGCAGTATCCATGTGAATACTGTTGGGCGGTGGAGGTTTTCGGCTTGTGACAGCATGACGTTGGTGGGCAAGGACCGAGCTCGGCTCGGCATCTCAGATTGAACCCCTGCATGCAGACCGCCACCACAGCCGCACATGCGGGGCACTTTCCGGTTCTAGCCGTAGCAAGCACGTGCGCGAGGATGGATCGGGAGGGGAAATTATCTTAACTGCACCTCACTCCTTTGATCCATTGTGCATTTTGTGACAGAGGCATCAGGATTAGTATTCGAGCATGTGAGAGAAACACTGTGGCAAGATCTATAGAATCTACCCTTGTACCACCGTTATCAGCGTTTGTCTTAAGGACTTCGCACTACCACGGCAACAGAAGAGTTTTATTTACCAAAATGTGCTCAGGTGTATAGTCCGATACCGGAGCCGTTTTCTTTCTAGCTCAAGGCATTTACTCTATTAATGCGCTTTCATAATTCTTTTCCGAATTACTGCGTTTAGAGCTCCAGGGCTGAAGTGCTAACTTTGCCGTAGGCTATCTGGAATCTAGTAAGCTTGAAGTGTGTACCGAAAGAGCACAAGGGACAAGGTGTGTGCCGTATGATATTGAGTCTGTGGGTGTAGGCTCAAAAAGACAATACAGGATGTCTCCTGCCATGCAGATGAGATGTGCTCGGCTTGTTGGGCTAATATAACATAGTAAAAGAGGCAATAACTTACATTGTCTTCTCGAGTCTCTCCGGTAACAAACGCCTTCCTGACCACATACTTCTTGAACAATACTTGTGACCTTGGCAATTTGTGATAAGTTAGTCGACAAACCTTCGCGTGTGGAGCAAGCGGCCGATATTTGGGGCCACTCATATTGATAGAAGGATTCAAGCGCGAGATAGCCAAGTAATGGGGCAACTAGAGCAAAATGGATGAAGATGAGACATCCGCGAGAGTTGGCGTCAAAGATCCAGGTACGACGCGAGTTTTGGCTCACACAGGACTGGTGCTTGGCTTAAGTTTTCCTCAGCTTGTAAATCACATGCACAAAACCGTCTCCAGTGTGTAACTTCTTCTCAATATCTAGATTGATGTCTTACGAACTCTGCGCCAAGGAGCCTGGGGACCTCTGGCATTATTTGAATAGTGTTGGGCGGAAGAGTCTTGGCAGGAGCAGGAGAAACCATTGGACCAACATGAAACATAATATAATGTAGATTTTGCCCTCACAGAATTGACACGTCCTTCTCTACCAGGAGTTAGATAGAACACTATCAGTGCACCACCGAATCAAACAGTGGAAAGTCGGCACTATATCGCTTCTCCTTACGACAGCCTCCAAAGCCAACCTAACCGCTACCATAGGAATATTCTTTGTACAACCTCTCTAGAGTGTTCTTAGACAAGAGGCCCATCAAATATCTCGTATAGAGCTGTTGTTCCGTACTCGCTCTAACCCTCTCGAGATTTTGAACTATCTGAGAATCCTAGTTCTTATCTAGTTCTTATTTTGCAGGGCCTTATTTGTATCGCTCACTCCCGTAGTTACCATCTACTTATATGGAGCTCTTATTGTAAACTCTCGACCCTATTCCTCGATTATATCTCAGTCATGGACCCACCAGCACCAGTGAGCTTCGACGTTGTATACCCTTACAGAACCCCTTTTCTAGTCTCGGTCAGCTAACTTCAACCCACGTATTTGTAAGTAGAGGCGATACTGAGATAGTTGACTAATATAACGGTGAAGTGACTGAATTATCCTACCTATACACGTACGTTGTTTGGGCTCTGGATTAGTTTGACATTGTCAATATATTGATCGGAGCTTTAAGCAGCCTTTGAGTATTCCAGCAAAATTGGTATTGCTTGCTCGCGAAATATTTGACATGCCCTCACCAGAGGCCCAGAACACATCCTATACCCTAAAATATTGGGCTCCTCAACTAATATGCAACGAGAATGTAACCCTGAGGGCTCTATAATGGTCAGTTTAATCAGCCCCAGGCTCTGCGTCCCACAATACTATATATATCATATAGCACCTCGGACCCTCAGTCCACAATATATCGCTTCTTTCATAACTCACACACCCTGCAAGGGTTTAGAGATAACCCCACCCCAACTGCTTTCCATAGCCTCCGTGACTCGAACATCATGTTCAATGGCGAGTGGAGCCGGACGAACTTCACTGTAAGTCAAATACAGTGTTCTGGATGGTCCCCGGTCTCCGGCTATAACTTCACTACCACGCATCCAGCGGAAATGAAACTGTTGGTTTGCGAACCAATTTCAATGTGATGCAACTGGAATATTTCGTATGCCAATGGAGGCCATCAGATCTACTATACGAAGCAAGACTTTCAACCGCTGGTCTTTAATTATTACACTGGGTACACGTTTCCTTTCTAAAGGTCCAAGGGAGCGGCGAACACTTCTAATATTCCGGTAAATACCTCGGAGTTCAAGAACTAGGCATCCGCCGTGAAGGAACGACTAGAGCAGTGAGAGGGGTTTGCTCCGTTGGAGACTGCTCTGCTCAGTGTAGAGCACGCCTGGAAAGAAAAAGTTCACATTTTCGAACGGAACTCAGGGAGCGATAACCCCGTGGCTATCATATATAGATTAAAGAATTGTGGTTAACTACTTCGAACGCAAGGCTTGTGAACATTCAGCTCCTATAATAAGGCTGACAGCGGATCCCTAGATCCAAAAATACTCGAAACATCAGTGGACAGCGCCCAACAACACAACGAGATCCTTTTTGGCATAGCACTAAACCTATTTAGGAATGAACGATACTTGTTTAGGTAAATAGCGTAAGCAGCCCTAAACTTCATGGTACAATTTGAGCCGTAAACGGACAGTACGTGCCCGTTGTGTACCGCAGGTCAGTACGGCCTCAAAAATGCCTCGCAGCTCACTGTTGGAAACACTGCTTGGCATGGCCTCATTTCCGTAAATGCTCTCGAATACCGCACCACCGACAAGTTATCAGAACCCCTCAATCTTATATGCCATTACAAACTCTCTCTCTCTAGTGTTTTGCTTTTGTCTTTGTGGGCATCAGTATCTGGTCTTTGGTACAAAATGGCGTCCCAGTGATGAATGGAGGGTTCCGGCAATTCATGACTACGACGAGCCGACATACGGAGATAGAGAAGCTTGTTATCAAGCATAATGTTGACGGAAAATACACACCGAGAGAGTTGCTGAATTTGAAAATCCAGTATAGGGAGTTTTTGTGGTAACGGGGCTCTCCGAGTTCCAACTGCTCGTATTCCCCAGCCACCTTCTCGTATTTACCAGCCGCTGCTGTCTACTCTAGTTAATTGCGCACCCCGAGACACACTCCTTTAGCTACCAACTCAGTTGCTCATGACGTCGGCGCTCTTAAAACCTTCACGATTATGACCACGGCATTCGCTTGTTAGCCACTCGAGCTGTTTTCAACCCAAACCATGGTGAGCTCCTTTGACGCCCTGCATACAATTGTGACGTCTTTATCACACTCTACTACCTTGTAGTCGCTCGTTTGAAGCACTTCAGGCATCTTTCGAGACCTTTAAGTCACTACGAGTGAACACAAGGCCACCTACACTTCTCCTGAGCATGCTCCTGGAGCTCTTAGCCAAGCACAAGGGCTACTGCTACCGATAGACCCGGTTGTCACAACTTTCGATCGACTACGTCATCAACATGACAGATTTCACTGAGGTGTTATTCTCTACGTTCATACTCAATACAACCAATGACTGGGGCCGGTGGATCCACTTCCAAAGGTTGACTGCACAGCAGCTGCTCGTCTGGGAATACTGTAACCCAGAGCTCTCAGCATCTGAGGTGAAGGCACTAGGAGACAAACCAGTGGAGCCAACATACGATGATTATCAATCTGGCGCCACCAACCCATCTGATCTGGACGCGCAGAACCTGACTAAATATACCGTCCACTACCATCTATGGGAACACGAAATCACGAGATACAACACCTTGCGCAAATCTCTAGCTAGGATGAGCGCAGAAATCACTTATACCGTTGCACCCCATTACTACTTCCTAATCGAGGATCACGACGATGCCTACGGCAAGCTCGTAGCACTTAAACGTCAACTAGCGCCAACGGCCACAATCGCGGGAGGATGCAAGTAGAGCAATATCGAGCTCTGCAGAAGTCTCACAAGGATTTCAACACCTGGCTGAATGACTCACTGTAACAGTTAGCCAGCACAGAGGGACAAATCTTCCAGATGTACAGGGCACTCGTGCGCAAACAGACTTTTTTTTCGAATTATCAAGCCTCCAGCCCTAAGGTCGTAGCCAATGCACTTCTCTATATCGTAAAGGAAGAGGACTGCAATGATCTCGCATCAATTCCAAGTCTAGAAGACAACATTTCCCGATACCGCACCTGGCACCGTACTTCGAACCCGATTGCAGCTTCTATAGGCTTGTTCACCACCCTGGACATTTATTTGAGATAGCCTCCTATGCGCTGTACACATCTCTTTAGCCGCTTCATAAACAGATTACCTATCAACTCACTCCTTCATGACCTTGGCGCTCCCAAAAGCTTCACATAGTTGCTAGATGTTAATAGGGTAAAGATGAGAAGAGTAGGATTTAGAACTTTGGAGGAGAAAATGTTGTTGAGAAGAGGATAGACTTTAAGGTGACGCGGTATGTGTAGCTGTTAACTAGACGTGTGTCTTGACATTAATAGTCCACAATGGCAAATGCTTTGAATATTATTTCTATTGATCTTTTTGACAACATCCGCATAGTTTCATATGATCTAAGTTTTCAGTCACCCAGTGTAAGGACGGAGCTCTGTACCACTGCGCCAATACAGCCAAAAAGGTGCGAATAATCAACCAATAGTTGATATCTGCGTACAGAATAGTATATATACCCGTCGCACGTAAGCGCCATCTCGGCCCTACACCCAGGTGATTGGCCCTGAAGCTCAAACCCATATTGACAAAGACAGTTTTAAAAGCTATTAACGTGTTTGACAAGCGGGCTGACCAGCCCAAAACTCACCAAATGTCTAAAACAAAATCACTGTTTCCATAGTTTAAAGCAATTTACTTAGCTATTCTTAAAATATTTAGTGTTGGCCTCTAAATTTAAGCTAAAATTTTCCATCTTAAAGATTTCTCATAAGTTTCCTTTAGAACTTTATTAGGTGTCTTGAAAGGTATAGACTGAACAATTTTCTGGCATTTATTATATAGCTATTGTTGCGATAAAGGTGCGATTTCTCTAGGCTGTTGGTGAGCTGTGGGCTGATCAGCTCGGTTGTCAAATATGTTATTAAATTCGCCCATCCGGTTCCAGCCGGAGCCCGCACAGACACAAACATCAGAGAGCAAGATTATTATCGTATTTCACTCCCTTTCTCCACACTCTATCTTGCATTTTCGCAATATCAATCCCAGACATTGGCAATTGGCACGGAGAGTCTGTAAACACTACGGAGTCGAGATGATACCATGTTCGCATGCATGCTCGTATTACGAATAGATGGATTCTGTCCAGCTGAGCTGTGGCTGGACGCCAAGGGGCAGGGTTGAACGAGCTTAGAAGACATCCAAATCTTGTCACATTAAGTGTAGCGAACATCCAACGTCGACTGTCTGGTCATTAACCACCAACAATCTGATATGGCATCCCACCAAACAACATCCCGAAACCATGAGGCATGGCTTAGTGCCAAAGGCTCCTACAGGGAGCTCATCGAATCCCTCTCAGCGTCCGACCCACGCCTCAAGCACCGGGATCCGAAGGCCTTGATCCAGAAAACTCCCTGGCCGTCTAAGCGTACACGCATCGAGCACCTGCAACTCCAAGCAGACCAGAGAATCTTTACCATAGGGGAGTGGGATGACGTGACGGAATTCCGCAAATATCTGGAAACAGGCCTTGCCCCAAATCAACGCAACATACTCCTCATTGAAGGTCTTAGCCCTGATCTTATTGAAACGATAGGATTAAACTACGCCATCCATCCCTCTTTTTTTGTCGATCATGAACGTGTGGAAGTATTCAGTACTCACCCCAACAAATCCGCCGATTCACGTCGTCTACCTTCTTGCGTTAAGTGGAACACTAGCACTAAAGGGTTAACTCTTAAGTACTTCGAGGTTTTGGATATTTTTCCCCATCCACCATCTTTCAGCCTATCCTGTGCAGATGTTGGACGGCATGTTGGGGCAATAAGACTCAGAGGGTATATGTCTTCTGTGGTGATTGTCAGGAGGAAATGCTCAATTTGGCAAGTGGAACATCCAGGCGGAGGCTGGACGTGTCAGTAGTCAGGATTATATTTGGGTGAATGGAGATAACAGCACACAGGTATAATTGTATGCGACCCTCCATTAAGGGAGCTACGTGCATCGAGATACACATCCCATTCAAGGTACTACCATGACATACCTGTTCAGGCTGCAGCCTACCAGGGTGGATACGTCGACTTCATGCCTCAAGACATCCAGACGGTAACAAAGAAGGGGCCACCGCGTCATTCGATGCTTGATGATATACGCCACTACCTCATAGCGCACACATCAGCACTACCTAGTCTTGATGATGCAGGCTGTGCAGCCGTCTTCGTAGAGAAAATCGTCGCAAGCCATTACCTCGTTCTTTCTTCTTTCATGTCTTCGGCACTCTCCCTCCAACAGTGGGATTTATCCCGGCAAGAAGACCTGGCCAACTTTGACATCAGCATCGTCGAACAACAATGGAGTGATATCCAATCCTGGGAGCGGCGCTTAAACGAATACGTTAGCGACATCGAGGACATCATGTTGAAACTCGGCATTCGATTCCAGGAACCCGATTCTACTCAAGTCCAACCCTCAACATGGTCTGATACCTCCACCGACTTTCAATTTCTCCGCATGCAATTCCAGACCTTACTCCACCGCACTGAACAAATCAACTCCGCAACATCCGGTTTAGCAAGCATCGCAGGAAACAGACAAGCGCATCAAGAACAGCAACTCTCTTTGCGAGAAGCGTAACGGATGAAAGCACTTACACTCGTCGGGCTTGTCTTCATCCCACTAGCGTATACAGCAACGCTTTTTAGCATGAATGAGCGGTATATGCCTGGAGCGAGACACTTCTGGATTTACTTCTCGGTATCTGCACCACTTATTGGGGCTGTTGTCTTCGGATATTTCTTCCTAGATAGGTTATATGAGAACTTTGCGGGCGGGAGATCGAAGAAAGGAATATTTAGTGGAGGATTGGATATAGCAATACGTAAGTTAGGCAGTGGGAAGAAAGTTAAAACGGGGAATATCTAGGTGCGATTGCATTCAGTTCATCTTTATCTTCGAACGAATTTCACAACCATCGCAGATTACTCCCTCTCTTCCAACCATCCGCTCCTTCATTTGCACCTCTCAACATTTGTTTGACACGACTATTTGCACCCAGGTATTACACACTAACTTCCAACGTCAATAACCTGTCAATCGATCTTGGCGTAAAGCTTCCTAAATTGCTATTGTTCCCACATATACAGGTATATTTAGAGTAAAGATTTTGTGGTCAATAGTACCCTAGATATTTGTCGCCACTATCTCACGGTTTATATGCTTAAATTGGAGTCTCGAGCCCCCAAGCAAACCCAAACAAAACAGATATTGGCGACGCCTTCAAGGAAGATAGGCTTTAGGCCACCAAGCCACCAAAAATGCCAATCAGCGTGATGACGCTGTCAATCGCGATAGCTTCAAGGGACTAGGGTTCATAGATTATTAAGTGATACGCTTACCCCTTCCAAGAGCAGACTCATCTCTTCTATAATCATTGGACCGCCTACTTCAGTTCCATTTGAAACACAATGATACTTAGGAGCGAGGCTCTTTGCAGTTTCACATTGGGAGTTTTCGATGCAGTTAATAACGTAGTCTAGCCCCTGCTTCTTTGACGTCTCGGCTTCTGTTGTGGAGGTCGTGAATGCAATGGCTCGGACACCGCTTACTTTCGCAAATTACATCAGGTTGGTTGTAGCCCAGTTCACCGCTTGCATCATTGAACTTAACAGCCCTTCAAACAGACTTTATCTCACCTGATATACGAACAAGCTAATTTCTACCATGAGTGGCTACCCAATCGCTAGGCTTGAGGGGCCATGCCACTAAGCCATAGAACGCATTTCAGGCAGTTTAGCTAGGGAGAAAATGAGTTGGGAAATACTAACGAAGCATTGGGTATGCTTTGCCTACTATGGATGGTCCATTTTTGAGTGCGGCAGAGCGGCATTGAGGATGGGTGCCTCCAATCCGCGGGTGTACTTGCCGTTTTGGGGGTATGAGTAGAATTCTAATCCCTTCTCCTCTAAGCACGCTGATTGCCTCATCATCTACTTTCTAATCATTGCATTCAATAGGGAAGGCATTGTTGGAAATGGACTTATTTAAAATAATATCTTCGAAGCGGAGGATGTAGCAAATACTCTGAGATGAAATGCTCTGTGTAAAATTAAGTAGAACTGAAAGTTATACCTAACAGTATTGTTAATGGTGAAAGCTCCGGCTTGACACCACTTCTTTAGAATATCATCCCTTAGAAATCCTATAGCATGACTGAAAATCCGATTAGTTGAAACCAGCACAATTTAGTTTGAATGAGGCAGAGCCTTCGTATGTCTTTTTCCGGTTCAGGACATTAGGTTTGAGGAGGGAGTGCAGTCTGTTAGGTATAGTAATCGAGCTTTCTAAGAGAATAGAGATGAGCTTTCGAGGGCCGGATCGTGCCATCCAATGATATCGAGCACAGTCGAGCTCTCATAAGACTTGAATTCTTCCAGTGAGGATACATGTCTCCCCTCTGTGCCGTAGATATATTCCTTGTGGGTTGGTCGAGGTCTGATCTAGGATGGTACAGCCGAGGAGAATGCGCTAATGGTGTCGTAGCCATCTCATGAATCACTTAAGGCTTTACTTCGCTTCACCGGGATATATGATATCTGCTCAACATAAATCGTAATCAAAGGCTTCGCGTTTGGAGACAGAGTCTCTAATTTGTCCGCGTTCACGTGACCCTTTAAGGAGTGGATTATAACAATCGCGACTTCCCTAGGTTAGAAGGTATCAACCATTGAACGTCCCGAACTCTTTATATAAAGCATTTCATGAGTCCCTTGTCCTTGGCGTTATTCAGCTTTAACCTCTATTTTACAGGCCTTTGCCTGCAATCCAATACTCAATTCAGGTAATACATTCAACTTTTTTTAACTCAACAAAACCCCTAGAAAACAAGGCTAGGCCTCCTCGAAACAAATCTAGGAGTCCTCTCATTCATAGGCACAGTTCCTAGCCGGCTCTCTAATACCAGCGCAAAGATGACCATCGTAACAACCTCCAAACTCTTTCAACCGCTTCAACCTGACATATCACCGTAATGACGCCTCTAACTCGCCTCCGTGTCTTTAATAATCACGTCTCCTTACCCTTCATCAAGGAATACCACACCTCTCGCTCTTCCACCCCAGGTACTCATCATTGTCAAAGCCACAATAGTCTCTCTCCGTGCCGGCAATCCAGCAAACATGTCTGGCATTTGGTCAGAGGAACAGATCGCCGCATGGAGAGAAATAACAAATGCCGTACATGAAATGGGGAGTTGTATGTTCTTGCAACTAGTAGCGAACAGGCGCACAGCGTAGGCAGAAGAGTTAGCGAAATATGAACTGGGTGTGATCTCACTGAGTGCAGCACCCATTAGCGCGCAACACGCGATACGCGCCGATGACGGAGGCACATATATGGGACGTCATCGGGAGCTTCGTGTAGTGTGTCAAGAATGTATTAGAGAAAGGTGGGTTTGAGGGAGTTGAGATTTACAACGCGGGCGGGTATTTGGTTGGTTAACGTTCGTCTAGGATACTGTAAACTAGCGCATGGGTATCTAAGGTGTTAGTATTCAGAATCAAGTTCGCTTTGCCATAGAGATTGAGAAGGCCGTATAAGCGGCGGTTGTGAGGAGAGGGATAAGGTTTAGTCGGTAGGAACATATCAGTCTTGCGGACTCGCTTCCGCAGTTTAGCTACCTTGTCAAGGAGCTTAGCAGTATGTGTATCGCTCATCTAAATCTTGTCGGGCCGCGCACCGGTAGTGATGTTGATACCGAAACTGTGGATTCGAATCACCCCTCTGGTGCATGTTTGGGGAGATGAGTGTCTAGTGCTTTTAGGTGGAAGTTACATGTCTCGTAATGGGCAGAGGATGGTGGATGATAAATATAGGGATAGAAAGGTCACGATCACTTTTGAGAGGCAATTTAAAACAAATTCGGACTTAGTGTTTAGGATCCGAACGGGGATTAATTTTATGCGATATAAGAGAGCGACGTTTTATATTGCGAAATATCCAAAGGGGCATTTTGAGTATCCATTCCCGAAAGGATCTTTGCAAGAATAAGATCGAAAAGGATCAAGGGGTTAGTTTTTATCCCAACCTTTGTAGAAATATATATTTCGAGTGTCAGAAAATTTTAGCAGCTACACAGGAAACATATTTACATGTGGTTTCTGACAACTTCAATTGATGCGGTAAGAGGAATATAGAAATAGAAGGAGCCTCCGCAGAATGATATGCTTCTTTGCGTTGTGGTGCTTAGCTCCAGAGTGGGGAAACTCAATAGACTGTTACTCATTCTTAATCTTCTACAACCTCAATGCCATCAAGAACAATCCCCGCCTCTGTGGAACCACTAGTACCAAAAGTAATCGTATTAACAGCACCTTCTCTGAGATTCAACTCAATAGGAACAACATCATGACACCCGGCTCGGTGATTCAGCGAAGAGATGTTGACAGCAGGCTCGTCGTTGACGAAGACATGCGCTTCACCAGCTGCGACAAATCAATGTTAGCAAGAAAAAATTGAACAGCTAGGCATTCAATCTACATACCGAATTTGTCCGCGACTCGGTAGTGGAACTGCACCCACTGTCTCCCCCCCAAGCCGGCCACATTCCGGAAAGTGACTTCGCTGGAAGGATCGACTAGACACGGGATATCAGCACATAAAACGCTAGGGCATTGTTGATGACTTACTATTATGCACTCCGCGCTTACTGAGACAGTGATCACAGTCTCTCGCCACTGCAAGAACGTCAGCTTCACTCAATCTACCATTCTCTATCCTCAACATACCAGCTTTGCCCGAAATCTCCGCATGCTCAGCCTCATATCTCCGCTTCTTACTCGGATATGATACCTCTCCTGTGTCGACATCAATCTTCCATTGTGCATGGTACTCCAATGTAACTTTCTTATTCTTAGAGTCCACCGTCATCGGCAACCACACATAATTCGAGTCCGGCCCACCCTTAGAATCCCAAGAATCCCCCATGTAAATATACGTCGTTTTCTTACTTCCTTTGATCGTTAGCTCAAATGTGTTTTGTGAATTATACGTTTTCTCCGCATCGGGAGCAATTCCGTAAGGGCCGCTCCATGAACCGGAGAGGGAGGTTGCGTAGAACATTTGGTTGGGGTTGGAGCGCCAGCCTGTTTTCCCTGATACGATGAGGTAGTAGGTGCCGTCAACTTTGAATAGGCCAGGAGCTTCGTAGGCACCTTTTGCAAGGTAATTGACGCGGGAGCCGATGGTGCCGTCGCTGTTGATGCGGTTGATTTGGACGTTGTTGTGGTCAGCTGAGGTGAGGAGGTACCATGTTTCTGGAAAAGATGTCAGTGGAAGAGAGGAGTCATTGGGAGATGAAGAGTGCTATGTACCGTCGTCGTCCATAAACATTCCCGTGTCGGAGTAAGTGTAGCTGCTGGGAGGCAGAGTGACTTTTGATCCTGAGATCGCGTATCCGTTGGCAATCGTGGATGACTTAAGTGCTTGGACATTGCGGTCGACCTGTCCGTATATCTACACCATTTTTCTATATCAATTTACAAATCTCATATTAGGATGGGTTGCGAACTGACCCAGAAAGACCCATTCGGTTTCGCAAGTTTCGGCCTCCACATGTACTGAATAGAGTTTTGTGGGTTGCTGGCGGGAGCCCAGTCGAGCAAGTTAGTTGACGTGTACATATAAGGTTGCTCATCTTTGCAGCATGTCAGCGACTACAAGTTTTACACCCCAAGAACGCACTCATCGGAGTTTTTAGGTGTCATACTATGGCTTGCGCTTTGTCCGACCCAGTAGAAAGTATCGCCTCGCTTGAGGACCATTCCTCCATGAGCATCAATCTTAGTGTTTGATGTCGACATCCAGGCAGCGCCTGGTACAATCCAAGAGTTCGCTGCATTGGCAGAAGCAGCAGCGCTGAGCCCGAGAAGAAGTTGAGATAGCAACATGGTGATAGTTGATTCCCCTCGTGTAACAGATGTGTTTCTAAAGGCTCTATAACCCTATTCTTATACAAACAGAATTACATCTTTGGCTCGCCATTGACGGAGAAACATGCGTATCCTTGCGCTCAGGCTGTATATACGTTTACTGTTCTACCACGTGGTTTTCCTTCCTCGATATTAATAACCCAATTAACTCCAAACAGCCGGGAAAGATGAAAATGAATTTCAGTTACATTTGTTCGAGGAGGCCAATAAGAAAGACTTTACATTTCGAGATTCCTGGGCTGTGGTTATTGCCTCTACTAATCGACCTGGCACACCGTGACGTTGATCCGGGGAAGTGAGGGCCGAAGTCAGCACGGGTTGGGAGCAAAGTTGGGAGCCAATATGAGCGCGAATACGAGTGCGAACGCGAAATAAGGCTGTCATAGTATTCTCGTTTATAGGCATCAACATGTTTTGCGTGCTGTTGCAGAGAGATAGTGATGAGGAGACAGTGAAGACCTGCTCAACATTGCTCAAGGCAGAGCTATCGACCCTTATTGACCAGTTTCCACGACAACCCCTATGAAAGAGATTGGATTGTCCTGGGACATCTACGGCCTTCATTGATACACTTAAGAAAGACATTAATAACGTGTGTAGGGCCATATTCTAGGACATGCCAGCGGAAGCAGACATTGTGTGGACTTGTCCGTTTACAGATACAGCCAGGGCATAAAGTTCAGGATCTGGCGGGCTTCTACCGTCCAAATCTTCAAGAAGCCAGAGACTTGAAGCGTTTATAATTAGGCTATGAAGGTCTCCGACTTCCACTTCTTGTGATATGGTGGGCGAGAGGTATGCGCTTGCCACGTTCGTCGTAATACGAGCTTCGCGAACATTAGGCCAATGAGAGGGCGGAAAATGTGCCACATTTTCGTGTCTTTGGGCTTTGAGCGCATAAAGAGGAAGAAGCATGTGGTGCTCGAGAGATATATTGTCTTCTTGCTTTTTGGTGGATGTGCAGCTTAGACCTCCGGGAGACGAATCCTTTCGGAGAGAAAATGAGGTCCTAGAATTCTTAGGTATTCTAAAATCAGCCTGGGCTCAGGATTTAACTTACAGTGAACTGCAATTTTGAAGCTGGCAAAGTAGATCAGCAGAAAGGTAATTCGATACCAGGACAGATGGTAAATGATTAACAGACAAGGGGGAATGTGCACCTCCCTTCCTATCCATAATAGCGACATTCAAAGCAAAGCCCAAAAGGAAAACTGAATGCGTATTGGTACAAGGAGTTATCACAGTCACCTCATTACCGTTTCCGCCTCCGCCGGAGCTCCATTGGCGAATCTTCATAATCCCAATCCTGCGTCTCCTCCACATTCCCATGCTCATCATGTTGCAGAACCTTTAGAACTGGTTCCTCGGACGCAGTACCTGGAGCACCGCTAGTCTCAAACCCAACCTCTCCAAGCATGAAACGACCAAGATAAAGAACAGCGTCAAGAAGCTCTTTGCCTGTTGGGACGATATTTTCTTTAGGCAGCAAGAACCCGTAACTTCCCGTATCTCTAAGCTTGATTTGATAGGCGTATTTGACTCTAAGCTCATGGTAGAACCAGTCAAGGGCACTTCCCCCGCTCGACTCAATACGTGGAAGAACCTTCCGGCCTTTCCCATCTTTTGAGTTCTTTGACACGGCGACATTGCCCTCACAAGCAGAGGTCACTTGGTAAGGGTGCCCTTTGTGAGATACGCGGATGGCCTTGGCGAGCCCCATGGCCAGTTCCTCGAGGTCCTCAATGGTGGGTGGCTCCTGATAGCATGAAAATGAATATGGATAGAGAACTTGCTGAGAGTACGAGTGTAGGTCGAGAAACCCCACAAAATCGACGTTGTTGTTCTCGGTCTCGTTCTTGGCCCATTCGGCGAACCGTTGGGCCTCAGCACCGTCAAAAGGAGCATCTCCAGCAAAGGACTCGCTGCATGGATTTTGGCGAGTAGAGTCGCCGTCCCATTGGTAAGAGTAGCTTCGGTCGAGGTCGATTCCCCGGCAGAACCGAAGACTTGTTGGCTGACGGTTCTTTCGCCAGAGCCGGTCGGTCTCCCAAGAGTACACATACCCATCGGGATTCAAAGTCGGCACGAAGACGAAGTCAAAAGATTCGAGCATCTTCGTCACAGTGTTTATCTTCCCGTAGGAGGTAATCAGACTCCAGGCCAGGTAGTTGACAGTGCTCGTGGAAATCCACTCCCGCGCATGAGAGCCCCCAACAATGAGGACCGTCTTCCGGGGAGAGGACTGCTGCTCGTCGTTTGTAGGGTGAACTCCGACACGCAGGGCAGGGATGTCGCGTCCTTCATAACTGATGCCAACGTTGATCCGCCGAACATGGGTCGTGAACATGGACGCAAGGAGGTTCATCCAGGGTGTAATGACAGACAGTGGTTGGTAGTCCTGGAAAAAGATATTCTCGGATTGTGAGGAAGTCTTGAGACTGGGGGAGAAGGAGCGGTCGCCGTCGTGGGACTGAGTAGCGGAAGGGGTGGGATAGGAGTCGAAGATGGCTTGCGCAAGGTCGAGATCTTGCATGAGCGCCACGTGAGAAGTCTGGAGGGAGGCGGGGAGAAGCCCGAGCAGTGAAGATACCTTTGTCGAGTGTTAGGAGCCGATGTACTGGAGGTTGTTCTGTCCCGACTCACCACGTCCTTTGCTATTCTGATGTCGCACCAATTCTCATTGAACTCCCACACATCCAGGAAAAGAATGTCGGAAGCATCGGCTAGAGCCGAAGCCTCCTCTGCCGTGGTGATATTAAACCGCATCACAATGTCTTCCCCGTACCGCGCCAGCAGCTTCCGCGCAGGGGTGCCGCCAACGGCCGCGGGGTCGCCATTGGCTGCGCCCTTGCCCTTCTGCTTCTCGGGAAGACCCCATATCCGCCGAATGAGTGCGTCTGACAGTCTTCTCCAGGGGTGCGGGGGGTGGTTGTGGCAGCGAGTGTCGAAGAGGGAGCATTGTTGGGAGGCGGCATGCGGGGCGGGGGTTGCGAGCGAGGGACTGAGGAGCAGCAAGCTCAGGACAGTGAACGTCGGCTGACGCATGGCGGGCCAGAGGACGGCAAAGACAAATGGAAAAAGGAGAACTTGGACTGTTCGCACACGCTGGAATAGCGATGCAGAGGGCGCGGTGGGTGGCGTGTTCACCTCGTGCAGACAGTGGCCAAGATGAAGCCGTGGAATTGTGATGCCTGAAGGCGCTGATTAACCGCTCAGCCACCCTTGCGCGCGCCGCCGCCCCCCAAGCTCTGGGCCACGCTGCTGCACGGCCACTTCTCGGCCGGCGCTCAAGCGCCCAGGCTGAGGACGGCGACGGCGCAGCCAGCTCTCCTCAGAGAGCGTCTGGCGACAGCACGCTTTTCCAATGCGCTCCGGCACAAACTCTTGCATCCGTCTCTCGCGCAGACCTGTCCCCTTGATCGCCAACTCTCGCTCGTCTCTTGCATTGACGTGCTCGCCCTCACTTTCACTCTCGCGCTCGCGCTCCCCCCAGCCTCCGCCTAAGCCCACCTCCCCCCCCCAGTCTGACCCTGGTACCGCACTCTCAGCCTTACGCGGTGCATCCGACCCCATCCTGACCACACTCCTCCCCTCTGCCCACCGCGACTGTGCCATGTCCCGCGCTGTACGACCTGTGCCTGCGTAGATGAGTTGCTAGCCCACGCGAGCGCAATGCCTTTGAAGGGCCTCCGACCGAACCGCAGTGAACGAGATCTCCAACGCCGCAGCACTCTAGATCCCGCCGGCCTCTTCAGACGAAGCGACAAGAACAAGTCATCCGACCTCCTCTCCGCTGTAGCGCCCGAACGTGTTGTTGTGTCTGAAGATGGCGGTCGCCCAACCTCCAGCGACGTCGCGCCGCCCTCATGGTCCGCTAGCTATGAGATCCCTCTCCCCTCCCCGCCCATTCAAGAACACACCCCCAATACGCGGCGGTTCAGTCTGATGCGCTTTCGGCATGCCTCAGATTCGCAGCTGTCGACAAAGGCGAAGGAACATGCTGCTGAAAATGCTCCACCCGTTCCGGCTATGCCTGCCGGTGAGACTACTCGCACCCCCTAGCAATTGGGATCAGCACTAATGTATGCGCTGCAGCCCCTGCCATTATCACCACCGCCCCGACCATGGTAGATCAGGAAGAACCGGTCATTACGAAGAGACGTGGGAGACTGCAGCAGTTCTCCCTTCGACGACGGTCCTTCGACCCTGGATCGACAGACCGGCCAAATCTTCGGAAGTCGATGGATAAGAAAGTCAGCTCAGAGATAAGGAGAGGCCCCTTTTCGTTCATGAGAAGCCAGAATAATCTGGCCGAGGACCCAGGGAGATTGTCAACAAGCCAGCGCCCGGACGCTCTTACTGAATCGGCCCACGAGTCTGCCCAGGAAGGCACGTCCTCCCTGTCCCTTCCAGTCCAAAGAGTGTCCGACTCTTCTCGGTCCGACGGGAGCTCCGCAGGGCATGTCTCCTTCGAGCATACTTTGAAGCCTCAACCGACGCCGAAGACCGGCTCCGGACGATTTGGCTTTGGGCGACGGAACAAACAGCGTGCTTCCCTATTCCCGTTACCTATGAAGATTCCTCCCCCCGAGTTTCCTGATACTGCGCCTGCGACTCCCCGGGCCTCGACGAGCGGCGTCAGCTCCGGTTCTCCCCATCACTCCCCGAATGGAGAAAGTCCTCCCTTGACTGCCATACATCACTCCCGGCTCCACCATCTTGAAAATGGAGCCAGGACCCCGCCAATCCCCTCGCCATCGCAGGTTGCCCTTGCAGCTGCATCACTGAATCTTACCTCACCGAACGCTGGTGGGCCTAGCCTGCTTCGGAACGATTCTACGAAATCAGTTCGTTCGTCACGCTCGTCACCCAATGCCGGAGTTCCAATGCGGCTTGGTCTCAGAGGTCGATCGTCGACTATGGGATCACTTGGCGGGCGCTCTGACGATGCTCCCCCGCCTACTCCCCCTTATGCTACGAGCGGACGAAACTCGACGTCCACAGCGGGGAGGAGTAGCCTGAGCAATTTATTCGGGCTAAGCGCAAGATTTCGTCAGAACTCTGAGCCGCATTCTCCAAGGCATGGTTCCCCTGCTCACGCTTTTATAGGAACCCCAGGGATCTCATCCCACCAGAACTCTTTGAATATCAGCCGCGAAGCTCTGGTTATGCCGGAACGGGAAGAGGGAGAAACACCTGGCCATTATTTGGAGCGGATGGAAGAGAACAACATCGAACGAAGCGTCATGGCTAGTTACCTCACCAAGACCGACGACCCGTTCATGCTTGCGGTGCTGCGCAGTTATATGCGCAAGTTTGCGTTCTTCGGAGACCCGATCGACATGGCCATACGGAAGCTGCTTATGCAAGTTGAACTACCAAAGGAAACACAGCAGATCGATCGTGTGCTACAGGGTTTCGCGGATCGGTATCATGAATGCAACCCTGGCATTTACATTAATCCTGGTATGTTGTTGAGGACGCCTGTCAGGTTGGTACCAATACTAATGATCGTCTAGACAAGGCATATTTCATTTCCTTTTCCATTGTGATCCTCCATACGGATTTCTTCAACAAAAACAACAAGCGCAAGATGCAGAGAAACGATTACATCAAGAACTCTTCCTGTGAAGGCGTCTCTGACGATGTTCTTGGATGCATCTACGATAACATTGTCTATACACCTTTCATCCACATCGAGGATGAGCTCGATCTGAAAGGGGGAGTGTCGCGGAGAAGCAAGAAAACTGCTATACTCAAGGCTCCAATCAACGACCCTGCTAGGAAAGCCACACGTGAGCCCATAGACCCATACACTCTCATATTTGAAGGCAAATTGGACGCTCTCCGACCGACAGTTAAAGACGTCATGAACTTGGACGACCCCTATAGCTACCTTGGCACAGCCCTATCACTGGACGTACGGAACTCGTACAACTCGTTCTCGAAATACGGCGTCATTCAAATTGTTTCTTCAAGATCGAGGCCTGAGGCATTCATGTCGCAAGCTGCACAAGAAAACCCTCAAGAGACTTCGGTCGGCATTGTTGAAATGCCTGTGACTAAGGTGGGGATATTGTGGAGAAAGGACACAAAGCGAAAGAAAGCGCGATCACCGTGGCAGGAATGGGGCGCTGTCCTAACACGATCAGGGCTTTCTCTATTTAGGAATTCTGGATGGACCAAGAATCTAATGCATCAACACGAACTGCACCAGAAGCATGGATACTCCGGCCCGGTTGTATTCCAACCCCCACTCCCGGAGTTTAAACAGGATCACATTATACCAATGGACGGCTCGGTGGCTCTGGTTGACAATACATATAGGAAACATAAAAATGCCTTCGTCATGTTCTCAAAGGTTGGAGAGGAAACTTTTTTGGCCGACAGCGAGAAAGACTTGAATGACTGGCTGGGCGTGTTGAATTACTCTGCTGCTTTTGAGACGTTAGGCGTTCGTCCGCGGGGCCTTGTCGGAGGTTTATATGAAGGACAGAGGAATCGAGGAATCCGTCGACTCGAGTCCTCACATTCGGGCAAGTCCATCCCAACGGCGACTGGCGAGGTCACTATCCAGAGTGGCAAGATCGACAGTCAATTTGCTCAGCAAATGATGAATGCCCGTAAGGAGCTCATGCAAAAGCGGATCGCAGAGTCGGAGGAGAAGTTGACGCAATCTATCAAACAGCTGGAGAATAGGTTGAGAGATGCAAGACATCTCCAAATCTTGGCACCAGTCCAGCCAAAGACAAGAGACCTCGTCATTCACGCTGCGGGCAGGTTGGCTGCAAAGCTGAAATGGGCACGCATTGAAATATGGCGTATGAAGTGTCATCGGGACATTCTAGCCCAGGAACTGGAAGACGAGAAGAACGTTGCTAGCGAACGACAAGCTCGGATTGATCGAATTGCTGGAACCTCCCAATCATCACAGCCACAGCCTTCGCCGCAACAGTCAAGCCGGACGTCTAAGATCAGTGGACTGGCGCGTCTTAGCTCCAAGGCAAGCTCGCTCACTGCCGGCCAGAAACCCCCCCTATCCCCGTCTGCATCTGCCCGGCCGGGCACGAAGTCATCTCGAGAAACAGACTTTGGTGAAGATGTCTTCAAGACTCCACCGGAAACGTCTCGTCAATCGAGTCCCAATCACCCCCCAGCTCAACTAGGATTCCCTCCTCTGTCATTCAGCCCTCAGTCCTCAGATCACCGAGCTTCGTTTGCTAGCTCCGCTGCTCAGTCACCCAGCCTTCAAGCCCGGGACCACCGACCATCTGTATCTACTGTTGGAGACCGCACTGTTAGCTCGGATGTTGCTTCTGATGAAGGGTCTCAATACACCACCCCGCCTCCCATTGAGAAAGAGAAAGCGGGCCCTAAGACGCCAGACATCCCCTCTACTGACGGCTTGCGCTTAGATCCCGAGTCCGAGTCCGAAGCCGACCAGCCACCTGCTGCTCTGACTGGCTCGCCCGAATCACGTTCAAAAGTCAGAAGAAGCCTTCATCGCACACTACGAGACTCTCATGGATCATCACACCGCCGGGGCCACAAGGGAAGAGATTCGGCATCCACGATAGTTAGCGATGACAAGCCTGAGAGTGAAGGCCTTTCAAGAGCCAAAGGAAGCTTCACAGTCCATGGCAAGAAGGCATCTGTAATCACATTTGGTGCTGAATGGCACAACATGCCGGCAGAGGAGAGGTTAAAAGTAAGAAAGCAAGCCCAAGAAGCCGTGCACGAAGGCGGTTCTACCGAAGAAACGGAGGGGAGCACAGACGACCAAGCCCGCTCGGTCGTCAGTGATAGTACTGCCACAGTTCTCAGTGCGCCGACGAATGCATCTGACGACACCACCCCTCGACACTCCACAAATGAATCTAGAAAGCAGCGCCATGTATCATCGCAGACCATCACTCCCGCTAATTTCAACCGCTCCATGAATGGACATGACTCAGGCTCCGATGATGATTCGGATATGAGTGAGATCGAGGAAGAATCACCAACAAGGGAACGCAGCTCGATGAGGCATACCCAGAGTGACGCGGAAGACTCTGGCGCTGAGCGTGTAAAACTGGACTCACCCTGGCCACAGGTCGTGGAGGCCTAATCTCATACTTTTCTTTCAGATGAAGCGTTTCTTTTTGTATTTGCATCTTGGTTATGTGGAAAAGTTCAATGTTTCTACTTTCCGAACGATTCCCCTTATGCACCGTCTTCTGCGATGGTTCCTGCACTGTCTTGCAACAAGCATTGGCGTAATAGACTTCTGTTTCTGTTCCTTCCCTCTCGTCTCCTTCTCCTTCTTTTGAACAAAACACATCACACTCTTCTCACATTCTCACATCACACAGCACGGCGCTGCTTGCTTGGATTGCGACAAAGGGGATTTCAACATGAAATGACACCTTTGACACACACCCTGTTAGCAGTGACGTCTTGTATATATAAGACTCGGGACTCGGGGAGCGGCGTTCTCTCGTACCGAATCTAGGATTCTCGCTTGGTGGATAAAATAGGTGAATGGGCAGAAGGTTTGAGGCTGGTTCCGCTGAATGAATACCAAGGTTTGGTACCAAAGGGGGTTTGCGGCGTGGATGGATAGATGGATGAGGGTATGGGGATGAGGTGGAGGAGGGTGTTGATTTAGTCGAATATACCTATGGCTAACTGGACTGGGGCAAACCCTTTTTTTGTGAACGTTGAGATGGAGTGTGAGTGTGATAGAATCTACTCTACACCTTGTTCAACTTATGTTTAATAGTGTTAATGTTCCTGGCCCCTGGATCCTAAGGACCTCCCGTAATATGCCGAGGCTCAAGGGTTCACATTCCAGAGATCGCAGCGCAGAGTGCTCAGATTCGCTCAGAGTCTCCCGAAGTTTGGAGCCTTTTTATTGGATGGCCTCCTCTAGCGTTGCACGTGATTCAAAGCCAGTAAAAGGAAAGGAGAGTAGCTACCTGGGTATATTGGCCGTCAAGTCCGTTCAATACATAATACATAATTTTTGTATCACAAAAAGAAAAGGGTATTGTTCACGGAATTAGAGATCCTACCTAGCCGTGGCTGCGAAAAGGGCTATTACATGGCGGTCGAAGCCTACCTACTAGCTAAGACAAACCTCTGCATCTATTTCACTTATCATTTCATTGAATTCCCATTGCGATTAACAGGTACCACAAGCCATCCACGAGTTTCCGACCAGTTCCTAAGATCTAGCAAAGCTTAATGACCACACTGGAAAGCTGACACCCCTCATTTGGGATTCCCGTTGATGGAAATGTGCCGAGGTTCCTGCAAGCTCTCCACCAGTAGCTTTGTAGACATCGAGAGTCATGACCGGAGATATGTCTCTAACAACTAATCTCCCAACCCCTTTCATTCACCTTTTCTTACTCATCTATAGCTAGACAGCGCTCTCAATCCACCTAGAACCACACGCCTTTGCTTGCTTACGACCTACATCGACAAGATGACGCATAACGCCGCAAAAGACGACCTCTCAGTTTCGAACCTCTTCAATTTCTCCTCGCACATCGCCCTCGTGACGGGCGGAGGAACGGGACTCGGCGAAATGGCTGCACAAGCCTTCGTACAGAATAGTGCCCACGTCATCATTGCTTCACGGAAAGAATCTGAACTAAAGTCGACGTCGGACCGGCTCAACAAGCTCGGCCCAGGAAAATGCGAATACATAATCGCGGACCTAAAGGATAAAGCTGGCTGCGAGGCGCTTTGTGCAGAGGTCAAGAAGCGCGTGGATAGGTTAACAGTGCTAGTTAACAATACTGGAGCGACTTGGGGAGACGATTATTATAGCTTCCCCGAGAGCGGGTGGGATAAGTTGATGGCGTTGAATGTTAAGAATATCTTCTACATGACTGTGGGATTGGAACCGCTGCTTTTGAAGGGAGCAAATGCCGATACTCCGGGTAGGGTTATCAATATTGCTAGTATGGCAGGCATACAGACGACGGATGTTACGACTGGCGAAGCCGGTGGGCTGTCCGCGCCAGGGCATGGCACATTTAGCTGTTGGTTAAATCGGCGCCGCTTGGAGAAACACATTGCTGACTGGAATAGATGGCCCCTCCAAAGCAGCCTGTATACACCTCACCAAGATGCAAGCTTCCAAACTCGCACCGAAAAACATTATGTGCAATGTCATTTGCCCCGGCGTTTTCCCGTCTCGGATGACCAACTTTGGACTGCAGAAGTATATGGATACACTTGTTTCTGGGCAGCCGACAGGTCGTATTGGTAAGCCCTCAGACTTCGGGGGGCTGGTACTCTTCCTCAGCAGTGCCGGGAGTGCCCATATGACCGGTAATGTCATCGAAATCGACGGAGGAAGTACCCTGACGGGCTGGAGGGGGAAGAGAAACGAAAGTAAGATCTAGAAAGGTGATGACGTTCGTAAACAAGATAGAGTCCCATATTCAACCCACCTAAAAACAAACGCCAAAGGCCCGAAGCAGTACTCCCCTAAGATTATTTTCCTAACCTCAACCGCACCCCCGATCTAGAACCCCCCAGACCACGTCGTTCCTCACTCGACATCCACCTTCTGCTAACGGAGTGCAGCCCTTCTCAAGCGCTACCACTATTTCATCCATTTCTTGCTCCGTCTTTGCGTATTGCATGCACATCTGATACGCCCTCCCGCATTCAACTCCCACTTCGTCTACTTCGGGAATGTCGTTGGTAAAAGAGGGAAGTGGAATTTGGGTGATGTCTACCTCAGGATTCTCCGCTAGTCGGGTGAGGAGCTTGCATGGTGCTTCCTTGGCATCGACGGGCTGACTGTGCGACGATTTCTTCGTTGGACATGTCCCCTTGCATGATTTTTGGGCTTGCGGCGGTGGTGGGAGTGGGAGTGGGAGTGGTGATTGATCGGGCTCGTCGATGAGTTCGACTCCAGAATCACTTGCTGTGCCAACAATCTGAGGAGCAGGTGATTCATCGGGGGTAGTTAGAGATATTGCCGCGGGCTTGTCAGAGTTGACACTAGTCTGGTCCCCAGACCAAGTATTCTGCTTGCTGTGACATTTAATGGCTATCGGCACAGTCTGGGATGCCCGTATACTTTTAGTTCAACATTTCCTTTGAGGGGATCTTAGTTGCTGACCTGTGTAGGAACGGGACTCGGGCGATTGTTAAGACTGTTTGTAGTATGTCCTTTCGCCCAATCATCGACAATATGGTCGGCTACACCGACCTGTCGTAGTAGCTCCCTCAGCCTCGCATTCTCCCGCGACACCTTCTGAGCCGCAAGCTGAACTTCTTTTGTCGCCTGGACACCTTGTTCCCGGACTTGGGCGAGCTTTTGCTCCAGGTCAGAGAGATACTCCCGCTTCCGTGCACGATGCCGGCGCTTGTTTTCTCTCATGCGAGATGCGCGGTCTGGCTTCAGATCCTGGCCTCGATATCAGTTCAAATTGTCCACGATGACGAGTAAGAGGCGACGAGTCTGTCTCGACTACTTGAGATGCCGAGGAGATGCATACCAGTACTTGATCCTCTTGCGGCATAACTAACGTTGAATAGCTACACATGCAGTTCGAGAGAAGGTGCAGTGGACGAGTGGATGCCCCTCATTGTCTTTCAGGTTCAACTGCTTGACATAAGCAATTCTTCGGGAGTTCCCTAGATGCAAGACGTCCATTGGACGAAGTTTGTGGATCAAGGAATAAGTAAGTTCCACATTCGCTTGGCTGAACGCCTCTGGATGTCGACTTTTGTTGACCAATCAATGTGAAGGAGTCCGTCCTTGAGAGACAATCCTAAATATCGCCGACCACAAGTATATTGGTGCACCGTACCAGAATTATTTGGATTCATTCTAAATAATCAGTTGATTCTTCATCTCTCATCCACCTACTATTGAAATGATGTCAACATCTCCACCGACACTGGATAAGAATAAAACCGACATTGAATCCCAGTCTGGCATACATATAACGCCAGTCGACAATGCGGAATCCTCTACCTCAGCAACACCGACGGCAGAAGAAGTCGACTTAGGCGAATCGAACGTCCCCAAGCTCTCCCTCCCCCACCTCTTCTGGTTTTTCTTCTACAACTTCGGCCTTTTCGCCTGGGGTGGTCCAGTCGCGCAAATCGCACTCATCAAAGATCGCCTCGTCATAAAGGATCAATGGATCTCCCTCGAGCGCTTCCAACGCGTCTTTGCTGTCTACCAAATCCTCCCTGGTCCTGAGGCAGCAGAACTTTGCATGTTCTTCGGGTGTCTGAGTAATGGGAGACTTGGGGGCATTGTTGCTGGGTTGGCATTTATCTTGCCTGGGTTTGTGTTGATGTTGGTGGCGAGTTATGTGTATAGTTTGGCCGGTATGGACAATAAGTGGTTTAATGCGAGTTTTAGAGCGCTGCAACCAGTTGTTGCTGCTATGGTAGGTTCAACTACATATCGACGTTTGTGATAGGTCACTAATGGATGTAGATTTTCAGAGCCACGCATAAAATCGCGGATCACTCGCTCCATAAACCAGAATCCAAGAAGACGGATCCTTTCCTCGTCATTATTGCAATCTGTACTATGATCAACAGCGCTCTTCGGCTAAACATGTACGTCCCAGATCCCCCCTCTTCTTCATTCTCTAACACAACCTCCCCAGCCTCATCTCCCTCGCTCTCTACGGAGTAATCTACACCCTCATATCTCGCCGTCTATGGATTCCTGCCGCCATCCTCTTCCTTGCCCAATACATCGGCTACACCCTCTACGTAATCTTCCACGGTATCCCTTCCCCTGTCTCCCTCGCCCTAGGCATCGCTCCCACACCCTCTCTCCTCCACCTCTTCCTTCTCGGCCTTGTCGCTGGTACGCTTTCATTCGGCGGTGCATATACTGCGATTCCTTTCATTCAGGTTGAAGCTGTGTTGAAAGGTGGGTGGCTGTCACAACGCGTGTTTATTGATTGCATTGCAATCGGAAACGTGCTGCCTGCGCCGTTGGTGATTTTCGCGACGTTCGTGGGGTTTCAGGGGGGGATGAAAGATGGGGGTTTGGGAGTAGCGTTTGCGGGCGCGGTGATTATTACCCTGGGAATGTTTTTCCCGTGCTTTGTTTTTACGATTGCGGGACACAAAGTTTTGGAGAAGCTGGTTTATAATAAGGTAAGTCCCTCTTCCCCTTCTTCCCCCATGAAACTTACCGAGTGTGCAATAGTTCCTAGCTCCTTTTTTCACCGGCCTTTGTGCCTCCGTCATTGGCGTAATCGCAGTCATCGCCTTCCAAATCCTAAAACCAGCGATTGAGGGGTCAATGGAGAGTTTTTCGATTGTGCCGACGGAGCATGCGATTCAGAAGGCGAGCGAGAGTGGGATTGCGGCGGTGTTGTATGCAGTCAGTTTAGGGGTTTTGTATAAGTTTAGCGGGAAGTGGGTGGTGGTTGTTATGGTGGTGGTAGCGGCTGTTAGTGGGCAGTTTTTGTTTATTTAAGAAAGCATTTAGGGAATTTAGTGGAGATCAGAGGCGAGGGCAAGTGGTAGTGTCATTGTGTTGCGCTATGACCGCTTGGGGTGGATAGAGAAGCTCGATGGGATGTCGACGTATGTGGTTATTGTGGCAGTTAGGTAAGTCAGTGGATAATTTTTTATTTACTTTTAGATGGTAAAACCTTAGAAAGGAGATAGAGTCAGGTTCAAGTAGGTGGTAAAGGTATGCGAGATAAGAGGGGTTCCAGCGGGAATTAAAGGGTACTATAATTCCCCGCTTGGATTAAAGATGTCGATACTGGAGGTCGCAGGGCTAATTAGAAGCCGTGGAGGGGATTAACAGTGGCGGAGGGGATTAATGGTTACAGAGAGGATCAAGGCTGCAAAGAAGATCTCTTGATCTTCTAGCTGCTTCTTGCTCTGACGAGCTTAACAGCTTTATTTGATACCTGGAGAAAATTTTGGTTTCTAGGTAGGATGGTGTTCAAATTCGAAACATTTGTGGCATTTCGTAGTGCTTCTATAGCTTTTTGTGGGAGTCTGCCCCTCAGCAGCTGCGAAAAGCGAGGCACAGGCTTCTCAAGATCTCCAATAGTATCATGCCGAACACCTTGGTAGGCATAATCCGAAACTCCGCATTGTTCCACGGTGAGTTCTAGCATGCTTCTGTTATTCTGAATATTCATGAATAAACAAACTAGCTCTTTGAAAACGTTGCTCCTTGCAGGATGCAATGGTACTTCCTCACCGTTGAACTCGCTCTCCTCATAAACTTTGCGCTATACAGCTCTCTCAGCCGAGCAAACAAAAGAACAGTGGTGTATTTATGCGTGTTTTGGCGCCTCCTGTCCCACGGCAGCCCTTGTACTACTACCCGCAAAAATGTCCTCCGCGAACGTGTTACCAAAACACTAAGAAATTAATCAGTAGAGTTAATTACTGTAGTAACTATAACCTCATTAGCTGTACAATAACAGAAGGCAATTCATTTTTGTTCTAACTACTAAGAGATTGCTACTATCAGTAACAGTAGCAACAGAGCTACGTTCTATTAAACATCACGATAATCTCGTCCGCGATTGCCCACGCCCCACACCCCCCTGCCTTCCCTCCTGCGGGATACTCAGCGCGATGCTGTCTTCAATCGCTCCTGCGACAATCGCGTCTTTCCCATTCCGTGAACATCCTGTCACACAGACTCGCCTGGAGTCGATTTGTGTGGGGAGTGTCAAGTCTAGTGCGTCGATGATTCGGTGTACACTCCACGCCCATGTGGTCATTGAGCCTTGCAGTACAGGTCATAGAAGCGGCTAACACCCCAGGTGTTATTGTCACTAATTTCTGACTTCTGGTAAGTCATGACTGCAACTATATTCAGGACTGGGATGCCAAGGGAGCCGAATGCGAGGGTAGCGGATATGGTGTGCTGCCGGATGTTGGGGATTCAGTTGAGATGGAGAAGCTCGTTGATTTTCCGATATTGGTTACTGTGGTGTGGGGAGGCGGGTTAGGAGGGTACCGAGTGAATAGCGTTGTATGAGTTGCCAGATTTTAACTTTTCGGCTCGACCATTGCGGGGTTTTTGTGATGCGGGCCCGCTTAGAGGGAGAAAAAGGCCTGGCAGCGTGGTGTTGAAGACATAGGTCATGGCTGTTGGGATGTTAAGGCAGTCGGTGAGGGTGGAGGTCTGAGCTTGTGAGAGATAAATAATCGTTAAGATGGATAAGATGATAAGCAGCATGTTGAATATCAGCTTTGGGGTCTTTAAATGCGGGCGTACTTCCAGTGGCTTAGAGTTCAGATATATAGTAGTTTGGCTTACTTGGCATTTGTTAGTAACATCGTTGTGGAAGCCCTTCCACTCTGGAGTGGAGAATTGCGGATCGAATGAAGGAAAGTTTACACATCAGGATTAAAAAGATATAGGTTAGCGGAGTATTACATTCTCTCGCGGTCTAGCGGAAACAAAAGACAGAGCAACGTACCGAATATGATGAAGAGGAAGAACAAAATTATATAAATCGTGTAACTAATGGCATGAGATTCTCCGAACATAGAATCGAGGTAACTAAAGCTACAAGGTATATTGCGTGCTCGCGATTTGTTTGAAAATACTTATGAGAGTTTTGACCTTGGATCGTTTGCGATTGGTGGGAATTTTCGCTCGATCCTTCATTACAGCTGAGAAAGCAAAATATTTCCAAATCATAAGTTGAAGATACTGCAGAAGAGACACTTGACCACAAAGGAGGGATTGCCGTAATTGAAGAGTACTGAAGTCCGGGTCAGTTTTCAAAGTGACATCCCAACATGGGATTGTCTAGTTAGCCAGCGGAAGATTGAAGATTGGAGGAATTAGAAAGCCCGACCACAACTCGTGTACCCAGATCTAGCAATTGTTCAGCCTCCGTATCGTGAGCCAAAAATGTGCTCCGACGCGCGCCATGCGGAGCACTGTGCCAAGCCTGGGGTACAGAGACGGGGGGCTGAAACGTACTTCCCGGATAAGCTTAATCCGACTAAGCCTCAGGCACTAGAAGTATCAGACAAAGACTCCTTCATAAAATGCGTGGATCATCATCAAGCCGTAGAAAAAAAAAATTTCCAAAAAAAAATTTGGGCACGAATATCCAACCGTTGGAAGCTTATGGGAATTGCAATACAATTCATTCCAGTTTCCGCGAACTATGGAAACATAAAAATATACAGTTCACACCAAGAAGATATCTCATAGATTTTGAAGGGGTATCCAACCCGCCGATGCTGGGATGCCAGATCCTGATGTCGTTGATCCAGTCACCACATCCTATTGTCCAACTTTCTGAAGTCATTGCGATGCTAGGTCTCGCTTCTGCAGAGCTCACATTATCATCCCCACGAGTGCATTTCTTTGTTGTTCTGTATGGAAGAGTAACGCATTTACATCATCAGGTAGGCGAACATGCCGAGGAGACCAGTGAAGGCAACGTTCTTGTTGAGCTCCAGGGTCGAAGCAGCACCCGTGGAGGAGGCGGTTGATCCGGAGGCAGACGATGAGGCGGTCATGGTGCCATTCATGAGCATGCCACCAGTTCCGGCCACAGAAGAAGGAATCACAACGCTGGAAGCGGCTTTGGCACTCGAAATGAATTTGTCGACGGTGTTTCCAGTGGCACTTCGCACAGTTTAGCAGGGACAATGCGACTCAGACAAAAGAAACTTACGGAGCGTTGATGGCGCCGGCCATTCCGGATATGCAGTGCTGGCCTTGTGTGCAGTAGAACCAGACGGGCTTAGTCTCATCTTCAACCGTGTACATAAAGGTCTCCATTGCGCCACCGCTTGAGCTGGCGATGTAGCCGGACCAAAAACCGCCGGACATTGGCTCGCAGGGCTTGGCAAATGTCGATTGAGCAACCGAGTGGTTACTAGGCCAGAAGTGGAAGGTTACGGTATCGCCTTTCGTAGCGTTGATGTTGTTAGGAGTGAACGTAAGCTCTTTATTGTTGCCACCAACTTTGACGGAGTGGTCAACAGCGAGAACGGTGCCAACAAGGGCGATAGAAACGAAAACGTTGGTGAAATGCATTATGATTGGTTGAAAGTTGAAAATGATAACGAGTCTAGCTCTTTTGGGATGTGATGAAAGGGTATTAGGGGTTGGAAAACCGAGATATTGGTGCTGAGCTGATTTGAGAATGAATGCTTGGGCCTGCCTGGGGAAAAAATCTGTAGGTGAGGGAATATGAGGCCTTTTTATGTAGGAATGAATGAAACGAAGGCACCGAGGCCTGTGGTGAGAGAGCTGAAGACTCGGGCTGAGATGGCCATGGCGGAACGCCTCCGAGACGTCGTGTGTTGCGGATAGTAGCAGGGACCATGGTGATGCCAGAAGTGGAAGTTTGCGGAGTGCATTAGACAAAACAGGAGGCTGATGAAGAGGTCTTCGATTGGGTCAAGATAGGCCTGGGCGCCTGTGTTCAGCCACTGGCAATTCGGGCTGCAATCATAATGCCTGAGGTCTCGTGCGTGGCTGTTTGGGAGCCAAGGAGTCAAGGGCGCGAAGGTGCGTAAGTTCAGGGTCGAGGTGTTTCTGCGAAGGGGATGAAACGTGAAGAGGTTGTCGCTAAGAGATGAGACGTGTTCCAAGACGGCCCCTTAGTGGTGAGGCGAGAGAGGTGGCGCTGCACGACCCACAAACCGATCCTTGCGTGACGCCTTCTCCTCGTAGCTCGGAGCTTCATTCAATGTCACTCTCCTCTAACAGGTCCAGCACGGCGAAGACAAATGGTTTCGACGAGATCTGGATCGAGACGTTGCGGTTGCTAGTCGGGAGTTCGGCTGACTGAGCGTTTCCCGGGCTTTGCCGGTGAACAGTGAAGGATCAAGCGAACGCTGACATCGGAGCCATGGACATGGTACGCTTTCAGCAAAACTGGCCTTCTGACGTTTGATCAGGCTCTCCAATATTCTCTGAAGTACCTAGTAAGGGCCTATTTTCAGTTGTGGCTCGCGCTCTTCGGCCACGGAACGATGTCGGGAAGATCATGTATTGGCTGTGACCGTCTGCATTGATGTCCTGCGATACTTGCAGCGACTTACTACCGGGTGCGGCATATAGTAGTGAAGGCATCTCGAATCGACCGATTGGGTGGGAGCGGAATTTTCACACGCGCTGAGGCTCACAAACACGTACAGAATCACCATTTGCTGTCAGACGGTTGTCGAACGGCGGCCTCAGACATTGTACAAACTTATCCCCCTGCATCGCTCCACGCTGAGGCTAACTCATCGATCAAACCGCCCCTATTTCTTATGACCGCACGCATTCCGATATTGCCGACAGCACTGCCTTCGTTAAAGCATTGTCGATAATCAATATGCTTTTGCCTCGCATGTTACCATGGAAAATCCACCAAATGCGGTGCGATTTTATTGATCCTCTAGCGGGTTTGCCCGTTGCGGATCGAGCGATGTAACCAGCCGCTGGCCTCGGGCATTTTTGTCGGCCCTTACGTGCAGCTCAACCACCACAGACGGCCACTCGGCGCACCGTCGTTCCAAAAATATCCCAACCATCACAACTGCCTCTCGTGTTTGCTCGAGTTATGAGCTCATACATTTCTTTTCGTGCACGAGTGCCGCGCTCTCTGGTCACCTGCGCACCACTCCGCAACTAATATCCAAGACAGTTGCATCAATGGCCATGGTTCCCCTCGCGCCACCTCATCTTTGCCCAATATCGAGCATCGCAGCGCCGACGGATAGCCGCAGGTCTTACATGGCGGGCGAGCATTCCTCCCGACGTAGAGTATAAAAATGGCGGTGTGGGCGACGAGAGAGTCTACTCATCACCTTAGCATTCAGCATACCAATTAATCCGTTCTCGCATCACCAAAATATTTAATCAACGCGAGACAACCCCGTCCAAGAGGCAATTCCGACACAACTTCAGAACACCTCACCAACATTACCTCCGGAATTCAGCATCATGAGGTTCTCCAGCGCTCTCACTGCTAGTGCTCTTGGCTTTGCCAGTCTTTCCCAAGCTATTACTGGTACACGTTCATCTCTCCTCTTATGTTTGCACCCCCGGCTGATTTCTTTCAACTCTAGTGTCTTGGGATGCTGGCTATGATGACAAGAGCCGCTCTCTCACTGCTGTTTCCTGCTCAGATGGCGCGAACGGCCTGATGACCCGGTACCATTGGAACACCCAGGGAGATATCCCCACGTATCCAAACATTGGCGGGTACCAGGAAATTAAGGGGTGGAACAGCCCAATGGTATGATCCACACCCGAATAGTTTGAACAACAGCGACGTGCTAATGTGCGGCTTCTCGTAGTGCGGAACCTGCTACTCTGTTACATACAACAGCCGAACGATCTACGTCCTTGCTATCGATCATACCGCAAGCGGCTTCAACATCGGGAAGCAAGCTATGAACACCCTGACCGATGGCAATGCGGACCAGTTTGGAAGGGTTGACGCTGCGTATACTCTCGTTGATATCAGTAATTGTAAGCTCTGAGGGACATTCGGTACTGGAAAAGAACAATGGACGACACGGTAATACTTATTCATCGATCAGCATAGCGAGTGTCACTTGGGAACTCTAGAACATTCCTTCAGTAACTTCTAAACGTAGTGCACATATTTTTTGTCCCTCAAAAAAATTTTTTTTTAACTGATGGAATTCGACCAATGAGATGATCCACTGAGCCGTGTTAGGAACGAACTTGAACGGAAGGTGTTGTGTGCACCGTCGTTACGTTTCAGTACCTTAAATTCCAACCTGGACGAAGCTAGGAATGAAGCTATGCCCTATTACGGTGGAAGCCCTTCAGTAGGCACTGGGTATTGCAGCGATCACGTGATGCTCAGTAGATGTGATGGCGAATTCACCAGAATTGCACATCCCAGCATCGCGGTATTAATTAAAGCGATGCACAACATTAGCCGTCATCACGAACCGAGGTTCAGATAAACCAACATTCCCCAGTTCTATTCCATCAAGAAGTTGATCCAATTGTAGTGATGCCACCATGAGCCAACTAGTCGCCCGCTCATATCCTTCTAGAACCCCAACAGAGCGCCCAAAGTCCCGCGCCCAAATGGCACACCGTCTCGGGCTTTCAGATGCCGTGCAAAGGTGGTGCCATCTACCAATCAACGCGCAAATCTCCTACTAATATATTCCAATAAGGAAACACTTTCATCAATCTAAAATGCGGAACCACGATCCAGGCGCTACACCTCATGGGGCACAGGCCCTCTCCCGGTTTCTCGCCATATTAATACACCGATGACCAGCAACGCCAGTGCGGGGTGGCCCTGACAAGATCTTCCTCGTGAGAATTAACGACGCGCCGACGGGCAAGCCTCGAAAGGCGTTGCGCTAGACTTGTAAGTTCGTTATATTTTGTGAAGCTACTCGGGGGACATTGTTCCAGTAGTGGTATCTGGTGGTTTGGTAGCTGACTCGGGCACAGGCTTTGGAGTGTGATTTTTAGTATAAGTTGGGATGCTGAGAGCGTTGTAAAAATCACCGAAACTAGTCTTGCTTGTCTTTCCAAACTAGTTTATCGTTGAGCGACAAAAAAGAGCTTCAAAATGGGTTACCGACGAAAGATCGTTGTTGACGACAAAGCTATTACCGAAGGCGCTGGCCTTACACTACGACAATCCCTTATTCCGTGCCTCTTAGGTATAAAGCATCTCCCTACGTTCGCCTATGCCCTTGCTCCGAATATCGCAGAGCTGATGATTGATAGTCACAATTCTGTTCTTCCTCTGGGGTTTTGCGTACGGTCTCCTCGATGTGCTCAACTCGCACTTCCAGTCCACTCTCCACATCTCCCCCAGTGAAGCATCTGGCTTATCTGCTGCATACTTCGGTGCATACTTCCTTTGCCCTCTGACAGTCTCTGGATGGATCCTCCGGCGATTTGGATTTAGGGTGACATTCATGACTGGTATGAATTCCCCACACTGCTTCCTTCCCCAGAACTCAACGCTTTTTCCCCATAGCTCCTCAGCGAGTGCTTCCTAACAAGCCCCAGGCCTTGCCATCCTAGCAGTAGGCTGTCTCCTTTTCTGGCCCTCCGGCACCAAATCCTCGTTCGGCGGTTTCTGTGGCAGCATGTTCGTTGTCGGGGCTGGACTCTCCACTCTCGAAACCGGCGCTGACAACTTCCTCTCCATCTGCGGTCCACCCCGCTACTCCGAAATCCGCCTCAATCTCGCCCAAGGCATTCAAGGTGTCGGATCCTTCGTTGCCCCGTTGCTGGCTTCCCGCGTCTTCTTCGCAAAGACTGTTGATACTGCACAGGGGCTTAAGAACGTGCAATGGGTGTACTTGGGTGTGGCATGTTTTGTCGCATTGTTGATTATCTTATTTTTCTTCGCGCCGATGCCAGAGGTTACGGATGCGGATATGAATTTGCAGGAAGTTGAGGTTGCGGGGGAGGAGGTTGGACCGTTCCGGAAACAGTACAACTTGTTCTTGGGCGTGTGGTCGCAGTTTTGCTATGTTGGTGCGCAGGTAGCAGTTGCCAACTACTTCATCAATTTCTGCGAGGAGGCCGGATATGACAAGGCATTCTCCTGTAACTCAAGCCATGTCCCTGTTTCAACTAGTTCTAGCTAACGGAGCTGTAGCCGACCTCCTAGCCGTTGGACAAGGTCTCTACGCCTTCAACCGTTTCCTCGCGGCCATGCTGATGACGCTCAAACCCTTCAAACCACGCTTCATTCTTGGGGCGTATCTGGGACTCTGCTTCGTTTTCGGGCTCGCTGCTACTTTGTCCCATGGCCACACAAGCGTCGCACTGCTCATTCTGGTTCTCTGCTTCGAAAGTGTAGGTCTTCACTCCACCCACCAGCTCCCCTTCTCACAACCATCCAAACTCAACATCAACCCCACTAACACCCACTTAGGCCTGCTTCGCCACAATTTTTACCCTTGCACTGCGTGGTCTCGGCCGGCACACAAAAATTGGGGGCTCCATGCTCGTAGCCGCAATCTCTGGTGGCGCAGCCATTCCCCCTATGACCGGCGCCGTTGCCACGCGGACAGGCAACTTTCATATCGCGATGGCGATTCCAACAGCATTCTACGTGCTCGCGTGGGTGTTCCCTGTGTACGCTAATGTGTGGAAAGGGGCGGTGTTGGATGGGCATCGCGACACGGACTTGAATGTTAGTGAGGGGAATACGGTAAGGGCGGAGGAAAAGGGAGTGCAGGGAGAGAGAGTTGAGGTTATTAGGGAGAAGTGAGTGGTTCTGGGTTCACGGAGCTTGCGGGAGAGGGAAGTGGGTAGAGAGATTCTTATGCGCGCTAAGAGTGCTGTACAATTAGCAGTCGGACTTACATCTTTTGCGCGATCTCGGTTCTGCTGACCTGCTCGCCCAGTTTAATTATCGTGGCATATCAATTGCAAGGAACTATCTCTCTAATCCACAGCAACAAAGCTCCATACCTATCTCCAAAACCCCCTTTCCCCTCTCTTGGGTCTCTTCGATAGTCTTTCAACTACCAACCCTCTGTCTTCCTTTCCAGCTTTCAGAATCTCAATATTCCATCCGAGCCATTGCTTCCCTCACACACAGGTGTGATAGGACTAATACGGGGTCTGTGAGCGTTGGTAGCTCCACCCACTGCAGTTGCATTCGGTGGAGGAATTCCAGACATTCTCTTCGGATCTTCTCTTTCTAGTGATTCGAGATCACTCAGAGTGTAAGCCCCGACGGTGAGATCGCGCGGGTCGACACAAGATGTGCAATGGAAGATGTACTTGTAAGTTAGCTTAGAAGGTGCCGAAGAGGACCGGTTACATGGACGTCAGTCTGGACCAAATCGCTCGTGTAACAAAAACGTATTATTTCCATTGATATTTACGTGCCCCGATAAACACCCAATCACAGCAAATACTAGCGCTAGAGTGGATTTGAGGTTCACGCCTGAATTGAGCGTGCGTTTTGCGTTAAGAATATAGAGAGGCAGTATTCTGGACCAAATGATGACAAAGGCGCCACTGATTCTGCAGATATAGACAGGTGCAGGTTGCCATCTTGATTTGAAGGGCTGGCTTGTGTAAAATGGTTAGTGCCGGCTAAAAATTCCGCGTCTCCCTAATCGCTCGAGCCTGGAGACTTGCGTCAATGCCGTTTAGAAAGAAGTCACTCGAAGGATGCCGTGTGTCGGTCAACTTACCCTTTCTTAAAGTTGAGAAACGTGACAATTTCACAGATGTAAACACAGGCCATAAATCTGGTGAAGAACTCCGAGAGTTTATCCGAGGCTACTCATTCTGCGCTAGGGGTTTCATTCTTTAAGAATTACGGTAATTGCCTCAACTGCGAGTATCTGTTATTGCTTAGACCTACAAGCGATAGCAAACCAAACGCTGAGCATGCGAGAATAGCTGCAAGCAGCGTGTGGCTATTGTTTGTCCGACCAACAACGTCCGCTACCCGTTGGGCATATATGTTTGAGCAAGCATGAACATCGCACATGAACCTCGCACGTGAGGCTACGTACGCGGCAGTGTTGCTGCAAATTTGTTAGTTGATGAATATTATGAGCGGATATGGATTGCTTGGTCTAGAAGTTTGGCTTACCCTGCGGTATATGCAGAGATTACGAAGAACAGGCTCAGAACTTTAAGAATACCATAAAGAGCTGACGACTGTGCAGCAATAAGGGAAGGTGACAGCGACTGCATATCTGGCCCGGCTGCCCATCGCTTTACAAAAGTCGGGCCCGCATAGTTAACATTTGCCGCGGCGGACAAGGCAACGAACGGACAATGACATAAGGGTACAAGGTTAGCGAATAACATAATAACCGGGACGTCTTTTTAAGGTTCTTTTACCTCACCAGCTGTCATGCCACCATCTCTCCGCCCATGCAAGAGAACATTGCTAGGGTGGCGGCAGTCCTACACGATGTCAACCAGCTGCTTGAATGAAGTCGAGATAGACATACATGAAAACAAAAAATCGCCCTCCGGAGCCGCAAATCCCGAACTGATTATCGTCGACAGCGCTACTTCGAAGATTGCCATTCCCAGCAGTGCTACCAAACCCTATCGGTATCCAGCATTCGGTGAATGGCGAAGAGGTGTAATCTAGCTTGTTGCGTTAGTAACCAAAATGCGCAAAGAGATGGCACCCATACTACTATGGAATGACCCAGTTCCGGGACTAGTTCCTATGAAGATACTAGCCAAAACCCATTAATGAACGGTTCGGTCACAAAGCACGGCTTACACTAACCTCCAGTATTAATGGTGATCATGAGAACGCAGACCAGCACGAACAAACGCAACTTGCACCTCATGACAACCTATATATGATTAATAAACATAACACATGACAGAATGTGCAACCTTAGTCGAATTCAAGGAAATTATTGCTCTCTCTATTTTCCCGTATATCTAGGGGCGAAGTTAGAGGACAGGGAGGCAATGGGGAGCGTGGTTGGATGGGGTCTTACCTTAAGGCAGCACAGTGAGACAAGGTTGTCAGCGCAATGAAGAAGAAGTTGATACCAGCTTCAACGCTAGTGGTATGGCGAGTCGGGTTATTTTTCAGAAGTGCCGTTAACTAAGTCGACTGTGCCGTCAGCGTAGCTATCGAGCAGATATTGGCAAGCCTAAAAAATGAACAGCGCGAGCGAGCTGCAAGAGCATCCTTGACTAATTCATACGCGTACGACGCGCAAACTGTAGATCCTGCAGCCAGGTCTAAGAATCTATGAGGTAGGTTAATAAAAGCTCCCGTCGATGACCGGCATGCAAATATAGAAATGAGCTGGTAAGTCAGGGTTACCAGTGAACGAATAGGGGCTTTGTATTCACACACTCCGGAAACATCGAGGAGATGTCACGCCATGTTCCATTTTCCTATCTTAGTGAACCCTTTACATATTTTGTACAATGAACCAAATCCACGAGTCACAGATGGAACGGAGCTTTATCTGCCCCATCCAATATCCCCAGCTCAGAACGGACTACAACACTGCGGGCTGGCGAACTCAGGAATTTGTTGGCCGGAATGCCTTTTGTGGGGTCGTAACATCCACAGGATTCTTTTTGTAGTGATAGAAGAGAACAGCATACCTTTGTTGGCTCTTCAAGAAGCCATAGGAGAAGAACTCGTATGGGTTGAGAAGCTGAAGCCTTGGGTATCACACTTGAAGGAAGCCGACCCAGGCTATTCCGAAATGTCAGTTGTGGTACGAGAATACCGGGGAAGACTCAAAGTTACAGCAGCAGACTATCGCTACCACGTAGTCTGAGCAAAGGTCTACATGAGAAACTCGCAGTCACCTCCAGATCCGTTCGAGTTCGATGAGACGCCATGGGAGCCGCCACAGGTGTGAGAACTAGATAATCTCCAATCAAACAAAGTGCGATATAGCGAGCTATCGCCAGATTACATCAGTCATGTTCTGGGATCTAACGCTGCTTCAAACTGGGGTTGAGACGGAAATGAGTCAAGTTTAAAGGGGTTCCAGAGCATAATGCGTTTAAAGTAGGTTTGTACGGGCTAGGATCTTCGATATGCCTAGAGAAGATTGTCTCTGGACATGTCGTTCTTGTAGAATGCTGCAGTAATCAAAGAGGGTTTGAACGATGCTTTGTGTAACTTCCGTCAAACTTGAGGTAAGCACGCAGCGTCGGTCCGCGAATTCAGGACCAGATAGGAGAAATAAGAGCCTACTCTCTCACCCACCCGGGATGGACGTTGAGTAAGGTTAAGGTTTGGTGTAGTTGAGTGGGCTTTTATCGGCGGAGTGGAGCAGTTGTGCGAAGGGGAACTTTTACGTGCTTATTTATCCCTAGTTCTTCTGGCAGAGTCTGTGGTGGATAGTCTTGCTGATTCCGCTCATTGGCTCGCTCTAATTTATTGAATTTCCCATCTCGGAAAAGCTTGACATCAAATCTAGCGAGGGTCGCGACCGCCAAGCGGCCACATCTCTCTTGTACTGAGTTTATAAGGATGGGAAATCTATTGCCTCGCTGCCATTTCATAAGAAGCCTCGTTCGCTAGTGGAACCACTTCCTTAAGCGAGAGGAAGACTAGACTTGATATGTTGAAAGGAGCTATTCGTAAAAAGGAGAATTGCCTGCAACTCTGACGGTCTACAGCGACATCGTCACCGTCTCTTCAACTTTCGTTGGCAGTCCCTTACGAATCACTGCTGTCCTGGTCTTCAGGTCTGTCAGGATATTAAAAAGCGTTCTGGTACCGCTACCGGCCTCTTCCGCGCGGCAAATTGCAGTCGGGTAGTTTTGCTCGTCTTCAAACAGTCGGCCTACCTCCTCCCATGTTGGCTGGCGTTGGCCGTCTCCAACCTTACTTGAATTCTCTGTCATGGTCTTTACTCTAACGGGAGAGTCCTCTAACCACACAGTGTCGACTTCGCCTGGGTGCTCGAGTAGGAAGTGATTCGCGTGCACAACCCGGCGCAATGAGTCGGGAAGACACCTTGCGAAAGTCGATTTGGTAAACTCAAGGCCAACAGCGGTAGTCGTGTCTGCAATAAGAATATGTGCTGAAGATGCCATCCCATAGCTCTCCAATTTCTGAACCGCTTCCATAGCGGAATTGCTCTCGAGCGCCATCCGAAGGCCGAGATGCACTGGCATTCTGCTCGGATCGACACCTTTCACTTTGATTGCATTCAGTAGTGTTCCTACGCCGGATGAGTTGAATCCAATCTTTCCAATGATGCCGGCTTCGGTGATTTGCTGGATTGCTGGTTTGCCAGACTGGGTGATCTTGGTTATAATGAGGTTGTTCTTTTGCTCATCCATCCACTGCTTCTGGTCAGTACCTGTCTTACACTGTCTATTTACGGTTCGAACTTACATCCCAATTCTGTCCTAAGAAAACCCTCTTCTCTGTATGCCACGCCAGACTAGTACATCCATCACTAAATTGCCCGAACGCAACCTCAGTCCTCACATTCAACGCCACGATATCCAACAGCTCCACACCCGCGCCATCCGCAACTCCTCGCATCTCTTCATGGTATGCCGGCCAAGTAACGCGGATATGTTGCTCGAAACTGGAAGCCGTTTCAAGGACCTGCGTCCACGTCTGCTTACAATTTTTCTGGAATAGGGCACCATAGAAGTCGATGCAACGGCCCACTTCCAATTTGGCCGCGGAGCCGTGTTGGTGGCCGATCTTGACGGTTGTCAGAAAACCCCGCAGCGGCAACAGGGACTGTTTTGGGGTGTATTTGATGGACAGAAGTGGTCGTAGAGTGACGAATGACGTACCTCGTAGGGCGTTCCTCTGCACTCAACGACCAACATGATGGTAATTTTAAGACAAATGAGTAGGCAGAATCAGGCTTTAATTCTCGTAAAAGTTTACCCTTCTTCGGTATTAGTGCTTGAATCAGTGTCTCCTCGCCACAATATGAATATCAGAATAATATACAAACTTATCTCTTCCCGCTAGAGCTGGCGGGAGGGGTTCCTCGGCTGCCACTCTGCGCCCATCTCCGCCCGTAGGGATCGTCAGACCCCGCTTCCAAGCACCCACCTGTTGCGCGTATCTCCACATATCTGACATCTCAAGGTCTCATTGCCACGTACCGGATATTGCTAGCATGCACGGAACCCTTTCTGGCGTCTCGGCATACCGTTCTAGAATTTGTTGTTCAGGAGTTGCGGGACCCAAACAGGATGGTGGGAGCGGCGGGCGAAGCCCGGGGAGGTAGCTGCTGGTCATGGTTGATAAGTAGAATGTTGCTCCGGTGTTTATAAGAAGTTGAATAAAGTTCAGTCTTGTCCCTTCATTTCTCTAGGTTGCTGTTCTGGAACCTAAGTCCGAGTGAGAGATTTCATTATGCCAAAAAGAGTGCTTTGCGGATATGGCATTGATATCGATGCCGTGAGTGGATGGTAAGATCTCTCTCCTCTACTACGACATATGTTGGCATTTACGATTAGGATAAACACTCGCGACGGAAGCAATGCAAACCCCACCGATGTCTCGCGCGGCGTCTTCGGCGCAACCGTTGGCATCAACCGCCTCCTAAAACTGTGGGACAAGTACAACATCAAGGCGACATGGTTCGCGCCCGCACACACAGTTGAAAGCTTCCCGTTGCAGATCAAGAAAATTGTGGAAAAGGGGCATGAAATTGGTTTGCATGGATATACGCACGAATTTGTCTCGACGTTGAACGAGCAGCAGCAGAGGGACGTGCTGGAAAAGTCGATAAAAGTGATCCACGAGTTTACGGGGAAGAGGCCGCGAGGTTGGACAGCCCCGGCTTGGAGCACGAGTAACGAGACGATAAAACTGCTTGAGGAGTTCGGCATCGTGAGTTCTGTGCTGACTGCCCCTGAGAGTCGCTAATTGTGAGTTCAACACACAAGGAATACGACCACTCCTTCATGCACCACGACTCCCAACCCTACTATGTCCCGTCCCCACACCTAACCACGCTTACCAGCACCGACGTCTCCAAATCTGCCTCCCACTGGATGACCCCCATGTCCACCCTAAAACTCTCATCTGTCGTCGAAATCCCTGCAAACTGGCACTTGGACGATTGGCCGCCCTTCCAATTGTCCCTTACCCAAGCCTCAACGCATGGCTTCGTTGATACCGCTGTTATCGAGCGGCTCTGGAAAGAACAGTTTGAATATTTGTACCGAGAGTGTCCGGATGATGGCAGCTTTGTATTTCCGATTACTATTCATCCCCAAGTCAGTGGGAAGCCGCAGGTGGTGCTATTGCATGAGAGGTTCATTGAGTGGATTAATACTCATGAGGGGGTGGAGTGGGTTACGATGGAGCAGATTGTAGACGAGTTTAAGAGTGGGAAGTTAAGTGGAGTGAGGGTTGAGGGTGGTGTCGAGATATAACGATATCTTGCCTTTTTGATGGTTGCATGATAATGGGAGGCGTGGTTGACATTACAGTTGTGTAGTACTGATATCAATAGTGTATCAAACTGCTTAAACTGATGACTGCAGACTGCTTCCACAAACAAGGGGAAGAGGTTACAGAAATCTTTTAGAGTCTGCTATTAGAAGCAATCACAACCTTAGCGCTCACAATAATGGATCTTGGAGACGGGAGTCCACAGGGGATGAATCCCGAGAGCCTTTCACCTCCCCACCTCCCTGACAATGACAACGTCTAGCAAGTCCAACTAGCCAAACTTAATTAATACCTAGTTAAGGAAGAGAAGGAGATAGATAATAGCGTAACTCTAGCGTTAGCGCTAGATCCTAAAGATCTAAGCAATGCAGCTAAGCTTTACTAGGGTAGAGGGTACGCTCTTGTCCTAGAGGGGTGTGAGCTTAATTGAACCGCGAATAATGAACAGAGAAGGAGATAAGCAGCAACATTAGCTCACGGCATGTGATCACGGGCAGAAGGTTAAGAACCTCGGTGAGGAGGAATTGCGCGTAGGTGTAGGCAGGTAATGCTGTCAAAGAGGGACTCCAAGACTATTCAGTGATTTTCCGAGTAAAGAGCTGATTAGCAGCTCATTCTCTGAACCACGAAGAAACATATTTAATTTTCCACTGATTTAACAGGCGAAAACTTTATAACGCCTAACGTCCGTCCCTGCGTCACGCAAATCCCGCCGTGCCGCAATCATTCAACTAATTTAACATCTTAAATATCCCCACCTTCCGTCTATCACTCTATTATATCATCCAGCGGAACTACGAACTCTTGTCTGTAGAACGAGGGCTTGCGGCGAAAAAAAAAATACATAGTGTTAAGCCTTGCTGTCGTACGTGCTTTCTCGTCCACCAGAAGCTGCATCGGCCGGTCTTAACACCATGTCTGGAGGTAATTCACATATCGGGTCAAAACCCAAGTAGATTGATGATAGGAAAATATATTCCGAGAATCTTGTGGATACTTGATTCTGTCTGATTCCTCTCCGGATTTGTCCGCGAACAAGACTTAATCCCATACGGGTTTCTAGATTAATAATCATCAGCCCCCTACTCGCAAAATGGCCGTGTGTTGTGATTGCCCGTAGACAATAATTACCCGTACGGGATGCGCAAGCTTGGTTGGAGCTCTGCAGCTTGGGAGCTTCATCCATGTGGGATTCAGAGTACAGTATTTAGTCGCGACGCTTAGGAATTTTACCCATATAAAGGCATTTCCGGCATGGAATACACAATACAGGAATCGAGCTCTACCGTCTAAAGCACTTTATTCATGCGGGATGTAATTATCCGTCCTCACATTCCCTCATGAGATGTCCACTCGGAGGTCGGACTTAATCATGCTTCACTGGAGAGGTTTTCTCACAGAAGCATGATCGATGACGCAAGACACTATACGCCGCAACAACGAGGACAATACTATTTTTGTCTCACTACGTCACTGTAGGAGCTGTTATCACGAATTGTATCTCCTGCTACCTTGTCTGAAATAGCGAAAGTGGGAATTGAGGATGTTGAACCATTTTCGGCTGGGGTCGAAACGGGAACCGGATATCGAAATTGAGGACGATGAAATTTAACCGTTTTTGGTTAGTCTTTGAAACCGACAAGGGGCTCGAAAAGGGACCTAGGAAGCGCGCTACGTCCCAAAACGCAATCTACCAAATCAGGAACTAGAAAACCGAAATGGGACCAGTAGTCGGGTATGTTAGTTCGAAAGCCGCGTCGCGTAGCAAGGCCGTTCTATCGTCTACATATTCGCAGACTAGCCGTATCTCTATCACTATAATCATGTCGTCTCAACAGCATTCATACGTACTAGCACACGCTAAGTCGAGGCGAGCTGCAAACAACAATTACCGGAAGCTATCGAAAACCCTCTACGAGAAATTATCCAAATTGTGTCTCGAGCACGACACTCACGTATAACGTGTTTCACCACCAGTCGCGCAAAATCCGCCAAGACCATTGGCTTTCTCTTCAACACGACATGCCTCAACAACAAAACGCGTTACCTGTACATTCAGGCGCAAAGTTGTAGGGACCGTGGTTCAGATATACTAAGCATGTTGGCGGTATGGGGGTATCTAGAAATATTACTCCAAGTGTGACGTTGTCGTTTCGCAATTGATGTCACGGTGCTGTCCCGTGAGGCCCTGCTCTGGCCAATGGATGACCCCGGAGGATCGGGTCCGCAGAAACATAGATAAAAGTTCGCTGTAAGTTATTGCGGCCTAGTTTTTTATCCTGCCTTTATCCATTTCAACACTAATAAGCTCGATATTAGCCTAGTCATCTTTAGATGGCCTTCGGCTCGATCTACGGTGGATAGCCCGCTATCAAGTACTTTTCGTGCATTATTATAGCTGAGCCCTTTAGAAATTAAAAAGCGTATTCCTTTGCGAAGGAATTAGGGCCTTGAACGGTGTCATGTTGACCATGTCAACCTCCCAGATGGGCTCCGCGCTCTATTACTGACCACGGGCATTCATGTTTCTGTTGCTTCATGTCCAACAGCTTTTATCCCAAGAAAATTCTCAACACTCGACAACCCTTGCAAATCTCCTTCCTTTGTGCCCTCTAGCTCTTGGTCAACCCAACCTTCAGCGCAACCCCCACCAAAATCTATCACCCAAGCGTCGCCATTCGCGTCGATCAAAACATTATCCGGCTTCACGTCTCCCCAGGTAACGTTTGCATCGTGTAGCTTTTTGACTGTGGCTCGTATCTGTTGCGCCCATTTTTCTCGTTCAGCCTTCGAAGCATCCTCTGCGGCGTATCCTAAAGTTTTGCTGCCGTGAATATATTCAACGAGAAGACCCATGATAGAAAGCCCATCATCCCATGTTACAAGCCCTCCAAGCCTTGAGACAAGCAAGTCATCAGGAAAGGAATCACTCCTGAAACGGAGTAGCATGTCAAGTTCCCTCTTTAATGACTGCTGTTCGAATGCACCTTTGAAGTGGAATTGAGTGTCTCTCCCAATTGCCCGAACCGTGTTGGGAATCAAATCGTAGTCTGCTTCATGTGCATCTGGCTCCAGAACAGCCACTAGCTGTAAAGCTGGGATGCAAGATACGCCTTGGGAGATGGCTTCTGACACTGTCGGATCAGACATCAACACTCTTGGCGTAAGGGAACGAGTTACCGAAGGATCTTCGGGACATCGTATTCCTTCGAGGCGACCTTCTCTATTCGCCAATTTGAGGAAGAATGTCTCCGGGTTAAAGTACTCCGCGGCGCCAGTTGGTCCATGTAGGAAACACACGGCTTCAACATCCACTCTTCGAACGCCTCCATAGCTTGTGGATCATCATCCATGCTCTTTCGGAAGCTGAGAAACGTCTGTACCAGTGTCCCGTCCCTTTGAGGTCCCCGGAGATCTTCGGCTGTGAAGAAAACATGGAAGCGTTTTCCGCGGCTCATAATTGTTAGGGCAGCGTCGTGATCGCTAAAGATGAATTCAATCATAGCGAAGGGAGGAAGATCGTCGCCCATTTTAGAGAGTGAATTCGATTAAGGGGGACTGGTGAGCTGGCTTAGCAAAATCCAAATGCCTAGTAATAGGGCTAATTCAAATATACTCTTAAAAGAGGGGCTTCAGTACACCTCTAATTTTCGTGGACTAAGGACTATCTAGAGCGAAATGTTAAGACGTTAGGGCAACTAGAAGCGTGCGTACTTATCTCAGCTAGCTCAGACGGCTGATGAGAGAACCGACAACGCACATACCACCATGCATACTGCTACTCCTAATAGAGTATAACCTATAGTTAGTAGTTTAACCCCCTACAACTAATATTTTCTTTTATTAGCTGTCTAAAAGACTTTAGTAATTTTTTATATATATAACTACTTTTAACTACTTAAGAATAAATATATAATTTTAGATAGTATAATAAGTATATTATATATAGACTTTAAAAGTTAATATAACATATAAAACTTTAGTAAGAATATTACAAGTATGTTTTAAATAAGATTTAATATTGTCTAAAGTAATTTAAATTTATTTATATGTATAATATAACCTTTTTATAACTAATTTTATATATTACTTTAACTTCTCTTTTTATTATTATCTATACTTATATATTATAAAGCACTTATATTTTAGGCGTTATTTATTTTTAGTATTATAAAACAATTTTAGCTTTTTAATCTACTAATTTTATTTTATACATAACGTACTTTATAGGCGAGTTGCTTACACACCTAAGTTGCTTACTTTTACTAAGACCTTACTACACTACTTTTCTTACACTAATGTATTTCTAACAACACTACTTAAATATGTTAAAAGAATGTTAGATGCAGCTTATGCTTTAGGCTTTTAAATAAAACATAACACTTTTTAAGTAACTGTAACGGCGCAGGCAAGACAATGGGTCCGAATGCGGTATGAATCCACTCAGAGGCATATGGGAGTGCGTGGGGACTCAGAGACCTGGGAATACCAATGACACCTATAGGCCTTGTACGTAGGATATCAGAAAACTACCGAGCTAGCTACGGGGCGAGGTGCGACTAAATACATGAGGGAATAGGGGTAACAGCAGGGGGCCGGGCAGAGTCGAGTCAGGGTCGAACCAGGGTCGGAGCCGATACGGAGACCCTTCGGATAGGATCCGAGCGACCCGAGATGGAACGATTCATGAGAATCGTTACAGTAACATGCTGCAGCTATTTACAAGGTCCTTTAAAAAATAATAAGTAACTAACATACTAAATAACTTTTCTAAGCTAATTATATAGCTAACTTATAAAAGCTAGATAATAATAAAAAGTAAGTAATTATTTAGCACATACTTAAGCTAAATATGTAAGAATTTCCCCCTTAGCTAGTAGCTATAGCTAATATAGCTAATTTTTTACACACTAAGTATTGTAACGGCGCAGGCAAGACAATGGGTCCGAATGCGGTATGAATCCACTCAGAGGCATATGGGAGTGCGTGGGGACTTAGAGACCTAGGAATACCAATGACACCTATAGGCCTTGTACGTAGGATATCAGAAAACTACTGAGCTAGCTACAGGGGCAAGGTGCGACTAAATACATAAGGGAATAGGGGTAACTGCAGGGGGCTGGGTTGAGTCATGGTCAGGGCCGATATAGGGACCCTTTAGATAGGATCTAAGCAACCTAAGATAGAACAATTTGTAGAATTGTTACACTACCCCCCCCTCTGTAAGCTAATAGTCCCTATCTGCAATGTGTAGAACATATTTAAAACTACTTTAAAAACTAATTTAGATAAGATACAATAAGTATAACTATCTTAACTAAAATTTCTTGTTACTAAGAAATAAACTAAAAACCTAATACTAATATAATGCCTTTATTATAATGTTTTTGTTTAGTAGTAACTAGTAGTGTAGTTATTATTAATATAGTAAATTTATTATTTATAGCAATAAGTGTTTGCTTGCCTTACTTATATAGTTTAGTTAATGTTATTAGTTTTTTCTTTAGCTATTATCTAAATCTCTACTTTATAGGTATTGTTATGCACCTAACATTCTATAGCTTAGTCTGCTAACTAATTATAGCATTAAAGAAAATTACTATGCTGCTCTGCCCCCCTCCTAGAGCCTCTTTAGAGGCGTTTTAAGTTATCTGCTTTTAGGCTGCCTGCGCTTTTACTTATAGCCTTTAAGTTAAGTTTTCCTATTAGTCTTTTAGATTAAAGAAATGTAAATATTACACCTTACATAATAAAAAATGCAACTCTGTACAAATATAGTCTAATACTGCTAGGGTATAGTTTACTAACGCGCACGTAGGTCCTTTTCTATTACAAGAAGGAATTCCTAGTCCTTTAGGGCCATCTTAAGCTATAGGCGGCAGCCTAAAACGCAGGGAGTAAGAAAGATAAGAAAGGGGCCTTTAAGGCTGTTTTAGAGTCTGCTTAGAACCTAGCGTAAGTAGCGCAGGTTATAAAGAGTCAGGAAGCTAGGCTTCCTGCAGCTAGTGTTTAGGTAGCCTTGTTCTACTAGAATACTAAGCTGCTCTAACAGGTTTCAGCCCTAGAGGCTCTAGTGTCTAACCTTTAGGCGGACATTGCGGCGCTTTTAGGCGGCTAAGGACAAGGCAGAGGGGGTTTAGAGGGAGTTAGTGCAGTCCTAGTAGGACCCTTGACCTATTGTTAGTTTAAGCTGCTTTTAAATTTTCTACGTCTTGTTCGCAACAACTAAGAATGTCTGCCCTAGCGTTATTCTTACTAGGGGTGTACTTAATTTAGAAGCAATACTAAGCTAACTCTTTAGCCTAATAGACCTAACAAGCATTTAGCACCTTTGTTATTATAAAGTACTTTAATAAACAATAATTAGTATATACTAGAGTGCTTATTGCCACAGATGTAAGCTTAGCCCTTTATTGTTTAAACGCAGTAATAATTGCAAATAGCTCCTTGTTATGTATCTCCTAGTTCAGCTCTAAACTAGATAGGACCTTGCTATAGAACAATACAGGGCACTAATTTCTATCTGCTTGTTCCTAAGAAAGGACTCCTGCTACTACCCTATTAAAAGTGTTAGTTTTAATTTTAGTTTACAACACAAAGTTAAAATAGTAGAGAGTAAGTATTTTTAATAGCTTAGACTTTAGCTTTTTAAAAGCCACATTACACTCTAAAGTTTATATAAAAAAGGTAGTAGGGCTTTAAAGTGTAATAATTAGTTTTGCTATATAAAAAATTTTTAGAACAAATTACTAATAAAATCTAGTAAAGCCTAAGAAGGATTTTACACCTGTTACAGTAGTAGGCGCCTGCTAGTTGCGTAGCACCTCTACTTTCTCTAGGTTAACCTCTAGTCCTTTATTTAAAAGTATATAGCTAAGATACCTTATTTAAGTAACATAAAATTTACTTTTCCTAATCTCTACTTATAATCCTGCTTACTATAGCTTTTCTAAGACTTTCTTAATATAAAAGATATAAGTTGCCTTGTTTTTAGAGTAGATAAAAATGTTATTAAGATAGGTAATATAAAAATTATCTAGATAGTTAATTAATATGTTGTTTATATAGTGCTAGTAAGTTGCTAGACTATTGCACAATCTAAAAGGCAAAACTTTACACTTATAGGTTTTATATTATGTCTAAAAGGTAGTACACTTTTTAGAGCTTAGATTTATCCTAATCTTATTAAAAGCTGCGTAAATATTAAACTTAGTAAAGATTACTGCCTTAGTAAGTCTTAACAGGAGTTTGTCTATGCACAGTATTAGATACACATCCTTACAGGTAAGAGTGTTAAGTTTGCAGTAATTAACGCAGATATATAAGTTGCTATTTAGTTTCTGTACATAAAAGATAAGAGATGTAAAAGGGCTTTAACTCTACTTAATAAAGCTATATTTTAGATTATCTATAATGTATTTTTTGTTGCCTTTAGCTCCTTAAGGTTCTGTTTGTACAACAGACTGTAACTGTTAGGGAGAGGCTCTGTAAGGACAATCTTATAGTTATATAGACAATGTACTAGTAGCTAGTAAGCTGCTGTGTGGCTAAATACATCTTAGTACTAATAGTATTTAGAGGGCAATTAGAGGTTTACTAATGCTTTAGTTTTGCATTTAGCGTCTAACTATAAGGCTTGCTTATCTTTAATTAACTACTTAATTTTATAAATAAATATTAAAAAGAACTTATTTTTTTTTCTTTTTATGTTAAAATAAAAAGCATTTGCTAAAATTAGAGTAATAGTAGCTAAACAAACCTCCTTTAGACCTATTCTAGACTTTTTAATAAATAAGTAGAAGAACAATTTAAGTGTCTTTAGACTGTAGATAATAGAAGATCTGTATAATTTTAGTAGCCTTAGTAAACCCTTAATGCAGTAGATTATTAAGCTGTATAACTACTAAAATTAGTCCTTTTTCTATAGTGTGTTGTGTTGTTTAATATCTAGCTCTACTTCTTTGTTGCGCGCAGGCTAGGTTAATTGCATAAGCAAGGGTGGC